TGAATAAGAAGAATTTAGTATTTTGTTGTGGTTGCTAAGACATTTTTTCATGAAAAGGGGAAGGAAGTTTTGAGGAAAAGGGCAGTAGGTTTTAAAATGAGAAAAGATGCTGAAGCAAGGACATTTTGGGGGTTTTTTGACCAAGCTCTCTCTAGGTGACAAGCATAGACAAGTGAAGAGATTGTGGTAACTTGCTATTTGATTTCTCTTTTCATTGTGTTTTCTTTTTGGTTTTGTTTAATTCGTTGTTTAGGTGATAGGCAAATGGCACAAACAAGCTTTTAAATCCATTCTTAGTATGTTTTTCACTGATTTTGCATTCATTTTCCGATACTCCATTTTCAAGTGACATACAAGTGGAGTGACAAGTGGTGATTGCAAATTTGATTTCTATTTTTATTTGATTTTATTTATGTTTTTATCTATAAGAGAACAACTGTGCAATCAAAGATGTAACCACATATGACATACACTATTAAATAGCTAACACATGCTATGTGTAAGATCAAAAGAGGTTAGGTGAAACACCAAGAGGGTGGTGAAGTGAATTTCTATGATTTTTGTCAATTCTCATTTTCTACATATCAATGAATGTGTTGACATAGATTCTCTCACATCTCTTTCTTTACCAATAGGGGGTTCACTCAAGGTTCTCTCTCATTCGATGTGAGCTCCCTCACAACTCCCCCACCACCAAAGACATCAAGGCTTTTATACTGGTTTGCTCGTCACTTAACTACTTCCAGTCATGAAGGATTATTGATGTTAGAGTTTATTATTTATACTTAGAAATACGCATTGATTTTAATGGGATCAGCAGCCCAACCACATTAGTTCAATCTCATAAGAGACCTTACCTTTGAAGGGTATAATCAAGTTGTCAACGCCACGTGCTTTAGCCCAAACACCTCTCCTCTCACCACCTAAGTACTTTCGAGCCTGATAGAGAGTGTTTGCTTTTAAAATGAACATTTTTTTGAATCACCAATGTCTAGTAAAGGATTAATACAACTTTGTATTCTCTACTGAAGCTTATGGTGGCTAAAACTTGATGAATAGGAAATGCTATTCATTAAAATGTTGATAGATGTTTGAACATTCACTTTTCTTCACAAGCTTTTCTCCTTTTATTTTTCAGTGTTATCGTCATTTCAAAACTTGAAAAATGGTCATGTAGATTCAAAAATCTTCTAGTTGCTTAGAATGCATCCCAATGACCTTCACATGTTTACTACTTCAAAGCTCAATATTCTTACATCTATTTAATTTAAAATCTGACAATTGTTTCTAGTCAACAAACATTTTTGTTGTTGAGGTCAAGTTCAAATAAGTTCATTTAATCTATTGTTACCTTCATATAATATGCTCATACGTCATTGTCTAGAATGTGTGGCAACAACTTATTTTTTGTGAATTTTCAAATATCTTCTCGCTAAAGCTTCAGACTTGTTGTCATATGTATTCTAGATTGAGACTTGTATCTAACTTGATATTTCATGAATTTATAAACATTTCTTTATTGAGGCTTCCAATGTGTTGTCATTTAGGTTCTGAGTTCAAACCTTACAAGTGACTTTGATACTTTGATTTTTCATGTATTTCTTCATTGTGGCTTCTGACTTGTCATTATCAAAATTTTAAGTTCAATAATTTCCAATGCCTTTAATATTTCAAGATTTCTCGAAGATTTTCTTGCTGAGGCTTCCGATATGTCTCGTCTTAATTCTGAGTTCAATACTTGTCAATGTCTTTCATATTTAAAGATTTCTCGAATATTTCTTTACAAGTGTTTGTACTAAATTTTCTATACTTATATAGAAACTCTAAGATGCTGAATTAGTTCCAACATATAAAAATCTCAAAGATGAACTAATTGGATTAATTGGTTAGCCATATGATCACAAGAGTATTAATTTTATACATATTGAATAATTATCTGAAATATTTAACTTTTAACATAATCTCTTACGAAATTCATTAAATATTCAATAAACACTTAATAAATATTTTTTTGCTCGTAGTATCAAAATGAAGGGTATTAATAGTATGTGAATTCTTTGATCTTTTTTCATGTATTACTTTTAGCAGGAAAACATCACCGTATGTCATTTGAGTAATAGCCTTTAAAACATGCCATTCACATTAATGTGTGAATATTCTCAATCACAATAATGACCTCAAGAGAAAACTAGAAGAGTTCTCCATGATTTTTGCAAAATTTTGCCAATAATTGTGTCAAATGAATATCTTACTTGAGTTATATTTTATCTCATTATTTTCAGTAAATGCATTGTGCCACTTGTATTATAGAATCAAAGTTTAAGTGTGTAGAAGAGTCAACGTACATAGAAGAGGAACAGTTTTTGCTGAAATCAAATGTATTGTAGTCAAAAGTATGTGTAGTCCACCCATTGTGCAGACTATGGGCCCTAAAGGAACAGCATAACAATAAAACGTGGTTCAACCAAATCCGTCCCACTGAGTGACATTAGACCGAAAGCTAATTATGACTCTGGAGGACTGTGGCCCGTAGAATGTGTTCGACAGCCAAGCCATCTTAGATTGTTTTCCGTGGCCTACAATCCAAATTTGAACTTTCAACCCCATGAACCTAACGTCAAAGGACACTTTCAACTCTATGCAGTGCTTTCCGCAGTCCTAATCTGGGATTTGGACATTTTAACCATCTAGACTGCGAAAACATAGAGCTGGTCCTTCGACATTATATGGTTCATAGGCGCCCAATTTCCGTAGTGCACGTTCCACATCCGGAGTTTTAGAAGCATGTGATCTGTAGAATATGCTAAAGGGAAAATCTGTGTTATATATATATTGATTTGTATATCCTGTGAGCCATTGACAATTCCGGCTGGAACAGCTATATGTACACCGTTGTTCACCGACCGAATCCTTACTCGTCCTTTATAGCCCTTTGGGCTAAAGATTGGCTCTCATGGACCACGTCCGCTTCAGTTTCGACTAGAAGAGAAATGGGCAGGCTTAGAGTGATCAGCTGGAAAGAACTCCGTCTCCAACGTGGGTCAGAAGCGAACCGATCGGGGGCGGGAAGGCCGATCTTCGATGATCACGGTATAATTGAACGAATAGGTATGCCATTTTAAACGCGCTTCTGCGAGAGAAGGCTCTCAGAGGGTAGAGAGCCTGAGCCGCCGTGGAACAACCAAGCAGGTCACGAGAGGCGCGGTCGCCGTATAAGCAGGCGAGTAGATCACGAGAGGTGATCTCGGCGTAGAAGAGGCGAGAAGATCACGAGTGGTGCGTTTTTCCATGAAAGAATGACTTCACCGAGGCACGGACGCGTGGGCGGAGGTTGCGTGATTTCGCTTCCTTTTCCATTCGTCATTGCTTCCGTATGAGCTGAAGTCCGGACTATGCGTTGACTTGCTCTCCTGGCTGACATATTCACACGGCTGGGGCTCTTTTAATAGATGGTGCATAATTAGGCGTTGATATTGTTTGTCAAGTCAATCAGAATACTAATATTAGAAAGGAAGAAGAGTAATCAACATTTTCTTTGTTGATTTTGCGAGGTAGAACGTCAAAAGAATACATCCCAACGTCTCGTCTTCGTGGACCTATTCAAGCTTGGAGAATACTGAGGATGAGCTTCATGCCAGATTTCGTTGAGGTTGACCCCGGCTCATAGAGCCCCGGTTTGACCTTCGAATCGAATCTCCTGGGAGAGCCAGTGATAGAGAGAAAAATATGAAGTGATTAGATTGAGGGAAGATATGAGTTGGTCTGAGAAAAACTAGTCAAACAGGATAATATTAGTTGGTTTGGGTTTAGTTTTCTTCTCCAATTTGATTCTGAAACTAAAGTGATGAAAAAGACGAGGGAAGATGAGCTCAGACCAAGATTTCCCAAATCATAGCCTGGCCTCACGTATTAACGGGTTTTTCACTTCGAAAGTTCTCCCTCTTGTTCAACCATACCATTGACAAAGATTCTCAGGCAACCTATCTTTGCTTCCACACACATTCTCTCTCTCTCTCTCTCCCTCTTTCTAATGCGGGATGGGACCCTGAGACAGCTTGCATTCTCATTCGAACCCTCTTCACAACCAACCGGCATAATTCGCAGGTTGCTGACATTCCCCAGCTTGATTTTAAAGCGAGATGAACTCCTTGTGCACAACATACGAACTTAATGGGGATATATGAGAGACCGCAACAAGGGAAGCGGCAAATAATATCCATCGTTCTCCGCAGTTGAGGGGATGTGGTTCATTGTCCACCGCATGGGGTAGAGGCATCCACGCCGAACGGGCGAGGTCGCAGGTGCCCGCGGCGACGTCGACCTCGGCATTATATTCCCAGACACGCGTCAATATGAAAACAAGTCCTGACAGTACTAGTGGCGGCGAATGAATTACACGGGCGGTGATTGAGATGGAAGATCGCCTACAGGTTCGGCCCACGACACTACTGACGACGAGAGCCGTTACCTCATCCGGTGGGCGTGGCGGAAAAGAGCGGGCCTGGATTACCTTTATACCCTCCTCTGTCAAACCTTCGCTGCTGGCACAACATTGAACTTCTTGCCTATCGCTATCGTCCTCGGGAGGAACGACGTCCTGGTTGCTATTTCGTCATTAGTGACGATTGCCATTACCCAAGATAAAGGTCAACTCTGGCTGAGAGGATAACACGAGCTCCATGGATCTTTAGTTTTTGTAACAGCGAGGCGTGACCTTATTGTACCCTACAGCGTGAGGAAAGGTCCCCACCACCCCCTGGGCCCCACTCCTTCCATGGAGCTCTGGCCATGTGCAGACATGTGGATGCAACCTGTGATAGATATATACGTAGGAGGCAAAGGACCAGGTCGCGGCTGAACTGAGGAGCTCAATCCCTTTCGCGACTCTTCTTTCGCCGTTCTCTCTCTGCCTTCCTGCTCTCTCGTCTGCTCACAGTAGGGGGTCGAGGGGGATGACAGGTAAGGCGCCCGAAGAAGTCCCCAGCGCAGGAGAGAAGAGGATGGACAGCCCCACCTTCGCCTCCACTGCCGATGGAAAAGCAAAGTCGAGCGGCTCCTCCTCCATATGGACAATATTTATGCATGCCGATGCGACGGACATGTGGCTGATGGGGCTGGGATTCCTGGGGTCCTTGGGGGACGGGTTCTCTCTCCCGCTGATGCTGTTCATCACGAGCAAGATAATGAACAACCTAGGTGAGACCTCCGAGGCTTCGTTCGCCCAATCATCCACCTTTATCGACTCCATCAACAAGGTGAGTTCGACCTGAAAAACCACAACAGTTTGTGCTACGCAAATTCCTCTTTTTCTCAGAAAGTGATTTGACAAGTAAATTCTGCTCCAGAATTCGGTGAATTTGCTGTACATGGCTCTTGGGTTATGGTTCGCGTGCTTCTTTGGTACTCTTCTTGTTCTTCCTCTTTACGACGCTATTTTCTGTTATTCTTTGTGAGCGCCAGCAACATGGTTCTTTCCTCTTCTTTCTGAAGAGGGCTACTGCTGGACGAGAACGGGGGAAAGGCAAGCATCGAGGATGAGGGCGACGTATCTGAAGGCCGTCCTGCGTCAAGACGTCGAATATTTCGACCTTCAGGTGGACAACACAACGCAGGTCGTGACCAGCGTCTCCAGCGACTCCCTCGTCATTCAGGACGTCCTCAGCGAGAAGGTTCCTAATCGCAGACCTCTCACACCCCTCCATCCCCCCGCTGCAACAGTGCGGTTCTGAAATCGTTGTCCTGTTGCCGCCAGGTGCCCAATTTCATCATGAACACGACCGCCTTCTTCGGCAGCTACATCGTGGCGATGATCCTGATGTGGAGGCTGGCGACGGTGGCCCTCCCCACGTTGCTCCTCCTCATCATCCCTGGGCTAATGTATGGCAGGATCCTCATGGGCCTGGTCACGAAGATCCGATCCGAGTACGACAAGGCTGGGTCTATCGCCGAGCAGGCTATTTCCTCCATCCGCACGGTTTACTCCTTCGTTGGCGAGAGCAAGACGATGGCCGAGTTCTCCACCGCGCTTGAGGGGTCCGTCAAGCTGGGCTTGCGGCAAGGCCTGACCAAGGGTATCGCCATCGGGACCAACAGTGTCACCTACGCCATCTGGGCTCTCCTTGCCTGGTACGGCAGCCAACTGGTTATGTACCACGGCGGCCAGGGTGGCACCGTCTTCGCTGTCGGCGCTTCCATCATTATCGGAGGCCTGTAAGAATTCCTTGACATATCTCACGACGAATGGTTCTTATTCATTCGTCTTCCGAAGTGCAATTACTGCTTGTTTGTTCGTCCGTTGCGTTGAACAGATCCCTGGGTTCCGGACTCTCCAATGTGAAGTACTTCTCTGAGGCCACCACAGCGGGGGAACGGATCAAACAGTTGATCAAGCGAGTGCCCAAGATCGACTCAGAGGACGCCAGCGGTGAGGTCCTCGTTAATGTGCTGGGCGATGTGGAGTTTAGAGCTGTTGAGTTCGCGTACCCCTCCAGGCCTGAAACACCAGTTTTCCGGAGCTTCCACCTGAAGGTACCTGCGGGGATGAGAGTAGCGCTCGTGGGCGAAAGCGGGTCCGGCAAGTCGACGGTGATCTCGCTACTGGAGAGGTTCTACGACCCGAAGGGCGGGGAGGTGTTACTGGATGGGGTGGACATCCGTAGGCTGCAGCTCAAGTGGCTGCGGTCGCAGATGGGGCTGGTGAGCCAGGAGCCCGCCCTGTTTGCCACATCTATCAAAGAGAACATTCTCTTCGGAAAGGAGGACGCTACCATGGACCAGGTGGTTGCCGCCGCCAAGGCCGCCAACGCCCACGGCTTCATCTCTCAGCTCCCCCTTGGTTACGACACCCAGGTACATCTCCCGCATGCCTCCTCCTCCACCCTCCCTTTCTCTCCCTCTCCCTCTTTCTCTCTCTATCACTCTCAGCATTTTTCTTAGAAATACGACAATTTCCGCAATTTCACTAGATAGTCAGATCATGATCCTTCCACCGTTGACTTGCCGCATAATCAGGGCCCCCTTCTCCAGGTGGAGAATCTGTTCCACCTCAGAGTCCACATAAACCCGTTGGAGGGAGTAAGCCCCGGTGGAAAGCGTTCTCCTTTTGGCACTCCACTTCCACAATTTTCGACTTTCAAACCAGAAGGCCCCAGTCTCTAAATCGTCGCTATGATTGTCCTCCTGCCTCCTTCCTCACACCCTCGGTGGTGTTGAACTCTAGTTCTGGCGGCCCAACGTCCGGCCAGTGAAACTTTTACAACGCAGAGGATCCACTAATTTAGTCCCATCTCCGTCGGCTCCACGAGAGCCACCAGGAGACCCCGCGGGGCCCTGCTCGTCGGATGGGCGGTCGCAATCGATCAGCAGGGACGTTGCAGGCGGGCTGGCTATACGCACGCGACGGCACTGTCTCCTTCTCGGCCCTTTCCTTGCAAGAGTGGACTCCATTAAAGTCAGCGCCCGTCGTCGTCACCGGACCCTCCGGCCACCGGCGACAGCAACGTGCCGATCGTACTTCTAGAATATCTGTCCTAACCTCCACCACGGCTCCCCTCCCGGGCTCCCAGTCGACTCCCGTTTCCTTCGGACATGACCCCACCCACAGCAATGGCTGTAACCAGCCTCGGCGTACATTCCTCATTGTGCATGCATCTTTGCGTGGCGGGATAAAGAGTCTCTGATCACATTGGAGAATAAATGTTCGAATTTATGTTTTATTAACTTCGTTCCAAATTACCCATCTTGATCCCCTCGAGCGGAGGGCGGTGCCAGTACTTGCCCGGGTCTGAGCAAGTGTTTTACCCTGAACTGTACTGCGCAGGTGGGCGAGAGGGGCGTCCAGATGTCGGGTGGGCAGAAGCAGCGGATCGCCATCGCCAGGGCAATCATAAAGGCCCCCAAGATCCTCCTCCTTGACGAGGCGACCAGCGCGCTGGACTCCGAGTCGGAGCGCATTGTCCAGGAGGCCCTGGACTTGGCGGCCATGGGCCGGACCACCATCGTCATCGCGCACCGTCTCTCGACCATCCGCAATGCAGATGTGATCGCGGTCGTCCAGGAGGGTCAGGTGGTGGAGTCCGGCTCCCACGAAGAGCTCGTCCGGGATCCCACTGGCGCCTACGCGTCCCTGGAGAAGCTGCAACGGAACGCCGCTAAGGGCGGCAGGGAAGAAGGGACCTCCTCGAATGCGGCGGGTGGAGGGACTTCTCTGTCGTCGCAGTTCGGCACTAATTTGGACCAAAGCAGCCACAGCATGAGCTGGAGGCGCTCGTCGTCGAGGGTCAGCCGGTCGAGCTCGGCAAGCTCCTTCAGGGATGCTTCCACGACGGTAAAGCAGGATGGCGGCGGCAGGTTGGAGGGAACGGAGGTTGAGGCCTTCCCGGTCCCGTCGTTTCGGAGACTGCTTATGATGAACGCACCCGAATGGAAGCAGGTGACCTTGGGACTGCTCAGCGCAGCTCTGTTCGGGGCCATTCAGCCGGCGTACGCGTACGCGATGGGAAGCGTGATATCCGTCTACTTTCTGACGGACCACGACGACATCAAGTCTCACATCCGTATGTACACCTTGATCTTCGTCGCCCTCTTTATCTTATCCTTCGCTCTCAACGTGTGCCAGCACTACAACTTCGCCTTCATGGGGGAGCGACTTACGAAGCGAATCCGAGAGCGGATGCTCTCCAAGATCCTCACCTTCGAGGTCGGCTGGTTCGACCAGGACGAGAATTCCACCGGTGCCATCTGTTCCCGACTCGCCAAAGACGCCAGTGTGGTGAGTCAAAACGTCTCTATCCATTGATCATCAGAGAGTCTACAACGGGTGGCCTCCCGTGGGAACCGCACGCTCACGGGGGAGTTTGCTCAAACGCTACCGTTTCAGGTGAGATCCCTCGTCGGAGATCGGATGGCGCTTCTGGTACAGACCTTCTCGGCGGTAATCATAGCCTGCACCCTGGGGCTGGTCATTGCGTGGCGGCTCGCACTGGTCATGATCGCCGTGCAGCCCATCATCATCATTTGCTTCTACGCCCGCCGCGTGCTGCTGAAGCGTATGTCGGCCAAGGTCATCAAGTCGCAGTCGGAGAGCAGCAAGCTGGCCGTCGACGCCGTCTCCAACCTCCGCACCATCACCGCCTTTTCTTCCCAGGACCGCATCCTCCAGCTGTTCGACGCGTCGCAGATGGGGCCCCGGCGGGAGGCCATTAGGCAGTCGTGGTTCGCCGGCATCGGTCTAGGCACCTCCCAGAGTCTGATGACCTGCACATGGTGCCTCGACTTCTGGTACGGCGGCCGCCTCATCTCCCAGGGATACATCACCGCTAAGGAGCTCTTCCAGACTTTCATGATCCTCGTCAGCACCGGTCGGGTCATCGCCGATGCCGGTAGCATGACGACCGACCTGGTCAAGGGCGCCGATGCCGTGGGCTCCGTCTTCGCCGTGCTCGACCGCTGCACGAACATCGAACCCGAGGACGCCGACGGCCATCGCGCGAAGAGCTTGACGGGGCGCATCGAGTTCCGGGACGTGGTGTTCGCGTACCCCGCCAGGCCCGACGTTATAATCTTCAACGGATTCTCCCTCAATATTCAGCCCGGCCGATCAACGGCGCTGGTGGGCCAAAGTGGCTCTGGCAAGTCCACAGCGATCGCCCTCATCGAACGGTTCTACGACCCGGCGAAGGGCAGCGTCAAGATCGACGGGAGGGACATCAAGTCCTACCACTTGCGCGACTTGCGCCGCCGCATCGCGCTGGTGGGCCAGGAGCCGACCCTGTTCGCCGGCACCATAAGGGAGAACATTATCTACGGCGCTGAGAAGGCAAGCGAGGCGGAGGTGGAGGCCGCGGCGCGGACGGCCAACGCGCACGACTTTATCAGCGTGCTCAAGGACGGCTATGACACCTGGTGCGGAGACCGCGGGATCCAGCTGTCGGGGGGCCAGAAACAACGCGTCGCGATCGCCCGGGCCATCCTGAAGAACCCGGCCGTGCTGCTGCTGGACGAGGCCACAAGTGCGCTGGACTGCCATTCGGAGAGCGTCGTCCAGGAGGCACTGGAGAGGGTCATGGTGGGGAGGACCAGCGTCGTGGTCGCGCACCGGCTGAGCAGCATCCAGAACTGCGACGTGATCGCGGTAGTGGACAAGGGGACCTTGGTGGAGAAGGGAACTCACGCCTCCCTCCTCGCCAAGGGCCCCTCTGGCGCCTACTTCTCTCTGGTCAGCCTCCAACAGCGCCTCACGTCTGCCGACAACTGACCCAGCCCTCCACTCGTCCTTCCTCACGTATGTATAGGCCTTTAAGCCCCGGCTATGCACCACTCCGCAGCTCCCTCATTCCTCCTATGAAACCTATTTTTCTTAATTAAAAGTTACTATTCTCATAAGACTATTACTCAAGAAAACAATTTAACGTGCGGACAATATTGAAAATCATGAGGCACATGCGTTCCATTCTAGAATATTCTCTCCTTTCGGTTTAATAACTTCCAACGAACGACCCAAGCTGATTGCATATTTACACACAGATATCACATATATCCTAAAAAAATTCCACTTTAATTTACTTCGGAGGCTGCCCTAGTGGGCATGCATGTGGCTGGTAAAAATCTCTAACTAATAACCAAAATTTTCGCTGACCTTCGGTCATTAAGTTAGTCAATATTTTTGCCTTACCTTCATTGGTGTGATTGTCCAATTCCTTGGCATACAAGTGAAATATAAGCCGTGTACAAAACATCAGAGATTTTATTTGGCAAATACTAGCATAAGTCTCCACCGTAAAAAACTATAAACAGTATTAATGAGGTCAAGGATGAAGGGACTGAAAAATGCTTAAAAAGCCAATGGTTAGTGAAAAAATGGCATATTGAGAATATTATTCGGCATGACCATTTATTGGTATTATCTGTGTATGATTAAGGTTTTAAGATAATTAAATGAAGGATTCATTAATTGAAACTAATAGAGATCATTAAATGTTTCATGATTAAAAAATTTAGTTATCTATACTTTAAGTCTTAGGATTTGTATTATTCAGTTTAAGAAATTTTGTACATTTTGAATCAATGAAAGGAAGACTTGTGGATAATGACAGTCATCAATCGGAATTAAATAGTAAGAAATGCTAAGAACTCTTTATTAAAACTCAATGGAAAGAAATCTAAGTTTTCTTTCAAAGATATTTTAAACATCATCATATGTATAATTTTCTAGGATGCCCAAATGGGCCACATCTGATCCTTGTCTTGATCATTGTTGATTAAGGAGATAATACAACCCTATTCATCCAATGATCTATATGAAATATCAGAAAACATAACATGATGGTATTTGCCTATTGAATACTTGAATGAAATTTTATATAATAATAGAGTCACTTATTCAAAAGATAAATTTGTTTCCAAAAATACAAGTGAATACCCAGTCAAAATGATACATTAGCCTATAATTTCATTGAGAAAATTTCTATCTCCATAACTTCTCATCTTATAAATTTGTCCACAATCAAAAAGTATAAGCTCTTTATCCTTTAGAAATTCATCATTTCATACTCTTCAATCCATTGTCAGATTATGTTTAATGATGATCTAGTTTATTTCGTATTAAATGGGCTTACGTTGATTATTTTAAGATCCTTTCATAAACTTTGATATGAGAAGCTTGACAATAAATTAAGTAGACAACATTCAAATGCTCTTATGAAACTATCAATATCACAAGGGAGCACCAAAGTAATTTTCAATTTGTACCTATCAACTATCTCATCTCGTGTCCATTATCTTCTAAGAATTGTGGCACCAAAATTTTCTTCTGTAAGAAATCCTTGGATTGAGTTATATCCTAAAAATTTCTTAGATGAGCAAAACCTTCATCATATTTTTATAAATATTTTAAAAAATCAAAACTATCAATTCATAATGAAGAATGAACACATTACCTTCCTACTTGTGCATTTGCAATATAGTTTAATCTTCCTATGTTACAAGGAAAAATTAAATTATTGAATAATTAAAACAAACTTGTGTATTAAAAAGAGTTACTTGGTGATCAGTAAATAATATAAATTTTCATTTAATAAGATAGTTCTCCTAAGTCTGTCTTTTAGACTATTGGATAAATTCCTAATTCATGGGGACACTTTTTCTAGAATCAATATTTTTTTTCTATAAGGAAAATATGATCACTCACTAATAAAAAAGTAGTATAAATTATTCTTATTATGATTAAATTTTATAAAAATAAAACCTTTCATATAGATCTAAGCATAACATTAGTAAATCGAAGTGCTATTTGAGTTTACTATCACAAATATTCAAGATTAGTCATCTAAATTTTGTATAAGTTCTTTCTTATCAATTACCATGATTTTATTTTCCTTTTATCTAACATTATTTAACAACTTAGTTCTTTTATTTGGCCTGAAATAATTTTATAGTCATTTCTATAAAACATATGAACAATGCTATATGAAAATGAGTGGTATCAACATCAAATTGGTATAGCTTTCCTTAGATAATATTTCTACAATTTGAAAATCTATCTTTAATCTCTTTACATTTTCTTGTGAGAAATGTGAAATATCACTAGAATTTTAAAATCTACTTTTTGCCTTTTCAATTATGTTTGGAAATGTGAAATATTACCTCTTAAATTGAGAAATTGTAGAACATTTTGAGTTTTTAAAATTTATTGAGAAGATATTATGTTAAACTTATGCATATTCTTCCATATTTGTGATACTATGTTTGCAATTTGGATAATGTTTCTACAAAATATGCTTATACTTAGGTGGAAGAAAGTAAGGTTTTACTAATTTATTCATTTTAAATCATATACAAATAAGTTCTTTCCTTGATCTAGAAAGTGTCTAGTGGAGTTGTATGTAGCATTTCAATACTCCACCCTTCAACTTGGTTGTAATAAACTTTCATTTATTGAATGTTCATATAGTAAAAAAATTCAATCATGGTCAACCAACGTAAAAATTCTTTTATATCCAAATGACCATAAAAATTACCATTTGAAAGTTCTTAGGTTCTTCCTCCTTAGATGTACTTGTGATATTTCTAAATATATGAAATGGTTATTTTGCCAACAGTTTGAAATGTAGTAGATCTTGTTGGACCACCCATTAGGTGTGATAGATTCAGTTAACAAAATGACCAAGGTCAGAGGTATGAAGGAGATGATGATCCTAGGAGCCAACATGAGAAACACACAAAATTGAGCTGATAAAGAAAGATAGTCTCTCACCATAACTAGCCAAAAGCCTCCACCAATCAAAAGCTTCCACAATCTCCACTCTATGAGATATGTGACCTTAAGAAGCTTATGGATTTAATGGTAACATGTCCCATTTTATGTATTTAACATGTAGGAACCTAAGGCTAATCTAGAGAAAAATCTAGAAGAGTTTTGTGAGGAGAAACTCAGAGTTCTAACCTCTTTGAGTCCTAAGTCTAAAAGAGAGTTTTTAAAAGAAACTCTTGAGTGTTGGCCTCCTATAATTATGAATCTAGAATATAGTTTCTAGAAGAAATTGTAAGTATGATGGAGGCATAAAATCTAATAGGAGGTTGAAGTGTGAATAGAGTTAATGAAAACCCAACCACCATAAATCTTGTGTTTTCTCTACTAGTATTCTACTAGAAAATAAGAATTGACCAATTTATTCCTTTATAGTCACACCTTACTATTAAATCCAACACACATCATCTTCACAATGATGAATATGGGATGCAAACTCTTACTTAGATAACATGAAATATTTAAAGTTATAAAAGAATAAAATTTGAGCCTTCAATCGACAAGGCACAATTCCTCAATCCTCAATGATTTATTTTTCAAGGTCCTTGAATCCATAAGTAGAATTAAAGAGTAAAAAAAATATCATGAAGAGAAAGAAAATTGTATTATTGATCATAAGGATGCATGATAATATCTAGTAAAATTTTAATTTTTTTCTCAAAGAATATAACTTTTAGACTAAATGATCATAAGAAAAAAAATTAAAATTAGAAAAAAAGGAAATTTCTGATGCTGACATCAAACAGATGTTAATACTCACTAGAATAACGATTTAGGCGAAAATAAACTTATGCTCAATGATTATTGTAAAAGTGATTTTAGAAGGTTTGATCGAAGAAATTAAGATATGTAAAAGTCAAATGAATTGTAATATATTAAAGATGAGGTTCAAAACTTAAATTCAAGTAATACTGATACCTTGGAGTTACAATATGGTAGCCTTTAAATAGTCTAGATATCAGTTGTGACTCTCTTAGGTAATCAAAGTTAAGAAAAAAATAGAAAGTAATTAATATCAAGAAAATTACTATGGTTGAGAATCTAATGCCTTATTCAAGATTTTTTTGGCTTAAAATCTATTTGGTCCTTCATGTAGTCCACATTTTATGGTTTCAAGCCCACTTGAGTCACCAATTTTGGGCATTTCTCATTCTTTGAGTGTTGTTCAAAAATGCTGTGACGGTGATAAAGGGTAATACAGTAATGTTTAGATGATAAACTTATGTTACTCATTAATTGTAAATCAGTATTTATTGAATTAAATAATTAAACAAAGAGCAATTCTTTTGGTGGCAAGATTATTCACAATCATACTTTACATGATTAAAATATTTTTTAATATATGTACACAACATGTATAGGCATATAGGCTCTTTTCAAAGTATAATTTGAAGAGGAACACAATGCAATAAATGATGCATCAAATTTAAAGATTTTAATTGTTATCATTTTTACAATATCAATAAGTACATATCAAGTTTGAATTTCAGACATGAATGTGACCTAAAGTGAACATTTATTTAGCTGTTGCAAATGACATTGGATGGCTCAATAGGTTGCATATAAAAGGGACATATCAGCCCACAATAGTGTTTGAGTAAAATAGGAGAAATTGAAAGACAGTGCCTTCACATTTATTATCTTTCTCCAAGGTTTCAATCCTAAGAAGTAAGCCCTTGAGTGTGAAAAAAGAAGGAAAACTAGTTGTGCTTAAGCTTTTATCAGACTCTATCATACATAAAATGCTTCATCAATTAAGTGAAAGGATTTGAAGTGAAGCTACAAGCTGAATTTTTAGGATTTTATTATTAGGTTTATTGAAACTACAAAATTCAACTCATCAACACTGAAGCCCGCATTTTTAGTTGTTGGCCTTTAGAGCCATAAGATCTAACACATAGACTCATTGATTTCTACATATTCAATAATTGGTCTCTAAAGCTATGGTATCCAATACAAAGTTTTTGAGGCTTGCATATTCATTGGGACTTATTGAAGCCATTAATTCAATGTGTGTATATAACATAGTAGAATCTAAGGACTTAGTCATTAGAGAGGGTAGTAAGTTAAATTGATTAGTTGATTATAAGTTGTGAGTGTTTGAGTATTCATTATTCTTATCTAAGGGTTAATAAATAAATAAAAATAGAAAAGAATAATTTCACCCTCCACTTGGAGTATTGTACTATCAAATCAACTCCAACAAATGATATTAGAGTTGACTTCTTTGTATAGGAATCAACAATCCTTGGCCAAAAACAAGGAACCTAATCCTATCGAAAAATAGGTTAAAATTAAGCCTTTGGGTAAGAGAATGCTTTTAAGATGGATCCAACAAGAAATTTTGACTTACTCGACATTTGACAAATTCTCAATTCTAGCTAATTATTGGCATGAAATAATTTGATGATGATTCCTATTATCATTTTAGCTAGAATCTCTCTCTTTTTTATTGGTTCAAGTAATTTATTATTTATGACAAAATATCAACATAAATCTGGTGGCATTCAAGGCCTTCCACCCTTGCATCATCTCCTTAACAATATTCATGAATAAATATGTTAATAAATTTACAGACTGTAGGATAGTTTAGTGAGAAAAAATAAGCCCATGGTCTATGAAATAGATGAACTTTTGATGTGCTGTATGATGGCTTTATATGATAATAACGTGCCTCAAACTATCATCACCATGCATCTACATTAATCAATTTTCAAATTGCGTTGATAATTTTTGATATTTTCTAATTAAGAAGAGCTTGACGAGATTATTTTATTTATAAATACATTTAATTAATTTACATGAACATGGATAATTTTGAAATCACATAGGTACTATTTAGATCAATGGAAGAATGGGCTTCTTTTGACGAGCCAGACATATTGGAGGCCCATATTGGTCGTAGAATGCGGACAGACCAGGAGCGGGGTTTTTCACGGGCCCACACGGAGGCAAGCGCAGGCTTTCCATTCACATCGAAACGCAGTCGAGTTCAGGTCTGCGGACACGCGGGTTCGTGAACATCCCGTGCACCGCAGTAGTTGATGTTGACAGGGCAGCGATAACACGAGCCTACTGTCGCGCCCGCCCCAGCACTTCTCCGACCTTCGCACCGCACCCCGGCGCACCGAAATTTAAAAGCTCCCCCTCTCCCTTCCTCTCCCCTTCGTTCTCGTGTCTCTCTTACCATTTCGTTCCCTCTTTCCTCCCCACATCTCTGGTTTTTCCCCTGCCGCCCGTTCCCCGTCTCCCTCCGCGGACCGGGCTTTTCCTCCGTAATTCAAGGGAGCGGGGACGTTGTGAGACCGGAGCACAGGACCTGTGCCAGAGCCTCCGATCTGCACTGTGCTTGCTTGTTCTGCCGGTCAATTATGATCAGCAGATTCCAGATCCGGTACTTGGGCTCTGTGTGAAGGGTCTTCTTCCTGCGGGAGCAAGGAGAGGGATCCGTTGTCGGCGGGGAGAGGAGGGAGAGGGGCCCGCGGGACGGATCTATCCCGTGATCTCGAGGTGTAGATCTCACGGTGACGGGGGATCGGTGCTCGTATCGGTGTTGTGAGTGGAACGGGCTTCGCGATGGAGGCGATGGAGGAGTTGATCAAGCTTGGGGAGTGCATGGTGCAGGCAGCCGCTCTGCTGTCCGATGAGGACGCAGATGAGGCCTCCAACCGGCGGGCCTCCACTTTCCTGAATATTGTAGCTTTCGGCAATGTCGTAAGTCTGATTTTCAACGATCCTGATGAACTCGCCATTAAAGGGTTATTCATTTCGTTGTCTCTATTTCCTCTTGCCTTTAAGTAATTTTATCTTTTTTCGGTGTCTCTTTTACCTTCACACCGACATCACAGCATGCACCGACATGAATCGAGAGTAGAGTTCTACTTCTACGTGTCAACATGCATCTTCTATCTTGTTTTTGAGATGTTACCGACAATAAGGCCCCGCTGGAGGATAGTGGGACTTAAATATCTTATTCTTGTCTTGTTGTCACATAGAAAGCTTTTGGTCACAACATTCTTCTTCTCTTGCCTTTGGTAGGGTGCTGGAAAATCCGCAGTCTTGAACAGCTTAATTGGGCATCCTGTTCTTGTAAGCTTCGTGCTCTGTTTGAAATTACGTTTCCTTGTGCTCTTGTTAGATCTGCAAATGGATCCGGCTTTTATTTACATGGTTTCGTTGTATCCTTATTTGCAGCCAACAGGAGAAAATGGCGCCACACGTGCACCCATTAGCATTGATTTGCAAAGAGATCCTTCGTTAAACACAAAGTCTATAATGTTGCAAATCGACAACAAAACACAGCAAGTTTCTGCCAGTGAGAGCTCAATATCCTATCTATATCATCTAATTTAGATCATACTTTTTCACATTTGGACTTTGTAAATGTTTAAAGTTTGTTCTTATTTACATTTGTATTATGGGCATCTTGATTCAGGTGGAAAAATGGGGCAAAATTTGTTGTCTTGATTTTTTTTGCAAGATGGACACTGTTTTTTCGCATGATGTCAATAGTCAACAAGATTTTGTCGACTGTTAGCTTTTAGATGTCTCACTGTTCGTTGAATATGTCTCAGGTAGTTTGAGGCATTCTCTTCAGGAAAGGCTAAAGAATGTTGCTGCTGTTGGAAGAGGTCGTTCTGATGAAATCTATTTAAAACTTCGGACTAGCACTGGTATGTTTCCGACTATTTTTGCTACTTTTCCCTCTTTTTCTGTTATTTTTTTGCTTGAGTTAAAAGTTATGGTTAGGACAGATGTATATCCAGATGTAAAAAGGAACTTTTAGTCTGCTGAATCTTTAGATTTGTTCATCAGTTTGCAGACTTGAACCGTGTAATGGTTGTTAGAACATGTTGATTGATCTTCTTAGTCGGTGAAACATCTTGTCTAGTGCAGGCATTTTTTGGAGTGACATTCTCTTTGAATGCTTCTAATGACTTCAGTAAGAGTTAATAAATTTGGGCTTGGAAGGGCACGTGGAATACACATCTCTTAATTTCCAAATTGGCAATTTGGAACAAACGCTGCTTCTTGATATGAGTCTTGTGACCTATGGTGCTGTGAGTTACGGACTGGCATGTCTAGTCAAGGCTCTTATGTCCTAACTTTATTGAATTAAATAAGAGTTACTATTTCAACCAGAAATTGTGCAAAGCTCCTAATGCACTTCCTTTAGGGGAAAGGACATTGCCACATTAAAGAGAGATTTTTTTCATAAATTCTTTCTTGAGAGTTACTATTTCTATATATATATATCATATATGGATGTGTGGAAATCAACCCTTCTTTATTTGGTTATGCTACGATGGAGAGTTATCTCTGTTGAATTCGTGATTACCTTATTGTTTCTAGTTTGTTGATCTCGTTAAGCTATAAGTTTTTCAAAAAAAATTGAGTCTTTCTGATCTAGTGATCACCTTGACTTTTCAATCATTCAACATCATGATAAAAAAATTCATTATGTTTTTGGTGTAGGAATTCTGCTTAAAAAATTTCAAGATTTTTGTGAAAGCTAAGTAGTTAATTTATTATCAAACTTTCGAGTGATTGGAATTTAAAGAGCATTGTTTTATCTCTTCTTGATCTGCGACCTTGTTATTCTTCTTCAAGGTTCTTTTGTCCCTTGAATTATGTTGAGGTTCACTTGACCTGTTATAACCTTCACTGGCAGGTTTAATAAAAATCGTGAAGAATGTAGTGTCATAAAAGTATCAAACCTCTGTGTGCCCTTTTTTTGTGCTGTAATGTTGACTTTTCAGTGACAAGATATATGGTGTTGTTGAAACAGTAAATTTTGCTATTTTGCTCTTGTCCTTCCCTGTGTTGCTAAATTTTTGATACCTCAGTCTTTCAAGTGGTGAACACCAGGGAACCCTTTGGTCATAGTGTTGTCCCGAAGTTGTCAATGTTTACTGTACTCATATTGTTGGGTCTGGTTATCTGTTTTTTATAGGATTTTGATGAGGACTTTTTGCATACTAAATGACCTGCTATTATGCTCGAACACTTAAATCTGTTCGTTGTGAAACATTGGTATCTAATGCATACCTTCTGTATGGGAGATCTAACTTTCTTGTATCTTTACATCAGCTCCACCTTTGAAACTTATCGATCTTCCTGGGTTGGACCAACGGGCCATGGATGAGTCAACTGTAAGGAATCGTTAATACCACCTCTTTCTCTTGTATTAGCTTTAAGTTTACATAATTAACTCATAACATCTGCATTTTTTGGTTGAAAAAACTAGTCAGCCATACAGATTGGTAGTGCTTCCTTTATCAAATTTCTGAAGAAATATTTTTAAGCCATTTGGTCCTTTTGTTCCAGGTCAGCGACTATGCTGCCCACAATGATGCCATATTGTTAGTCATAGTGCCTGCAGCCCAGGCCCCTGAAATTTCCTCATCACGTGCTCTTAGACTTGCAAAGGAGTTTGATGCAGATGGTATGTCCTTCCATCTCTTAAGATGTATGATTTCTTCGATAATGTTCAAGAATATGCTGGCCACAACTGGCGAAATCTTTATATTTATGCAACAATTGTCATTTCTAGTTACATTTCTTTATGCCTTCTATTCTTAAGGCGTTATGTATATTGCATCCTTTTTTTACCTGTAGGTACACGAACGATTGGTGTTATTAGTAAAATAGATCAAGCAGCTGGAGATCAGAAGTCTCTGGCTGCTGTGCAAGCTCTCTTATCAAATCAGGGACCTCCCAGAGCATCTGATATTCCCTGGGTGGCATTGATTGGACAATCTGTTGCAATTGCATCAGCGCAATCTGGATCTGTTGGACCTGATAATTCCCTTGAAACTGCATGGAGAGCAGAGAGTGAGAGTCTTAAATCCATACTCACTGGAGCACCACAAGGGAAGCTTGGGAGAATAGCACTGGTGGACACTCTTGCCAAGCAGATTCGAAAGAGGATGAAAGTCAGACTTCCCAACCTCCTTTCTGGGTAAACTACTTTAGCTTTCTAATTAAACGACTGTAGGAAAATTACAATTTTGAACTGTTTTCTTAGTTTCCTATTCTCATAGTTTATGAGTACATTGGATTTAGCTGTGATGTATTTGAAAGATTTTTCTCATTGTTTTAATAAGTATAAACGAATTTCTTTTTTGTTTGGAATATAAATCGCCATATTTTAATTTTGCTCATTTATACCCAACACCCCATTTTCATGTCATTTTTAAGTTATCATATATTTTTGTTGTTCCCAGAATAAATTTAATGCTGGTTTTTCTCTTGTCATTAATTTTGTAGTGCGTTGCAAATCTCATGATAGTGCTTTGCATAATATTAGTTTCTGAATTTTAGAAAGAATTTGTCATGATGCTTTTTTTTGTCAACACTCCCCAAGGCTTTCAATATATGCAGGTTGCAGGGGAAGTCTCAAATTGTCCAGGATGAGTTGGTAAGACTTGGTGAACAAATGGTACATAGTGCTGAGGGAACTCGAGCGATTGCCCTAGAACTTTGCCGTGAATTTGAGGACAAATTTCTCCAACATATTGCCACCGGTGAGGTCAGTTATTCTGATATTAATCTTTCCAATTGGACCTGCATATTTGCCGTTCTTGTTTCAAAATTTTCTTCAGTGTATATGATAGGAGAATATGTTAATCATGTATTTGAATATGGATGAAATTGATGCTTTGTTCTTCCATTCCTTGCTTTATGGTTGAGTGAAGGACAAAGGAGCTTGGTAAACTTGAATTTTGATGTTATGTATCATGCTACAATAAAGATGAATTGCATCTCTACTGACTTGAAGTTCATTAATATTTACTATATTAGTGCCCTTATTATTTACTCATCTTACTTTTACTGGAAAAGAGAAAAGGCCAAGAAGATAAAGTCATTTGTTGCTCAAAATCTTGAGTTGACTTTCTCTTATGGTTCATTAGGCATTTCGAGTACTTCATGAATGAATTCGTAGGCATGAATCTCGATATTGATACTTTCGTGATTAGATCTGCCCATTTCATCATGTAGTCCAAACCTTTAATTCTTAAACGTTCACAATCTTGCTTTTCATCATGTAGATCCTTCATGATTAGCCCTTTACAGGTTTGTGTTTCATCTTATACCTTCGTTTCTTGATGATTAATTTTTTCCCGGCTTCTGGTTCATCATGTAGATCCGTTCCAGTGATGTCGTTACTGGGTTGTACTTCCTCGTGTACTTTGTTCTAGTCATGCCATGTTATCTTTTTGTGGTTCATCTGTATGTGGAGATGATGCCTCCATGTTTTATTGTGGGAATACGTTAGGAGCAAGAGTAAGAAACGCTGAATGTGGTTGGTGAAATCCCACGGGCTCCAAACGAGCCCTTTTTTTCATGCATGCAAATGTAATCCTCCTTTTTGTTAGTGCTCCGAAAGGTGACATTAGAATGCAGGGAAAGAGCAAGAGCTCAACCTGTTTGTTCCTTCTATGGATTTCTAGTGCCATGACCCTTGGATTATGGTGTAAATCATTTCAACTTACCATGGACCGACATTTGATCCAATATGGATTGAAAGAGTGATATTCAGTATATATGTTTTCGTTCCCAAGGGAAAGATACTGGGATTCATTTGAATGGAAATGAAGTCTTTGGTCATGCTGAAAGCTGATCAATCTGGACAAAAAATCTTTTTCCCTTCTGGTATCTCCGAAATGATGAATTCCATTTCTAGGGGTTGGGTGGGAAGAGAATCGGAATTCATAGTGTCTGATTGCTGAGTCGGTGTATTGTGCGATCATGGTGTATTGGAGGAAGCTGTTCCATTGGCTTGTTTAAACTCATGTTATCAAGGAAGCTACTGGAATTGCAGAGGTAATATTGGTGGAAATTGTCAGTGTTTCTGGAATTTTAATGGTTTGGCTTGGTGCTGTCTCAGAAAGGAAGGGGTTGGGCGATTATGAAGTGGCCAGCTGTTTGTTTTTATTTTCAGAACGAGACAACCTATGGTCGTTTATGTTATATATTCTATTGATGGTATGATATAAAAGGGTAAGTGAGTAAGAACTTTGTCACTTCCTCTCTTTTCTTTTCCAGACTGTACGACCAAAAGCAGCTTTTGCTCCTTCGTTGATATGCAATAGATTGAATAGTATGTATAAATGATGAACAGTGTTTTGATACTTTTTACGAAGTATATGATCCTCAGATGTTAGTCTGATCGTTTACTCTTAAATATATCCTGGAAGCTTAAGAAAATGAACTAAAATGTGAGATGCTTCTTAAATTCCATTGTTTGTTGAATTATGTTTGATTCAACTAATGCAAGATCGTCTCTAAAGCATTTTCTTATCTTTTACGTAGTTGAAATAAACTGGACATCGTGATGAATTGTCTGATAGTCTTTTTCTTATATCACACATTTCCTTAAAATCTCTTCCTTTAATATAGAGCGGCTCCGTGCATGCCTAGGTTAGGTTGTCTGCACATAGATTCTATACCAGAGTGCAGTGTCATCATAGATTATTTCGATTTATATAAGTGGACAAGTTTAAAGAACAGGAGGAAGACATGATTCTTTCTTTCACTGCTGTCCATTTTATCATACACTGTGTCACGCTAGATTATTTGACTGCTGTCCATTTTACGCACTTAAAAATGTTAACTAAATTAAAACCACAATGGCAATCATTCGTTCGTTGAAATGATTAATAATAACGGTGAATTGTTGTAGTTGGTTCATCAAACTTCACAGATTTAAAAGCATTCCAGACATGTGACTCCAGTTCACGTCTAACAATAAATTGCTATTAATTTACTTAAAGCTATGTTGTACTAGCAATATACTTGAAGGGCCCTGTTGCAGTGATAGGTCTAGCGGTACCCATCAATTTGTTTGAAGAACTCTATGCCTGACTTAGAGCAAAGAGATCTATGACCTGTCCATTGTCTAGAGTAAAGAAGATATGACATTCGTCTGACTAGGGGTTGGTCTGATAAACGAATTACAGACAGAATTTAGCAGGTTGAATTAAGTTATGTAACATTAGTGTTGGTGGGATGTTACACGAGGTACAATAACTTCATCAGTTTGCTGTCAAGTATAGCATTGATCCCTTTATGAAGACACCATGGAATTCACACTTCTTTCAAAAGTGGACCATTTCCATAATGAATCATGAACTTATCTAGATGCAAAATATGCTTTTCCTCACAAAATGAATCTGGCTACAAAACATGTTGGGTAGCGTCCAGCTATTTCTGTCAAATTATATGCTAAAACTCGAGTCCAATCCTAAGGTTTTACATTTTTGTTTTGCACCTTAAGTAAGGATGATGGCAAATCCTGTCTGACGTCAGTCAGTCAATGATTCTTAAAGAAGTGCAGATAAAGTACTGGAGGTTAGAACGCCTGATTCTAGTTAATTTCATCGTTGTGTGGACAGTGGAAGCTGATAGATGAGTGAACCTTCTTTTGCATGTTGTAATTTCGCTTGAGCTACTCAGTATCTTGGGGTGTTTTTTTTTGCGGGGAAGGGGGAGGTTGTCAAATCAGAAGATCCCGCCACAGTTGGAATGCAAAGCAAGGAGCTATTTTTTTCCCCTTGTCACTTTGTCATGAACCTTCAAATTAGGAAGCAGGTACGGAAGAGAGAGTTGTCTTTTATGATTTTTTGCAAATATCACCAATAATAGTATTTCTTTTCTCAGACTTAATATATTTCTTTGAAGCTTTTGGAACATAGTTTTTTGTGTTGTTCTCATTCTGGTGCTCTACCTTTATGACAACCTTTAGGACGCTTTGAAATTGCTTAGTTTAGGATCCTTGTCTTCTTTAGGACGCTTGGTTTTCCTTTGACGATGTCTTCTTCTGCAGGGTGGTGGTTGGAAAGTTGTTGCAAGTTTTGAGGGTAGCTTTCCTAATAGGATCAAGCAACTTCCCTTAGATAGACATTTCGACATCAACAATGTTAAAAGGGTATGCTGCTTGTTCCGTTGAGTTCACTCCTTTTTTCTTTGTTTGGTTGAATTGGTAATCCATTCTTCTGTACTCGGTGATTTCAGGTTGTACTTGAGGCTGATGGTTATCAACCATATTTGATATCTCCTGAGAAAGGTTTGAGATCTCTCATCAGAGGAGTACTGGAGCTGGCGAAGGAACCATCTCGCCTCTGTGTGGATGAGGTAAACAAAGCCTTCTACATTATAAACTGTCTATTTTGTGTTCTTTGTCTCCTGTACTGTACCGGCTGAGATGTTCCTTGTTATAATACATATTATTAACTACCGTGTTATTTTTTCCAATCGTCTGCATTTGGCATTGGTTGTGCTATTGCATTCTATAATGTGAAGGGTTACTTTTTTCTCTCGAAGTTTGTATAGTCGCTTGTCTCTCTCTTCCAGGTCCACAGACGTTTTTTGTCTAAACACAGAAAAACCTTTAGGATTTCCATTCTCTTGCTATATTTTACTGAAGGTGGAGAATGGTCGAATTGCATAACGTGTAAGTCTGCATTTCGTTGTCTGTTTTTTTACAAGTCATTTATTTTTCATTGTGCAATCTACTAGAATGCAAATTCCGTCTTTTAGTGGCTGATGTGGCTCTTGCATGTGAACGCCGTGTTGTTTCTGTTGTAGTACAATGAAAATGATGGTTACATCTTTCCTTATGCTCCCCTGATTCATGTTCTACCAATCTGTCCCTGATATCGCTCTTTGTATTTATTAATGTATGTGCATGCGTGCCATATTATTTATATCAACGATAATAATTACATGTTTATTGAAAATTAGTTAGTTTGCAATTTCTTTTATCCTCTTTCAGATCGAGAAAATGTATTTTCTTAAACTGACAGTTAGAATTGTTTTATTCCTTTATGCTTTTCTGTTTTCCTTTCCTTCTTTATTTTTTCAAGTTTTATGCTCTATTTATGCTTTTATCCTCTATTTTGGGTTTTCTCCTGGAAGAACCTTTAGATCTGGTCTTTTTCCAAACAAAATTAGGCATGTGCCTAGCAACCATCTAGTCTATTTTTTTATGTATGCTGAAAATTTCTGTCTATTTCGGGTTTTTTGCCTTCTGAACAGGTACACCATGTATTGATAGACATAGTTTCAGCAGCTGCGAATGCCACACCAGGCCTTGGGAGATACCCACCATTTAAGCGGGAGGTATATCCATTCTGTTTATCTTTTTTTCTTCGCTTCTGTTTCTTTGTAAAATATGACAATTGTCAAAAATGTTAGCTGATGATGAATACTTTCGTTTTACTTGACACCTTGCAATAACTATTGCTTTGCTGCAAAGGTTGTTGCAATTGCATCTTCTGCTCTTGATGGATTTAGAAACGAGGCCAAAAAGATGGTGGTTGCATTAGTTGACATGGAACGTGCTTTTGTTCCTCCTCAACATTTCATCCGTTTAGTCCAGAGGAGGTACCAATTCAATGCACTTTGTCGTTGGTCCATAGATGTTTAATTTTGATGTTTCTGTTGTATGTCTTCTGTCTTTTCTGATTTCAAGCTGCATGCGTGTGGATGACCTAGTAATCTTCAATAATATTTAATTGGAGCTCATGTACATGCTGATTAATTCAGTTATGCCAATGAATCTGAACTATAGATATGTATTGTGATGAAAATATTAATTGTTGACGTTGTTTTTTATGTAATTTCAAAAAGAAGCCTTCCATGTGTTGCTTTTAGGTGTGGAAAAAAAGCTACCGAGGAGAAATATAAAAGAAAACAGAACAAAGGGACAATGTTCTTAAAGCAGAACTTCTTTGATCACGTTATAGGATGCTAAAGAAGAGAAAGAAGGCTATAATTAAATCCTTTTTTTTATCGTTGATCTAGCTTGCAGGATAAAATAGTCTCATATTCATTCTTTTGGACCAATAGGCCATTAATCTTGACACTTATTTGTGTTTTCTGCTTCCTCTGTTCTTAAAAAATGCAGATTTATCTTGCTTTTTTCCATTTCACACCTCTTTAACCTCAATATCCATTGTTTTCCTTTCGCAATCATCTTGTACTGTTCTGGGTCATCCGAGTTTTTAAAAAAAGGTCAGATAAGCTAATTTCATCACCTTAGCTATTACCTGTGAACGAAATTTCCTCCGTTTTCATCTTGACTAATCCAAATGTAATATGTGGGGAGAAATATTGCGAGATGATTAAAATAGGCTAATGATACCCTTTTATCTTCCGCCTACTACATACCTCCCGGCATCAACTGAATGTCATGGTCCTGAACACCTAGTCAAACGAAAAGCCCTATAGGAATTCTGTTAATTTGATATATGGCTGTCTCCATTGAATTGAGGTTTAAAAAGTTACAGCCTCCTCTCACACTCCAGTGGTACCTAAATAAGCAACTTTCCTGGAATTCTGTGAACTTAATCTCTATCAACTACACAGGTTTGGTTCAAGTTTGAGTGTAAAAATAATGGTCCCACGCTTCTCTTGTCCAAGATGCGACATGATGGCGATAATCATCCAAGCCGAAAAAATGTAGGGAATTCAGAAAACAATCATGCTACAGCACACAAGGATTTACATGGAATACTCATTTACAGGGGAAACCACTAAAGAAGAAAGTAACTCACTGATGTGACCAAAATCCAGATTACACTAAGAATCCTTCTCTCCACGAGGATAAACGACCCATAACAAATCACGGCTACCTTTCCTCTTTTTTTTTCTAACCCAAGTCCTTTTGTTAAATTAGCCTTTTATTCTGTGCCCAAAGACAAGACCGCCTCTCAGTAACCAGAGAATTATCATAGAACTTAAAATGGGCCTGACCCATGTCTGGGCGTAAACCTGAAGCACTCACATTCTGCACCAACAAGGAACTTGTACAACACTAAACCATGTATCACCTAAAGAAATAAAGAGAGAAAAGAACAAAAATGAGGACGAAGTAATGAGGAAGGGTTTCATTTCCTTCATTTCGGATTTCCTGCCGTTGTTCAAAATACCATTTTTTGGGTTGGTCGTATTTGGTTGTCAAATTATCCTTTCTGTTGTCTGAGTAAATCCGTCAAGTGTCACCAGGTAAACGTTCAGTCTTGTGAATGTAATTATCAAAGGTGGAAGTGGATTAGATCCGTCATTAATTACCCTCAGGACTCCATATATACATATATATATATATATATTTGTAGTCTTGGATCTGGTACAGTGTCGAAACAGGTGGCCAAGTCAGGTTATACTGTAAGTTGATATGGAATTCGGTTCTGCCATGATTTTGCATGGCAAATCTTTGGCAATTCTGAGTTTCCATTGGTAAGTGATGCACATTTTTATCATCATCACATAGGGACCTGAATAAAACTGTGTAATTACTAAATATGTTTATTTATGTTTTCATTGTACTTCCTGAGACAACGTTTCTCACATGGTATGCTGAAGCTTTATAGATTTTTAAAGTGCTGGTGGTGATTTTCATTTCCTTTAGGATATAGTATCGTACTTCTTGTACAGAGTATCTGTATGCACCTATTAGACAATCATTTAGTAGTGAGTTGATTAGTTGAATAGTTCTAATATTCTATCAAAGCTTATGATCATTTCCAAGATTACGGTGCACTATTGACGTTTGTGTGATGAGGAATGTTACATTTGTCCCATATGTTATTGGAGTGATTATATTGACGGGTTCAATTGACCAATTGGTCTGTATTAGATGTCAAGTATTGAAATGTAATATGTGAATGGAGATATCTTTTTCATGTTCTCATCGTACCACTTTAAACTATTTGCTTTTTAGGATGGATAGACAACGCCGGGAGGAAGAGCTGAAGAATCGATCAACTAAAAAGGGGAATGAGGCAGAACAGGCCATACTGAACAGAGTCAGCTCATTTTCTTGTTGATTTGTACTATGAAATGTGCATTTATTCTATTATGAATCTTTGTTCATGCCTATTTCATTTATCGTTATTTGTGATGTCCCTTGTATTCTAGGCAAGTAGCCCTCAAACAGGATCTCAACAAACTGGTGGTAGCTTGAAATCGATGAAGGACAAGTCGAATCAGCAAGATAAAGATACAAAAGAGGGATCTGCTTTGCAGACTGCTGGCCCTGGTGGTGAAATCACAGCAGGTTTACTTACAGATTTAATCTTCTGAAAATCATTTATAGATTGTTGATTATTACTTGACCTCTAAACTTTTGACCTAGCCCGTCCAGCGTGTAAACTGAGATGTTCTGGTACGAATGATGCAGTTTGTTGTAGTTGACATTAGAAAGACAAGATTCTGCTGCCGATTGAGATGTTCTAGTACGAATAATTAGCCCTTAATTGAAGGCAACTAAGCTTTGCATCCATATGTTCTGATATAGCGTTAAAGTTAGTCCCCAAAAGAGCTAAATGGCATATCTTTACTAGGATTGCGTTTATGTCCATCCTGATTTCTAATTTTCGTGTACATTCCTTGACGTTGCCTCCATATGCGATATGAAAACCTGGCTTTCTACTTAATGGGAGTGTTAGAATAGTCGCAGCAAAGAAAGACATGTTGAAGGCGTACTTACAATGAAATCAACATTCACTTGCGCTCATTTGTGTTTGAGAAATGAAGTTTCCTTTGCATTTTTAATGTCTTGGCTTGCATTCCTATTTTCTTGGCCAAAGATCAAATAGGCCACAGCCCCTAAAGAACCAATTCGCGTGTGTCGTTGCTGCTTAATGATGGGTACTTTCCAGAGTGCAGTTAAACTCTAACTACTCGGATTGTGTTTCTCCTTTAGAGGTTAAATTTTTAAGGGCCATTATACATGTTCGTATTAAAATATCTGTCCTTCATTGACTAATTGATGTTTATACCTCCAAAAACTCATGGAACATGAAATTTTTCATCAGAGTTTTGAGTGGCTTACTGAGGTGGATAAGGGTTACTTTGGCTCAGAAGTGCCTAGCCTCTCCTGGAAACAGAACTTCTGGGATGGCAAAATTCCAGACAATTATGTTTGCAGAAAATTCCAGAATTAACAAATATTTCTGGGTGCCAAAATTTCCACTGTTTCATATTTCTAGGGACAATTATGTTAGGTTATTGCAGTTGTAAATAACCAGAAGTGGGCAGCAAATAGTTAACAGGGAGCAAAGTTATGAGAAAGTTTGAGAAGAATGAGTGTTGTGAGGTTGTCATCAGTCCAGTAGGTGAGGCTCAAGTGACCTGTGGTAGTCTGGCCTTATCTTAACAACTGAACACATACAATGAAAACTGGCGGTTATCCTTACAAGCAAAGTTCTCTGTCTCTCACAACTTTTGGAGTGGGAAAATATGTTTCACGTTTCGAGTCGAGGGATGATCTATTTTGATCTTCTCAATGAGAAATCAGGGCGGATGAAACTGTCCTGGGACGAAGATGATAACACTGTCCAATGTGGGCGTAGTAAAGTCTGAAAGCTTCAAGTTGACTGCTAATCGAATACATTAGAAACACAAGTAGCGTGTGTGACTGACAGTGCAAACATGGTATTGTCTTTGGATATATCTTCATATAAGAAGCCAATACATGTGAGAGAGCTCCCAATCTGACTAATACAAGAGTATTGATTTTCTTATGTCATGATCAACAGAGATCTCTCTGTTGGGCACATGATAGCAGTGGTTGTATAGATGACAGCTGGTCAAACTCAGCGAAAGCAGCAATGCATGGAGCCATTGGGGATTGTAACCATGACCTACTTAGAGAGGTGGATAGTTTCCTAAGAGGAAACACCACCAAGAAGAAATTTAAAAAGTTAGTTGAAGAGGTCATGCCCTAGTTTCCTTTCTAGATATGGACGCCATTAACCTTCTTTACACAGATATTTTGGCGATCATGGCGTAGGTCTTTGACCAATTATCGTCCATGGTTTGCCATCTTCAAAGAGAAAAGGATCTGCAGGTAGCTGGCACATCATGTCCGCTCTATAAACTGGAATCTTCTCCTCAATTCCTCGTTGATGAGATAATGGAAAGGTTAACACCCATCAAGTTAATTGGGATGGTGAAAATTGAGACTGGATCTACTTCTGAGGTGGAAAAGTAAACGGGTCTTGCTGTACTTATGAGGAAACCTTTATGCTTTCTGTCATCTATCAAATCGAGTGGTAAGCAGGTGTTTGTAGGAAGACCTGCAGTGTGCCAATCTGATGAGGATTTCTTTTGAGGAGCTTGCCGAAAACCTTTTGCTGAGATTGAGATGCCTAGAGATATCTGTAAATGATCCAGAATGTCACCACAGTTTACCATTTGTACATCATCATTATTGTTCTCATCGTGAATCATCAATTCTTTTTAACTGAAAGCAATCTGCCTTTGGGAACCATTTTGATGAAAGTTCATTTTCGAACTATACATACAACGTTCTTGAATAAGAATATATTCATAATCTTTTACTCAACTGTGGACTGTCTTACAAAAACTCAACTATATCTGATCCTTTTACGTCGACATAAGCTTATACAATGCTATTGTCATGCTTAACTCTTACAAAACCTTGAGCCATGCATTCCTTTCTGTCCTTTCTATTAATTTTCTGTTAATTTTTTTTGTGAATCCTCTCAATATTTCAGTACTCTTCCTGATATTTCAATATTCTTGTTGATATTTCAATACTAAACATCATAGTTTGTAATCTAAATTCTGTAAGTGCAAATTTTATGTCCCTACGTGCTTTTAACATTAATACGATGGCAGTTTCGGCAATTAAAATTTAACTGGAAATAACTACGTTGTGAATTTCTTGGATAAGATGGTGGGCTTACAGGTCCTGCAGCAGAGAGGCTACTCTTCTTTATTGTTAACGTACTCTTGTGCTGGAATTTTAGTAGTCATCAATATTTTCCTCTTATTTTAAGTGGTTATTCGCTGTACGGCCTTATCTTATTTCTTCTCGTTCCTGATGACTTTTGTTTAAAACCTTTAATTGACGCTCAGGGTGGTTGTTGAAGAAGAGCGGGAAAACTAACGGTTGGAGCAGGAGGTGGTTTGTCTTGAACGAGAAAACTGGGAAAGTCAGTGCTAATCTTTTGCATCCTACACAGTAATAGATATTATATTTTTTCCGATATAAGCTTGTCCAGTGATAATTAAACCCCTCTAAAACCTGTTACTTTGTCTCTGTTCTGATATGAAATAGCTTATCCAGGATAAGAATTAATTTAGACCTCCAAATGGCGTCTACTGACGATTGCTTAGGCCCTGATCAGTAGCGATGGATCCGTTTCTGCTGTTATTGTGGCCTTGGTTGTTTATAAACGAAATAAGACAGTAGCTTCGATCTTCTATTTTCAATCAGTTTGGTCGGTAGTAGAATCAATTTGTTTATAGCCACAGTCCTTTGGTTTCTTTGATTTTTATACAGCAGTACCTGCAATCATATGAATTCTCATGATGCAGTCGTTTTAATTCGATAATGACGTGTGCTTGTGGCCCTCACTTATCTTTCAGCTGGGGTACACAAAGAAACAGGAAGAAAGGCATTTCCGTGGTGTTATCACTCTGGAGGTATGAATTTTTCTTGTTAACAATTAGTATGAAAAACTTACTCTACCCTTTACCCATTTCGGTGTTCAATCCTTGTTTTCTTGGATGGGGACCTAGAAGTAAAGTTGTCAACGTATATATTGCAGGAGTGCAACCTTGAAGAGGTTTCAGATGAAGAAGAACCTCCTCCTAAAGGTTCAAAAGACTCAAAGAAGGCTAATGGGCAAGATTCTGGGAAGGTTTCCAGCCTTGTGTTTAAAATAACTAGCAAGGTTGCTTACAAAACTGTTTTGAAAGGTAATTCCGGGAAACATACTGTTCTTCGTAGACTTCTGTAGACTTTGACCCACTCGTAACATTTCTATCATAAAACCGTTGGATCTTGCAGCTCACAGTGCTTTGGTATTGAAGGCTGAGAATACAGCTGATAAGGTTGAATGGGTAAACAAGATAAAAAATGTCATCCAGCCATCGAAAGGAAATCTCAACAAGGGCCTCCCACCTTCCGAAGTTGGTCACTCGCTAAGGCAAAGCCATTCAGATGGTTCGTTGGTAAGTTTTTATTCACACGTCCATGGTGTTTTTATTTCATCCATTCCAATATTGTTCTCATTTATTTTTCCTTCACATAGTTCACATGTTCTTTGCCCACTTATGAACGATAAATTCGTGATTCTATGTCTTGAAAGGTACGGGTAGTTCCTCCCATGTATATATGCGTGTGTATATATATAAAATAATCTACTCTCCTGATATGTCAGTACTCTGCGACTTTCTACTAAATGGTTTGCATATATTCTGTTCTCGCTTTCATGGATGAACTCAGATTTCTCCTGAGTGAGTTTCGATTCCAAGGATTTAAACTATGACAGTTGCCTCTGCAAAAGGAAATAATAACAAATCGCTTGTCACAGCTCATGCACACGCATTTTTCTCAGGTTTCAGTCTATTTTCTTTCGTTTAATTCAAATATTCGGTGATCTTCTAGGATACAATGGCAAGGAGACCCGCTGATCCAGAAGAAGAGCTGAGATGGATGTCCCAGGAAGTTCGTGGGTATGTAGAGGCTGTATTAAACAGTCTTGCTGCAAACGTTCCCAAGGTACGGTGGAGTTTCACCTCTCTCATTGTCATCCTGCTGCAGTATACAGAAATTGAGGTCGAACACTCTTGGTGAATCAGGCTGTCGTACTATGCCAAGTTGAGAAAGCAAAGGAAGATATGCTGAATCAGTTGTACAGCTCAATAAGGTAGCAGACTAACCTTACATTTCCTTCCGTGATATTTGAAACACGATGCATGCGCCTGAGAGTCGAATTAAGCGACAACTGAAATTCTTGATTTATAAAATCCTACGCCTAGTCTATTTTCCTTGCCCGCTGGACCATGTCGAGAAAATCTAGCTTGTAGACAAAAGAACCATCTGCCACTCTGATTAATTATGTTTGTTCTATCCCCGCAAAAGTACAGATTTTCCTCATAGATTGTTATATATATGCCAATCATCTCATATAGTCTTTGCCGAATGTAATTAGATGATATACTTATCTGGTTATTGCTGGTACTCAATTGGGGATTGCACTGCAAATTGAACCCGCGTTTTACTTGAGAATCTTCAATAAATTCTTACTCGGAGGATGGAAAAGGAATTGTACCTTTGACAGGCAGCATACGGCAGTCCACTTTGTTAATTCAATAATATCGTTATTTATCTGTTCCCATTAAAATCGGGACGGGAGCATCATTTGCAACTCACCAAAAACTTCAAATCTTTCTCTTGTTTATCATTGCTCAGTGCCCAAAATACAGTCAGGATTGAGGAGTTGCTTCAGGAGGATCAGAATGTGAAGCGAAAGAGGGAGCGCTTCCAGAAACAGTCATCTCTTCTGTCAAAACTGACACGCCAGTTGAGCATTCACGATGATCGAGGTACCAGTTGGTCCAATGGCCCAGCCAGTTCAGGTAATTTCGCTGAAGTTTCTTGTTAACGCGACACATGGCTGTGCTTAAGGGCTGAACCCTTGATTTTTTTTCCGTAAAAATGTGGCGGAATCTCATTTGGGCAAATGGATGGATAGTCAAACTTCCCCTCACATCGGAAATTCCTTTTGATTATTCAGAGAACAGCCCAAGAACACCTGCCTCCCCGGGCAATGACTGGAGGTCGGCGTTTGACGCTGCAGCAAATGGACCGGCCAGCAACCCCGTAGGCGAGCCCAGATCCCGCAGCCTCAGCAGTGGCCGGGGACGCCCGAGCAGCGGTGCCTCACAGAACGGCGACCTGGGCTCAGGCCCAAACTCTGGCAGCCGCCGCACACCCAACAGGCTCCCGCCTGCACCACCGCAGAGCAACTCGTCGTCTTATAAATTCTAAAAGTCCCGGCCGGTGCGCCCGCTCCATGGATTCCGATTCCCCTCGGACGGAAGCCAATGATATTCGTTGGTTGACCGGATGGGACGAGACAAACTTTCTGGGAGCCACCCTCCCCTCCCCCCCTTTTCCTGCGGTCTTGGATTTTTCCCAGGTAGACGTGTGGTAGAAGCAAAAGGAGACACGCGCGGTGGTGTGTACATCCGATTCGATTCCTACCTCATAGAACTCAGTTGGCGTATGTGTATCTAATTCTTTTCCTCTCAGCTTGTCCATATTTCACGCTTGGAATATGCCGGGTGCCACTAGGCCCCTCTTCCCGCCTAGCGTGAGTAGTAACATTTTTTTTTATCACTGTGGGTTCTTTGCCCTTTTTGTATTGATTCGCACTGCACTCGGGGTTGATTCGTGATTCTTGTTGACTGAGAATGTTGTCCTCCCTTGAAGTTGGAGATGCTGTCAGTGCTTGTGAAGCACACTAAGGCGTGAGTTATTCCTGGGCGCTCAATCAATTATGGGCCACTTCAAATCATCGCTGTGGAGAAGGATGGACGGTCAACTCCGCAAATATCGATCGAAACTTGAACCCGGTCAAATAATGTCGTATCATATTTTCGTTTCTGATGACTTTAAACACCGAAATCGCATCCTGTCTTTCAACATTACACACACCTGCATCCTGTGGAGGTCATAGAGCAGCTTCTCCTCCAATGCCGCCAATATATTTAGTAACATATAGGCGACCTCGAATCTACACGCGATCCCGAGTTTGACGGCCTCGAATTTCCCCATTCTCTGCTGCAGTGCCCCACAAAAAGTGACACAGGAAGCGTCACTTTCAGGGCGGACATCTCTGAGAAGCAAATGATCTTTGGAAGGTATTGTTGCCGAAGTTCGAGGGAAAGGTCTCACTGCTATCGACACCTTTTTGGGGGAGGAGGATGATTTCTAAATGGGATAGGGAAAGGTGGCCCACTCGATCTACATCACAAAGTCAACAAAGAATGGTCAGCGATAGAATGATGGGGAGCCTCCCCCTTCCTTCTTTTTTTTTTTCTTTTCTTTTTGGTTTTGGAGGGAGGGGAGAGGATGGGGGGTCTCTACCTGATTTGATCAGACTGTTCACAAAACCGCTGTAGACGCATCTCCAGTTCTCTCAAACAACAATATCTCATTAACGCGTTCGCCGCTGCTTCTATCCGTCTCTACAAAGAAAGAATCAAGAAAGACGATAAAATACAGAATCTACATGCAGTCCGCTCTTCTCTGGCTCTGAAGGGCTTCTAACTCCGTGACATTCCCTCACCCGGCAATAGCACTCAAAATATCTGAGGGCTGGTTTCATTTGCCATATATAATTCAAAATACATATTGCAGCATAGAGCCTGCGTTCAACTCACATACAAGGACCACCTGACGGGTCATTGAAGACAACCAGATTGAGAACACGAGGTCAATTAGAATCATCTGACAATAACAACAAAGGAGTTTGGTATGTACGTCAATGAATAGGAGAGTGATTTCAACGGGATGAAAGATCTATCAACTAGTGTTAAGACATAAATGCCCCAGTTTTCTTACATTCAATGCTTTCTACTTGGTCCCCGCATGTCATTTACCCATGATGGAAATTAGAGAATGCCCATAACACCAGGATTTAATCACACGAATAATTTGAGGGAATCTTCAGGTTTTATAGCCATAGTTCAATAGAAGGATATAATATGAATTCAAAAATTAAAGGATCAGATGAAGAAATCGAATTCAGGTTATATGTGCAAACTTATCATGTCCCTTGATGATGGACAGAGAGAAACAGAAACAATGCAGTGGCAGCGTGCTCATCCCAATTATGTACTTCTGGGGGTAATTCAGAAAGCCAAAATAGGAATAAAAGAACAAATAGTACTACTTAGTCGAAGTATTCCTCCGATGGATTTCCACGGAAACTCCCATATTGACTTTCTTTTCGCAGTGGATAATAGTATAATTTCGGTTCAGAACAAAAAAATTGGTACAAAAGCAAGGATATTTATGTGTGCGTCGGCAGCAATTAATATCTTTTCTAGTTCAAGCTCTATTATCTGCTTTTTAAACTAAAAGATCTTCAAGATTAAGTTTCTGAATTGAAAGTTTCGCCTTTTCCAAATGATCCGGAAAAAGAAGGGGAGGGGGCCTAGCATTAACTCCCGATAAAAACCTTGACTAAGCCCAACCCGTCTTTTTCAACATTCCATAAACTTCCAAAGAGATTTTAATTTTCTCTAATTAATTCGATTTGATGGGCTCAACTAACCTAACCTATTGTCAAGAATTAAAAAGGACGGTGTTCTTATTTGAACTGTCCCATTGTTCTGGCGTAGAATAGATGAAATAAATCCAAAAATGGATCATCATTCTTTTGTGCCACGGGGAATGAACTAAACAAAGAAGAGGGCATCTCAGCGGAAGGAGAACGATCCATTATGGCAGAAACGACTTACCCTCTTCTTGTTCCTTCTAGTCTGTGACGACCCCTACTTTCTCCCGAAAGAGTCAATCACATCCACTTTCCTATGAACCCTACTTACCAACCTTTCCATAAATGTAGGATGGGCAGTTGGTCAGATCTATTATGGATCGTACCTGGACCTTAGCAGAGTCAACGGCTCAGAAAATCCCAATGCTGGATCTTTTTTCTATCAAGTATTAGGTTGTGTTTCTAGTAATTAATTTAATTTTCCACAGGTTCAGTAAAAGACATTAATTCCCTTACTGATGCGTTTATGCTTTAATAAAACTGCTATTTCATTTTTCTGGCCTGGACTTTAAGCCTACAAGAGTCAAATAAAAAATGAATTCATTAAGAACGATATCTTACCTTCTCAGCCGATCAGCAGCTCTGGAAATCGGTGTGCTGTCACTGGGCATGTGCACAGTACTTTTCAGCATAATATCTGAATTACAGCTGGGATTCTCACAGGACTGAGGGCGGGCTAGCTTCCGCTAATGGATTGACAACAAGCCCACCCTGATGTCCGAATGTCCACTTCTCCCTTTTGATGGAATTCACAGTGTTCTCAACAGAGCTCCGTGCTCTCACCATTGCCAGACCACCAGTTACCGAAAACATGGAAGAGTATCGTCCTTCAGTTCTCCTCCAAAATTTTGAGCTCAAGAATTCTGCACCTGGTATCTTGCAACAAAGTACTGCGAGGAGAAAGAAAATGTCATATATAGTAGTGAGCTCCCTCAGAGAGATTTTACTGTAGCCACTGGTTCTTTTGTCAACTAAATGATGTGCATAGCCATCAATGATCAGATGTTTCAACTAGTACCAAACCGACTTTGTAGTCAGACTGGAAACATTATTCGATAGCCAAGCTTTAATTCGCCAGAATAAGAACATCTATAGTTATCTATGAACAAGAAAATGGATACTTCCGAATTGCTTATAGAATGGCAAAACGATGCCCGGGGAATGCGGCAATAAATGATAGTCAGAAAAAGACTTCTGTATAAAATTTCCGTTGAAGAAAGCCATCAATGAAATCAAATTGATGCAGACTAGGTAAGCCATTTAAACCTGTTCACGAGGTAGATCTAATGAACCTAATTTAAAAAATTCAAATTACTCAAATAGAGGGTCTCAGAATAAGTAAAATAAGAAATGAAACTGATAATTTGATCAGGAACAAAAAGTTACCAGGAGAAGATCCAATAGGCTTGACTGTTGGGTTTCAATCTGAACTAGTTGCTTTCGAATCATTGATAGATCACCGTCCCTGTCTCCAAATGCCCCATTCCTTTCAAGAGTATGACCTGGAATTCCTTCTTGTTGGACCGGAATCACACGAGATCTGCTTTTTGAAACCCTAAAATCTCTTACTCTTCCCTCAAAATTTTCAAATGCGCATATTTGCGCTTCTAGTTTGGTCCTCACATCCTCTAGAACTTCGTTACATCTCTTTTCATCCTGCTGCCCATCCTCGCCCATGATGGTGGTAATTTCAATCTTCTTATCAGAGGCCTTCTTGAGGTTCTTTTTGGGGGGGTTCTTTTTGCAGGAGTGCCAACAAATAAAGATGATCTACCAACAGGGGACCTATTCATCCTCGCTGAAAGAGGACTAGATCTCTCAGAATTAGACACTCTGGAGCCTGCTTGGGACCGAAGGTCTCTCACATATTCTGTGCCAAGGTAAATTTCGAAAAGAACTTTGAGAATCCGATGAAGAAATAGAAAACAGGGTTGACTGAGTTCCTTAAAAAGGATACCCTACGTATACTGGGAAAATAGGCCATAAAGAAAGTGGGGTAAAATGGGATGAGAAAAGACAGAGAAACGTTCAAAATTCAATCTGTCGTGATTCAAGGACTACCAGCAGTTTTGACGTAGGAACCAGTCTATGAAAGTGGCACTGTTCACTACCTTGCTGAAGGGAACTGAATTGTAGATGTGATGGCGATGTGTTCTTGCCACAGCGATCTTCATCTTCCAAGGTACCTAGAACCTCCTTCCACTTCTCAAGCATACGATGCATGGAGTCCCTTCAAAAATATTTATGAGAAGTAACGACTAACCGAAAGGGAATGGGACCCATTCCGAACCTTGTCGAATCTGCGAGCATGGAAGGATGAAAAGTATGACGTCTTGAACCCGGAAAGGAGTTGGCGATCAGGGATGGCAGCCGCACAAGTGAGGGCCTCGGCTGCAGCTTTTCGAACGGCCCAGTCGTCGCTCCCAAGAGAGTCCGCTAGACAGGGAACGAGGATCCCCAGCATTGCTGGGATAGAGGCGCCGCCTGCCGCGACAATGCTTCCAAGCACGGACAGCAGATCGCCCTTGGCCTTGAAACTGTCCTTCTTAACAAGATTGACCAGACGTGGGACCAACCGTTTCAGGTGCTGTTACAGATCATAGTTGCGAACACCCCGATCTCCGTCTGCAGAGACGGTGGATACCCCATCGATGGCCGCAGCGAGGCACATAGCCAAGCCCATCTGCGCGTTGTGATCCAGCTAAAGGAATAGGCTTTCAGAGAGGGGCTTGAGGAAGACGGAGTTAAAGGAGGAAGATGCGCCGCCGCCGCAGGAAGAACACGACATGTCGCGTACGGCATTGACGCAAGCAGAGCGGACCGAGGAGTCGGGATCACGAAGGCGCCGGAGCACTGTGGAGACCATGCGAGGGAGGAAAGGTGACAGAGATTGTGGGGGCTGGTTCCGGGACAGAAGGGAGAGCAAGCGGAGACTGTGGCGGCGGAGAGGGGTCTTATCGGATGGCCGGGTGTCGGATACAGCGGAGAGGAAAGAAGGAAGAGAATGAGCGGGGAGATCCCGAGCCATCGCCTCAAGTTCCGAAGCCGCCATCGCCTCGGTGTCCCTGTCCGCAAGCTTGTTCATGCAGATGTTCACGCGCTGCTTCAAGTCCTTCCCGACGCCGCCGCTAATTCCATTTCCCTTCCTCAATGTCCCTGGCAGCATCGTGATCTGCTGGTGATGCATTGGTGAACTTGGTTTCTTGGAGATCGCCATTTCCTCCCCTCAATTCCCCTGGCCTTAACCGCAATTCCCCAGATCGTCGCAACCACGAGGCAGAGGACGACGGCAACTACAAGCAGATACGAATCAGATAGATACGCGTTCGTGGCACCGCACCGGCAGATCATCTTCCCCGTTGTCGGCTAGATGGATCTTGCTGGTTCGTAGTCGACCAGCACTAGCAGACGATATCACCACGGCGAGGGCGTCGACCTGCTGTACGATGCAAAGTTATCTAGCCAAAGGGATGGTCATCGACCGCTCCCCCACGATCATTCCACCAGCGCGAAGATGGAGAGAGAGAGAAAGAGAGCAGTTGGCAGGGATGGTCTTATGGAGACGTGCAACCTGCCTTTTCACGTTGTTTCTCCTCCATCATGTGCGCCTCCCTGTCTCGATAACAGACCATTGGCTTGACAATGTACCGAACCGAAGGGTATTTCCGGTATTCGCGTCTCGGAAGTTGACGCGAAGATTTCGGGGCCTAATCGCGGAACCCAACGCTTCCGTACCCGCGCCTCGTATTTTACGTCTTAATGTAATTTAAAATTCAGTCCTTGTCTAATAACACAATTTTCTAATTAGGCTTTAATGAATAAATATTATTTTTAAGTCAACCCAGGCAGAGGCGCCATCCACCGCGGAGTAATCTATGTTGCAGCGTTTCTGGCATTCGCTCCGTTCAGGATGAAGGTAACTAAAGCAGACACTTGCGCTCAGAGTGCAGGTCATCGTCGTCATCACTATCGCCAGCAATAAAAGACATCTTTCTGAACTCGGAAAAAATAGCCTGTCTGTGCATGCAGAGTCTTCGTTCTCTGCAACTGTACACTGTTTCTTTCTCGCCGACAGCAATGATGAACACACGGGAAGGCACGTTCCTCCAGTCTCCCTCATCGGCCTCCTCGGCGGGGCTCATCTCTTCCGACGCTTCGGCTCGACCTGAGGGGTATCGAGGACACGCTCGCATCGTCAGAGCTCGTCTCGAGGTCAAATGAATGCTAGAGGATCGGGAAGAGCTTTGAAGAGAAACCGGGAGTTTTGCGAGGCAATGAGCGGCCCATTTTGGTCCTCCAGACCGCGCCTTGGGGGGGGGGGGAGTTGGTGTCGTGCTTACCTTGGGCTCTGAGGGCGGGGAGACAGGAAACGAGGGCTGAGATCTCTTGGAGTCGTCCTCGGCGCTGCAATCGGAACACAGGAACTGATCCAACTTCTTGGCTTGCTCAATCGTCATGCCCATGCAAGAGGGATGGAACCTGCCATTTAGCCAACGAGCAAAATCGATGAGAAAGTTCACACATTGTACGGGGAAAAAAAATCAGGAAAATTACTAAATATATTGCAAAAAGCTCATAGTCTACATCATACAGGTGAAATTTTCACCAAAGACTTTGGAACTTGCAAAGAATCAGATGCCATTGATGGATTATGCCTCCAAAAATAAAATAACTTCCACAGTAAGGTAGAAGAATAAGAGAAAACCGCAGCCGATGAGATACGCTAAGGGGGATCTACTGACGAAATGATTTATTACCAAAAGGCAGTAATAGCCAATATACAGACTGAGGGGAGAGGAGGAGAGGGGAAGAGAGGAACCCCAATCACAAGGTTTATATGGAGTGGCAAAAAATTTCTAGTTAAGCGGAGAAAAAATAATCCTGGGTTGAAGATCCTGCATATCTAGGATCGAAATACGGAATTTTCGGGGTCTGACGTGAAGAATAATCCTGGGTTCATCAGTGATTCACGAATATATTCTGACCGAGCAACCAGGAATTAATGAGCTTTTATATGTCATGAACTTGGTTCTGCAGCTATGGCAACAACAATAGCCTGGCTGTTAAATGTATTCTTGAGAACAAAACCAATGGCACAACGACGAAACACTAATGAACTGGCAGTACTGTATGGCAATTTTCCCCCGTACTCTAGACAGCCTATGAGAGGTGAGATGCCGAAGAAACAAGGGAACTGATTACAAAGTGTTGACTATAGTTCTGCATGAAATTGTCCAAAGCATTTTTTACGTTCTCTACAGAGTTGACACTTGATCTGAAAGCTTTCCTGTTGTCTGGAAGGTGTGCATCAAAAAGAGATATTTAGAAAAAATAAAACATTGACACTTCAACGAATCTTTGATGCTTAAGCCTTTTAACAAGAAGTTTTGGGTAAAAGAAGCCACTGCCAGGGAAATATTTGAGGCAATGAAGGTGCTAGTTGGCTGCAGAGATTCCTACAATTCCTGATGTAGTCCTGCGCAATAAAGCAGAATACATCGCATTTGAATGCATTTATTCATTGGACGAAGCCCGAAATCATATTTTCAATGCTTATTCCATAAACAATACCTGATTTACACCGCCTCAAATTATCAATACTATCTCACAGGTACAATTGATAAACAATACCTGATGGCGTGCGCAGAATGTTACTCATGAAATGCTCTAAGCAATTATATAGGAAATGATCACATAAGAATTAGGGGGGGGGAGGGGGGAGAAGAAGAAGCAGTAGAACTACTATCAGTATGCATCTGATAGTTACGGTCACAAAACTCAAACTTTTTGGACGAATTATGACATGCAGAACAGAAGAATAAAAGCATGATTAAGAACCCTTATGAAGAAGGACGCTCTGTAAGGCAAACAAGAGCCCGATTCACGTGCAGGCTGCAGTGATTATGAATCCACTACACAATAACCATGGCAGAATGAAAGCCCAAATGTGCAGGCCTTAAAGGAATGCAGATCCCCACTCTAATGGGTAAGCATAGTTACCCTTCAGACATTTTGAGAGTTCAATGAATATAGCGAGACATGAACTAAAATAAAAATAAAAATGAAAGATTTTTCCAGAATGAACAAGGAAACAGCACACAGAAATGAGATAATTTGGATGAAGCAGCATGGATAAAAGTGGGTTCCTCAAACGAACGAAAAATCAAATGGGAATCAACAAAGACATCTGCCAACCAAAAAAACTAGATACCTAATCTAATGCTGCATCAAGCTCATGAGAAGTAGAAGAACTCTGATGAAAACCTAAATACTACTGATGAGATCCTACTCAGAAGGGCCATAAGAGCATCAAGCAGGCCAGAGATAAAAGAGCAAGACCAAGGATCTACATATCACAAAAGAAGAGCATAATCCAATGTGAATAATCGAAACAAATAAAGGACAGATAAGCACAATCTTCAATGAGGATTCACGATAAAGGAAAAAGTAACAAGTCGTGAAATATGTATCTCTGCGGCAAAGTATCAGATTGAAGAGCTCAATACCAACATTTTTTCCACCAAGAAGTAAAACAAACTCAAAAACCTTCACGTTCCAAAGAACAGAGAGGATGATGCAGACTGCTAAGAGAGCCATGAAGAAAATAAAATAGTAAAGCTACAAAGTTTACCAATCCTTGCAGCCCTCGCACTGGACCATTAGGTCATCAGGGTTATAAGGCATTTCGCACTTGCAATACCTTCAGAGGAAGTCAGAAAAGTAATGTTTATCACAACCACAAAGAAAGTGGGAAAGAAGGGGAGCTAAAAATAATGCAAGATAAAGAAAGACGGCAGTCAACATACACAGCAACTCTGTCAGGGGTGAAGCTGCCCGTGGCAGCCTTGTACTCAAAGCGGCAGAAATAGTCCTCGGCACCCACATTCTCAAGCTTGGTATAGTTCTTGAAGGAGTGAACGATGCACTTGCCCTCAATGGTGTGGGCGCTCTGGACATCATAATGGTCCGAGAGGAACAGCTCCTTTGCCCCATGGAACGGGCGACGGCCACCAATTGCCTCCTCTGGCCGATAGTACCACCTTACCCTCACCTTTGTATTGTTGCGACTATCAGCCTCAATCTTCTCCACGCGCGCCACATATGGTGGCTTGTCCGTGTCTGACGGTCGCATAAGCACACAATCCCCCACTGCAACCATAATAGCACCCCGCAGCAGGCCATGACAACAAACCGAGAAACCATTAAAGGAGAGAGCATTAAGAAACGCATGATTGCCTCAAAATTCTAATCAACGGATTGGATTTACGAGGTGATACTAAAACAGGAACGAAAACAAGGGAAGAAAGCTTTCAGGGGCAACATTGCCACCAGCATTTGATTTTTTTTCTTTCTGGTATTACCTTTGACGATCTTATTAGTGCCTTCAATGGTGTAGGATTCGAGATCCTTCTTCGCGGGCTTGGTCTTCGCCATCTCAGCTTCGCTCTTCCCCGTTCTCACAGATGAAGACCGACCGGATCTATAGCACCGAAATAGAGGGATATCTGCAACGCGATAACAGAAGAAACGCCACAAAATCGCTGAATCATTGTAAACGAAGCTCCGAGGCACGGGGACAGCAGGAGGAGAGTCGGAAACGCACCGACGCAGCCGCAAGCAGGAACAGACGCCGACAGTACGAACGGTCAGCGACTTCCGCCCTCGGGGGGGGTCCCTGAACAGCTCGAGCTGTCGGACAACGTGAGAAGATCCCCAGGAAAACCCCAGTGACGAACAGGGAGGGTGGGAGGTTGACGGGTTGCCCTTTCGAGCGCGTGGCCAACGGAGGGAGGCAAACCCTAGCTGGCGAGGTTGTCGGAGACTCGGGGGCCAGTGATCTCAGTCTATTACCTCCTTCCAGAAGGAGAGAGAGAGAGAGAGAGAGAGAGAGAGAGAGAGTGCAGGGTTGGATTATGGGCTCCACAGTACTATCAAGGGTCAATGGTCAACTATACTGCAGGTTGCACCTCCCCCGCAGGAACATGCTCCACGATAAAGGACTCTCGAAACGGGTCGGTATCGGAACTCGCTCCTCTCCTGACGTGGAACCCATCCGCTGTCAGGAACATGCATATTTTTTAACCTATTTTCTCTCTGGAGGTTTCGATTTTTCCGCACTCGAAAATTAAGTTTTTTGTTATTATACGGCGAGAAACACCAAGCAAGATTGACTTTTTTCTCACGGCACAATTTGACCAGAGCGGTCCAAACTAGATTAAGACAAGATCTACTAGAACATCTTAGAAATCTCTTCGTCCCAGCGTCTTGGACAGCTGCTTGATGACTTCCTTCTCCTCGGGTCCATCCCCTCCGACGGAACGCCATTTCGTCGAATTGTTCTCCGCCTGCAGTCACCACCGCAAGTCAAGCTCTCCAGGGGCGCCCTCTAAGTCAAACACCGGAAATCCCGAGGGGAACCCAGGTCAACGAGGGAAAGGATTCCAAGAAAGTGCTTGGCTCAGAGGAAAAGGGGGTTCCAAGAGCAATACCCATGTCCGAAATGGAGCCATCCGCTCTCGGAAGAACTCAGCAGCCGGCTGAATCAGGTCTCGCCCTCTGGCTCTCGCGTCATCTGTCTGAAATAAAAGGCCGATTTTAGGCACGAATTCATCAGTCCAAGAAAGGGCAATCACGACCGCATATAGAAGCTAAAGCACGCAGTGCACAAATCGCCCACATCACGGCATGAAATCAAACAGCTCATCTGCATGGTATTAGCCTCAGCTGGAGCGATTTTAAATGCGTTAAAATGGAGACTCGAAGTGACTTACGCTCTGTATATGTAGCTTGGAGGCTGTAAGAACAAATACGGAGGTCGCACCGCCGAGGACAACTGTAGTGGCAATGGCAAATGCCTTTCCAACTGTGAACAAAATTAAAATTACGAAACATCAGTGTGCTTGCCTGGGAACATAAGAAGCAGATAAAAATCCAGTCTGGTGAACAAAAGGTCATAATCACTGAAAACTTATGAATAATTTAATTAACCATAAGAAAAGTGTTGCAAGATTATAAATTGATGAAGTCAGGCCCATAACAAGATGGAATACTCAAAGCTGATCGTTGAAAAAAACAAAAGGATATTAATAAATCCTCTTTATGCTCACCCCAATCACATTATTTTTACTATTATTATCAACCAAGACCCTGGTAAGACAGCACTTTCTTGGGCATGAAAAAAAAAATGATTGCGTTTTTTGGATTAAATTCTTCTGTTCGTACAAATACTCCATCCTTAATCCACAGGGATATGTAGGGGTCATATCGGCAGGTGGCACAGAAACATTATTTCTACTCTTACTTATGTATCATATACTCCTTGATCGGAAAATAAAATGACATTTTGGCTACATCTTCAATTATTCACCAAAAATGTGATGAAATAGAAGCTATCCTCCATATCCTACTAAAAGTGAATCATCTTCATCTTTCCTGAGCATTAATGAAGATATTTCTCCTTCTTGCTTCCCTTTTTCATCTCGATAAGTTCCACAATTGGTAGACAGCCAATTCTTCAAGTTCTTACTCAGCTTCAGCAAAATGACTCAACAACATACATTTGAAGTCAACGACATATAAGAATTCCCAGAACCTTTTCTATTTTTAGGTCCAAACAAAAATCATATTTCAATTCGACAAAAACTCTCCATGACATTGCCAACGTTCTATTCATCAACAATCATAGGGGTTCCACGGCACCTTGTTGAGTATAAAAATGGACTTTTTTGCCAAAAATTAATTCACTCTTCACGTGTGAGCGTCTTTTACTATTTTTAGTAACATGTTTTTTGCGAAAATCCTCCTTAACATCAGCATAGATTTGGCAATAGTGTTTACTAAGAGATTGCATGATATTGCCAAATAGCATTCACTGTCCCTTCCTCTCACTCTGACAGGAAAATCTAGACAAGATAGAATCATTTGCGTCCACTAGGTCTAAATGAAGCATATTGCATGTCTCCTGACATCTTATGGTAGTTACTTAGCGATTTATGCTGCGTCGGCCTTGAGAAACACTATGATCAAAACATTCGTTAATATTTCATTTGAGAACTAATTTAGAGAACAAGCTACAAGAAATTACCGGCGATAGCTCAAAACTTGATGGACAGGACGAGAAACAGGGCTGACACGAAAAAGATCAACAGGTCTCCAAAAACGTCTTCAGACAGAAGAAAGCAAAATAAGCAAATTGGGAAAAAGGAAGATACTCTGCGACAACCCTGCAGCGGCAGCCTTCAGCTTCTCGAAGTCCACAGGTTCTGGGTACCTGTCTCTCCTCAGCTCGTTTGCGGTGGAGGCCAAGATAGAGCTCTCTCCATCGGGCAATCGCCATCTAACAACCATCAAACTAACATCATGTATGCGATAGCGAGCGAATAAGAGAGACCGAGAGAGAGAAAGAACAGACCTTTTGGGGCCGAGGGTGACCTGAGGGAGAGAAACGTACTCCCTCAGAGGATTCATCGCGCCTCCCTGTCGCGGAAAAGAGGCAGGCACGTCGTTGCCCAGGGTCCATTTGCAACCTTCGGCTAAGGAAGAGGAGACGACGTCCTGCTCGGGGCGAAGCGGAATGGAATGGCGAAGGACCTCCGGAAGTACATCAGCCAAGTTCTCCGCCGCCGCACCCCCGACGATAACCCCGACGGAGGGCTTGCTGTTGCCAGTGCCCTTCTTATTTTGAGCGGCGAGGCGCCCGGCAGCGTTCTTGGATTCCCGAAGGAAGTAGGCACCCTCCGTGCCCGCCAGACGACGCCCCAACACGCTCATCTCTCTCTCTCTCTCTGTCTCGCTCTCTCTCTCTTCCCCCCTTCTTCCCCAAAAAGAGAAGAAAACTACCAGTTTTCTCCCGCCGTTTAAGTTTGCGGAGGGACCAGCCGCGTCAGCAGTGCTACCTCTATATGCTTCTCCCGGGAGCAGTTGGCGTGGATTGGGGGGCAAGACAGGAGAAACTGCGGGTGTGAAGACCGACAAGAGTGCGACCAACAAAATCGTGAATTGAGCTGTAAGCAGCGTTCTCCGACTCATAAAATCATAGGAAGCTCAGAAGTCGAATCCATCTCTCTACTCCGCCTGAAATGCCAGTAATTTTACAGAAACGATCATATTTTTACAAATATACGTCTTTTAAAATATGTTTAACTAAATTACAATTAAATCTAGTTTGATAGAAGACAAATTATAGGTAATGTTGTCATCATATGGATTAATAAACATTAATTCTAATATTTATGGATCAATTGCCACTCCACCGGCCATGGAGACTACCTCTCTTCCGGAAAGAGTACCAAAATCCCCTAAGCCAGTAACACACTCCTCCCGTAGCACCCAAGTACTAACTAAGACCTATTGGCCCAAGGAGACATCTATTCAGCCAACCCATACTTCTCGGAAGACCAAAAGAGTAGAGGATATTCGTCTGAAAAATCTTAGAGTTAAATCCAAACTAGTCAAACACCCACGAATCCTGCAAACTTACTCCCCTTCATCTCCAAAATATTAGTCTTCGTGATTTATGAATGCAACCCTTGAAGCAAAATTTCAATAATCTTTTAAGGATAGAAAAAAAATTATTGTAAGATCAATGATTTGAATTTTTTGAATTTCAACAAAAAAACAATATAAATAATTTCTTTGATGCCTTTAGACTTTTGGGCCTTTGTCTCTCATTCTATTGAAAATTATCTTAATCTTGTTGGACTATTTTACAACAATGCCACCAAAATTGTCATTGAAATCACCACATATATTACTATCCCCATGTCATTCTTGATATATCCTTAGGATCACCATTCACCATTGACAATAACAAACTCAATACCTTCCTATCAACAGACTGGTATGCAGAACGTCACAATATATAACACAAAAACATTTCAACTTCATCTATCCCACCACACCATCTTATATGGTCACCCAAGAATAATCAATGAATATCACCTGAAAAACAAATATTTCTTAATCAGTAATACTATATGGCACAAGAGCAGTGCCTCTAACAATTTTTTTGAGAAATCTGTCTCCATTTTATAATGTCTTTTACATGGCATTTAGATTGATTTCAATGCCTTCTTCTTGGATCAAATGAGGATAACACTAAAGTAAAATCTCATTCTTCTGCTTTGTGTCATTATTATCTGCATCCTTCAATACTTCAATGTAGACAACTTTGCAGAAGAGTTAATCAACAATTATGCTCATGATCTCATTGATAAATCCATTACTCACCGAATGGATTATCTTCAAGTTGATGGTCAATGACTCTATCATCTATCTTCCACTTCAAACCTACTCTTCTTGTGTTCTCGCATTTCTTGATATCATATCCATGTAGAAGAGTGAGAGAAAGGAGAAGGTAAGTTTTGGGCCATCTAAGATGGACCATTTCAAGTCATTAGCCTATGTATGAATCAGACTATACTTTTGGCCTCAAGAGAAGACTTAGGCCCTATACTCATCTGACCCACTGCACTCTACAGTTAGATTGTCTGAAATTGTTATAATGTGTTTTATATATTTATTGTATTACTGGTGGGACATACTTAGGTACAAATGGGTTTGAGTTCCCTGAAAAGCCCAACATGGCCCAGAATAAGAAAGTCATATAAGAGAATCTGCATAGCCCCCTAGACGTCTTTTAGGCCCAAAGTTCAAGAGAACCATCCACTGGGCTGGCCCAAGGCCCATTTCTCTCTTCTCCTTCTGAATATAGCATATCAATTGGCTAGAATCAAATGGTGGGCCCAAAGAAAGGCCCATTTGAGAAAGGCCTTTAGGTTCCTGGAGTTTGGGTTTGGGCCTTGCAGCTAACTTCAGGACCTAAGAGATCCCAAGCCCAAAGGGCCCATTATTATAGAATGGGCCTCCGAATAGTGTTGATGAGGTTGACTAATTCTTTCACCTCTCATTTAGGGAGTGTCTATTAAAATGGCTAAGCCTATCGTTAAAACACAATTAGTGTCACTTTTAAAAATATTTCTAATTTTTTAAACCCTAGAGAATTGGACATTTTGTATCCAAAACTTATTTTATTTTTCCGAAGGCCTGATGGTGTAGTCACCAAGGTGAGCCGTAACAAGCACCGACTCCCACGCCGCTTAGCCATTATCAACAGCTATACATGGCGTGGAGAGCTAAGTGGGATCGCCTGACCTTTCATGAGGTGAAAACAACTCAAAACCGAAAGGTTTAGGTGCCCTTTCCTCACTCTCTCTAGCTATCTCTCTCTGCCAGCCAAAACCAAAATGGTAGGTTCCCTTTCCTCCTTTTCACCCTCTATCACCAGAAACCAAAAGGATAGGTTCTCTCTCCTCTTCCTCTCTCTCAGCAACCTGAAACCAAAAGGGGGTTAGGTTCACTTTCCTCTCTCTTAAACCATGAAGCCCACGACTAAAGAAGCATGAACCCCAATATTGATACACCTTGAAGTCCATTATTATTGCAGCTTGAAGCTCACTTTACTTAATACACCTTGAAGCCTATTACTATTGCAGCTTAAAGCCCACTTACTTAACTAACTCAATTACAAAATTAGGCTCATATATCTATTTATCTTTTTTTTGAATTTTACATTCAAAATTTATCCAAATTTTAAATTTTCATTTGAAATTCAAATTTCAGTCAAAATTTGATTTTAAATTTAAATTTCATTTGAAATTCAAATCTTGGCACCCAAATCAAAACTCTTTAGCACATTTAAAGGTATCCCCTGTAGCCTTAGAGGCATATTATCTTTTTTTCAATACAATTTTATGAGTTTCTTCTTTGGAAGTTCTCTCCTTCTGCTAGTGGACTCCAGCACCCTTGTGGACTCAAGGAAACCATATTCTTGATTCTGTTGATTCAGAATCACCCCCTTGTGGACTCAAGGGACTTATCTTCTTCAACTTATGAATTTAAAGTGAAGGGACAACCATTGGAACAAGACTTGTCTTTGACCCAATTGATTCATTTCAGATATATCTACTGCATTTGATGCCAATTGCAAGAAGTTGAGCCATTGCGATTGCGAGAAGCAGAGATTTCATTTCAGGTATGTCTACTGCATCTGATGCCAATTGCAATGCAACCTTTGGCTTTTACCCACCACCTCCCTCTCCATCTTCGTTGGTTGCAAGGCTGCAGAGGAGGTGATCAGGAAGGTGGTAACAGCAGTGGCAAGTTTGTGGTGGTCGATTGCAGTGGCCACCACCTCCCTCTCCATCCTTGTGTCGCTAGTGGCATCAATTTCAGTCGACATATTGCAACCTATGCTTATCTTAATTGCTTCTTATGAAGTCTCCTGGTGGCCATTCACTACCTACATGGCTCTCTACGCCTCGGGGATCCTCTGTTGGTGCTATTCCTCCACTATCCGTTGTTGGCACCACCGAGATTATTAGCTCAACGCCGCCACTAGGGGAAGCCGCTGGCACTGCCTACCTCCTTTGAGTCACGCAGGTATCGTGGGGCCTCATTGCACGATAGGATTCCAATGTAGCCGTTCTCTATTTCTCTTTACCTTCCTTCCTTAAGACTCGGTCGATGTCGAGTGCAGGGGCTTGTTTCTGGAGTAGTTCACACCTCTCTCTCAGTCGAGCTGAGGTAAATAAATAACTGTATAATTATTTATCTTGTTTGACATGAAAATAATGCTTCTTGCGATCCGAAAATGATAATGTTTCACTTCGAGACTCGAGTATTACTGTGCATCACATCTTAAGCAGACTAATAACGGCCAACATGAAGCTGAGAAATTTGAGTTGCTCTTATGAGAGCAAAGTGAAGGTTGAGCAGTTTCAAAAGACTTTGAAGTACCATCTTCACGCTATATATCTGAAGAACAATATCTAATATGAAAAAAGACAAAAAATGGAGGGACCTTAGCTTTTCTTCCTGTTGAGGACTTTGATAATATTCTATTCATGTTGCATAATTAGAATCATATAGGCCTTTTTAATTATCTTTTGTAGGCTTTATATGCTGAATTAAATATACAATGTTATTATCATGATTTAATTAATTTTCATATAATGGGTATCAATTATGTATAAATATATAAAGTCAGCATGTTATAAAGGATAGATATATTTTACTATGTGAGATATTATCTTATCTTATATGAGATTAAGTAATAGTATGTTTTTATCTCCAAATAACTCACATGAATTTTATTATTTAATGCAGAAAATTAAGAGAGAGTAGGTGGCATAGTGAGACAAGATTGTTAAATGAAGGAGGTGATGTAACCATCCATGTATCTAAGAAGGAAACCAATAAAGAAGGGAAAGGAAATTGTCTCCTTCATTGCTTATAGCCCTTCACATTTTTGTCTAAGGGCATCTCAATTCTCATAGAAGTGAGCCAGCGATAGTACATGCATGTCTCATGAGATCTTTCTTAGTTAGAGTTGTGTTCATCTTAGAACATTTCGAGCTTCTTGAGAGATTTGTTCTCTCTCATTCTCTTTGCTCTAAAAACATATCTTTGGAGTCCATCTATCTCCCTTTTTACCCTTTTTACTTTTATTTCTATTTATTTTATATATGTTGAAGATCACAATTCAATCATTAAATTTTAGTGTACCTTGATAAATATTTCTAAGTCTTGAACTCGAAATCTTATATAAAGGACTATGTATTGGATAATTAACCTCTTATTTTCTTTTTCCAATGTTAATGTCTCGTCATATTCATTGTGAAAATGCCTTCATCGTGATCTCTAAAGTGAAACCAAGTACCTTTCTCTAATTATCTCACCTTAATATTCATACTTCTTGATTACATCTTTGGAATAATTAATTTGAATTTCTAACTATCCATGCTATTGAGCTGAATATTTACTAATATTTCATATAATGTTCTTGAGTTAATCTCAAATTTATAAATTTAAGTTTGATCAGTATAAGCTTTAATTACAATCATAGTTTGTGGAGATCAGACTTCTCTACTACTCTCAAATATATTACAAATCAAAAAGAAAAAAAAGTTATTAACTAGTAAACAAAATACAATGATGTGGATTCACCTTGTTTGATCAGAAAAGTTCACAGTGAAAGGACAACTGTCTTAATCCACTGAGACAAATAGTGTTTTATAATTTTTCCAGTGAAGTGAAATTTCTATTATCAGTAAAGTTAAAACATTGTCGTTGTTGTTCACTGTTCATATGAATCGGCTTACTAGATATATATGCCTTAGTTATTCTTTTGAGACACTTTTCAAGATGGTCTTAAACATCAAGACATCTTTGTTTGTTATCCCAACAATCTTCTTAAACACCATATTTCCTAATGTTGATGTTAATATGCTTTTATTAAATCCTCAGAGGCAGGTGGGCATCTTGTGTTCGTGATTCATGGAATTGAAAAAAAAATGGAAAAAAATAATTTGGTGGATGGTGATGCAGATTTTTTTCATATAACAACTAGTCTAGCTGAAACACTCTTTTCTCCATATGAACGAATCAAGCAATGAGTAATCTTTATCCTTTGGCTGGTAACTATTAAGCTAAATAGTTTTAGGAATCTAGAATGTAAACTTACAATTTTAGTCTTTTACTTTTGGAACCATTATTGGGAATTCATAGAAATCCTTGTGTTTCTCAACTTGAATTGAAGTACTTTGTTGGCCATTTAATTCCTTACATGAAAACTAAGGATACCAATGTGGATTATGATAAACATCCTCAATCATCATCTTAAAATGCTTGTTTTAATTGAAGACATTTTTTTGCTGATCCATTTTCTCTAATTGCCTCTCAAAAAATGTTGTACTGGAGACAATGGCTGCACATCTTATTACAGGTTCTTCCTCTTCCTCTTTCTAACTGAAGAGTTGAATTCTGACTTCTTAAATTTAGAATTCTGGTTTTTCCTTTCTCTAATAAGGCTTCCGCACGCTCTGTAGGCATATTACAATGTCACTAAGCTTGAAAAATGACTGTAAATCTTGAAATCATAATCTGACTCGGATTCTGTCAAGTCTATTCGAGAAGATAAACGATTCAATTTTTCAGCATAATCTGCAACTGATCTATTCCCTTATCTACAGTTTTGATATTGTTGATATAAAATTTGTTCATAATCTGGAGGAAGAAACTGAGATTTCAAGAGTTTTTTAATTTTCTCCCATTTAGCATACAGGTTCTTTGCCTGACCTCATATGTGTGGTCTGTAATTGATGTAGAAAATGTAGAAAATTTATGAACAAATTTTCTACATCTTTCTTTGGCTTAGGCCAGAAATATGGCTCCTCAATTGACTCTAAGGTCTTATCTCGCCCAAGGTGTCCTGCTAAACCAGAAGAGTTTAATTCTCATAGTATTTTCTCCTTTAAAGAGCTGCGAGGAATACACAGTATAAAAAGGCATCTTGTAGGTGAAAACCTTTAGTTGATTTTCCTGATGTATAGATCATATATTGTTGAAGAAAATTATCGTCGTCTGGGTATAATTCCTCGAAATAATCAAATCTTGTGATTTTAGCATGCAGATTCAATAAACATGTTGTTTTTCTACTAAGAGCATATGCAATGTTGAATCAAAGAGATCCATCTGGCATGCGTTCTATTAATAAAAGTCTGACTATTTCCTGATTTAAGAGCTTAATGATCAGTATATAAAATAAAGTCTCGCTGAATAGCAAACTAGTAGTCATGAAGTTGCATTTCTTCAAGTTAATCAATAATGTATTTTGTTGTAACACTTTGAACATTGATCTGAGTTATTTCATATGGTCATCTTCCGTAGGATTGTAAACAAGAATTTCATCGAAATAAACGACAACATATTTAGCAATAAAAGGTTTCAGAACCTAATTCATAATTCTTATAAAGGTACTGGGGGCATTTGATAATTGAAAAAGCATGACCAACTATTCACAAAGACCTGCTATAGTTTTAAAGGCAGACTTCCAGTTATCTCCTGACTGAATTTGGATTTGATGATATCTGCTGGTTAAATCAACTTTTGAAAAAAAAATTAGAACCACAAAGCATATCAACATGTCATCTAGGCGTGGAATTTAGGATTTATACTGTCGACAGACACAAGTGCTAAATTTAGATTTTTTTTATGTAGTCCAAGACACAAGTTGAATTCTCAACTTTGAATTTGGGCCCACTTATCTTAAATTTAGGCCATAAATGAAAAGTGCTAAAAAAGGAGCCCAAATATGTCATCAGCGGGCGAGAGGTCCGAAAAGTAATATTTATTTTTTACATTATGTCTTTTCACTTCTAAACGGTATTTTCTATCTCTTTCCTTCTAGAAGAGACTTATTGTGGTTCAAACTGTACCTACAATCTGTTCAAGATCTATGACTATTAGAGTGGCTACCTAAGATTTGTTCAAACTGTACATGTACTTGGGATCTAAGACCGTCAAAGTTTCTACCTAAGATTTGTTCAGTATGTCTACCTGTCAGAGTCTGTTTCAAGTAATTTCAGGATGTCTCCAAAATCTCAATCTGTCAGAGAATGTTTTAAGTCATTTAAGATTTAGTCAGACTTTGTCCCTAGGATCTATCAAGATCATCTTTTAGAAGCACTCAACCTCTTTCCTAAGTGGGCCCCATTATAACCCGACTTCTTAGCTTTTTAGTTGAATCACTGTTACGTATTGTATCTTTCTCCTCTTGCTTTTGGATACATGCAACCCCTTGTAGATTCAAGGGTTGAAGACTCCAAATCTGTGGATTCAGAGGCTGATTTCTTCCCTAAGATTTAAGTTTTGTAGATTCTAGCCCAAATTTTATTTATTTTCTGCATTATTACTGCGTCAGTTGGTATCATAGCAAGTCAACGTTTCAATTCAAGTTCACAAATGTCACGAGGTAAATCTACTCATACTGGTGGTGATGATTTACATGAGGTTTTTCCTATTTGAACATGAAATGTTATTGTATTTTAAGATTGAATAGATCAAAAATTTGATGATGTTAGTGAAAGTTTAAAACAACTTTTTGGCAAGAATGAGTACATCAGGGAGTCATTCACATTCTCCTAGAGATAATGAAATCAGACTTCTTGAAAAAGTCATTTATGTTAAATCTTCATCAGATACTCATTGTACATTTGTAGTAGGTTTTTTAAGATAATTTTTGAGATTTCTATATGAAGATTGACTTATTATTGTTGAATAGCCATTTGAAGGTTGAAGAGTTCTTAGATTGGTTAGTTGAAGTACATTGAGTGTTTGAGTATATGAAATTTTTCGATGAAAAATAAGTAAAGTTATTGACTTATAAACTGTGGTGGAGCCTCTGTATGGTAGGATCATTTGCAAGGTTTGATAAAGAACCTGTACAATAATGGGAGAAAATGAAGAAACTCTTGAAATCTCATTTTCTTCCCCCAGATTATGAACAAATTTTATATCAATAGTATGAAAACTACAGACTGGCAAATAAATCACTTTCTGATTATGCTGAAGATGATTTGAAGGTTCAATGGTGGTCATAAATAGATAATTAAAGATAAAGTAGCTTTACTTTTATTTTTCAAGCTTAATGCTAATGGGTTTAGTACGTGCTGAAGCCCCATAGGCATAGTATCTTTTTTCAATACAATTTCGTGAGTTTACTTCTCTTGAAGTTCTCTCCTTTTGCTAGTGGATTCCAGTACCCCTGTGGACTCAGGGAACCTGTTCTTGGTTCTGTGGATTCAGAATCAACCCCTTATAGACTCAAGAGACCTGTCCTCTTTACCATGTAGATTCAGAGCGAAAGGACAATCATTGGAGCACAGATTTTGAGGATTCAAGACAAGCCTTTGAACCCCAGACAATCAAGAAGAAAACGGAAACTAAAGTGTCAGAGATGTGTGTAATTAAATTTTCAATTGGTAAAACTTATTCTGATAAAGTGCAATGTCATGTTGTGGATGTTGACGCTACACATGGAATATATATTTATTTTTTTTACAAATGAGAAAGAAATTATCCTAGCTCTAATACAATTCTTTTTAAACTCTGTTCAACCAGCACAATGTTTTGAGTTTCTTCTCTCTAAGTTCTCTCCTTCTGCTGGTGGACTCAGGGAACTCTGTTCAAGCGACCTGTGCTCTTCAAGCTGTGGATTCAGAGCGAAGCGACAACCACTGGAGGATGTTTTTCAAGGATTCAAGGCGTGTCTTCAACCACCACCACATTACAGTTGATCACAACTCGTTCAAGCAATTCTCCAATAAAGTTTCAGCACTTTTAAAAATAGAGATCATATAAGATTAAGATTTATTCAAATCGACTTTTAAGAAAGTGTATAAACTTCCCCAGCATATTCTCTGACAAGTCTACTTCACTGTTTACAACTTTGATATTAGTCATATAAAACCTGCTCATAATCAGGTGGAAGAAATCTTTGAACTTGATATTTCTCTGATCTTTCACCGGTGAATTGTACTTGATCTTGATCTTTCACTGTTTCGGAAATCATTTTTTTAAAAAAACCTCTGCAATCATCGCAATCAGATCTACTTTTTGGGCTTGTTGTATCGTTGGATAAGTTTTTCTGTGACAGGTTACAGAATTTATTTATTTTTTTACCAGTTTGACCACAAGATACACATTCAATTGCAGAGATTCATGCTAAGATTTGCTTTAAAGTATCATTCAAATCTTCAAGTTTTTGTTGCATATGAATCTTGAAATTAATAAAATCTAATTTCGAAATAAGCCATACCTTAGAACTTGCATTGTGGTTGATGTGAATCCCTTTACCTCATGACATCTTGTGAATCTAAATCCGGAACACTAACCTAGCTCTCATACCACTTGACGCAGCAGAACACTAAGAGGCAATGGTTTGAAGGCGTTGTGATCAACTTTGATGTTGTGGAGGTTGAAGACACGTCAAGATCCCCGAAAAACGTGCTCTAATGGTTGTCCTTTCTCTCTGAATCCACACAGTGAGGAGGACAGTTCCCTTAAGTCCACAAGAGGGTGATTGTGAATCCACAGAATCAAGAGCAGATCCCCTAAGTCACAGGGATGCTGGAGTCAACCAGCAGAAGGAGGGAACTTCAAAAGAAAAAAAACTCACGAAATTGTATTCAAAAGATGGTAATATGTTCCAGGGCTACAAGGGGGTTCCTTTAAATAGGCTAAAGAGTGTTTATTTAGGCGCAAGGATTTCAATTTGAAATAAATCTTAATTTAACACAAGTTTTTCTCAGAAATTTGAATATCAGATGAAATTTGGATTGAATTGAAATCTGAAAAATAAGAAAAATACAATGGGCTTCAAGTTGCAACAGTAATAGGCTCTAGGGTGCATCAATACTGGCCTCCAGGTTCTTCAGTAGTGGGCTTCAGGGTTTGCGTTGCATCATTCGTCCAGGTAATGAATGGAACAACTCTCACGAATTAATCGTTTCTGTAACCACTTTCTAAGTTGCTCATGCAAAATCTTCAGGGATCATTCTATAATCTGGTAAATGTTGCAAACCCTCTCCAAGAATCATTCTCGTTTTAAACCAGCATAAATAATTCAAAAAATTTCTTTTCATGTATTACAAAGTTCCTCTTTTGTAAATCGTTATTTCTTACTCTTTTTTCATTAACTGTGCTGAATAATTTATTTTTTTAGTGGGCGTAAAAAAACTTTTCACTATTTTTGTAAAAAAAATATAATGACTATTTTTGCCCAGTAAAGTTGCATCTAAATGAAATTTAGATGACAGGCAGTCGTCACAACAACATGATAGCTCATTTCGTCAAAATAAACTTTTCCCTTTGAAATTTATCTTCACCCAATTCTAAATGATGCGGATGTTTTTCAGTTTTTAGCCCCAATTTTGGTTTGCTCAAAGGACTAAGATTTTCACTACTGTCAGAATCAATAATCACATCTTAAATCTTTCCATCAACAGTGCATTTTGCTCTGAAAGTATTATGATGCTGGAAAGGTTCATCCTTTTTTACCTTCATGCTTCATGATCTTCTGTGCCAAGACCAAGTGGATCTATTCCTGGTGGCTGAAGTTCCTCTCAAAGGAATCTCTATGTATCAAATCAAGTGGATCTATTCTAAAATGTTACGGATCTAATGAATAAGGTCACAAATCAAATGCTTGACCAAAGGAAGAACTTGTCTCAGCAGAAACTAAGGAGGGAATGGCTTGAACGAGTTGTGATCAACTCTACTGGTGTGGGCGTCGCTTGATTGCAAAGTGAGTGATTCCTTGCCACGGTGTGTAGCGTCAAACTGCCATGGCCTGTTTAATTTCATGTGGCAAGGATCAATGTCAACAACATCAAATTGTACTTTATCAGAATATGTTTTGCCAATTGAAAATTTGATTACACAGGTTTGTGAAAAATTTAGTTTCTGTTTCCTTCTTGATGCAACCAATTCGATATGGATGACGTTGTTGGGCTTATTTGCAAACTTAATTTTTTAATGATTATATCACAGAAGAGACAATGCTCTCACTACTGTCACTTTCAATGATTATATCACATACCTTAGAATTCATAGCACACCATGTTCTGAAAATATTATGGTGACATCCACCAATCTCCTGACTACAAGTGAATGTGACAGTGCATTTCAGGTATCAAATTAATTAAAATTTTCTTCTACCTAGCCTGAAATTTCTGGTTATGCTTGTTCTGTTTCCCCTTCAATTGAATTTGCAAGGTTTACTGTGCCACGTTTAGGACAGATATTTGATTTGTGTCCACTTTCTCCACACCTGTAGCATTTAGGAATGACATTAGGAGTAAAGGATTCTTGTTAGTAGAGGCATCGGCAGAGGGGTTTGCTCCACTTGTTCTGACAGAACTTTGATTCAGTCCTCCATTATGTGGTGTAGAAGAAAAAACAGTACATCTTCCTCTTTCTAACTGAAGAGTTGAATTCTGACTTCTTAAATTTAGAATTCTGGTTTTTCCTTTCTCTAATAAGGCTTCCGCACGCTCTGTAGGCATATTACAATGTCACTAAGCTTGAAAAATGACTGTAAATCTTGAAATCATAATCTGACTCAGATTCTGTCAAGTCTATTCGAGAAGATAAACGATTCAATTTTTCAGCATAATCTGCAACTGATCTATTCCCTTATCTACAGTTTTGATATTGTTGATATAAAATTTGTTCATAATCTGGAGGAAGAAACTGAGATTTCAAGAGTTTTTTAATTTTCTCCCATTTAGCATACAGGTTCTTTGCCTGACCTCATATGTGTGGTCTGTAATTGATGTAGAAAATGTAGAAAATTTATGAACAAATTTTCTACATCTTTCTTTGGCTTAGGCCAGAAATATGGCTCCTCAATTGACTCTAAGGTCTTATCTCGCCCAAGGTGTCCTGCTAAACCAGAAGAGTTTAATTCTCATAGTATTTTCTCCTTTAAAGAGCTGCGAGGAATACACAGTATAAAAAGGCATCTTGTAGGTGAAAACCTTTAGTTGATTTTCCTGATGTATAGATCATATATTGTTGAAGAAAATTATCGTCGTCTGGGTATAATTCCTCGAAATAATCAAATCTTGTGATTTTAGCATGCAGATTCAATAAACATGTTGTTTTTCTACTAAGAGCATATGCAATGTTGAATCAAAGAGATCCATCTGGCATGCGTTCTATTAATAAAAGTCTGACTATTTCCTGATTTAAGAGCTTAATGATCAGTATATAAAATAAAGTCTCGCTGAATAGCAAACTAGTAGTCATGAAGTTGCATTTCTTCAAGTTAATCAATAATGTATTTTGTTGTAACACTTTGAACATTGATCTGAGTTATTTCATATGGTCATCTTCCGTAGGATTGTAAACAAGAATTTCATCGAAATAAACGACAACATATTTAGCAATAAAAGGTTTCAGAACCTAATTCATAATTCTTATAAAGGTACTGGGGGCATTTGATAATTGAAAAAGCATGACCAACTATTCACAAAGACCTGCTATAGTTTTAAAGGCAGACTTCCAGTTATCTCCTGACTGAATTTGGATTTGATGATATCTGCTGGTTAAATCAACTTTTGAAAAAAAAATTAGAACCACAAAGCATATCAACATGTCATCTAGGCGTGGAATTTAGGATTTATACTGTCGACAGACACAAGTGCTAAATTTAGATTTTTTTTATGTAGTCCAAGACACAAGTTGAATTCTCAACTTTGAATTTGGGCCCACTTATCTTAAATTTAGGCCATAAATGAAAAGTGCTAAAAAAGGAGCCCAAATATGTCATCAGCGGGCGAGAGGTCCGAAAAGTAATATTTATTTTTTACATTATGTCTTTTCACTTCTAAACGGTATTTTCTATCTCTTTCCTTCTAGAAGAGACTTATTGTGGTTCAAACTGTACCTACAATCTGTTCAAGATCTATGACTATTAGAGTGGCTACCTAAGATTTGTTCAAACTGTACATGTACTTGGGATCTAAGACCGTCAAAGTTTCTACCTAAGATTTGTTCAGTATGTCTACCTGTCAGAGTCTGTTTCAAGTAATTTCAGGATGTCTCCAAAATCTCAATCTGTCAGAGAATGTTTTAAGTCATTTAAGATTTAGTCAGACTTTGTCCCTAGGATCTATCAAGATCATCTTTTAGAAGCACTCAACCTCTTTCCTAAGTGGGCCCCATTATAACCCGACTTCTTAGCTTTTTAGTTGAATCACTGTTACGTATTGTATCTTTCTCCTCTTGCTTTTGGATACATGCAACCCCTTGTAGATTCAAGGGTTGAAGACTCCAAATCTGTGGATTCAGAGGCTGATTTCTTCCCTAAGATTTAAGTTTTGTAGATTCTAGCCCAAATTTTATTTATTTTCTGCATTATTACTGCGTCAGTTGGTATCATAGCAAGTCAACGTTTCAATTCAAGTTCACAAATGTCACGAGGTAAATCTACTCATACTGGTGGTGATGATTTACATGAGGTTTTTCCTATTTGAACATGAAATGTTATTGTATTTTAAGATTGAATAGATCAAAAATTTGATGATGTTAGTGAAAGTTTAAAACAACTTTTTGGCAAGAATGAGTACATCAGGGAGTCATTCACATTCTCCTAGAGATAATGAAATCAGACTTCTTGAAAAAGTCATTTATGTTAAATCTTCATCAGATACTCATTGTACATTTGTAGTAGGTTTTTTAAGATAATTTTTGAGATTTCTATATGAAGATTGACTTATTATTGTTGAATAGCCATTTGAAGGTTGAAGAGTTCTTAGATTGGTTAGTTGAAGTACATTGAGTGTTTGAGTATATGAAATTTTTCGATGAAAAATAAGTAAAGTTATTGACTTATAAACTGTGGTGGAGCCTCTGTATGGTAGGATCATTTGCAAGGTTTGATAAAGAACCTGTACAATAATGGGAGAAAATGAAGAAACTCTTGAAATCTCATTTTCTTCCCCCAGATTATGAACAAATTTTATATCAATAGTATGAAAACTACAGACTGGCAAATAAATCACTTTCTGATTATGCTGAAGATGATTTGAAGGTTCAATGGTGGTCATAAATAGATAATTAAAGATAAAGTAGCTTTACTTTTATTTTTCAAGCTTAATGCTAATGGGTTTAGTACGTGCTGAAGCCCCATAGGCATAGTATCTTTTTTCAATACAATTTCGTGAGTTTACTTCTCTTGAAGTTCTCTCCTTTTGCTAGTGGATTCCAGTACCCCTGTGGACTCAGGGAACCTGTTCTTGGTTCTGTGGATTCAGAATCAACCCCTTATAGACTCAAGGGACCTGTCCTCTTTACCATGTAGATTCAGAGCGAAAGGACAATCATTGGAGCACAGATTTTGAGGATTCAAGACAAGCCTTTGAACCCCAGACAATCAAGAAGAAAACGGAAACTAAAGTGTCAGAGATGTGTGTAATTAAATTTTCAATTGGTAAAACTTATTCTGATAAAGTGCAATGTCATGTTGTGGATGTTGACGCTACACATGGAATATATATTTATTTTTTTTACAAATGAGAAAGAAATTATCCTAGCTCTAATACAATTCTTTTTAAACTCTGTTCAACCAGCACAATGTTTTGAGTTTCTTCTCTCTAAGTTCTCTCCTTCTGCTGGTGGACTCAGGGAACTCTGTTCAAGCGACCTGTGCTCTTCAAGCTGTGGATTCAGAGCGAAGCGACAACCACTGGAGGATGTTTTTCAAGGATTCAAGGCGTGTCTTCAACCACCACCACATTACAGTTGATCACAACTCGTTCAAGCAATTCTCCAATAAAGTTTCAGCACTTTTAAAAATAGAGATCATATAAGATTAAGATTTATTCAAATCGACTTTTAAGAAAGTGTATAAACTTCCCCAGCATATTCTCTGACAAGTCTACTTCACTGTTTACAACTTTGATATTAGTCATATAAAACCTGCTCATAATCAGGTGGAAGAAATCTTTGAACTTGATATTTCTCTGATCTTTCACCGGTGAATTGTACTTGATCTTGATCTTTCACTGTTTCGGAAATCATTTTTTTAAAAAAACCTCTGCAATCATCGCAATCAGATCTACTTTTTGGGCTTGTTGTATCGTTGGATAAGTTTTTCTGTGACAGGTTACAGAATTTATTTATTTTTTTACCAGTTTGACCACAAGATACACATTCAATTGCAGAGATTCATGCTAAGATTTGCTTTAAAGTATCATTCAAATCTTCAAGTTTTTGTTGCATATGAATCTTGAAATTAATAAAATCTAATTTCGAAATAAGCCATACCTTAGAACTTGCATTGTGGTTGATGTGAATCCCTTTACCTCATGACATCTTGTGAATCTAAATCCGGAACACTAACCTAGCTCTCATACCACTTGACGCAGCAGAACACTAAGAGGCAATGGTTTGAAGGCGTTGTGATCAACTTTGATGTTGTGGAGGTTGAAGACACGTCAAGATCCCCGAAAAACGTGCTCTAATGGTTGTCCTTTCTCTCTGAATCCACACAGTGAGGAGGACAGTTCCCTTAAGTCCACAAGAGGGTGATTGTGAATCCACAGAATCAAGAGCAGACCCCCTAAGTCACAGGGATGCTGGAGTCAACCAGCAGAAGGAGGGAACTTCAAAAGAAAAAAAACTCACGAAATTGTATTCAAAAGATGGTAATATGTTCCAGGGCTACAAGGGGGTTCCTTTAAATAGGCTAAAGAGTGTTTATTTAGGCGCAAGGATTTCAATTTGAAATAAATCTTAATTTAACACAAGTTTTTCTCAGAAATTTGAATATCAGATGAAATTTGGATTGAATTGAAATCTGAAAAATAAGAAAAATACAATGGGCTTCAAGTTGCAACAGTAATAGGCTCTAGGGTGCATCAATACTGGCCTCCAGGTTCTTCAGTAGTGGGCTTCAGGGTTTGCGTTGCATCATTCGTCCAGGTAATGAATGGAACAACTCTCACGAATTAATCGTTTCTGTAACCACTTTCTAAGTTGCTCATGCAAAATCTTCAGGGATCATTCTATAATCTGGTAAATGTTGCAAACCCTCTCCAAGAATCATTCTCGTTTTAAACCAGCATAAATAATTCAAAAAATTTCTTTTCATGTATTACAAAGTTCCTCTTTTGTAAATCGTTATTTCTTACTCTTTTTTCATTAACTGTGCTGAATAATTTATTTTTTTAGTGGGCGTAAAAAAACTTTTCACTATTTTTGTAAAAAAAATATAATGACTATTTTTGCCCAGTAAAGTTGCATCTAAATGAAATTTAGATGACAGGCAGTCGTCACAACAACATGATAGCTCATTTCGTCAAAATAAACTTTTCCCTTTGAAATTTATCTTCACCCAATTCTAAATGATGCGGATGTTTTTCAGTTTTTAGCCCCAATTTTGGTTTGCTCAAAGGACTAAGATTTTCACTACTGTCAGAATCAATAATCACATCTTAAATCTTTCCATCAACAGTGCATTTTGCTCTGAAAGTATTATGATGCTGGAAAGGTTCATCCTTTTTTACCTTCATGCTTCATGATCTTCTGTGCCAAGACCAAGTGGATCTATTCCTGGTGGCTGAAGTTCCTCTCAAAGGAATCTCTATGTATCAAATCAAGTGGATCTATTCTAAAATGTTACGGATCTAATGAATAAGGTCACAAATCAAATGCTTGACCAAAGGAAGAACTTGTCTCAGCAGAAACTAAGGAGGGAATGGCTTGAACGAGTTGTGATCAACTCTACTGGTGTGGGCGTCGCTTGATTGCAAAGTGAGTGATTCCTTGCCACGGTGTGTAGCGTCAAACTGCCATGGCCTGTTTAATTTCATGTGGCAAGGATCAATGTCAACAACATCAAATTGTACTTTATCAGAATATGTTTTGCCAATTGAAAATTTGATTACACAGGTTTGTGAAAAATTTAGTTTCTGTTTCCTTCTTGATGCAACCAATTCGATATGGATGACGTTGTTGGGCTTATTTGCAAACTTAATTTTTTAATGATTATATCACAGAAGAGACAATGCTCTCACTACTGTCACTTTCAATGATTATATCACATACCTTAGAATTCATAGCACACCATGTTCTGAAAATATTATGGTGACATCCACCAATCTCCTGACTACAAGTGAATGTGACAGTGCATTTCAGGTATCAAATTAATTAAAATTTTCTTCTACCTAGCCTGAAATTTCTGGTTATGCTTGTTCTGTTTCCCCTTCAATTGAATTTGCAAGGTTTACTGTGCCACGTTTAGGACAGATATTTGATTTGTGTCCACTTTCTCCACACCTGTAGCATTTAGGAATGACATTAGGAGTAAAGGATTCTTGTTAGTAGAGGCATCGGCAGAGGGGTTTGCTCCACTTGTTCTGACAGAACTTTGATTCAGTCCTCCATTATGTGGTGTAGAAGAAAAAACAGTACATCTTCCTCTTTCTAACTGAAGAGTTGAATTCTGACTTCTTAAATTTAGAATTCTGGTTTTTCCTTTCTCTAATAAGGCTTCCGCACGCTCTGTAGGCATATTACAATGTCACTAAGCTTGAAAAATGACTGTAAATCTTGAAATCATAATCTGACTCAGATTCTGTCAAGTCTATTCGAGAAGATAAACGATTCAATTTTTCAGCATAATCTGCAACTGATCTATTCCCTTATCTACAGTTTTGATATTGTTGATATAAAATTTGTTCATAATCTGGAGGAAGAAACTGAGATTTCAAGAGTTTTTTAATTTTCTCCCATTTAGCATACAGGTTCTTTGCCTGACCTCATATGTGTGGTCTGTAATTGATGTAGAAAATGTAGAAAATTTATGAACAAATTTTCTACATCTTTCTTTGGCTTAGGCCAGAAATATGGCTCCTCAATTGACTCTAAGGTCTTATCTCGCCCAAGGTGTCCTGCTAAACCAGAAGAGTTTAATTCTCATAGTATTTTCTCCTTTAAAGAGCTGCGAGGAATACACAGTATAAAAAGGCATCTTGTAGGTGAAAACCTTTAGTTGATTTTCCTGATGTATAGATCATATATTGTTGAAGAAAATTATCGTCGTCTGGGTATAATTCCTCGAAATAATCAAATCTTGTGATTTTAGCATGCAGATTCAATAAACATGTTGTTTTTCTACTAAGAGCATATGCAATGTTGAATCAAAGAGATCCATCTGGCATGCGTTCTATTAATAAAAGTCTGACTATTTCCTGATTTAAGAGCTTAATGATCAGTATATAAAATAAAGTCTCGCTGAATAGCAAACTAGTAGTCATGAAGTTGCATTTCTTCAAGTTAATCAATAATGTATTTTGTTGTAACACTTTGAACATTGATCTGAGTTATTTCATATGGTCATCTTCCGTAGGATTGTAAACAAGAATTTCATCGAAATAAACGACAACATATTTAGCAATAAAAGGTTTCAGAACCTAATTCATAATTCTTATAAAGGTACTGGGGGCATTTGATAATTGAAAAAGCATGACCAACTATTCACAAAGACCTGCTATAGTTTTAAAGGCAGACTTCCAGTTATCTCCTGACTGAATTTGGATTTGATGATATCTGCTGGTTAAATCAACTTTTGAAAAAAAAATTAGAACCACAAAGCATATCAACATGTCATCTAGGCGTGGAATTTAGGATTTATACTGTCGACAGACACAAGTGCTAAATTTAGATTTTTTTTATGTAGTCCAAGACACAAGTTGAATTCTCAACTTTGAATTTGGGCCCACTTATCTTAAATTTAGGCCATAAATGAAAAGTGCTAAAAAAGGAGCCCAAATATGTCATCAGCGGGCGAGAGGTCCGAAAAGTAATATTTATTTTTTACATTATGTCTTTTCACTTCTAAACGGTATTTTCTATCTCTTTCCTTCTAGAAGAGACTTATTGTGGTTCAAACTGTACCTACAATCTGTTCAAGATCTATGACTATTAGAGTGGCTACCTAAGATTTGTTCAAACTGTACATGTACTTGGGATCTAAGACCGTCAAAGTTTCTACCTAAGATTTGTTCAGTATGTCTACCTGTCAGAGTCTGTTTCAAGTAATTTCAGGATGTCTCCAAAATCTCAATCTGTCAGAGAATGTTTTAAGTCATTTAAGATTTAGTCAGACTTTGTCCCTAGGATCTATCAAGATCATCTTTTAGAAGCACTCAACCTCTTTCCTAAGTGGGCCCCATTATAACCCGACTTCTTAGCTTTTTAGTTGAATCACTGTTACGTATTGTATCTTTCTCCTCTTGCTTTTGGATACATGCAACCCCTTGTAGATTCAAGGGTTGAAGACTCCAAATCTGTGGATTCAGAGGCTGATTTCTTCCCTAAGATTTAAGTTTTGTAGATTCTAGCCCAAATTTTATTTATTTTCTGCATTATTACTGCGTCAGTTGGTATCATAGCAAGTCAACGTTTCAATTCAAGTTCACAAATGTCACGAGGTAAATCTACTCATACTGGTGGTGATGATTTACATGAGGTTTTTCCTATTTGAACATGAAATGTTATTGTATTTTAAGATTGAATAGATCAAAAATTTGATGATGTTAGTGAAAGTTTAAAACAACTTTTTGGCAAGAATGAGTACATCAGGGAGTCATTCACATTCTCCTAGAGATAATGAAATCAGACTTCTTGAAAAAGTCATTTATGTTAAATCTTCATCAGATACTCATTGTACATTTGTAGTAGGTTTTTTAAGATAATTTTTGAGATTTCTATATGAAGATTGACTTATTATTGTTGAATAGCCATTTGAAGGTTGAAGAGTTCTTAGATTGGTTAGTTGAAGTACATTGAGTGTTTGAGTATATGAAATTTTTCGATGAAAAATAAGTAAAGTTATTGACTTATAAACTGTGGTGGAGCCTCTGTATGGTAGGATCATTTGCAAGGTTTGATAAAGAACCTGTACAATAATGGGAGAAAATGAAGAAACTCTTGAAATCTCATTTTCTTCCCCCAGATTATGAACAAATTTTATATCAATAGTATGAAAACTACAGACTGGCAAATAAATCACTTTCTGATTATGCTGAAGATGATTTGAAGGTTCAATGGTGGTCATAAATAGATAATTAAAGATAAAGTAGCTTTACTTTTATTTTTCAAGCTTAATGCTAATGGGTTTAGTACGTGCTGAAGCCCCATAGGCATAGTATCTTTTTTCAATACAATTTCGTGAGTTTACTTCTCTTGAAGTTCTCTCCTTTTGCTAGTGGATTCCAGTACCCCTGTGGACTCAGGGAACCTGTTCTTGGTTCTGTGGATTCAGAATCAACCCCTTATAGACTCAAGAGACCTGTCCTCTTTACCATGTAGATTCAGAGCGAAAGGACAATCATTGGAGCACAGATTTTGAGGATTCAAGACAAGCCTTTGAACCCCAGACAATCAAGAAGAAAACGGAAACTAAAGTGTCAGAGATGTGTGTAATTAAATTTTCAATTGGTAAAACTTATTCTGATAAAGTGCAATGTCATGTTGTGGATGTTGACGCTACACATGGAATATATATTTATTTTTTTTACAAATGAGAAAGAAATTATCCTAGCTCTAATACAATTCTTTTTAAACTCTGTTCAACCAGCACAATGTTTTGAGTTTCTTCTCTCTAAGTTCTCTCCTTCTGCTGGTGGACTCAGGGAACTCTGTTCAAGCGACCTGTGCTCTTCAAGCTGTGGATTCAGAGCGAAGCGACAACCACTGGAGGATGTTTTTCAAGGATTCAAGGCGTGTCTTCAACCACCACCACATTACAGTTGATCACAACTCGTTCAAGCAATTCTCCAATAAAGTTTCAGCACTTTTAAAAATAGAGATCATATAAGATTAAGATTTATTCAAATCGACTTTTAAGAAAGTGTATAAACTTCCCCAGCATATTCTCTGACAAGTCTACTTCACTGTTTACAACTTTGATATTAGTCATATAAAACCTGCTCATAATCAGGTGGAAGAAATCTTTGAACTTGATATTTCTCTGATCTTTCACCGGTGAATTGTACTTGATCTTGATCTTTCACTGTTTCGGAAATCATTTTTTTAAAAAAACCTCTGCAATCATCGCAATCAGATCTACTTTTTGGGCTTGTTGTATCGTTGGATAAGTTTTTCTGTGACAGGTTACAGAATTTATTTATTTTTTTACCAGTTTGACCACAAGATACACATTCAATTGCAGAGATTCATGCTAAGATTTGCTTTAAAGTATCATTCAAATCTTCAAGTTTTTGTTGCATATGAATCTTGAAATTAATAAAATCTAATTTCGAAATAAGCCATACCTTAGAACTTGCATTGTGGTTGATGTGAATCCCTTTACCTCATGACATCTTGTGAATCTAAATCCGGAACACTAACCTAGCTCTCATACCACTTGACGCAGCAGAACACTAAGAGGCAATGGTTTGAAGGCGTTGTGATCAACTTTGATGTTGTGGAGGTTGAAGACACGTCAAGATCCCCGAAAAACGTGCTCTAATGGTTGTCCTTTCTCTCTGAATCCACACAGTGAGGAGGACAGTTCCCTTAAGTCCACAAGAGGGTGATTGTGAATCCACAGAATCAAGAGCAGATCCCCTAAGTCACAGGGATGCTGGAGTCAACCAGCAGAAGGAGGGAACTTCAAAAGAAAAAAAACTCACGAAATTGTATTCAAAAGATGGTAATATGTTCCAGGGCTACAAGGGGGTTCCTTTAAATAGGCTAAAGAGTGTTTATTTAGGCGCAAGGATTTCAATTTGAAATAAATCTTAATTTAACACAAGTTTTTCTCAGAAATTTGAATATCAGATGAAATTTGGATTGAATTGAAATCTGAAAAATAAGAAAAATACAATGGGCTTCAAGTTGCAACAGTAATAGGCTCTAGGGTGCATCAATACTGGCCTCCAGGTTCTTCAGTAGTGGGCTTCAGGGTTTGCGTTGCATCATTCGTCCAGGTAATGAATGGAACAACTCTCACGAATTAATCGTTTCTGTAACCACTTTCTAAGTTGCTCATGCAAAATCTTCAGGGATCATTCTATAATCTGGTAAATGTTGCAAACCCTCTCCAAGAATCATTCTCGTTTTAAACCAGCATAAATAATTCAAAAAATTTCTTTTCATGTATTACAAAGTTCCTCTTTTGTAAATCGTTATTTCTTACTCTTTTTTCATTAACTGTGCTGAATAATTTATTTTTTTAGTGGGCGTAAAAAAACTTTTCACTATTTTTGTAAAAAAAATATAATGACTATTTTTGCCCAGTAAAGTTGCATCTAAATGAAATTTAGATGACAGGCAGTCGTCACAACAACATGATAGCTCATTTCGTCAAAATAAACTTTTCCCTTTGAAATTTATCTTCACCCAATTCTAAATGATGCGGATGTTTTTCAGTTTTTAGCCCCAATTTTGGTTTGCTCAAAGGACTAAGATTTTCACTACTGTCAGAATCAATAATCACATCTTAAATCTTTCCATCAACAGTGCATTTTGCTCTGAAAGTATTATGATGCTGGAAAGGTTCATCCTTTTTTACCTTCATGCTTCATGATCTTCTGTGCCAAGACCAAGTGGATCTATTCCTGGTGGCTGAAGTTCCTCTCAAAGGAATCTCTATGTATCAAATCAAGTGGATCTATTCTAAAATGTTACGGATCTAATGAATAAGGTCACAAATCAAATGCTTGACCAAAGGAAGAACTTGTCTCAGCAGAAACTAAGGAGGGAATGGCTTGAACGAGTTGTGATCAACTCTACTGGTGTGGGCGTCGCTTGATTGCAAAGTGAGTGATTCCTTGCCACGGTGTGTAGCGTCAAACTGCCATGGCCTGTTTAATTTCATGTGGCAAGGATCAATGTCAACAACATCAAATTGTACTTTATCAGAATATGTTTTGCCAATTGAAAATTTGATTACACAGGTTTGTGAAAAATTTAGTTTCTGTTTCCTTCTTGATGCAACCAATTCGATATGGATGACGTTGTTGGGCTTATTTGCAAACTTAATTTTTTAATGATTATATCACAGAAGAGACAATGCTCTCACTACTGTCACTTTCAATGATTATATCACATACCTTAGAATTCATAGCACACCATGTTCTGAAAATATTATGGTGACATCCACCAATCTCCTGACTACAAGTGAATGTGACAGTGCATTTCAGGTATCAAATTAATTAAAATTTTCTTCTACCTAGCCTGAAATTTCTGGTTATGCTTGTTCTGTTTCCCCTTCAATTGAATTTGCAAGGTTTACTGTGCCACGTTTAGGACAGATATTTGATTTGTGTCCACTTTCTCCACACCTGTAGCATTTAGGAATGACATTAGGAGTAAAGGATTCTTGTTAGTAGAGGCATCGGCAGAGGGGTTTGCTCCACTTGTTCTGACAGAACTTTGATTCAGTCCTCCATTATGTGGTGTAGAAGAAAAAACAGTACATCTTCCTCTTTCTAACTGAAGAGTTGAATTCTGACTTCTTAAATTTAGAATTCTGGTTTTTCCTTTCTCTAATAAGGCTTCCGCACGCTCTGTAGGCATATTACAATGTCACTAAGCTTGAAAAATGACTGTAAATCTTGAAATCATAATCTGACTCAGATTCTGTCAAGTCTATTCGAGAAGATAAACGATTCAATTTTTCAGCATAATCTGCAACTGATCTATTCCCTTATCTACAGTTTTGATATTGTTGATATAAAATTTGTTCATAATCTGGAGGAAGAAACTGAGATTTCAAGAGTTTTTTAATTTTCTCCCATTTAGCATACAGGTTCTTTGCCTGACCTCATATGTGTGGTCTGTAATTGATGTAGAAAATGTAGAAAATTTATGAACAAATTTTCTACATCTTTCTTTGGCTTAGGCCAGAAATATGGCTCCTCAATTGACTCTAAGGTCTTATCTCGCCCAAGGTGTCCTGCTAAACCAGAAGAGTTTAATTCTCATAGTATTTTCTCCTTTAAAGAGCTGCGAGGAATACACAGTATAAAAAGGCATCTTGTAGGTGAAAACCTTTAGTTGATTTTCCTGATGTATAGATCATATATTGTTGAAGAAAATTATCGTCGTCTGGGTATAATTCCTCGAAATAATCAAATCTTGTGATTTTAGCATGCAGATTCAATAAACATGTTGTTTTTCTACTAAGAGCATATGCAATGTTGAATCAAAGAGATCCATCTGGCATGCGTTCTATTAATAAAAGTCTGACTATTTCCTGATTTAAGAGCTTAATGATCAGTATATAAAATAAAGTCTCGCTGAATAGCAAACTAGTAGTCATGAAGTTGCATTTCTTCAAGTTAATCAATAATGTATTTTGTTGTAACACTTTGAACATTGATCTGAGTTATTTCATATGGTCATCTTCCGTAGGATTGTAAACAAGAATTTCATCGAAATAAACGACAACATATTTAGCAATAAAAGGTTTCAGAACCTAATTCATAATTCTTATAAAGGTACTGGGGGCATTTGATAATTGAAAAAGCATGACCAACTATTCACAAAGACCTGCTATAGTTTTAAAGGCAGACTTCCAGTTATCTCCTGACTGAATTTGGATTTGATGATATCTGCTGGTTAAATCAACTTTTGAAAAAAAAATTAGAACCACAAAGCATATCAACATGTCATCTAGGCGTGGAATTTAGGATTTATACTGTCGACAGACACAAGTGCTAAATTTAGATTTTTTTTATGTAGTCCAAGACACAAGTTGAATTCTCAACTTTGAATTTGGGCCCACTTATCTTAAATTTAGGCCATAAATGAAAAGTGCTAAAAAAGGAGCCCAAATATGTCATCAGCGGGCGAGAGGTCCGAAAAGTAATATTTATTTTTTACATTATGTCTTTTCACTTCTAAACGGTATTTTCTATCTCTTTCCTTCTAGAAGAGACTTATTGTGGTTCAAACTGTACCTACAATCTGTTCAAGATCTATGACTATTAGAGTGGCTACCTAAGATTTGTTCAAACTGTACATGTACTTGGGATCTAAGACCGTCAAAGTTTCTACCTAAGATTTGTTCAGTATGTCTACCTGTCAGAGTCTGTTTCAAGTAATTTCAGGATGTCTCCAAAATCTCAATCTGTCAGAGAATGTTTTAAGTCATTTAAGATTTAGTCAGACTTTGTCCCTAGGATCTATCAAGATCATCTTTTAGAAGCACTCAACCTCTTTCCTAAGTGGGCCCCATTATAACCCGACTTCTTAGCTTTTTAGTTGAATCACTGTTACGTATTGTATCTTTCTCCTCTTGCTTTTGGATACATGCAACCCCTTGTAGATTCAAGGGTTGAAGACTCCAAATCTGTGGATTCAGAGGCTGATTTCTTCCCTAAGATTTAAGTTTTGTAGATTCTAGCCCAAATTTTATTTATTTTCTGCATTATTACTGCGTCAGTTGGTATCATAGCAAGTCAACGTTTCAATTCAAGTTCACAAATGTCACGAGGTAAATCTACTCATACTGGTGGTGATGATTTACATGAGGTTTTTCCTATTTGAACATGAAATGTTATTGTATTTTAAGATTGAATAGATCAAAAATTTGATGATGTTAGTGAAAGTTTAAAACAACTTTTTGGCAAGAATGAGTACATCAGGGAGTCATTCACATTCTCCTAGAGATAATGAAATCAGACTTCTTGAAAAAGTCATTTATGTTAAATCTTCATCAGATACTCATTGTACATTTGTAGTAGGTTTTTTAAGATAATTTTTGAGATTTCTATATGAAGATTGACTTATTATTGTTGAATAGCCATTTGAAGGTTGAAGAGTTCTTAGATTGGTTAGTTGAAGTACATTGAGTGTTTGAGTATATGAAATTTTTCGATGAAAAATAAGTAAAGTTATTGACTTATAAACTGTGGTGGAGCCTCTGTATGGTAGGATCATTTGCAAGGTTTGATAAAGAACCTGTACAATAATGGGAGAAAATGAAGAAACTCTTGAAATCTCATTTTCTTCCCCCAGATTATGAACAAATTTTATATCAATAGTATGAAAACTACAGACTGGCAAATAAATCACTTTCTGATTATGCTGAAGATGATTTGAAGGTTCAATGGTGGTCATAAATAGATAATTAAAGATAAAGTAGCTTTACTTTTATTTTTCAAGCTTAATGCTAATGGGTTTAGTACGTGCTGAAGCCCCATAGGCATAGTATCTTTTTTCAATACAATTTCGTGAGTTTACTTCTCTTGAAGTTCTCTCCTTTTGCTAGTGGATTCCAGTACCCCTGTGGACTCAGGGAACCTGTTCTTGGTTCTGTGGATTCAGAATCAACCCCTTATAGACTCAAGAGACCTGTCCTCTTTACCATGTAGATTCAGAGCGAAAGGACAATCATTGGAGCACAGATTTTGAGGATTCAAGACAAGCCTTTGAACCCCAGACAATCAAGAAGAAAACGGAAACTAAAGTGTCAGAGATGTGTGTAATTAAATTTTCAATTGGTAAAACTTATTCTGATAAAGTGCAATGTCATGTTGTGGATGTTGACGCTACACATGGAATATATATTTATTTTTTTTACAAATGAGAAAGAAATTATCCTAGCTCTAATACAATTCTTTTTAAACTCTGTTCAACCAGCACAATGTTTTGAGTTTCTTCTCTCTAAGTTCTCTCCTTCTGCTGGTGGACTCAGGGAACTCTGTTCAAGCGACCTGTGCTCTTCAAGCTGTGGATTCAGAGCGAAGCGACAACCACTGGAGGATGTTTTTCAAGGATTCAAGGCGTGTCTTCAACCACCACCACATTACAGTTGATCACAACTCGTTCAAGCAATTCTCCAATAAAGTTTCAGCACTTTTAAAAATAGAGATCATATAAGATTAAGATTTATTCAAATCGACTTTTAAGAAAGTGTATAAACTTCCCCAGCATATTCTCTGACAAGTCTACTTCACTGTTTACAACTTTGATATTAGTCATATAAAACCTGCTCATAATCAGGTGGAAGAAATCTTTGAACTTGATATTTCTCTGATCTTTCACCGGTGAATTGTACTTGATCTTGATCTTTCACTGTTTCGGAAATCATTTTTTTAAAAAAACCTCTGCAATCATCGCAATCAGATCTACTTTTTGGGCTTGTTGTATCGTTGGATAAGTTTTTCTGTGACAGGTTACAGAATTTATTTATTTTTTTACCAGTTTGACCACAAGATACACATTCAATTGCAGAGATTCATGCTAAGATTTGCTTTAAAGTATCATTCAAATCTTCAAGTTTTTGTTGCATATGAATCTTGAAATTAATAAAATCTAATTTCGAAATAAGCCATACCTTAGAACTTGCATTGTGGTTGATGTGAATCCCTTTACCTCATGACATCTTGTGAATCTAAATCCGGAACACTAACCTAGCTCTCATACCACTTGACGCAGCAGAACACTAAGAGGCAATGGTTTGAAGGCGTTGTGATCAACTTTGATGTTGTGGAGGTTGAAGACACGTCAAGATCCCCGAAAAACGTGCTCTAATGGTTGTCCTTTCTCTCTGAATCCACACAGTGAGGAGGACAGTTCCCTTAAGTCCACAAGAGGGTGATTGTGAATCCACAGAATCAAGAGCAGATCCCCTAAGTCACAGGGATGCTGGAGTCAACCAGCAGAAGGAGGGAACTTCAAAAGAAAAAAAACTCACGAAATTGTATTCAAAAGATGGTAATATGTTCCAGGGCTACAAGGGGGTTCCTTTAAATAGGCTAAAGAGTGTTTATTTAGGCGCAAGGATTTCAATTTGAAATAAATCTTAATTTAACACAAGTTTTTCTCAGAAATTTGAATATCAGATGAAATTTGGATTGAATTGAAATCTGAAAAATAAGAAAAATACAATGGGCTTCAAGTTGCAACAGTAATAGGCTCTAGGGTGCATCAATACTGGCCTCCAGGTTCTTCAGTAGTGGGCTTCAGGGTTTGCGTTGCATCATTCGTCCAGGTAATGAATGGAACAACTCTCACGAATTAATCGTTTCTGTAACCACTTTCTAAGTTGCTCATGCAAAATCTTCAGGGATCATTCTATAATCTGGTAAATGTTGCAAACCCTCTCCAAGAATCATTCTCGTTTTAAACCAGCATAAATAATTCAAAAAATTTCTTTTCATGTATTACAAAGTTCCTCTTTTGTAAATCGTTATTTCTTACTCTTTTTTCATTAACTGTGCTGAATAATTTATTTTTTTAGTGGGCGTAAAAAAACTTTTCACTATTTTTGTAAAAAAAATATAATGACTATTTTTGCCCAGTAAAGTTGCATCTAAATGAAATTTAGATGACAGGCAGTCGTCACAACAACATGATAGCTCATTTCGTCAAAATAAACTTTTCCCTTTGAAATTTATCTTCACCCAATTCTAAATGATGCGGATGTTTTTCAGTTTTTAGCCCCAATTTTGGTTTGCTCAAAGGACTAAGATTTTCACTACTGTCAGAATCAATAATCACATCTAACTGACAGAGAACATGCACAAATCCTCTAACACTATTCTAACATCTCCTAAGACAGACTCTGACACTTACAGACCCTGTGCAGATCTTAGGTAAAGAATCTGACAGTCAGAGATCGTGAACAGATCTTAGATACAGACTGAACCACATTAAGGTCCCTTCTTGACAGAATTAGACATAAAGTACCTTCTAAATGTGAAAGGACATAAAGTGGGCCCAAACTCCAACCTTCAGCCCACTGGTGACATATGTGGGTCCCCTTTTTTTGCACTTTTTACGTTATGGCCCAAAAGCAGGATAACTGGGCGTAAATTCGAAGTTGACACTTTAACTTTTGTGTTGGGCTACATCATATTACTTTAGCTTTTGTGTTCTCCTTCTCTCGTCTGCCAAAATCACTTTCTTGCATTAGAGCAAAAATATTTTTTTTACCATTTTTATCTTGCCAATTGAAAATTTAATTACACAAGTTTCTGAAAAGTTTAGTTCCTATTTCATTCTTGATCACCCCAATTTGATATGGATAATGGTTTGAAGAGAGAATGTTCTCTGTCACATTCAGATATTTACTGGCACTATAAATGATTATTTTCACAGTACACCTTATTCTAAAAATATTATGGTGCTCTGGGTCGTCTTTTCTTCTTGGCGAATACATCAAGCTTTTGACTACAAGTGAATGAGACAGTACATCTTTAGTATCAAATTCAATAAAATTTTCTTCTACCTCACCTTTAATTTCTGATTCTTCATATTCTGTTTCCAATTCAATAGAATCTGCAAGGTTTACATTGTCAAATTTAGCACAGATATCTGATTCCTGTCCAACTTTAGGATTGAGATTAGCAGTATAATGATTTTTGTTAGTAGAGACTTGGTCAGAAGGTTTTGCTCTACTTGATCTGACAGAACATTGATTCAGTCCTCCGTTATGTGGTGTAAAAGAACTGTAGATCTTCCTCTTTCTGGCTTGAGCACACTCTGCAGCCATTAGAATGTCATTAAGCTTGAAAAATGAATGTAAAGCTACTTAGTCTTCAATTTTCCAACTGAGATCACCTTTAAATCTTGAAATCATATGTTACTCGGATTCTGTCAAGTCAATTTGAGGAGATAAAAATAAAATTTTCAGCATAATGAATAACTGATCTATTCCCTTGTCTGCTTTTTTAATACTGTTGATATAAAATTTGTTCAAAAATCTATTTGGAAACTTATCTATTACCTTTCAAGAGTTTTTTCATTTTCTCTCATATTCGTACAAGTTCTTTGGCTGCCCTCGTACATGTGGTCTGTTATGGATCCTGCCATGGAGAGGCTCCACCCTTCAGTTGCCAATAGCTTTTATTTTTCATGAGAAATTTTCAATCTAAGAACTCTTCAATGTAAGATCTCTTCAATTTAAGAACTCTTCAACATAATATCTTTTCAATCTAAGAACTCCTCAATCTTCAAGTTCCTATTAAAACATGGTTAACAATCTTCATATGAAATTCTCAAAAATTATCTTCGTGAAATCTTAATTTAGAACTTGTAGAACCTGACGAACAGAGATTTTTTGATGAAGATTTGACATGAATGACTTTTTGATGACTTTTTGTACAACTAGAGATGAATGAGTATCTAATACACTAATTCCTACAAGAAGTTGTTTCAAGGTATCACTAATATCATCAAATTTTTCATCTACTAAATCCTGGAAAATAATAAAAATCTGATTTTGAGATAGGAGAAACTTCAGGTGAATCATTATCACCAATAAGAACAGATGTACCTCGTGACAGTTTTGAACCTTGAGTTAAACGTTCACTTGATGTGATAACAACTGACGCAATAGGAACATGGAAGGTAGAGAAGATATGTGTTTTAATCCACAAAGCTGCAATCCTGGGGACGAAACCTGATTCTGAATCAAGCCTTGAATTGACAAGGGAGTGCCTGAATCTACAAGTAAGAAGAGAAGGTTCTCACTGTGGAGAAAACTGGTTCAAGAAAAACTAGTGAGTAACTCAGGTTACAATGGGGGCCTTTATATAGGCCTAGAAACAACACACGGTGAAGAACACAGGTCTCTAATAACAAATTAAAATTAAAATTTGAATTTCAAATAAAACTCAAAAAATAATAAAATTAGGTAGGTGGGTTTGAAGCTGTAACAGTAATGCGCTTCAGTGTGCATCACGTAAAGTCGGCTTCAGGCTGCAACTGTATCGGGCTCCAAGGTCCATCAACACCGGGCTTCAGGGTTTTGGCAGCATTATTCTATTTTTATTTAAAAATCTCTACACCTAATTCTTCTAGGCAAATGAGGTTTTACTCAAAAATTTCTGGAATCATCATAATCAGATTTACTGTTTGAGCTTCTTCTATCATTTATTTTTTTGACCAGTTTGACCGCAACATTGACATTCTATTGCAGACATTCCTGCAATGAATCCTCAAAATTATTTTCCATATTAATTTTTAAGGCAGCAAACTTGGATATCTAAATAGGACATACCTCAGAACTTTCATTTTCAATGCTGTGAATCCCTTTACCTCATGACATCTGGTAAATCTAAATCTTCCTATGATACCACTTGACAGCATGAAAACTGAGGGAATGGCTTATTTTAAATTTCAGATAAAATTGGAAAACTGATAATACTAGATATATGGGCCTTATTTTGTAATATGGCTAGTTAAGTAGAGTGGGGCATAGTGATGGGCTTCAAGATGCATCAACACTGGGCTTAAGGCTTCTTAAGTAGTGGGTTTTAGGGTTTGGTTCTCACAGTAGATAAAATATTATTTCTCATTTGATAATACAGAACTTGGGGCTGATAATATTCTGTGAAAAACATCCACATTATATAGAATTTGGTGGACAAAGAAGGATTATGATGTTCTTGAGATGGATCCCTGTAATCTACTTTTGGGTAGACCATTGCAAAACATCCACATCATTATGTTTTTTACAAAATAGTGAGAAGTTTTTGTTTACACCTAATAAAAGAAATTGAGTTTTTCAGCACAGTTAAGGAAAAGAAAAAGCACGTTTTGATGATTGACAAAAAAAAACTTTTAATACTTTGATGAGAAGTATGTGATGTGACTATTTATTCTCGTAGTAGTGAAAATATTTTTTCTTCTTCAAAAATAAAGAACTTGGGGCTGAAAACTGAAAAGTAATAGAATTGAGTGGATAAGGAACGATTATGATGTTGTTAAATTTTCTCAGAATAAAATGCAATGAAGGTTTACACCAACTCAAGTAAATCAGAGACTCAAGAGATGTGAAGACTATCTTTTGACAGAGCGGAAATATGAAGGAGAGAATCTCTAAATGGCTCCCTGAGTCTACCAGTAATAGGGAAGAACCTCCAAAAGGGAAGAGAGCTCTAAAATGTATTCATAAAAACGTGCCTCCTTGGGGTTACAAGGGGGACTTATTTATAGACCAAAAATTAGTTATAACGAACTTATAAAGGGGAAAATCTGTTAAGATCCTAGAAATAGGGAGAATAAAATTGATTACACCTTCCTGTCGAATAGGAGGATTCTGTTGAAAGGCCCGTAAGAAATATGAATGCTCTAAACAGAATAGGGGATATTTTACATGAAGAAAATATTTGAATTGTAAGGTTTAGGCTCACTAAACATGTGACCAAATTTCTTAGTGAACTACTTGAAGTTGAATTTGGGCAGAGGATAGTCTTCACATCTCTTGAGTCGCTGATTCATCTGAGATGGTTTAAAACTTCATTGCAGTTGATTTTATTTCTTTGTTAGCGTTTTCGATGAAGATATTATTACTTGCTCCACCTGGGTCAAAAACTTCCATTCCTCATTTTACAGCTGTTTCTGGGGTACATCATTTTTTGCCTAAATTTAGCTTCAAATGGTCCACTAAGAGATTTAGTCACATACTTAGTGAGCCTATATTCTACAATTAACACATTTAATTCATGTCAAACATCCCCCTAGTCTGTTTAAGGCGTTCCTATTTCTTAGGGGGCTTCTAACAGAATCCGTCTTTTTCACAGGATGATTTATTTTGTTTTCTTCTCTCTATTTTCTAGGACCTTAATAGATCCCCCATTGTAGCCCCAAAAATGCATGTTTTTATGAATATAGGCCATGTTGATGTTATTATTCACTATAGGATTAGTGCAAATTATGTTTCCTCCGATATGATTAAAAAATAGGGGTTAAAGACTGGGAGACACTGTGATTCGTATGTACGATTGAAAAAAGAAACTGTTTGGTGGACTTTTGGACTTTTGGACTTTTGTCATTATTTGTTAGGATGACCTTGGGTATTTCAAGTGAATCCAACATATAATTCTAAAAAAATCAATGTGTTTTATAGAGATGCTTAAGAGTTCACGTTTCAGTCTCTGAAAAAATTTTCAGACACAAAGAAGACAAGAAGAAAAGTATAGAAAAAATGGAAGTAGAATAGATTCGAAAAGTTTAAATTCAGAAGAACCAAAATTTACTTCAAAGAAAATGAGTGATAAAATTGTGTATAGAATGGGTGCTGCTAATTCAGTAACTGATAGCATCAACAAAACGAGCATATGATTTTTCAGAGATAAATGACATATCTCAGGTTGGTGGAATGAATTTCAGCATAAAGATTTAATTTTAGCATAAATTTTGGCTGAATTTTAATTTTCTCATAAACTTTGAATTTCAAATGATAATCTGAAATTCAGATGAAATTTTGAAGTTCAAGCAAAAATTTGAATTTTGGATGAATTTTGAATTTCAAACGAATATTTTAATTTCGAATTTGGGTTTGAAAATTTGAATTTCAGTAGAAATTAGGAAACTAATTGATGTAGCCTAAGACACAAGTTGAAGTGTCTACTTGGAATTTTGGCTGACTTATCCTGAATTTTGGCCATAAAGTGAAAAGTTCAAAAAAAGAACCTACATATGTGACCAGTGGGCTGGAGATTCGAATTTAGGCCCACATTATGTCTTTTTACTTCTAAAAGGTTTATACCTAAGTTCTGTTCAGGATCTCTGACTGTCAGAGTTTGTACCTAAGTTCTGCTCAAGATTTGTAATTGGCAGAGTTTATTTTAAGTCATTTCAGATTTAGTCAGAATATTTTAAAGAATCTTTTTGAGATCTCAATTTATCAATTTGTTTTAAGTCATTTCAGAGTTAGTCAAACTTTGTCCCCATAATCTGTTAGGATCCTCCTTTTGGGGAGCACTCAACCTCTTTTCTAAGTTTATATAAAGGCTCCCATTGTAACCTGAGGTACTCATTTTGAAGGCCTATATAAAGGCAGATAGAAAAAGAAGATTGTCAGCAGTAAATTATCATAAATTCAGCTCACGAAAGTATGATCCATTTAAAGTTCTTCAAAAAATGACAATACATATGTCATTGACTTATAAGAGATAATAGAAATATCATCCACATTCAATGTTATAGATATCTATGAGTATTATCTGAAGCAAAGTACAAACTTCAAGACAAGTCCTTTTCAAGAATGAGAGACTGATGCAGCCAAAACCCTGAAGCCCACTACTAAAGAAGCCTGAAGCTCAATATTGATACACCTTGAAGCCCCTTACTGTTGCAGCTTCAAGTCCAATTTACTTAACTGACCCAATTACGAAATTAGCCCCCTATATATTTTTATTATTTTTCGAATTTCATCTGAATTTAAATTTAAATTTAAATTTCAAATTCAAAATTCAATTTCATCCGAAATTTAAATTTCAGCTAAAATTTGATTTTAAATTTAAATTTTATTTAAAATTCAATACCCTTGTGGACTCAGGGAATCTGTTCTTGATTCTGTGGATTCAGAATCACCCCATATAGACTCAAGGGACCTCTCCTCTTCAACTGTAGATTCAGAGAGAAAAGACAACCATTAGAGCATGTTTAACACGTCTTCGACCCCCAAGTTTCACTGCATCATTGTGCCAATTGTCTTGATTCTTACTTAACACACTAATCTATTGGATGATTGCTTAACACACCAATTGTTTTGATTCTCGTATTAGCTTGTGCCAATTATTGATCTTATGGGATGAATAGGCTTTTCTTAGCCTGCGTCCAATTTACAAAGGTCACTAACTTTGGTTTCCAAATATTCTCCTTATGAAAAACACAATAATTTTAGTAGATCAGTGACTCTCTTATTTGATAAATTATGGATCTACCTCAAATGCTAGATAGCTTGTTAATGATCCCATAAGATCAATAATTGGAAGAGAACAAGTGACTGCACATGGAAATACGTAATTTTTTTTTTTGTCTCAGAGAATATATTAAAATCAAAATTGATCAAATTTATGACAAACTATACAAATTCATTCAAAGAGAAGCTTAAACATGGTGGCAATCAGAATAGGGTAACATTGATGCTCATTGTTCAGGACCTAGCACAGATTATTTGCGAAAGAATTGCAGTGAAATATGTCAAGGGCACAAACAGCTGCAATATGTAATATGTCTGGGTCACTCAATGTTTATCAACATAACTTGAGTTTACAGGGATGTTTCAAAGGGTTAGTGCTCCTGGATCTTGTATGAGAATCCTAAATCATCTGTAGAGCGCCTTCTGATTGTGCTCGCCCTTTGCATTAACCGAATCAATGCTTGAACTACTTCAGACATTGGTGGACGGAACTCCGGCTCTGGCTACAACCATAGATATCAACCACAAATCTCCCTAGGTTAGATAAGCAGGTGCCTCCCAGTATTACTTGCAATAGAAAATTTTGGAAAAATAAGGTAACTACAAAAGATCTTACAGGACTAGATTATAAATGAAAAGATCTGTCTGTAGAATCACTAGAGAAGAAAATGAAGCTATTTATCATCTAATCCAATTCATAAACAGTGTCAAATCAAACAAGATGGCACTAAATTAATGACAAAACAAATAATATTTATCCCCAGTAAACACAAAAGAGACCGTTTTTGGGGGAAGGAGACAAAAAGCAATTAAAACTACCTGAACGCATAGAGCAATGATATCAGCAAACCGGGAAACAGACTTCACAGGATACATCCCCCTCAGTGCTGGATCAACCATTCTAGCTAATGCATCAATGTCATGGAGCTGGGGAGCAGACCATCTGACAAGGGACTGTTCTGATCTCACCCTCGAACTGAATAGCACGGGGAAGAATATAGAATTCAACCAAAATAAGATTAACCCCTGTGGGGTAAGGTAACATAAAGATAATCAAGATATTTTTCTGGGGAAGAAGGATGACCTGTCTAATGCCTTGCGACCAGTCAGCAATTCTAACATCACCACTCCAAAGCTGTAAACGTCACTCTTTATACTATAAATCCCAGACATTGCAAACTCAGGAGCACTGTAGCCAAATGAACCTATCATCTGGGCAGAAACCTGTTGACAGAACAAGCGTCAATGGTATCTAAAATGTTTAAAGTTGGAACAATCCACATCTGTGATTCGCCAGTTAATAGAATTTACCTGCCTCTCTGTATTGGATGTTAAGGCAGCTAACCCACAGTCTGACAAGTAAGGATTAAGTTCATCATCAAGCAGAATATTTGATGACTTCAAGTTTCTATGGGCAACAGAAGGCAAGCACACTTCATGCAAATACCTGGACAAAAACTGATTATAAAGTATTCAAGTAGAAAAAATCATCGAGAAAAAGATTCACAAGAATTGGTGCTTACTCCAAAGCCCTAGCAACGCCAGTTGCGATCTTGACACGCCCATTCCACGTAAGAGGCCTTCTGTCATCATCTGTGAAGTGCAAGATGTCATGCAAAGTTCCATTTCCTATGTATTCATGGACCAAAAGTCGTTGACCATGTTCAACACAGTAGCCAAGCAGCGTCACAGTGTTTGCATGCCTAAGCCGAGACATGCTAGAAACAGCTTCAAGAAAATTATCTTCCTCCTGTAATGATAGTGCTGCACTATCTATCCTTTTTACAGCCAGAACCTAAAAAGACGATTCATTTAACATCATTTAAAAAATCAAGTGCAATAAGTTCAGGAGTAGAAATCAAAGCTGATAAGGGAGAACAAGAGATCTGAAGAAGAGACTCTGCAACTTCTATCAACGTACCAAAGCAGTGCGAAAAAATGATTGTAAATATGCAAAATCAGGTTCATTAGTAGAGTTAAGGAAAGCCAGACAGATAAAAAAGCCTATGGAATATCATAGAGTTAGTTGAATCTAAAAAGTTAGCCTCACCCCCCAGTCCATCATTAGTTTTAAACTGGCCTCAGAAGTCGCGCAACAGCCTAAATGCTTCCTGGAACCGCCTATTGTTATATCCTGTAGCCCAAAACAGCCGGGATGAGAAATAGCCAGACTTTTCAACCTATTTAGAAAGTTCATTTCTCCCCGCTTGCCAAATGCCCAATAATTAATAAGCTAAAACTCTGAACTCCTCTAGTCAATACAAAAGCCCAAAAAGGGCAAGTTAGTGTTATCAGATTGCACCCTCAAGAAGATGCATGCATCAGATCACAAGCTGGTATTGTTCTACAGGGTGGATATCTTTATCTTCATCTTTAAAGATACCACTGCCCATAACAGCTTTCTCGATCAGATGATGTATTTATCATCATTGCAATCGTCCATGACTGTTCAACTTCGTATATATCCTGAGGGTCCTGTCTCAATAGTCTGGAGTCCTCTCTGCCCTTGATGTAAATTGAGAAAATATTCAATTCAATTTCCCAATCTCCAAACTGGAATTGAGGCCTACCTATGTTTGTCTCTGTCGGTTCTAACTTTCTGAAATAGCAACTATATTCGGAGAATCTGACTGACTAAGAAAAAACAAGAAAATTTTAGATCTCCTTTTCACAAATAATACAATGCAATCTACAAAGCCAAAATAGGATCTTAATGATATTTAATACTTGTGTTTCTAAAAAATAAAACTTACCTTACTTGAGGCGTACAGATCTTATATGGAACTTGAAATAATACAGAATCACCAAAATAGCCTCGAATATGATGGCTTACAAGTGAAATTTAATCTAATACAAAAATAAATATTAAAATTCATGTTAAAGACTACTTTTCGAATATACCACGTCCTATACAGTCATAATCAGCTGGATCATCTTAGACTTTAACTCATCTAACATATGAAGCCATAGAATGATGTAGTCCTCCATTACAGAAGATGATGTATTCAGCACGTTTAAATTATCCATGTTCGCACAGTGATAGGCGTAATGAAGTTTTCATTTACCCACAAAATACAAAAGGCGTTTGATGGCATTTCAAGTATTCCAAGTCTAGCACCTTAGGTCCAGATCAGATAATTGAATTGGTTTCTGTATAATGTCGTGTTGTGACATGAGATAATTCCTCATTTCCAATAACCATTATATTTTATTGGCGCACATCCTCTTCTAGATAGCTACTCACACCACCATCCCTCATCTTCCTCAATAACTTCATTTCGTACACAAACACATGTTACTAAATCCCTTGCCCTGATAGTTGTCAAGAATAGATATACCATCTTTGACACCAAGATCACATCCACCTTCAGCACACACATCAAGAACACCTTCTCAACAGGGAGTTTCCAAGCGTTCCTTGTAGCGGGCGGATTGGGTGATAAGCGATTCTCGACCCTACATTTCGCATATGTATTTATGAAAGTTCCTTTTGAGATCCGGTCCATCATAAACTCAGTAAGATCTTCTTGTTTGCCCACTTTGTTCCTTTAACAGATTTGATCGGCTTTTCGTGCTTGCAGAGTTCCTTCCATTCTACCCTTAATCTGCTTCAAAAAGTTTTAAGCATGTGAGCTCACACATGTGCAATATTTTATAATGATATTGTCATGTTGGAAACTTCCTTGTGCAGAGTTTCCAATGCAACAGAGGGATGTGAACTCAGTATGCCAAATCTAGAAGTGTTTGGAGTCACTTCTCTAAATATTACATGCTAAAACTCCAGCCAGGCATAAATAACATTGATTCTATTTTAATTACCACATAAAACTCAAAACGGGTTAGCAAAAAAAAATGGATCTAGAGATGACTAGATCAACATTTAATAAAAGAATCATCAAAAGAAACTGCAATTGAAATCTAAATCCACATTGAAACAGAACATCACTTTTTCAAAATTTTAAAATCTTCAAATTAGCATGTATGACCATATACTTTCTGGTTAAACTTCTATTCTACCTTCCCGTTGGCCATTTCCGCCTTATAGACACGGCCAAGAGATCCCTCACCAACCAGATATTCCTGACTGAAGCTGTTTGTTGCAAGCTGAAGAGAAGCCACTGAGTACGACATTGCTGTAATAGGCATCCTTTGTCTTTTCGAAGAGCCATTCTTCCCAAATAACTTATCATCAACTGCCTTTTCAGTTATTGGTGGTTTCAGGCTTGTTACAGATGCAGCAACTTTGGAAACCTCCTGTATTCCTTTGCTTGTCGCTAAAAAGTAAGAGAAAATGTCTTTAGAAGGTAACTGAGATACATACTGCCCAAGATTGGAGAAAGAATGTGCATGTCTAACCTCCAAAAAAAGAAATCAATTACTGAGTCAGAACATAAGTTTTTTTACTGTCAATTTCATTTGAAGGCAATGAGACGAAACTAATCCAGGTAGACGAACTTTGAAATACCACAGCAGTTTGCATGACATATTTTTCCAATCGAAAGTGAATTGGGCCAGTACTACAACTCACCTTTTAGCAATATCTATGGAACTTTGGGCATTAATCTGTCTTGTTAATAAATAATAGTTACTCAAGTTGATATTAATAGTTTTCATTTCAATATCAAGCTGCCATGACCTCAGTCATCATAGAAAGAAATGGTTGGCCAAATGGAAAAAAATCATTTTGTAAATGGGACATGTATTATCATAGACAAGGAGGCTGTAGAAGGAATCAAAGTCAATATCTGTTGAAATGGCAGAAACCACCTCAAGATTCATTCACCTCTGACGCCCATTATATAGGGAGGAACCTTACACAATTTTGCAAAACATTCTCAATCTTTTACATAATTTTCTTACGACCTAGAATTTCCAACACTCCCCCTCAAGATGAACTTTGGAAAAGTTTATCTTGACTAAGTTGCTGATGACGAAACTTGCCCTCTAAGCATTTACTTGTTAGTGATGATGAAGATCCGCTGAGGCAGCAGCTCTCCCTTTGATGGTAGTCAAAAATGACCACCGCTGAGGTTGTAGACTTGCAGCACCTTCGGCTTCTCTGATGCTTGTCATCCCCCAGGGACAACTCACTATGGATATGATAACACCAAACACATGTACTTGATCATGATGCTCACTATGTCCCAAGGCTGCAGAGCTTGCCTTGGAGTCACGAGGTATAGTTGACAGGGTGGCACCAAGTATACAGAGAGTATCCCTCTGCTTGGAGATCTTTATAGTACCAAGCTCTGATGCAAAGACTATCAACTATGACGATCGATGTGATGATGGGGCTCAGTTCTTAAGAGAAACGTGGACCAACACCCCTCCCATCGATTGAGTGAGATCAAGACAAATGAACTCGCAGACAAACTCGATGGTGACAGCCATTCCGACGAAGTCAGAGGTGAGCAGACAGCACCAGACATGGACTATGGAGAACTTTGGTCACCCTATTAAGGAAGACATAAGACTGATGCAGAACAGAGGGAGACAGACTGCAGAAGATGACACTAGACTAAGACAAGGGCAAGTAAGAGAGGTTGATTTTACCTCTCATAAAACGTTGATAAAGATGGAAACAACAGTAATAGACCTAGATATTTCAGCCTCTAGATAGAAGATTTGATGTAGACAGAAATGACGTTAATGAACTTAAAGATGTCATTGACAAACCTGCTGCTGATGAACTCAGATATACTATCAAATGAAAAATGAAGATCACGGTATAAGAAATGAGTCAGAACAAGATCAGTGCTCTCTGGTAGTAGAACTGCCTCTCTGGCAAAGGACCTCACCAGAAGAGGAGGTGACAATGGACTTGTTTTCCTAGACTAGAGAACTGACAAAAGTAGAACCGTTCTGAATGGTAGAAAGAAAACCTGCTCGAAATGAACCCACTCTTATATCATGTTGAAATGGAGAAATAAAACCTTGTCACAAAGGACATAGGGGAGAACAGCAGAAACCGTCTCAAGATTCATTTACCTCTAACCCCTATTATGTAGGGAGTAACCTTAATAATTTTGCAAAACACCAGTGATAATGATTAGGATATAATTTTACATAATTTTTTTATGACCATTTATATCCAAGACCAGCAACTCAAAGAAACATTCGAGTAAATAAATAATTTAAGCAAGGAAAACTAAACAGATTGATTCTTGAAAATACTTCATACATTAGAAATTAAAAATACAAAAACATCTAAAATAAAAGTATTTAATTGGTTTTTTTTGTGTTATTTCTACGAACTTTATTGCTTGTAAATCACTTCATTTCTGCATATAATCAAAGTATTTGCTTCACAAAAGGTTTCATGACATTGATCTCTCGATGATTTAAAGTTTTAAATCTACCTCATCAACACGAGAATGACCATTCTGCAATATCATGCTCGTCTATGTGGCAAGCAATGTAAACAACAATGGAAAGATGTGAAGCAAACAAGAGAAAATATTGAGTGTGAAGAGAATGAAACACTAGAAACTCATTGACTGGAAAACGGGACGCTTGAATACCAATATAATTAAACATACGCCCCGTTATAGAGCCCAATGAATTAGATAATAGTGGATTGACCACTAGGTCAAGAAATGAAGAAATGCGGGAAAAGGCCCTGACATGTAGAAACTATCCAGAGGGGAAAAATTGTCTCAAAATATTTATCCCAGATATTTAAGCATGACAAAGACAAAAACCTGTGGTTTCCAAGGAAAGAGTAAACTCATGGAGATGCTAGGAGAAATAATAGGCAAATATTTCTCAAACTCGTCACTTTTTGCTATTCAAACCTAGGAAAACTAATTCCACTATTGTGAATTGCAGGATGAGATGATGATTAAGATAAAGACTCTGTATGTTAGTTAAAAGGTTCCAGAAAGGGGCCTGGGAGATTTCCCAGAGAAATGTGCAGGCACAACTCACACTGAAGCAGAAAAGCACTGACCAGCAACTAACCAGAGCTCATTAAGTCTGGTGAAACATATTCTGGTCATTTGGTGAGTGGTACCAACTGTTTTCTCCTTTAAAACTGAGAAGTGGTGCCCACTGAATCTAATACCTTTAGGACGACGAACTCTTACTCCCAAAAGAGGAAAACACTGTCAACCTACCACCACCTGAAGCATCATGTCAAGGCATAGAAACTTTGGAAACAAAACTTAAAGAAGCATTCAAAATAGTTTTCGTGGTTGATTGCATACATTCTAGAGCCACAGACTTTCCCGCATTTGTTGAGAAGATGACATGTATATGGAGACACGTACAAAGATCTTATCTAGTGGAGTTGAGATGGCACTCTATTGAAAAGATAGATTTAACTTAATGATTTTAAACGTAGCATTGGCTAACTATATTCAATGGTATTTTCACAATTATCCTCGTTCACTCCATAGAGTGGTATACTTTCTTTTCGTGGACAATTATAGACAGTATATTCTTTACTTTACTACTTCAGTCTCATGAAAGATTTCAACTCTACAAATTGATAAATCATAAAAAAAAAAATTATAAAAACAATAGCAAACAACAGTTAAGAATTCAAAGGCATTATCCTTTAGACATCTACCGACCTGAATCTTTGAGAATCAACCAACCGACAAATCAGTAGACTCCCAGGTGATTCTATGGTGTTCAAAGAGGGACTACTCTTCCTTTGTTTCGGAAGAAAGACGCTGCCCAAGGATTAGGTTGACATTGATCAGGTCTTAAAATGCAATTCTGACTCATGAGGATTGAACCTGCTCAGGAGGCTGCCCTGATCTGGCAAAAGATCTTGGTCTAGATACAGATTACTTTTAAGTCCGAAGTCTAGGCATACCTTCTCTATTGGCTGAAGTGTATGAGTACGAAACTGTCCGATTTGTATCCAGTTTTCAGGTTATAATTTGTTTCTATATTAGTGTTTAGGCAACCTTAAAGACACGATAATAACCTCCTCATAGCCTTTCTGAAGAAAGGAAGAAATTAGGAACTAATAAAATGAAAACAAGCAGCATAAATAACAATGAATGATAAATCACAAGTCCAAAAAAAAATGCAAGATAATAATTAGACATGAGAATCACGAATACTCCGTGATCAATTCTTTAAATATATTCAAATGAAACCACATCAGCACTAAACTTATCAATACCTTCTCTCTGGTATGGAGAGCTTGATTGAGGTTTAGAGAATAATGGATCCCTTGTTCGATTGCTCCATTCTGTTGGCACATGCGATACAATAAATTGTAATTGGAAAACTGATACCATCCATCTAAGAAGTTAAAATTTTGCTTATAAGGTGCTCATTGGGGAAGTCATCCCTTGTAATGAAAGTGTAAAATAATAAATCCATGACGTTGATGTAATTAAATCATAATGAAACAGAACACAGATCCATGAGTGATGATTATTAATGTTTTAAGAAGAATCTTTGAAAGAATTAAAACGTTCACCTAGAGCACAGTGTGAACAAAAGTAGATATCTGAAAATTGAAGGATTCATAATTTCACCATTTGCAATGAAAACAGACAACACCTAGGTTTTGGTAGTGGACAGTCGTAGTTATCATTAATGGTTAGATGAAAATGTAAAGAATTGAACAGAATTGAACATAAACTTGCTAACGATATGTAATGCAAATGTGGGTTTTTTGGTATCATGATGTGTGGCAAGCCTATGGATACAAATACATCGAAATGTGTCATGAACAGTGGCACCCTATGAGGCCTCATATGCAGGGAAAAAAATCAACTCGTGTTCACGTCACAGATAACTGTTATATACAAGTACCAGGGCCACGAAACAAGGAAACTTACAAAAAAACTAGTAAATAGACAAATTATGAAACGAACCAACAAACTAGGAAACATTCCAACTAAGAACCAAACTCCTCATTACATGTTCTTTCCATACTCCCCCCTCAAGCTTCATTCCCACCTTGGATAAAAGAGTCTGAAATATATGACTACTTAATTCCTTGGTACGTCTGCAAGTGTCTGTCAATCTTCATATGTTTCATTCAATCCAGTTACACTGGGTTGTGAGCTATGCTAATTGCAGACTTGCTGTGACAATAGTCTCATTGGGCTATCCCACTTAATCTTCAAGTTTTCGAAGATAATCTTCAACCAAAGAAGTTCTCACACAAACCTTGAGTCATTCGTCGGAATTTACTCTCTGCAATTTACCATACTACCGCATTATGTTTCTTACTTGTCTACATCACAAGACTGCCACAAAGAAAGGTGCAATATCCACTAGTTGATCTCCCATCAACCACTGACCTTGCATAATTTGGATATGTGTGTGCCTCAAGTAGCAATCCTCCATTTTTCTGGACAGAAATATTTTTTCTTGGTGTCCCTTTGAGATAATATGGCACTTAGTGAGCTGCCAGTAGATGGATTTTCTTTCAACTACGCATGAAGCGGCTAATCACACAGACTTCATATGCTTTATCTAGTTGTGTATTGCAGATGGATCTTCTTTCAACTATGCATGAAGTGGCTAATCGCACAGACTTCATATGCTATATCTAGTTGTGTATGAGACAGATAAATGAGTCTTCCTACCAAACACTGATACATTTCCTTACCTACTGCAGCATCCTCTACATTTCCAAGTTTGAGATTCTGATCCATTGGAGCAGTGGGTTTGCATGTGCTCTTGTATGTTTCTCTAAGAAGATATGTAACATAAATCTTTGGGGAGATGAAGATGCCAAATGTCTCAAGTCGAGCTACTTCAATCTTGAGAAAATATTTCAGCCCCCCTAATGTTTTTTATCATAAACTCCTTAGCCAAACACTGACTTATATTCTCTCTTTAAACTCATTTCCAATCACTATTATTTCATCAACACATACCAAGAGTGATGGTTACATGAAGATGAGTGTTTAATAAACAAAGAGCGATTTCCTTGACTTTCTATAGGTTTGTCTTGTGCATTCTCTAGTCTCTTTTCTCATTGTAATGGGAAGACTGACACAGCAGAAATGTTGCTTGATGGATGATTTGATCGAGTTGATGCAGCCTGAGTTCCACAGAGTCGAAATCTCATTCTTGAATTCACAAAAGACTTGATTTCCATGAAGATCTTTCACCCTGAGTCCACAAGGTGAAGAAACCTTGTCCCTTGAGTCCACAAGGGGTTGATCTAGAGTCCACAGGATTAGAAATAGCTCCCTGAGTCCACAGGGATGTTGAAAACCACTAGTTGAGATGGAGAACCTCCAGTGAGGAAAGGAACTCAAAATAAATTGGTGAAAATGTTCATTCCTCTAAGGCTACAAGGTGGGGGGGGACTATTTATAGGCCAAAAATTAATATTAACTAACCTAGGAAATCTGTTATGATCCTAACATTCACATGGAGCATCCAACACCATTCACATGTATGATGTGACTTCTTACAATATATACATTTCATGGTATTAGTATGGTCATGATTATAGGCCTTTACTTTAGGTTTTCCACTCTCATCAACTTGTGCTCTCTCTACATTTCTGCCTGAATTATTCCCAGCTCTTGCCACCACTGCCAAGCTCTTCATGCCTTGTGGTTCAAGTATTAAGCTTCCACCTCGATGAATCAGTGCCACCACCTCATTAATATGCAAAACGTCCTCATTAATATGCCACCACTATTGCCAAGTTGTCCATACCTCGTGGTTCAAGCATATTCTGTAACTCTTTTGCTCCCCTGTTTTATCCTCATTGTCTTCACAGTTATTTACAATCTTGAGATGCATCTCTAGCTTTAAAATATGACTACTGGATTGCATCTTAGATATCTTTGGCCGTAGCTAGGAATATACATATGTCACTAATCTCAAAAGTCAGAATTCCATAGCCATGCCATATTCTTCATCCCATCCTTCAACGTGAAGATTCCTTGGTTTTGGTCTTGTACTTGTGAGATGGCTGGTTTTCCTTTTTTTTCTTTCAACAGTGAGAACAAATTGTGACCACCTAAGGAAAAAAAAATTCATTCAGTCTATATTCAGCTTAAATGCCTGGCAATTCCCCAGATTGTGTTGTAGCAGTCATCCTAAAATTTCTGATATCTGTAGAAAACTGACAGCTACTTGCAGTGTAAGGATTGCTGGCATTGTTGGCAAAATAGCCTTGATGTAAGTAGGCAAGGCTGAAAGCATTGACAATGAAGGTGGATGATCAAAAAAAGATTTCGTAAACAACCGTAGAGAATATCAGTCATCTGTGATTGATGAAAATGCAATCAATGACAACCCTACGTTGCTCTGTGACATTCAATGCAAAAGAGGAGGATAAAAAAGGTATGAACCAAGCATAGATATGGCTTTCTGCCTTTGATTCCGTTGTTAGTTCTTCTCCCCGATGGTTGAGTGTTAGAATGACGAGATTCTCCTGGTTTTCATAAACTAAGCAACCCTTTGACTCCTAGGCTACAATAGAACGAAGCAAACCCTAGATTATTTGGAAGCCAAAGACTAAAAACTGGCTTTGATACCATGTTGTGAATAGTGGCACAAACTCTAGGAAGATACGTAGAGGAAAAATTCATAGATGACTGTTATAAATAAGTACCAAGGCCACAAAACAAGCTAGGAAACTACCAAAGAACATAGAAATCAAAAAAATAGGAAATGAACCAACAAGCAAGGAAATGGGCCAACTAAGAGCCGAACTCCTAATTGTACATCATTTCCCACAAAATGTTTGAATTCACAAAAAATATTATAATCCAAGTGCACAGATTAAGTCATCACTATTTTCACAAGACCTAAAATTAGAATAAAAGTAACCATTCTACTTACTCTACAAGAACACTTGCTTCGACTCTCAAGTAAATTATAGTAATCATAGAAAGTCATATAGAGGTGCAAGGGGCATCTATAGTTTACACAGGGATCCATAGTAAATGGATCGTGATCTATAGCGTGCCATAATTTCTGTTTGAAATGGATGGTGATTAAATGGGTTGCATACTTTAAACTGTGACATTCTTTATTTTTCCGCTTTTTGCTTTTGCAGCAAGCTAATGAACGCCAACTGATTAGTTATTGGGATGGTAAGATGCTAACTTGGAGGATGGGTACAGGTGAGTTTGGATTAAATGTAAATTTAGATGTTCACTGGAAGTAACGCATTAGTGTCGTTGAAATGAAAGAAAGTCTAACAAGAAGCAAGTATAAGACTTTCTCACAGCTAGTGAGATGAAGGATCTACTGAGGATATTTGGCAGAGATGAGGAGAGGGGGGAAGGGGCCAACTGACCGGTTCATGGGCAGTAGATGTAAGTTACAAAATGGCAACTTATTACCACTACTGCTTGTAGCTGAAATAAGCTGCAGTCCCGTTCGAAGTGAGACTGAAGCAGGGTCAGGAGGGTCTCAGAGTAACGCCCTGACAGAGGTCAGATCAGTGGCAGAAGGAAGGACTCCTAAAAAACGTACCCTAAATTGTGTTTCATCGCTAGTAACAGCTTAAAGGTATCCGAGCTTCACATTTAACTCCAAGAGATTCATCTTACACCACTCAGGGTCTGATTCATAATCTCACATTAACTTAAATAGATCAACAGAAGAAAGATCTACAGTTAATGAATATTGATTACCTTTCTGATAAGTAGATTTATTGAGAAATTTCATCAAAACAGGTCTACTAATAATTTCATCATATAAAAAAGAAATAAAAATTAGCCACGTTGAAAAACCAATATTATAACACTTTAGAATAGTCATACAATGAAAAAGGAACAAAAAGTAAACGTGCCAATACTAAAAATTTAATTAAATATACAAGATGTCAACATCATTCAACAACAAAAGACAACAAGAAAAAGAAATCATCAGCTTCTCAGATAGCAATAGCTGGAAAAAGTAATTCACAAATAAAAAGAATACAGAAAATGAATATTCAAACAGATGCGACGGTATAAAACCACTAACAACTATAAATCGCATCAACAACAGCATCATAAGAATCCATTCATATTGTGTATTTTGTGCATATAAGAGTCCATAAAAAATAGCCACATCATGCTTCCACTCTAGAAAGAGGGTAAACTTCAAATCTTCCCCAATCAAAGAAAAGTATAAAAACATTCAAAACAATGACAAAGAAAAAGAATAACCTTTGTCCGTTCCAAGTACGAGAGCTGGGGAGTCCTTCAAGTTATTATTCACAGCACCTTTGCCCTTGGAATAGTTCCAAAGACAAAAGAAAACAGCAACAGTTGCACAAAGGCCAACAAATGCAGAACCGACTACTATGCCCATTATTGGTCCCACCATTGAGCTTTTATTATTTTTTGTGTTCGGAGTAGGGCCTTCAGGTTCAATTGTAGAAATTTTGGGATACCGATTTTGGTTATGAGTACTATTTGACTTGTCAGGTGGGGGGGATATATAAGGGGGTGGTGGAGGAGCAGGGCTATTGTTGAAAGGGTTGCCTTCAATTCTGTCAAGATAGAAATGTAAGTCAAATCCGTTGTCATGGATAACACAAAAGACTAATGAACAACAAAAACTGCCAACCTGAGGTTAGGTATTCCACTAAATTCACGAGGAATCCAACCAGTAAAATGGTTGTTTGCAATATTCCTGTTAGGGGGTATCAAGTAATCAAAAACAAAGGAAGTTGATACGGATAAATGAAAAGATGAGAAAAATGTTACACACAAATTCTCTATTTCAAGATTTGAGAGAACATCGACTGGCCCAGTCAATTGATTGTCCTGCAAATAACTGTGAAAGTAGTGCATCAGGATTCATTCAATAATTCGTCAAAAAGATGAGAAAATCTCTCTACATTGGAGTTACAGATCAGAAGAGTTTGACCATAGTGAACTTACAGGCTGGATAGGTTCAACAAGGAACTAAAAGAATTTGGCAGCACACCAGTCAAGTTGTTGAAAGAGAGGTCCCTGTTAGAAAATAATAGACGATTTCCATAAATTAAAACCACTTTCCACATCTACATGTATTGCATGAAAATGATATGAAAAATACTTCACACTATGGGAATGAAATCCAGCAAGTTGCTAAATATGAATAAGTGAATAAATCAGAAGTACCAGGGCCAACGGAGCAAAGTTTATGCATAACTAGTTCCATGGGCACCATCAAAGGCCTACGGCATTTTCTTTGATAAATCTTATGTCTGAATGAATACTCTGCAGTATGTGGGTAGATTATGATCAATCAGAAAATTATCAAGGGCAATCAGAGCAGGTAACAAACAAGGAATTAGGAGCCTTCAGTAAAGATTATTTATGGCACAACTCATAAATCAGGACTATGTATGTGCCTGATCTACAATATTAATATGGCACAACTTAAAACTTCTAATGGAGATTGATCGGTTAGAATTTATGATGAATACATTAGACTCCACTGTATAGCCTTTCCATGGATGTTTACATATGTAAACCACCATTTCGAAGTGCAGTGGCACAAAACACTTCTATTGAGAATTGATCAATAATACACAGGGTCAAGGTCAAAGATGAGAAGATGACAGTGCCAGACTTAATCATTTGCGTGAACTCCTTAAGCATTTTATCTTTTCTTCCCTCTGACACAACCTTCTGCACAAGCAAGTGCCAGACACTTAAAACAGAAGCTCATACGGCACCAGTGATAGACATTTGACCTTACAAGTAATTACTGAAGAAAGTTGCCCGTCTTAGAAGAGGAAATAACCGAAATTTACATCAGTAATATCATTCACTCTCCAAATTTTTTCAAGAAGATGAAAGAGCACGAAATGACCCCACGAGATGGATATACATGGGATATATGAATCAACGTAATGCTATGTCATCCGATTTTGATAACATTTCCCAAATACCTATCAATTAAACAACCCAATAAAAACGGAAAACACATTCGTGCATCATAATACTCCAAGCATCAAACTCTATGAAGATTGTAAGGGTGGGGAAGGGTTTAAGTGTGCATGACGAAGTAATTTAATTTACTGACATTCCATCTTGTAACTTCCTGTTTCAAAATTAATCCTCCCACAAAGAGCCTCATGGATGGCTTCTTGTCTGACACTACAATAGTCATCATCGCTAAGCATGATTGGGAAAACAAGAATATATCTAGAATCAGAGTACATTTTCATATTTCAGTGATGGACGAGACATTTCACAGAAAAACACCCAGTTTCGAGTAGCAGCCTTGTGCTTGTTAAGTGTAATAAGTCATGTTGAATGAATAGTCTGCTGCAAAGACTGAAATTATACGATAATACTAGCAGACAAACAAGAAAATTGAACAACTATTTACAACACTGGAGACCCAAACTCGTTCAAGTACTTGATGGGACCCCAACGGAAAAATCAAACAAAGGAAATCAGCTGCAACTTAACAAGTGTCAAATTCTAAGCCAACTATCTTGAACGTCTTAGCTAGAAGAGTAGTCCACAAAGAGGAGAGGTAATTGTTCCATGTTGTAATTGTCATACGAAATTATATTTCGTGAAAAAACTCACAAACCACAAAATGGTAGTTGGATTGTCAATGGAATCAAGCATGCTTTCATGAATGGCTAACTACACTGCCTTTGCTTTCAACAACATTCTTGGAGAATGTTGTCTTTTTATTACTTCTTATTGTCTGGTGCTAGATCGCTATTAAGCAAGGGTTGTCACAGTGTAAAGCATCAGTTTGAACATTTGAGAAACCAACATATGATCGTTTAGAGGTGATCTAATGAATACCAAGGGAAATACTTGGTTGGTGGTGTAGGTCTTTAGTGGCCTATGAAAAATAATCTACTGTTAGAGAAAAAATCATCCAACAGCTAGTTTATCAGTTTCTTTTGTTAGTACTTCGGAAAATTTCCACAGATGTCAATCTTTTTACTGTAGGTGTCAACATTCGTACTGTAGGTGCCAAGCCTTGTCCTGTAGCTGTCAACACCTACTTCATGACACTTAAAACTATCATTAGTTTGACAGTTTCAGACAACAGTACTGGGTTCTAGTGAGAATTTTTATAACTCAAGATACCAATGAGCCAAGGTAAAACCATCATCAAGCAGGCATCTCTCATGGACTCCAGGATAGGATAAGCTGGTTAGATTGGCCCATGCTAGAACCAATCTAGATAGGAATTAATGATCCAATTCATGGAAAAATTACAAATGTTATAACTATAGAAAAAACTCATTCATCAAATAATAATTACATTCTACTGGTTTCTGTTGAGGCAGTTTCTGTTGTATTTATTCAAGTATTCATCCACACGTTGCTCATATAATTCTCTTCACTAAAAAGGGTACATACAGCAAATAATAAAAGGCGCTGCTTCATTCTTTAGCTTTGTAAAAACCTCCTGCAACCGAGCAATTCTCTGATATACTGTAAGTGTTGGTCACTTATTCTCAGTTAATAGAAAACATTTCTTTGTAGTTAGATGAAATATTTTCAAGAATACTTGTAAATTTGTACATTGTGAACAATCGAAAACCAAAGGAACACATTGGTCTCCACATAACTCTGTAACATGAAAACTCTACTAGAATCGAAATTTGAGAGTATAGTTACTCATGTTAACTTCATTTGTTAGAAGTTTGAAGATAGTACAATCGAATGTGCTCAAGTGAGGGTAAAAAACTGAAATATCACTAAGCATGCTTTAATAAGGTATGCAAGGTAAGTCATAGTGCCAAAATGCAACTTTATGAAAACTACACTCCTTTTACTATGTAATTTTTGCTATGCTGAGATAGTCAACTTATCTAAAAATATGTAGATCTTGCATTCAAATATTGACATACACCTAAAAAACTTAAAATCACTTGAACCCAACATTCTTGAAAAATATAAATTTTAACATGCTCTATAACCCCAACAAAAAACTACATTTTTGTGCAGAAGATGGTAAACCATTACAGCTACACGCAAATATCTCGTAGGTATCTCAGAAAAAAAGTGAGGCTTCACATTGCCACCATAGTTCACCACTTGCATGTGCTTGGTTGCATCACATGGAACTTAGACATAAACTGTGACCCTACCGATGCAAAACAAGAAGCCACGGGTCACAGTGACAAGTCCAACGCCACATGAGCATCCCACAAATGATACATCAAAAGGATACAATACTGAAAGTTATTTTTGAAAGTACTCCATTTGAAAATTTTACAAAATGCATCAGAATTTTGGCAGCATACAGACAAATGAATCAGAATTCCCAAGCTCCACTTGCAGGATGGATTGGGATGAAGGTGGCAGGATGATAGCCGCCACATTGCAGCTGCCTAGACAAGAGGCAACTAGCAGCATGGAAGAAATGATGCCATGGTGATCAACCGCAGTTACTACAACATTGGCAACATCACTAGATAAATCGTTTCCCTTTCGTGTTTTTTCTTCCTCCACAATTTCCTTCTTATTTATTCAGATACACCAGCAGGTGGTGAGATCAAATGCAGAATTACAAGTAAAACCAGACGGTATAAGCGATATTAGGTCAGATAATGCAGAAAACTGAAGCCAATATCCCTAGAATCAGCCATGTTGAGGTTAATCAACCCCATAAATTAGTTGCCCCCCCCCTCCACCCCAATTTGGTGTCCTTCATAGTCCGGTAACAGAATGGCCTGAGACAAAATCAATGCAAAGTATACTCGAAAAGTAAAGGTGCTTACAGAACAGATAGATCTTGGAGCTTCAAAAAAACATCCCCAATTGCTTCAGAGAGTGAGTTGCTGCTAGCATTCCTGCAACCAAGGGCTTTCTACTATGACATTCCACTGAATTTAAGGTGCCACTTTGTCGAAAAAGGACAAAAAAAATTACATCCAAACGAGCACTTACAGATAATTGAGGAACACCATGGTAGAAATCGAGTAGGGAACGTTGCCAGTCAATCTATTGTTTGCAAGATTCCTGTGTTCAAAAATCAGGGGCCGCCTAAAAAATAATAGATAAAGGGACGCAGAAGGGGAATGAAATTTACAGGTAGGTAAGATTCGGAGGTAGTTGATACGGGATTGCATCGTGTATGTAGTTGTCGCTAAGATCCCTTAAAACAGAGAAAAGAAGTAATGAAGTAAACACAATCATAGAAGAGACGGAGATGAGCACAATATTTGGTAAAAAAAAGGCAAGGGGACATTCTCACAGTGTTCTCAAAGATAATAGGTTTGCAAGTTGGTAACCCAAGGATCCATCAAGCCCGAGGCCAGGGTTTTGACTGTTAAGGTTGCAGAGGTAATTATTAAGCAATGGAACAAAATTGCGCAATAACTGTAGCGGGTGTCAAGGGATCCTCTTCTTTACATAGAAACAACTGATGAGCCAGAGCAAGAGATCCCCTTCCATGATTCTCCACAGGGATCACCGCCACTTGACTTCCATCCAGATAGCTGATAAGGTCTGTTCAGTGATCCATAGAGGACTTGGAGGACTTGAACTGCAAGTGGTAGCACCGATCAGTGCTGCTTTATAAAGTATCTAATGATCAAATAACTTCTTTGAAAGAAATGGCCAGTTCATTTGACCATGTTATATAATGTAATAAATCTTTTCCCATGGTTGATAGAGAGTTTAGCCATATATAACACGAGGCATATAACTGAAGGAAATAATGGCAGAAGAAATAGAAGAGGATAGCATAAAGCACCAACCGTCCGATGGGTTGGTCGCCGCGCCAACCAACACCGCCGTCCTTAGGAGCGCAAGTAACACGGCAGACAGGAGGATTGTCGTAGACCTCATATGGACCTCTGCATCCTCAACGCCTGAGAGCAAGAACAAAAGGGAGAAAAAATGGCGCATAGAAAACGGATGATACCTTGCCTCCTCTGCTTCTCGATTTCGCCTCTCCGGCCGAACAGTTAACTGCGCCGGTGGCAGGTGACAGGCGGCAGAGCTGGCCAAGCTCTGAAAACAAATGGCGGACCTATTCCCCCCTCCCTCCTCCCCTTTCCTTCTGCTCCCTCGTCGCCCGCATTACAACCACAGGCATCCCTTGGACCGCGCACATACCCTAAAACCATAGAAGTGAAAATATAGATGCTCGGTTGGGGAGGCGAGTTAGGAAATGAGACTGCAAAGCGGGGGATAAGCGGGCGAAAGAAAGCGGAATACGACGACAGATGTGGAGAGTAAAAGTTCGTACGCCAGCGAGATGAGAATGGTCCTGGAGCCGTGGACGTCGGAGGGAAAGGTGAGGAATCAAGGGGGAAACAGTGACAAGTGGATGACGCGCAGGCAACAGACAAAATGAAAGGCAAGCAACGATTGAAGGAGTGGGGCTCTCTCTCTCCCTCTCTCTCACTCTCACTCTCGCTCTCTCCCCCTCTCTCTCTTCCCTCCCCCCCCCTCCCCCCTCACGCATCCCGTAAGAATTCAATAGCAAATCAAACGAATCATTATTTCCATCCGTAAACCTCAACGAGAGTGAATGCTCCGGGAGAGAAATAAAGAAAGGAATTGCCGACGGAGGTAGCTCAGCTCATAATGGCGGTCACGAATCTTGAGAAGGCCTAGATTTGAACGCCAATACAAAAATATCGATGATGATGACGATCTTCGCCCGTTCGCCTTTTCGAAACGAGGGACCATCAGCGATCGGACAGACTGAAGTAGATAGCACCGCCCTGAAACTTCCCCAGCCATTTACTGCCTTGCGGTGCGCCGGAAAACTTACGACCAGCGGTTAAAGAGAGCTTGAAGTGACACATAACATGCCGTGGCAAGGAAATTAACAGCCGACTGCATGCACGTAGGGCCGGAGTTTATCGGTCGCTATGTGAGAATAGTCCGTGCCGCCAGCAGAACCAGACGAAGTGGGAGGTCTCCGAGGAGCGTGAGGCGGCCTCTGGATGGAGAGACGATGCCAGGCAAGGTCGTGACGTTTCCACCCCGGCGACCTTTCCCCCGCGACGGGTCTTCTCAGCGGGAAAGCTTGCGAAGCCCTTGCCGGGGCGGGGCGGGACGGGTGACGCACCAGGGCGGAAGACAAGACCGTGGGAAGCACCTGTGTACACGAGCGTACCAAGTTTATTTTCACTTGCACCCGTCCATTTGGCCCATCACACGACGCCTCTGCCACTATGGGCCCACTTCACTTCACATACGGTCTCAGCCTTCCTACCCTAAGTCGCCCTCGCCCCACGCGAGATTTGCCGGAAGATGGGAGTAGACGACGAATAAGCAGAATACGATTGAATTTTTTTTCAATTGAGAATTAGTAATGGGGTGCTTGTTATACTCTAACTAGTAGCAAGGACACCAATATGCCGATATAGTATCGACAAGAAAAAAAAACTAAGATAAACCTGATGCTCAAACAAGAGGGGGTGTGTTTTTTTGGGTATTGCTCTACAAAAAAAAGGGTGGATTCACAATTATGATCAAACAAATAAGAAAAGTGGCATATCTTGCGATGATAGATATGTTCAATTAAAATATTATTTTAAGCATTGAGTCACTGAGAATAAATCCTGCAGAGAATTTGATTCGTCTAATTCCTCTTTGGATAGTTATAAAAGCTAGTAATGTTGATTTTTCTTACGGATACGATTTTTTACTCCTCCAGATGAAACAATGGTAAGCTGAAAAGGATACACTTGGTTGTTCCTGACAACCCAACGCAACCCAAATAAATTAATGGTTGTAACTTATCTACATTTATTTCTCTTTTTCACAAAGAAAATTATTTTTTGATAATTAAGTTACAATGCCGGCTGCTTGAAATCCTATATTCCATGAGCACACAGCGCATCAAAATAAATCGTCAACTATTCAAAGAAGAAATCCGAACCATTTTTTTTTGCATTTTATTCGTTTGATTCATCGATTTGGCAAACATCTTTCTGAAGTACTCTTTTGTTTCAAGTTTGAGGGATATTGCTCCAATTAGCCTCTTTCAACATGTCTAGCATCAACTTGTCGGGCGAGAGTGATGGCGACTAAGAGAGAAAGTTGGTCTCTATTTAGACATTATGAAGACAATATTATCCTCGTAATCCCCGTAGTGTTGCCATTTGCTGTGTTGGAGACCATCCATATGCATTTCCTCCCATTGAGGACTGCTATTTACTCTCAACTTACGCCTATCCAATCAAATTTTATGATAACTCGAAGAGAGGGCATCACTTAAGCCATTCAGAACGGGCTAAAAAATCGACTTAACGCCTGGTTTTGAAGTATTATTGTGTCCGTTTGAATTCTCGCACGTCGTATTTAATGCCGAAGTTCAATGAGAATTTTAAACCTTAGAAAGGGCCTCGAATTTGATAAGATGCAGTCGAATCGACGTCCGCAGAGATCGCATCTTGGTGGTGTTGGGCCAAGACGGACGACAGCTGGAACGTGTTCTTCGTCGAGTGAGCCGGAGACGGGCTGTGTTGCCGTCGCTCGACCCCGTCTCTGGCGCGCCCGAAAATCACCGTCGGTGTTAAACTCCCTCCCATGTTCACCATCTGATTCTCATTCGCTAACGGACTAGCAGGTTGGTGCGAAGGTCGAATGCTCTCCCTCTCGCAGCGCCGGTGACCAGGCCAGAGATGAGATGGAAGGCCGCGGGGAAGGGAGAGGAGCAGGTACAGTGAACACGGATGGAAACCATAAGGAGGGGGTGCTTGGGCATGCGAAGCTGCAGGAGGCCGCGGAATCCGTGGGAGCCGACAGGGACGGCAGCACCTTCCTCCCTGAGAGATCCCTCGCAGGGACACCCCGCGGTCTCCTCCGTCAGCCCTCTTCCGGGGTTGCCCACGGGGTTACTCTTGAATGCACCGGGTTGTCGTCGTCCTTCCCTTTCGGCGGTGTTGACAGATTCGGATCTGCTTCGTCCTCTCCTCCTCCCCTTCCAGCGGCTACGGCATCCGAAGGCCGCCGGAGTACGGAGTGGAATTTGAATCATCAGCATGACCAGCAGGACTTCTGGAAGTTGAAGGTGGCAAGGTGGGATGGCATGAATGGGTGTTACCGGCAGCAGCAGCGGAGGAGGTGGTGGAGGAGGAGAAGTTTACTGGTCGGAGTTGCCCTCGCCGCTCTGTTCTTTCTTCTCGTGAATTGGTGGATGCTTTCTCTGCTTGAGGAGTTCTCCTTTCACCAGAAAGCCACAGCTTCTGGCCTTTTCTCCATTGTGACCCCACCATCAAAACTTCTCTTTGTAAGTGATATAGTTCTGAAACTTTTGGCCAACGATAATTCGATAGACCTCTAAAATTATTTCTTATTCATTTAATCGATGCCAAATGCGTATTTTTTTGTTTTCATGTTGAGGTTTTCTTATTTCCTCGGCGTGTTTCTATCTTGATAAGGAGGCCAAATTTAGTTCCTTCAATTGAAACGGCCGTTTTCTCTGAAAAAATTACTCCCATATTTATGCATTGTCATCAGATATTGGGAGTGTGCCAGGTTTCCACATAAATCTTCAAATTTTCAGGCAACTGCGTTTTCTTGTGGGAATAGATTTCAACATTTTTAGTAAAATTCGATGATTATGTACATAACACTGATTATTGTGTTCTCTAGGTGTTCTCAGAATCTTTACCATATGTGATATTAACTTGTCGTTTCAGGAAAAAACATTTGTGAAGTTAGTTTGGGCTTCTTATCCTATCTTTAGAACTGTGTCGGAATGTATTTAAAAATAATCTGTCCTTGCACATGGGATACCTTTTTGTTGCTTCATGCATTTATGGGGTGCAAGAATAAAAAAAATAAATTATACCTTGTCTATTGGCATCCTGGTCATCACCCTTTTAGACTAATTATGCATGATAATCATATCTCCTCCGGCTGTCATAATGCCAGTTTTGATAGGGAGTAGCAGAACTGTAATTCTTAGATGAATCACAAGAGTGTGTGCTCAGTTTCTCAAAATCCTCCAGCATGCTGGGATATATGCCTAGGATTCGGTTTGAGGAATAATTAATATAGTTTCTGTCCCTTTCTCTAGCATATTTTTCGAATCAAAGCTTTTTGTAATCTTGGGCAGCATGTGTGAAATGCTACTGAGTGCCTCTTTTACTATACATGGTGTTTTGTGATGAGTATCATCAAGAGTATTATCATATGAGGCATTATCATCGTTGTCTGATAGCCTTAAAATAATGAGTCTTCTCCATTATTACATTATCATCGCTGCATCTGTTCATCCATTTTTAGTTTGTTTTGTATTTGATGTTATGAATGACCCAGAACTTCCCACACCTAATGGAGAGATTTCATGTGAAGGTCCTATTGATTTCGCACCATTCAATCTGTACGGGGATGGGTTGACTCTTCCAATATATCATCAATTTTCTGTGCACTAGCAAATGGAGTGATTCTTCTGTATATCTGATTCTCTAAGTTCTCTTCATTTAGATTTATGCCGTATACAATCCTTTCCTGTTACTATGATTAGTGTCAAACCTATCTTTCTTCACTTCACTAAGATTTTCTAATGTATGTTCCGACTTAGCATGCGAGAAAGATGCTGTAATAGATACATTTTCTTGATATTCATCTGTCTTTAATTAATGCCACTTGACTATTACCTCGGCATTGTGAATTACGCATGCCATATTCGTGACACCATAATCTCCCTATTTTGTATCCATTTTGTAATATCTCGTCCTTAGCATCTTATTATAATATAAATGCATTGACTTATCTATTCCTTGTCTTATTATGAATAAACGCAAATGTGCTTTAGCTTATTTCACATCAGGATGAGAAAATAGGAAACAATATGTTTCAAGATAGGGAGGGACTGATGATAATTTTCTTTCACAGTAATGTAAGGAGGTCATTTTATTTATACCTAATAATGGGTCTAGACCATTGAGAAAACAAACTGTAGCTTAGGTGTCGATTGCTGATGATTAATTAAACTTGATTATTCTTGGCTTGATAAAAGCTCTTCATATTTTTCATGGAATGTTTTAGATATGGTGAATATCAAATTTCATGCAAAATCTTTGCTTCATGTTTTCGATACCCTGTTTGAAAGTTTGGGTACTCCAATTCTGATACTATATAATAATCTGGAGATCTTCTATTCTGTATAAATGCTTGTGTTTAAAGTGGAGTATTTCCTGCATCATCATACAATGCTTACTGCAGGTGTTCTCATGTAAGTGTATATCAAAAAGTTGATTTCTGACAAACAACCCAGGATATGCTGGCTAGTACTTTCGGTACCATCCCTTTCTTATGTGCTCATTGCATTTAATTCATGCAGCGCAGCTTGAATCAATTGGGGAAGGGTAGAAGGCATCATGGAGTTTTGCATACAAGGCTTTTGTCTCTTGCTGCACATGCTTTGGCAGAGGTAAGCTTTTTATGCATACAGATATGAGCTGATCCAACATAAAAAAGCTTCTTTATGGTAAAATAGATTTTTCCCAGAAAAACCAATCATGTGAATGGGTGATCCTGTATCTCTTGAAGAAAGTGTGGCATTATTGCTCTCATAGTAATGGTCACCTTGCATTTTCATGGCATCAAATCTCACATCTACAGCACAATGAAGTTATTCCAGTTGTCTTCCTTTTGTAGATGGTTCTATAATCTTTTGAAGAATGCTTTAAACCCATTCCTGATCAAAATAAAAATTTGAAATTTTATTACTATAAAATTTTCTCAGTAGGGTGGTGTTACTATGAAATTTTGTTTTGCATCCATCATATGGAAGCAATACACAGGCCTGTTAATGCCCGTATCTTGAGATGTGCATTTAAATTTACCAGTGGTATTTTTCTCAGCAGGGTGCTTAACTGATGGCTTAATGGTGTAGTAAATTTTTTATTACTAATTCCTTCCACCATGGAAAGACAAAATATGTTTCACTTGGACTTAGTTTGCTTATGCCTGCCTCAAATTTCTGTTTTACCTATCGAGTTTGTTTCAGGCTCATGCACCCATGGAAATAAAATCAATTTCTAATTAAAGAATCATAGGAGAACCTGATGTACATTGATGATTGAACATTAAATCGTGCCTGTCCATGAAATTAGACAGAAATGATGGATTCCTTGGTAAGTTTTGAAACTCATGTTCTTTTCAAATGCTCGGGAATGAAATAAGTTTATTTCTTAAGAAATGCTCTCACTGTTTATCAATGATAATTATGCCTTTTCTTTTCTCACTACATATTTTCAGGGAGATGGTAAAATTGAACCTCAAGAATTGTGGCGAGAACGTTCAAGTCCTACTACTTTATGGACACCCTGTAGCTACAAACATTTGAGGGAAACTAGTGGTATACCATCTTGAAGCTTATTATACCCTCTTATTTGATTGCGTCTTATCCTGCTAATATGTATGGGATACATTTATATCATCTTTCTCTCATTGTAAAATGTACAAAGCTCTGACATTATTTTTTGTCTTTGAAACCATATTTGCAGAGGGAGAGAATGGATACATTTTAGTCAGTGCAAATGGTGGCATTAGTCAACAGCGAATAGCTGTAAGCACTTCTTCTCGATGGTGGTGACTTATAGATAGAGTATTGGTTTGCTTTTGATGCGCAACATATTCGTTGTTACCTCATTGATTGACCTCTTTCACCTGAGGTGATACCTTTTCTTTGGGTAGACTGTGAAGAGATTGTGATTAAGATGTCTAGAGTGATGGGCTATCTGAATGGTTATAATAGCACCGCCTTATGCTGGGTGATTTTAAGGGATACAAGAACAAGGAGCTACCCCAGCTGGTCGAAATCTGCTCTCTTACTCAATATTTTGTGACAAATATGTTATCATGTGACAAATAGGTGATTCACATGCATAAAGAGGCGTAGGTTTGCAAGGAATACGAATATCTCTTTCAGCTCAAGCGTAGCTTGATTTACAATGTGATAAATAAAAGAATATTCAAGATTGTGATATTAGGAGTACGATTCAAGTGTCTGGTAATTTGTTGATTAATGAAGTTTGAACATCTGTCGATATATTGGATCAAGGACAGGGAATTTACGGTCTAGTACCACTTCTTGCAAGAGTAGATTCTAAGAGTCATTTCGTGAGGTCCTTAAAAGTATAAATGTTGCTAGAAGCACCAGGTTCATCGATCAATTATGCTCACACCCTTGCAGTTCTGCATCAGTTCAGAGGATTAGACTCGCCTCCCAGGCTTTTCTATGAAAAAGCTTGTAAATTTCTGAACCATATGCTTGTACAGTATTGCCGTATTGTGGTTAGGGCATGTGTTATTGTCTCTCATTGGACTGTGGCCCTGGGCCTAAAATTTGGATTGTTTTTTCATTGTCTGGGGAGGTATACGGTGGTATTCTGTGGGGTAATCCTTTTCAATGGCATATACTTTCACCTCTTTGAAAGGAGGCTTTCAATATTGTAGGAAAATATTCAGATTTTTTTGCTTGACTGGTTTATTCATTTTGGACAATGCTTAAAACGTCCTCAACTAGGATAATAAAATGAGTCTGTTGAGAATAGTCATGCATTATTTATGCAATTCGGAGTGGTTTGATGATGACATATTAGGGGTGGAGGTAATTGGGAACCATAACAGCTTCAGCACAGTAAGGGGCGACACTTGTTCTGTTCAAGAAATTTGTTACATTTTATTGTATACTGGGTAGGTGTGAAATATATTTTGGCGGTCAGCTTCTTGGGAATTTTACTTGTGAACGTCTTCAAATATCTGCAAATTCTGTTTCTAGTGATGTGTAGAATTACTTTGGGTAAAAATATATCTTGTTGTTTCATATCCTCTCGACTAGAATTTGGTTTCTGTATGTTAGGCTGCTGTTTTTCATGTTACGGTTTAAAAAGTATACTAGACTTAACACTGACACTGGGAATCATGCTGATCCCCATTCTCATCACTGAGTACTGTGATAAGACTAATTTCTCTCTAAAGAGTAATAGAAGCATGTATTTTGATGATAATTGTGTATCCATTAATATGCGTGGTACTATGGTTTGTCAATTCCTGCATGACTTTATCTTCTTCCATGGTATGAATAGTGTCAAAAACTCATTAGTTACTGAGATTTGTAGGGCAATATGTTGATTTCATAGATGTCATATCAATCTATTTAATTCCTTGTCTTAGTTCACTTCTGAAAGAAATCTCGGTTGACTTCTTTGATGAATCTGGAGTTCCGAGTGCCTAGTTTTATGGGTGGACTCTAGGACGATGAAGAGGATTTTCTGACTTATATGCGTAATATTTGTCGTAGTTCTGAAGGTTTCACCTAAATCCATCAATGGTTTCACTAAATTACTTTTCTGAAGGTTTCTGAGTTGCATTCGAAGTTTTGGGGGAATCAAATCCAGTAACTGTTCTGCGAAAGTTGTGTTTATCTTGTTTATCCTCTCTTGTGAGCTGTTTCTTTGTACTTTGCTCATTCTAATTTTTTTTTTTTCTAATATCTACTCGAAAGTGTAAACCTGTCACGGTGTGTATTACTTCTATTTTTCATGCTTGCATTCTTTTTCATACATGCCCTTTTAATGCGTGATTTTTGTATGACTAAGCATTATAATTGATCAAATACTAAGTTAGTGCTGACAACAGGAAACCTATTATGTTATTCCTTCATTTTCATAATTCAAGTCCTTTTTTGGTCTTGTTTGACGTTTGGAGCCCTTGTAGCTGTAAGTTTTCCTTTGATTCTACCTTTACAACGGCTTGTCTAGTTGTCATTCTGTAGAACGTTCCCTTTAATGTAATGCGAACCAAACAATAAAATACTGTTCCAGAAAATTTTGATAAATGATGTAGTAGTTATTCCAAAAGCATAAAATCAAACCTGTCAAGTTTAGTGGTAAAAACTCAGTTTCTGACCCAGAGGCCATGCCTTTTTTTTCTTAATTTTTCTTTTTTCCTGGCTGCATCATCTACCCATAAATGAAAGCTAGTAAGGATGGTTCTACGTTCATCTTGTTCTTTGCTTGAATGTTGATTTGAAGAATATAAATTCTTTTCTTGTGGAACAGATCTGCAACGCGGTTGCTGTTGCTCGTCTGCTCAACGCAACTCTTGTCATACCAAATTTCTTGTTTAGCAGTGTTTGGAGTGATCCAAGGTAAATTTCCTTCCTTTGTGCGCATTTTTACCATGCTGAGGGGTCTTATCGAGACAGTTCTTATACCCATGTCTTATTATCAACTCTAAGCACTAAATTGTGCTTTTTTTAATATCTTTTATTCTGTGTATCTGCTGTGTTAGGGTCATTTCATATGTCGTACGCCATCATAAAATGCTCTTCTCATGGAGGCTTGAATCCATGAAATGTCCCTCTTGATTTGTTCTTTGATGTCATATGATGCTTTAATCTGTGGAAAATGACGATCTTTATCATTTATGATGAAGCTACTGGTTTCCTGACGAATTAGTCTCTTGATTTATTAGTCAGTTTAGCGATATATACCAGGAGGACTTTTTTGTTGATTACCTAAGAACTGATATCCGGATTGTGAAAGAACTTCCTCTGGAGCTACGTTCACTTGATCTGGTGGCAATTGGTAGTCTTGTAAGGAACTTCTGATCATTTCTCTCATGATTTCATGATTTTTGTGGACAGTCAAATCTGGAAATTACATGCTTCTTGATGTTGACTTCAATCATTGAAAATTCTGTAGGTGACTGATACAGACATCGTGAAAGAGTCCAAACCAAGTTTCTTTTTGAAAAATGTTCTCCCAATTCTGATAAAAAATAGGGTTGTGCATTTTGTTGGATTTGGCAACCGCTTAGCGTTTGATCCAATACCATTCAACTTGCAGGTACGTTAGTACCCTGTAATTTACCGGATTATCTACCTTTTTCTCACTGTTGGAGCAATCTTATCCATGATTTTATAGGTTGGTTTCCTGTGTGTTATTTTCTTTCTAAATGACCTGTTCCTTTAATTATTCCTAACCTAAAGGTATTGTTATCAGAGGCTCCGATGCAAATGTAATTTTCATGCTCTGCGATTTGTAAGAAAAATACAAGAGACTGGTGCATTGCTTGTTCGAAGGATGCGTAATCATACTTCTCTTTCAAGACCGCTGGATGAGAATTTGGTCGGCCCATTTGCTTCAGAGTTGGCTCCGAAGGGGCACGGGAGGCCTCAGGATTCAAGATACCTAGCCGTGCACTTGAGGTTTGAGATTGACATGGCTGCGTACTCTATGTGCTATTTTGGAGGGGGTAAAGAAGAGGAACAGGAGTTAGAAGCATACAGATTGTCTCATTTTCCTGCTCTCACGCATTTGAAAAACACAACAAGGTCTGTACATCTCCGTATCATGCATTTGTAGTTTTAGTTTTGCATTGCTTTTACCTTATTTCATGGATCATGCTGCCTTTTCAACTGGATTGTTCGGTTCGATGGTTGGGAAGCTAAGCTCCTTATCAAGGATTGACCGAGTACCCTTTTGTCTGCTTTTCCTATTCCTTTGTGTTTTAGGCTACCTTCCGCTGCACAACTTCGATCTGAAGGGCAATGCCCTCTGACACCTGAAGAAGCAGTTCTCGTGCTTGCTGCTCTTGGTTTTAAGCGGAGAACTCGCATTTATGTGGCTGGTGCAAATATCTACGGAGGAAGGTCTATGATGGTGGGATTGAATACCTTGTACCCTAATCTGGTTACTAAGGAGAGCCTTCTATCTTCCTCTGAAATGGAACCATTTCTTAACCTCTCATCCCAGGTGAGTCAGCTCTCTCTTCGTATTTTTTTCTTTCAAATTCCATGGCACTTTTTAATAACAAAAATGCTGTGATCTGTCTCCCAGTTCACTATTTTGCTGACGTGGCATATATTATGAATGGTCCGGGAGAGTGGGTCTAAGAATCAGCATTAGTAGTCCTGAAAATGTGAAATCTCTTAGTATAAATTGAACTGTTTGGTACCAGACTGACGAATGTGAGGATGATAAACATGAAAATAGATTCCAGAGGCAGCCTCACTTGTTGATTCCTCTCCAGAGGACTGATGTGGGGTTTTCTATTCGCAGTTGGCTGCTCTGGACTTTATAGTGTGTGCTGCAGCGGACTCATTTGCCATGACCGACTCTGGAAGCCAATTCTCTTCTCTTGTTTCGGGTTATCGGATGTACTATGGGAGTGGGATGCTTCCCACAATTCGACCCAACAAACGCCGCCTAGCATCCGTCTTCTCAAGGCACTCTACCATAGAATGGAGTCTCTTTGAGCGTAGCATCAGGAAGGCATTCATGCAGATGAAGAGGACGGTAGAAAGGCCCATTGCTAGGAGCATTTACAGGCATCCGAGATGTGCAGAGTGCATGTGCAGGAGTGGTTAGCACGCCCTCCCCTTGATCATGAGCTAGGATTAGGCTGACCAGAAGAGAGCTTTCAGACTCATCCGAAGCGACTAGCACTTGTGGGCTCTACGTCTGCATTCAATTAATTATGGGTTTCTTATTGTGATTGATGTCCTATTCTTCCTGCTGTGGCGTTGACAGTTTTTTGTGTGCATCTGATGCACTATCTTGTGTGATTAAACAATCCCAAGAATAAATACTGTAAATGATCGGAAAAAAGCTGTATGATTCTGATTATATTTTAATAAATTCTTGAAAAAAGGGACAGTCTCATTTTCATAATCTAGTTTAATATAACACCATTCTATATTTCTAGTACCCATATAAGGGGATAAATGATGGTCTATAAAAATTCACTTTTGTCCTAATGTAATCTGAATCAAGAATTTTTTTACCTTTCCGCAGTGTTTGATCACTGGTTACAAAGACATGAAAATAATCCTCATTTTTGAAATCATTGTAACGCACCACTACTGAAAATATCTAGTACTAGTGTAAGTCATGATCTAGGGTGATCTATAACAATTCATTTTTGTGCAATGCAATTTGGGTCTATATTTTGTTTACCTTTCCTCAGTGATTTGACATTGCTTACACAAGACAAAATAATCCTGATGTTTGAAATTTCTTTAATCAATCACTATTCATAATTTCTAGTGCTAATGTAAGTAGAGATCAAGGATGGTCTTTAAAACTTACTTTTTCCCAAATGTAACTTGGGTCTAAAAATAAGATTTCTTGAAAGTTTGAACATTGTTTATGACAAATAATGGAATAGTCCTTATGCATGCAAGGTTTTAGTCATGTTTATAGTTAACAATCTTTGTTCTTTCAAATCATGCAAAACTGATTCCTCATGTGTGATTTGACATTTTCTCACAAGATATAACTTTATACCACTCTCTTCTTTTTGAGCAAATTAATTCCTCACTCTTAATGGTGTTGCTCATTTAAATAGATCTATCTTGTGTATGTAGTAATCATTTTGATTTCATTCTTCAATCAATTTTTAATCTAAGATTATTATCATTTTATGATTTTACATGAGGATTAGTTTTATATAAAGTTTTCATGTATTAAACATCGAAATCTTATTTGAGTTATGTCATAACTTAACAACAATAATTATCACTAACTACATTATTGTGAGGTAAGGTTCTATTGAAAGGGCATCAATCACCTTATTTTATGCACTAGCCTTATACTCATTGATAAAGTTGAAATCATAAAAATTAGCCTATCACTTTAGGTACTTAGGGTTTACCTAGCATTGTTCAAAATAATATTTCAGACTAATCTGGTCAATGAAGATTACAAACTGGTGGCCTATCAAGTAGTGTTTCTATTTGAATATACTATGACCATTAATTCTTTCTTGTAGACTAACTTCAGGTGATTTCTTATTAACAACACAGCTAAAATAAGCTATTGATTGACAATTTTACATGAGTATGATCCCCTTCTTGAAACTTGATGTATAAATCTTTAATTTAAAGAATTGAGAAAAATAAGATAACTATAATATCAACATTCTAGTCATGAGCTGTTTAAACTTCTCAAATGCTTTCTCCAACTCAATGTTCCACATGAATTTACCTTTCTTAAGTTGGTCATGTAAGCAATCAAGTGATGGTTCCATGATTGACCATATAGTGTTGATATTAGCTTGTCAAATTAAGAAAAACTATGCAATTCTCATTGATCAATGAGAGAAGGCCAGTGGATCATCACCTTTATTTTGGTGTCATCTAATTTAACATTTGAGGATATTCTATTTAGGGCATTCCTATTCCTTAGGGATGTTCTAATAGAATCCTCCTTTTTTCAATTAAATTTTAATTATGTTTTCCTTTTTTTTAGGATCATAATATTTTCTTCTTTTCTAGGTTTGTTGTAATTAAATTTATACTTAATAAAGGCCCCCCTTGTAACCCCAAAGTCAAATCAGATTTTTATTAATTTATCTTCAAGTTCTCTTCCTCTTTGGAGGTTATCTATCTCCACTCATGGACTCCAATATCCTTGTGGACTTAAGGAAGCTTTTTTGATCTTGTTGACTCAAAAATGATTTTTTAAATACAACATTGAATCTACAAGATGAAAAAAAGTTTCTATTGAGTCCAAAGGGAGACACTTGAGTCTATAGGCAAAGAGAAAATTTTGTTATAATTATAATAATACCTCTAGGATACAACATGGGCCTTTAAAATATGTCAAGTTTTTATTAGGACACTCATAACATGACAGTTCAGTTTTATTGACACTTAAAAATAAACTAAAACCAAAAAAGTAATGAAGGAAAAAAATAATCTTTGATGCATTTATGATGCATTTTATTATGAGTCAACAAGAGTTGAACCATGGATGTATTATGAACCAAACTTCCAAAACTTCTAGTCTACTAGAGTTGAACCATGGATGTATTATATCATCTAATTGTTATAACTTTTTGTTCTCTTAGAGAGAATTTTCAGTGCTTGAAGATTCAAGCAACCTTTGTCGAAGGAGATTTTCTTATCCTTGTAGAATTAAGGGCAGCCCCTAAAAATTAAATTAGTATAGGAAAAAAAATCAAAATTCCTTAAAAGTAGGACATGACTATGACATTTTGTCCATGCACTTTATTTGAGCTTAATATATTTGTGGGGCCTTTTTTTATCTTTTTAACTCAACTACACATTTCCAATACGTTGCCCTACTAGTTTTGAGCTTTCCTTACCTATGTAAACAATGTTTTATATCATCTTTGAGTATGCAAGAATCAAAATGTAGTCCTTTGAATCTATAAAGAGAAAAGCTTGAATCCATAAGTTGACAGAGACAAAATGATTGTAGGGTTACAATAAAATGGTCTTCAATTAGGTTGAAAATCAGTTGGGGTGTCCTTAAAGAAAAATAAAAAAATGAAACAAAATTGAAACAACCTTACAAATGTGTGAGTTACTAAAATTGGATCAGTTCATTAAAACCTGGCGCAAATATATAGTAACCATCATGATTTATGTTATAATGATACCTTAGAACAATAAAAACAAATTGTTACCATATTAAACAGTTGGCCCACACAAGATAGTTTGGTCATTTTTCTATGGATTTGAATAACTTGATAGTATGAGGATCATGAATATTTTAAGTATGGATGCAACAATGAGGATGTTCAGATTTGAACATTGATATCGAATAATAGTGTGGAATATTCTTATATTTTATCAGGCATAATGGATTTGATTATTAGGCTTGAATCAAAGGCATAATAGAGCTTTTTTTAGAAGTGTTAGGTTTTGTTTTTGGATGCAGGTTAACGAGTTTCGGATCGCAGAACAATCGGGTAAATATAGTTATTTAATACGCCGCATGGATCCGAAGAACAGCCGAGACTCAAATCAGAGGTAATCGTTATTCTTACTAGGCTAAATGTTTAGGCTGTTGAAGCTGCCCGCAGTGCCAGTAAACTGTACAAGGAACGGGATGCCCAGCTTCGTCCTCGCACTGCTGCGGCAACGATGCTTCTTTCTTGTTCATCTCCCGTCTGTCCACCAGAGCTCTGCATATTGCACGGCCACATCTGCGGTTCCTCTCGTCGACGGCGGTGAGCGAGGGGTTGCGGCGGGGAGAAGTGGAAGATGGTTCACTTTGCCTCCCTTCGCCCCACTGGCCAATGTCGCCTCACTCGGCAAGGATTTGGCGAGAGGTCGACGCCCGACGGAACCAAATCTCGCGTCAACCACGGCGCTGAAGTGGGTCCGCCGTTGCTGCCCCCACTTACCGGTGAGCCTCGTGCAGAAACTCTTCCGTCTAAGGCAGGTTCGCCCCTGGACATTCAAAGCTCCTCTGATTTGTTCCAATCTTTTGTTTGTTATAGCCCTTGAGGGACTGAAAGCTATTGCTATTCGATAAAAACTGGTCTTATTTCGCGCCTGTTTTTCTTGTCTGACCGTGTTGGAATATTGAAGTGCCTGTTGGACAAGCTTGAACTCTCCGGCGCCGGAAAACATCTTTTGATCTGTGTTTATCGTCATTTTTTAGCTTTATGCCCCTTCTGATGATCTCCCGTTCATGTTAAATGTGGAAGGATCATTATTGAATCATTTAATTCCTTGAATAACCGGAGTTTAATGCACATGCTCAGTTATCGCAGAAAAAACAATGCTAATGTCATTGCCTTCAGCATGTGTGATCTTCCCTTTCTACGCAGAGGAGGGTACGTGGGAAAATAACTAATTATCGCTGACCTAGCACACCTCTCTTTAACATTTGCCATCCAGTTAGAATTCCCTCGTCTCCTCTAGAAACTGTTATGTTTATGGGGTTAGATGTATGAGTTGGTCATTTTAAGTACTACTGATTACAAAAATTGTGACTGACACTATGAATTCCTCTGATGGTAGATACGAAGAGAAACGGTGAACACCAGTTCTTCAACTTGTCTAGAACACGAAGCTCCACAACGTTTACTGAAAAGAGTACCGACTCTAGGCTTATTTTTTTTCGTATTTTTGATATTTTTCGCTCTTTCCTGGAATATTAGCCGATGTCAAACCTTTTATTAAATTTTTACTGTTTTATACATTCTGCAAGGTCTCTGGGAAAGAGCCTTTGAGTTCTGGAGATTTGATCCTCCTACCAATAACTGTAAAAGAGTTTCTCCAAGAAAAAAAAGATTACTGCCTCACCCAGGAGGAAATTAACTACATCCAGAGTCTTGAACTACATAAGGTGACCTATTTCTAGGTTTTTTATTCATTTTTATGAGTATCGGTGTTTTGATACATTGTATGTTGGCATATGTAAAGGATGAATCAATCATCGCACTCAATAAACCGCCTGGTCTGCCAGTACAGGTAATTTCATTTTGATGTCCGATTTCCTGTATAGCCTTACACTGGAGTGGATGAGTTCATTCTCCAGTCATTAGTTCAGGGTGGAGTTGGTATAAAGCTTAGTATGGACTTGCTGGCTGGAGCGTGTTTAAAGTATGATTATTTAGAACCACCTCGGCTGGTAAGTTTTTAGCAGATTCCCTTTAGTACCGATCTTTCTAATTTTTCCGTATGCTATTACGCATAATTTTTTTTCCAAGACATTTGGCTTTTTTCTGCTCATGAAATGAGCATATAGATAAGATGCTAAGGTTATTACACATCATTGAGGCGCATTGGCATCACTTTTGTCAGTGATGATATTCAATTGTTTCAGTGCTCATATTTTCCATAGAGGTGCTGCGACCAACACCGCCAGCTTTTTCCTCTTCTTGTTCCTCTTGATCATCTTCATATTCTCCTTCATTGTCATTATCAACACCATTATTATTCTTTTCGCCATCATTTTATGAAGCTGAGTTTCATTGAATCTTTGGTAGAGTGCTAAAATATAAAGGAATAGATACAACAAGTATTGCTTCATTGACTGCAACTGAGGAGCCAATAAGTGCATGCTAAATTTGCTAAAAGACGTGGCGTTTTTGTTAGTTATTTCCTCACATCAATTGTTTTCTTCTCCTTCTCATCCCTGTTTCTGCCCTTTTTGTTATCTCGGTCCTTCCTTTTCCTTCTCTTTCTTTCCAGTCTCCTTCTCTTTTTTTCCTTATTATTTTTCTCATTATGCTTTCTCCCCTGCTTTAATTTGTAAACGAACCATACTATGTGTATGTCACGTATCCATTAATGAAAAAGGGATGAGTAAAATTCGATTCCAATTCCTACATTGATGGATATAAGTGGAATTGAAATTCTTGTGAAGTTACACATTTTCGCATTAGATGGTACTACGATGCTATCAGTAGGATTACCTGCTAAATGTACTGGTCAGATGAGGAAAAAGATAATCGTAACGTCTGTTATAAGTATTAGACCGAATTAGAAAAATTGTGCTGATAGAATTCAGAATTGCAAAAGCATATTTGACAATTATTCAAAAGGACTACATTGGTTAATATGAAAATTCGTTTACTTTCTAATATTTCATTGAAGGAATGTGCAGCGGTAACCTTCATTTTACCATTGATGTTTGACTATGTTTGCTGGCATTGTCTTCTTGTTGTCCATCCCTCCATCTGAATGTCTCCTTTAATTATTACCTTCTCCTGGCAGGCCTTCAATTTTCAACCTAACATTTTCTTGTGTGATGTCTTAATTAACTTGCTAATATGGGGACAAATATCTTGATCCTTACTAGTTGGTGCACACTTTTCTCTCTTCGTAACTTTTAAGGTCTTTCACATTTAAGTGGCCTTTTCAGATGAATTTGGCATTTTTAAGGCTTCGCTATGGTTGTGGAGAACAACATTACTACAAATAGAGTGATAGGTTTCAAAGTGTTATTTGAAAAGGAATGGATATTGTTTATTATTAATTATTTTGGAGGCTTTGTATTTTGTACTTGACATTGGTGGAAGGAGGATAATTCCACTTTTGACTTCTTTATATCGTTAGTTGTCATTCTAACTCAGAATAGTAAGACAGTTCATGAATGTGCGTAACTTGGACATGCAATCAGCATGGTCCTCCCTGAGTTTCTTATGTTGAGCATGATGTTACTTCTTCGGAAAGGTGTCCTTATTCCCCATTTTTTTCGTTCATTTTATGCAATGTCAATGTGGGCCACCTTTTGGTGTAAAACATTTGATGTTTTTTTCTTGAAATGGTGAGAGACCTGGTTCTATAAAAGAATCGTGGAGAGAAATAGCACAGAATGGAATTGAAAACAAGTAAAAATCTGCAACACGCCAGCAGATTAGCGAGTTCCTTTTTATACTCGCCCAATTGTGACTTTACCAAACAGAAGGCCCCAATTCGTCTTATCACCGTCGCCACGCTGGCTTTCATCTCAGCCGTTATAACGTGCGAGATGGACGGCCAAGTTTAAAATGCGAACAGAGTCAGAGGAGTTTGTCAGGGTGGAGAAAAAAGTGAAATCAGGGGAAATCGCAGTAAGATTGATCCAACAGGTTCTGTTTTTCGAATTCCAGAATTTAGTTTGTCTTGCAAATTGTTCTTATTTTGAAAGTCAAGAATCGCTTATTATTTTTTGTGAAAAATATTCGATTTAAACAGCATGTTAAGTTATTTACAATTTTTAGTATCAATAAATATCAATAGTCATGTCATAATATACTCATAGTGCTATAATGGCAAAACACATCCATAAAAGAAATAAAATCACGAATTAGACTATGATTTAATATTTGTTTTTTTCATAAAGAAAAAACGAAACTTCATTGATTTGTTCTCATAACTCAAGTTGGGTAGCTTTGAAAGAATTCGAATAGAAGTCCTTATAATTTATTGAGTCGTCTCTAACCCTTTTTGTTTGTCTCATCTCAAATCTGTTTACATTTTATTGTTTATTCCAATTTCTAAATTGGTTCTAATTGAATTGTCGAGACAGTTGAAAAGAAATTTATCCTCTGGTAATCTTACTTGCGAAAAATAACTATTTCTAGGTACACCGATTGGATAGAGAGAGTAGTGGAGTTTTGGTCCTTGGCAGAACCCAAACTAGCGCTTCTCTTCTCCATTCGATCTTCCAAGAGAAAACTCATGGAGCATTTGATGTACGTGAAACTTCAGTGAAGTTTCCATCATCAGTGTCTGCATATAATCTACTTTAGATGATCAAAAGTTCTTTCATACCTTCTCTGTTTGTTTCCCCAAATCTTGAGCTTCTTCTTCAGGAAATGGGGACTGATCGAAGGACCTTGAGAAAGAAGTACTGGGCTCTTGTCATTGGAAATCCAAAGCATCTGAAAGGTTTAGTTACTGCCCCACTTAGAAAGGTACGTTCATTTCTACTAGGTTACGTCTTGGAATTTATGTTTTGGGTGGGTATCGATGTCTTTACAATGCTTATCAAGTATCCTTCAATTGGGCCTTCCTAAGCTCCTGATATGCAGTTATTTTTGGGGGATAATCGTACGGCTCTTGGTGGCATTTGACTTCGCCCCCTTCTGCTATGTTTCTTCTTCCTTACTTCTTTGTAGCCGTCATTGTACTGATTTTTATCAATTCAAAGGCATCTATCTGCCTTTAGGATATCAATCAGTTCCTACTTTTTCCTGTGGAGATGATTAAATGAGATACACAAAATAAGGGTAAAGGGCATCATCGTAGTTATGGAAAACTATGCACAACCCACATGGAGAAAGTTCCTTGCTACTTAATCAAATGCACAATGAACGCATATAGTTCTCCGTAAACGGATGGCTTGTGTCATGCATTATGTGTTCTTGTCGCGTGCATGTTCTGAATCAAATATGGTCCAGCAGCCAGAGTCATCACTTTTTGCATAATACGGGATAGTAACGGTTAAATATGTTATATTTGTCACGGAATGTTGATCTGGCAGATTGGGGTAGATTTGGTCTGGATTGGTACGGGCCCACGCCGTGCCCATTGGCTGGAGCAGCCATGGTAAAAGGTGTCTGACTATCAGTCACTTACCGTGCTTCTAACTGGTACTGGTGAACAAAGCCAACCGTTCCAGCTCTCTTCTTATGTCTGTGTGGAGTGTATTCAGAGCAGAGAATGGTGATCACAGCTTAATCAATTCTGGGGCTGACTGCATGGGTTAGAGGCTCACGCAACGTGCTTAACCCTTGTGGGAGGACCTCACCGAGCGAACTTGGTTTTATCCATGTTCAGCTGTGGCCACACATCTTTGGGGCTTGTGATCATGTTCTTCCAGAGGCTCGTGCTTGATAGCAATAGTGCCTGCAATCCACATAGTTTTTCGATTGCCTTCAACTCCATCGGGTCCCTTGCGATATATCCAACATACAGATAGGTGCAACGCCTTGATTAAATCCTCCAACTTATACTTCTCTCACATTTATTATCTAGCATTGTTTTATTTATCATCACAGGTGGCGCTGGAAAACGGAAAATATGAGCAGATCACGCTGGCCACCTGTGACAGGCATTCACCATCCCGACATGCGGTGACAGAGTATGAAGTTGTCGAATCTTCTCATGGTTAGAAAGCCGTGCGCCCTGGGGGACATAATATCTAATTCTTCGTCTATTTTTTTCTAAAATTTTCCCTGGACGATAACTCTCCTCAGGGAGAGAAAGTGCTTTGAGCCTGTACTAGTGCAGCATGGACAATGAGCAATACTTTATCTTGGTTACTTCCCAGGGGGAAGCATTTCTCTCAAGTGACAGAAACGTTGACTTTGTCGCCCTGTTGCATTCTCTTCAGGGTTCACATGGCTGGAGCTTTGCCCATTGACCGGAAGAAAGCATCAGGTATGTTACACTCGACGGAGTTGGCCTCCCTCATACCTCCTCTCACCTTTCCTTTTCATTGGATTATTAAGCTGCGGGTCCACTGTGCCGAGGCCCTGGGAACACCGATAGTAGGAGACTTCAAGTACGGCTGGTCGGGCCACCGAAAATGGCAGCCATTGACTTCGTCCCCGGCCACGAGGAAGCGAGAGAAGGTTCACAATCTCAGTCCCCTCCTCGCCCTGGATTCGGCGGCAGGGAGTGTCTTGGAGCAGAAACCTAGCCTCCACCTCCATTGCCGGCAGATGATTCTACCCGACATCTCGCTTGCTCTCCACCAGAAGCTCCAGACTCCGGCTGCCGATCGGGATATCTCCAAACTCGAGGGCCTCGAGCTGGTTGCTCCTCTGCCTTCCCATATGCAGAGAAGCTGGGATGCGCTGAACTATTCGGCTCGGCTTAATAAACCCTAACCCAAAACCCTGAAATCCTTCTCAAGCTCCGCACCTTTCAGGCCTCTTTGTGGTGGTATGTCGGGATGGCTCATCCCCCTTTGTTCTTTGAGTCTTCGTTTAGACGTAACAGAGATTTCCGCCGCTATTTGATCTGGGTCGATGATTGACGCGTAAGGATGGAGGGTGTCGTGGGTTAAGTGCCTTTATTCTGAGCATCTGAATGCATGCAGATGCAGATTCAAAGGCTGTATTTTGGACCCGCTTCCATTGAAGCAGTTCTACCTCCTATTTAGCGCCTTATCTACTAATTAATCCAAACCACGAGGGTCTACTACTTAATCCAAACTACGAGGGAGGGTCTACCTCCTACAGCGCCTCATCTCTGACCTTTTCATGCCAGAGACGGATACGCACCTATTTCTCGAGCGGATAGGCCCATTTTCTCACCGCTGTCTCTCGCTCAGTATGTCTATATATGTATACAGTTGTGGAGTTGTTTATCTAGGGAGGAATAACTACATTATAAATACATAGAACAGAGATTTGACAAACAGACCGTATAATAAATGTGCAGACAGAACGAGAGAGAGAGAGAGAGAAATAGGAGCAGGGAAGTATTGATCGGTCGGAAGCGCGTGGGTCCGTTGAACGAATGTTGTACGATCAATAATATCCTCCAGTATATAGAATAGCCACGTTCGCTCCGCACTCTCTCTCTCTCTCATCTATATATCTTATTCCCAACATCCGGGAGTTGTTGCGGGCCGTCGTGGCCTCCCTTGGACCCGCGCGTAAGTCCGTGCACCTCCTCCGGATTGAATCGCTCCGGCCGCCGAGTTAACACCTCCGTAGTTGGTTGCGACGTTGACGGAATGGTGGGGCCACCGGAAGCCACCAGCCCTCCCCGGTAGTCGGGAACTGACTGAGCCGGTCCACCCACTAACTCCCAATAACTTTCGTTTACATCGATGCCATTTTCTCCCACAATATTTTGCATTCATAATTAAAACAAAGCCCCCTATTTTTCCCGCCGTCGAACGTAGTGCACCGCGTCTGGTTTGGTCCCATACAAGGTACGTGCAATAATCCGATAAGCGCCCTCGCCCTCACAGAGAAGAAAATCTGTTTGTCGACCAAGGTCAACGCGCTTGTCGAAGGTTTGTGATCGATCTGAAGGCGAGGGGGCCGGACAAAAGGATGATGGACAACCTGGTGCTCGCCAGTTGTCAAGAGGAATCAGCATCTGACACTTGGCGCCATATGCGAAGGCGGTTGGTTCGGACGCGGGCCACTGATCTCTATTTAAGAGTGGTGGTTCCTTCGGGATCTTAGACCCCCGCCGCTGAATAGAAGGGAGGGATAAGATTATTATTTCCGACCAACTCTCTGTGTGTCTCTCTCCCCCCTCTTCAAGGGATCTTTTGGCGACGAGAAACAATCCCCATCGGACGGGCCAGATCGCCTTCATCTTGAGGCCGAAGGGCTTGAAGTCCTGAGAAGTGGTTGGCCAAAGACGGTTGGTACGCCTAAGCCATACACATTTTCTTAGATAATCATATACATGCCATACGTATACCATATAACTAAGCGACAGGGAGAGAAGACAGTAATACTTTCTTCTCGGACGGGCCTATCCAGGGAGGGGGTAGGTGAGACGTGACGGTCTCACGGCCGCCTTGTCTCCCGTTGGGACGATTCGTCGACCAACCTAACAGCGCGCGTCAGCGGTAGTAGGTGTTGATGCTCCCTGCGCCACACGCTTCTCTGCGTGTCCCCACAAGTGGGCCACCTCCTTCCGCCGATACATTGCGCTTGAATCCCCACGTCTGGGATGACAACTGAGTCTGAATCCCGAAGCCAATTTATTTGCTTAGATACGTTTTGCTGCAACCCAAGAGCTTAAAATGTTGTGCTGTTGTTCATAGGTTGAATTAAATCGTAGCTTGGTTGACTTGACGACTTATTCAGATGGATAGAACGAATTTCTCTCCGAAGGTAGATGAAAAAACCAAGGATCAGAAATCAGTGATGATCGTGGACCCTTTGGATGAGGGCAAATGCCAAATATAAAGAAGGAGCCTCAGCTCTAGGACATGACTCCAGTATACAAGTTCATGTAAGGTTTTATGCACATATCCACTTGGGTGCTCGCCAGGTGTGTGACAGCACCATGACATCACCGCAACAAACTGCTCCCATAACCCACCCGATGGTGGGCGTAGCCTTCGCTCGCTATATATATCCCCCCGTCATGGAAGCCCTCGGCAGGTCCACTGTCTCGTCTCTGCTCTCCTCCGCCAGCTTTCCGAGCTCCGGCCTCTGCGGAGAGCTCTCCGAGCGTTAGGGTCCCCGGCGGAGACGATGGGCAGCTTCGTCATGGAGGAGCGGAAGGTCATCGGCTGGGCCGCGAGGGATGCCTCCGGCGTGCTCTCCCCCTACACCTACACTCTCAGGTGGATCCAGCGCTGTTTCTTAAAGCTCCCCCTCTCTCCCTCCTTTTTCTCTCTTTTTCTCTTTCTCTTTCTCTGTGTTATTTCATCCTGATATTAGCAATTGGCAACCGACTGACTGCGCAGAGAGACGGGCCAGGAGGACGTGCTGATGAAGGTGCTCTACTGCGGCATCTGCCACACCGATATCCACCAGCTGAAGAACCACCTGGGCGCGTCCAAGTATCCCATGGTACCCGGGTACGAGCGGCCCCCCATCTTCGCCGGCGACGGGGCACTTTCCGCGTTGGCCGGAGTTGTAAGAAACCTTTCATTTTTTCTGTTTTCCCGGTGGCTTGCGCGTGCAGGCACGAGGTGGTGGGGGAGGTGATTGAGGTAGGATCTGCGGTGACACGGTTCCGGCGGGGGGACTTGGTCGGGTCGGGTGTGCTCGTGGGGTGCTGCCGCTCCTGCGGCGCCTGCACGGCCAACATCGAGCAGTACTGCAACAAGAAGATCTGGTCCTACAACGACGTCTACACCGACGGAAAGCCCACGCAGGGCGGCTTCTCCACCGCCATGGTGGTCGACCAGAAGTGAGCTGAGGCCCCCCAACCCTCTCCTCTCGCTGCCCATGTGCCCCCCATCGTCATCGCCACACCCATCTAAATGTTGGGTCGATCTGACAGGGGCTGTTGAAATGGGTTTTGCAGGTTCGTGGTGAAGATCCCGGGGAACATGGCGGCTGAGCAGGCGGCACCGCTGCTCTGCGCGGGGGTGACGGTGTTCAGCCCGCTGCGGCACTTCGGGCTGACGGAGCCGGGGCTGCGGGGGGGCGTCCTGGGGCTGGGCGGCGTGGGGCATATGGGCGTGAAGATCGCCAAGGCCATGGACCACCATGTGACCGTGATAAGCTCCTCCGACAAAAAGCACACCGAGGCGGTGGAGCACCTCGGTGCGGACGCCTTCGTCGTAAGCTCCGACGCCGAGCAGATGGGCTCCATCGCAGAGAGCCTCGACTACATCATCGACACCGTTCCCGTGGTGCACCCGCTGGAGCCGTACCTGTCCTTGCTGAAGTTGGACGGGAAGCTCATCCTCAACGGGGTCATCAACGAGCCCCTTAAGTTCCTCAGCCCCGTGGTGATGCTGGGGAGGAAGGCCATCACCGGGTCCTTTATCGGAAGCATGGACGAGACGCAGGAGATGCTCGAGTTCTGCGCCGAGCGCGGACTGACCTCCATGATCGAGATTGTCAAGATGGACTACGTCAACAAGGCCCTCGAGAGGCTGGAGGGCAACGACGTCAGGTACCGCTTCGTCGTCGACGTCGCCGGCAGCAACCTTGACTGAGGCGCCACAAGTAGTCCGCCCTTGGCCGACCTCTTCCGAGGAAGAAAGAGGCCCTTCGTTCGTCCGAGGATAAATAAGCGAGCATCAAATTCAAAACGTCTGCCTCAAAAAAGGCGTCAGCGCCGTCGGGAGGCCGACAGCGGCTTTCTACTTCTCATGCTTAAGTCAACGAGTATGCGCGTGTTTTCCTGCAGTTGACGTTTCCGTTTCTTCACTAGTTTTCCTGGAAGGGAAGGTTTACGACTAGAGACCGAGAGTTCACTGTCATGACGTCCCAGCGACTTCTCCGGGTTGACCGGAAGCATCATTAGCGCCCGACTGACACGGCAATCCGCCTGAGACGAGGCTCCTCATTAGCCACTCGGAAACTTACCGTCAATATGGGAGAGAGAGAGAGAGAGAGAGGACGCTGTCCACACTTGCCGTGTACGTACCTTGCCTTGTTTGACGGCGCCTGTTTCCCGTGGGCGTGCTTGGTCATTCCCTGTTAGAGGGTTCGTAATTGGCAAGGAAGAATGAGCTCTGATTTTTCTGCAGAAACCTGTAAGATAGGTAGATAGGAAGAATGCCCTTGAGATTAATTGGATATCCTATTCTGATCTCTAGCAGTTGATAGATTAGTAGCACTCAGTGGTTCCTCCACCCAACCCGATTATGGTCGGGGAGTGACTGACTGGGCATCCTCTAAGACGCATCCCATGATTCGTCCTCTTTTTGATTACCCAAAGTCTTACCACGGGTTGCAAGACGGAAAAGCCCGTGGCAAGGCAAGGAAAGCGAATAAACAGAGGTATTCCCTTATAATGAAAGTATATAATGCCCCAGTGGATGAAGCCATACATACTTGAGAAATTCGGATAGCTTCTGCTGCAATTTTGCGAGAGCCTCCTCCTCCATGTGGACGTAGGTGAGTAGCTCTGGTAACTTGACTGTCAAAAGATCATAGATCTCTATCAGTTGGAGGAACAACCCAGCAGAACCCACTTACATTCAACATACGCCAAGCCCGGGACGTCTTTTCATTAGAAAAGAGAGTACCTAGCCCCTTTTCAAGCAGAGAATTCGGAAGAAGAGATCCTGGCAGACTATCAGGCCACAGCAAAACTTCAAAATTACATGCTGTCCTATCCAAGGGTCTAGATGGATTTACTATATATCCATTTCGAGGATCTTCCAGTTCCATGACATTATCGTAGGAGTTCCCACTAGTGAAAAAAGGTGATGCCAGGGTCATTAAGGAAACTGTTTGTGCAATAATTGCACTTGGACCCACAACATGAATTTAATTACATATGAACGTTGAGTAACTGGTAGAATCATCAGGTATATAGGATTGACTGAAGAACATATTGATGAAACATATATGCTGGAGTCTACACCAATAACAGACGGGAGGATAACTACATTCATTTTAAGTACTATTGAAGTACGGCAGTAATTTTTCCATTGACAGGATGATAAAATTGTTAGAAGAAATAGATTTCTTAATATGGCTAGATACAACAGCTACGTTTATGCTTTGTTCTTCAGCTTCAATAAGAGAAAGCTGACAGGTAATGTGGAGCGAATCAATTAATCGCAGATCTATCCAAAGGAAACAAAGAAGACATGACCCACTTAAATTTAAATACTTTAATAGAGAATTCAAGTACAAATGACAATAAGGCTCATCAATATTGAAAATGATCCCGGAAAAAAATTAAAGAAACTTTAAAGACGTCGAACGAGAAGGCAAGAAAAACAGTCAGGGTTTTTATACCAAAAAGACGGAGTAGATGTTCTGCGCCATACACAGATGAAGGAGATACTTTATCGTCAACAGCTGCCTCGTATTGTTCACGCTCATTTTTGTACAACAACATGGCAAGCAATGCCTTGTCAAAGTAGCAACGAATGCCCTTTAAAATCTCTCCCACTGAATCAGCAATCCTGCAGAATAGATATTATAATTTCTATCAGGGATAAAACCAGGATCATTGATAAGCAAGTGGATGGGCACTCTCAGAGAGAGAGAGAGAGAAAGAGAGAGAGAGGATCAAGCGCATGGAGACGCCAAATTTTTGGCGATCCCAGTTTTTTCCACATTCACAACCACATGAAGTTCCACAATGATGGAGTTACAATAAAAATAGAAAACTTATTAGGAGATTACTGCACTAATGCCACCCCAAAATTTTAGCACGGCATAACCTCAAATTACACAACGAATATCTCCACCCTAGTCAGCTACTTAATAGCACCAAAGAATTAATGTACTTTTTCAACGTAGAAATATCAAGTGCTGTTATGACATTTTCCAATACTGATTTTACAAACAAAATCCTCACTAGAGGACTGCTAACAGAAGAGAATTGAAAAACAAGACTTCAGGGGAAAATGAACTTATTCATGGAGGGCTCTGGGAAATGATTGATAACTATAAATCACCTATTAGAACTCCTAAACGAAAGAAGCCACGCAAGCACAAGCATAAGCTCAGAAGTACAAGTTTTCATATTCAACTCTTTTAACAGATTTAACAATCAACCCTAAGAATCTTCTAATGAGTAGTTCAATCACTGCAGAATATTACAACAGAATGTTAAAAGAAACCAAAGGACATTTACATGCCATCTTTTTTTGTGCGGTGCTCAAGATACTTCTTCAGTATGTCATCGACACTGGGATTACGAGGAAGCTTAACGAGCTGCAAGAAAGATAAAAGAAGTTATTAAAATTCAAGAATAGGAGATATCAAAACTTGGACTGACTCCAGAAAATAATGTCCAGACAAGATGTAAAAGATGTATCTTTGTCACAAGAATACTGAAGGGGAATGGTAAAAAATGGGTTTTGTTTCCTACTCTAGAAAAGATAACATATTGAATTAAAAAAAAATGATAAATAATAATTTAACACTGTAGAAGTTCAACCAAAGATGTGAACTAGTGCTGTTCAAGAAATTTTACACCATTTCAAAGGATTACTGAGCCAAAATATAGCAGTAACAGAAAATCCATGATTTATAAAAAAATAGCCAGCATTCATTCATGAAACAATTCCTCATATGTCAGATGACCGGCAAGAACAAACAGAAAAGTTTTAAGAGATGTCCTCATTCATGAGAAAAGAAAAAGAAAGGAAAATGTGAGTGCTGTTTACACTCCACTAAACATGTCCCAGCACAACCCTTGCAAAATTAAATCTGCTCTAACAGCTGAAATTAAAACAAAACGAAGTTTAACACAAAAATAAATAACGACAGAAATGCTTAAGGGTTTCATTCAATTTCAATCAAATAATTTCCAAGCCCAAAAGGAGTAATATACGAGATTTTTTTTCAATTTTTTTTTCAACAAAGTATACTGTTCTCTCAGAAAATTGGGCTATGTTTTGACAGGAAAAGCAATGTAGGAGCGAATAGAGATAAAACCCAGTTAATGCCACACCGCACCCAAGGAACCAATTGACAAAAACATTAGGGTCAACCACCTCTAGAAGAAGGATAGCTTCCAGTAATACCCATACCATCTACTTGACGTCAGAAAGACTACAGTGCGTATATTCTTGACATTGCGTACAACAGATATAACTGTCACTATCTTGAGGGTAAACTGGCTTACATAAGCCCAGGTGGAAAATATTCTTGACAAATTACCAAATAATGATCAATAATTGTATTATTTTTTTATAAATATGAATCTGAGATTCATTAATCGATCTTTATTGTTCAGTCAGTGTGCACTTGGTTGCCATTTCAAGAACATAATCAACACTCTACGTGGACACTAGAATTTAACCACATCTTGAGGTGCCACCTTTGTTGTTCTTAACAATTATGTGACATCTCACGATCACATAGATGTTGAGTAGCAGGTCCAATACTCACATATGTACTTCTCACCTAAATTACGGTCCTTAGAGCTAGCAACGCCATTCCTTTGAATCTCAGAGACATCAGTCTTTTCAAGTCATTAGGATTTCTAGGTACAGTTCCCGTTGAATGGTATAAACTGTAAGAGCTCGTGATTTTTTGAGCTGGACTCCAGTGGGGGATACAAGGATCTTAATACAGCATGCCTGAAGCGCAATAAGATGAGGTTAAAGGCTTTACTTCCCGTTAAAATAGATTGGCCTAGACCAAGCCCAATCCGGACCAGAATCAAACAATTTCCCCTACCATGACTAAAATCCAATAAACAAGGGATCAAACTTACAACCAAAGGCAATACTTGGTGTGAATTCACTCAGCAGATAGAATCCAAACTTACTGGCCTATGCTTATCCATATACAGCTGCTATCGCCAGCAAGTAAAGAGCTCACACACTTGAGTAACATACAAAAAAAGCATCCATTATTTCAATTGAAGAATAAAGATCATACAATACAGAGATGGAATCTTTAATCAGAAGAAAATATACAATCCAGAAACTAAAAGATAGAGTCTCTGCCTTAACACCAAATAAAAGTAGCATAACTGCACCTATCAGAAAAAAAAAGGTATATAACACGAGAAAACCCAATTACCTTTTTCTGTTGAGTTACGTAATCCCAGTCGTCCACTAATTGCTTTTTCAACGTCAATGGTAACTGTATCGTCACGAATTTCTCAGAGGGCTTAATGTCCTCCTGAAACCAAAGTATTCTGATAATGAGATGGATACAACACCATCTAGACTAACCAATTTTAGCTAAGGCAAATGAAACAAAGACCAGACATCCTAAACTATACCAAGAATGTAATGAGAAATAATATATCTGATGAATATCACCAAATCACCCTAAATAGACAACCACCCCTGCAAAATTCAGCAGATTCTTTGGATTTAAAATAAGATGATCGCTAGTGAAGGATGAAATGGATGACATGACAACTTATCCGGAAAAAAACAAGTTTAAAAATGCCAAGATGTGGTTGACTGCCAGATATAACCAACTAGGAGAGGTTCAGAACCTTAAAAAATTTCAAAGGAATGATGATGCAGTTAATACTTTAGGGAAAAAGTCAGGACATTATAATCAAACAGATCATATCCATCGTAATCACATCAGGTCCCTGCAATCTGTGGAGAATTTTTGATGCAAGAGAATATGTTAACAGATTCTTTTCTTCACTTATCCCTCATTTACATTTGGGCTTGGAACCCTCATATCGCAGGTAAATATTTTACCTAATGGACTCTTGCATTTTATATGTTTATGGTCAAGTACATAAAAGTGGCTTAGGATGTAAAATGTAGTGCAGCAGCAGAAATTTATGTTCTTGATTTCCATGGGACAATGGGACATGTCTCTGCCTCCTACGGCTGGTTTGATCCCCTTCTATGCGAAAAGGAGTAGGGTAATAACTTTTGCACAACTCTGATGATGTTAGTAAGCTTGGATGGAAGATGTCCAGGCAGGTTAGAGCAAAACAAATATGGGGCATCCTAATCCACAGGAAGAAGACGAAATAAATACGATTGAGCTGTTCCTTTCAAATATTTCCTAACCTAAAACTCATTGTTCAGGCCAATATTTGACCCTGATTTCTTGAACACATCTTTGGGATTAAATATAATGCATTAATCAGATAATTTACATCAAGTAATAGCACCTGAAATCTGAATATGGGACATCTTAGGAAGCCCTTTAAGAGTGATGTAGGGAACCATTTTTGGAGACAGAAAAATTAAATTTACAGATCTTAAAATGCTAAGATCCAACTGATCCATTGGAGACTTTATGATGTTGTGTTATTTTAATGATGCTCATCTCTAAAGTATTTGTAGACTTCTTGCAGATAACCAGTTAGTGCAAAACAGAACCAATAAAAAAAAATGGAAAAAGATCCTAAGCCCAATGTGAAGGAAATTCAGAACAAAGAGCCATACCACAACACCAGTGTGTCCCTTGCGCTTTTTACCTCGGGGAACTGCACAAGAAAGCACACGTCAGTAATACGAACAGTCAATTCCTCACAGCTGAGTGTTAGCACCCGTGCTTCTGTTGATAGCTAGCAAATGATGAAACGATGCAAAAAAATAATATCAATAATCTTACACAAATTTCAGAACCACTGAGCAGTGTGACAAGTTTATCAAAGTTTAAGTTACCATCTCAAGTTCTGGATCAGTCGCCAGAGAAAATGGAAAAGACCTAGTTTTGGAGGTGAACTTACAATATAAACGTACGAAATAAATAAACAAAATCCTTTTATTAATTAGACGTTACCCTCTTCTAAAAATAAAAAGACAATTTTGGTAAATTGTTTCTGGAACAGGGATCGACATGTGTTGACCTTGGTCGAAGTCCATATCACTCTCGACCTTCTGTTTTCAACAGGAGAAAACAAAAATCTGGTCAGTGTGAACCTTTCTATTGCCCGTATTTCTCTTCTCCTTAACTTAAAACTTTTGAAAATCAAAATCTTAAAAGGATAATTTCTCATGTTAGATGTCCTTTACGTGGCATAGATGGCTTGTTATATTGGGCTATTTCCTTAAGCACGGACTTGTTAGTGATGTCTCATACACTGGGCTATTTCCTTAATGCAGGGAAGATTACTCCCTCTCCCTCATTCTCTCATCGTTAATTGTTATTAGATGTTGTTGCTTCTCCACAGAAACTACCATGAGAATCGTAGTGTACTGGAGATCTTCTGCGAACCACACTTTTGATCGTTCCTCTTGCCACTGGAAGTTCTTTCCAACATCAGCTTTGCTGTTGACCCCATCTAGTTGACTTGTCGAAGCCTTCATCAGTTGCGATTTATCCTCGTGCCATTGCATGAGCAATCGTGTCTCCAATGATAGTTTCTATATCATTGCTTTTCCTCCACTCAAAACTCATGTACACCATCTAGGGAGATGTAAATCTATGCAGGTTAGACAACTCCTTTCGCTCCTCCTGATAATAATGCCAAGCCCCGATTATAGACGAATGGCCTTTTCAATGCAAAGAAGAAGCCCATCTACTGTTAGATGATTACCTTCATTTCCCTCTAAACTTTGAATTTAAGTGCTCTGTTACTCCATCGCTCCCTAGTCAGTCAGCTGGCTGTCTCACTATGTCACGTCCTGCATCCATCTCAATTTCTAGAAAATATGCTATCAATTAAAGCATGTCTCACTACGTCATAATGTTCTGTGTACACAGTCTCGTTCACTGCTTCATCCCTTTCTGTGAAAGATCAGCATACAGGTCGGAGGATTAGAAGCAGTCATGGGATAGAAATTGTAGCATATCGAGCATCCTCACACTCAACAATCGAGGCTTCTCTATCATAAGAAATATTAGGTCATATTTCTGGGTTGTCATTTAGTTTTCTGCTTTAGTCCGAACTCCTAGCTTCCAGTTGTCTCCGTCTATCAATGGCAGGTGGGCAGAACACTTGGCCCTTCCTTTATTAGACGAATTCAAATCCACAGTACCTTCTAGTGTAGTGCAATATGATAACTGGGCCCTAGTTATCTTGCCTTCTGTGACAGAATTCCATTATTGTATGGTTCATTGACCACAAACCTAAGGTTCTTCTTCCTTATGGCGATTTTACCGCTAGGAAGTCGCTCTCATTGTCACATCAAAGTTCTTTGCACTGATTGTGCGAAGGAATACTTTCACTTTGAGATAGGTGATGTCTTCCATCCCATTGATTTCTTCAGATTCACCTTTTTTGAAAAGAGGTGGAGCCCTATTTTTTAGATGACATTTGCTCTTGTCATATTTATCTCTGCTCAACACCCTTTTTGCTTGAAGCTATTCTTGCCCACCAAGTATACTCTTCATGGGTATAACCTTGAGCAAAAGGGCGACCACTCTAATGTTCCTAGATCCCATCATTTTAATACTTGCCTTTTTGTCAACTGTCACCATCTATAAAAAATATCCATTCTACACTTTTCCCATGATCGTCCGTTTCTGCTCAGGATCATAATCCTCTCAACCCTACGAAGGCTTATCTCATCATTTTAATACTTGCACTTTATCGGGTAGCTCAGGGTGTGGTTGGGGAGTTGACGTTCAACCAGTGATCAGCCACAGCAACCAGCAGCAGAAGCCCTCTGGAAAGAAGAAAATGATCTCTCTTGTGTTGAGCTCTTTGAACCTTTTTTCTTTCATTGGGGAGAGGGGGGGGCGTTTTATAGATAAATTCATCACTCAATCTTCAACATTTAGTCTCAAAAGATGATTCAAGAAAAATACTTCCAGAAGTGTGTTCTATACTATAACAATTGAAATTATGATTAATGTTAGGGCACGATGAGACAGATTTGAAGAGCCTACAAAAAAAATTGTGTCAGGAGACAAACAGACAAAAAAGCCTTTAAAATAAGGGCATCTGCAGTGGAAGAATTCTCTGTAGTTAGCATTGACAGACTGTTGATAACAACCAAGGTTGATGTTGATGATGTTGTTTAGGATGTCAGACTGCAGCTGATGTATTGACGCAGTAAACCTAATATCAATATTCTTTCACAAGGGCTCTGTCAGTTTTAATTAGTGTCAATCTATGTCTCGGGAACTCTGCTTTTGGGAAAGACGTGTGTTCCTTGTGCTGATTTTTCCTAGTGGCTGTATTCATTAAATAGTTCAACTTACGCTGTATTTATTAAATAGTGCATTAAATCTTGCCATTTCTTTCGTCAACTTGTCATTTTTGCATATCTCAATGCTGTCCTGAGATATCCATCCCTTTTTTTTGGCATTACAATATCTAAAAGTCATAACTCTTCCCAAAGTTACACAAAAGTCACCCAGTCAATATAAGCAGTGTGGCAAATACTTTGCTTCCGATAAATTATAATTTTTCACAATCATAAATGAACAATAACCCTTATTGGTGATTACTCTTCCTAAGAATTAGACAAATTACAAGTAATGATGTTATAATGAGTTATGTGCCAGGTATAAATATTCTTACAAAGGTCTGATGTTCGAAGTTTCACAGACATTTAATCAAACTCCTGTGCTAACAAAATTATTTGGTGGAACCATTAATAAAAACAAAACAGGCATTTACAATTGCAAACGAAACAACTTACAATTGTTTTTTGGATCTTCTTTCTCTGGCTTTGTCTCTGAAGATTTCACCAATATCAACAAGTAATCAAGAAAACTTCAGTGATTATTAAAGATGCATCAAAATATTTCTTTCAAAAACTACAATTTCAATAAAACTACCAGGAAAAGAAATTAGAAGCACACAATAACCGATAAAAAGTTATGGGTTGACTAGGCAGTAAGGTTATGTGTAAAAAAATGGGGATTTATCTACATCAGCTCTAAGCCAAACAGAGCCTGCAGTATACCAAATCTGCCACTAGCTTTTATCATAGGCTCTACAGGAGTCGACAGAGAGTTATGTGAAAATGAAAGCTGAAACAGTGACCAACTATATGATCACTTGTTTGGATCTAAATGATTAGGTAAAGCTATTATGTCCTTTTTTATGGTAGTACAGGTCAGCAAAGAAGCAATTATCTTAACGGTAACCATGGCTAACAAAAGGCAGAAACTAAAATGCGTGAAGTGGACAAACCATTAGATCCCTTGGGTTTGTTTTGAGTAGAACGCCAAGACTTCAAGTTCTTCGCTCTACCATTTTTATTAAGGGTTTTCTGCTTCTCAACATTTTCCTCATTGAATTTCAACAAGCGGCTGCTTTCAATCCACTCATCCCAACTGTGAAAGAGTTCATTTCAAGAAAATGATCACTTGAAGGTTCACAACACTTAATAATAACAGTATACCAGATAAGCCATCATTAGTATCAGTCCCAACCGTCAAAAAGGTTATTTTAAGAAAAGTATTCACTCGAGTCTTCAGTTAAACCTGTTAACCATACATACATAATACACAAATGTCGCATGGATTTGTAATATTAAACGAACAATACAGCAAGTTTTAACCACAAATGGTCCCATAAGCTGAAATAGAAAGAATCGTTGTTAAAAGATATGCTGTCCCTAGGAGGGAATAGTTGGAATAAATACAGAGGCATATAGGGAAAAATGACGAAAATAGATTGAGAAGAAGATAGTAATGCTTCAGTAATGCCCGTCAACAATGGGCTGCTGCATCACCAGAAAGCTGTATGGCGGTCCCCCATCAAATAAACCAGAAGACTGGCATTGCACCTAGGAAGATATAATGTGTATCTACTATGCTACCTAGGAAACTTCTGTCAGTCCAATCAAAGAACCGTCAGCAATAGGATTTCATTCAGAGTTTTTAAATAAAATATTAAATTCTTCCAAACGAAGAGGTGACTTGACAACTCTTATATCTTCCACGGAATTCTCTCGTCATTTTCCTTCTATCTGTTTATCAGGACATAGCTTTAACGTAGAACATTGAGGGGCTTTCGAAGATTACATGTCGTATAAAGAAGGCTTCTCTTGTTTGAAGGCTGATTACTACCAGAGGCATCTGGTCATCAACTCAAGTTTTGACGAAATCACCTAGCTCAAAAATTATTTAGTTCGAAAACTGAATAGTTGTCAATGAGAGAGTTATCTGTTTTCGAGGCATCTAACTCAAAAATCAATTCACAATCACGAATTTATTTATAGTATCAAATCATAATATGTCCACTCCTGTGCAAGCTGAAATTTGAGCTTATTTGCAACGACAATATCTATTAAACTCACACCCATTGGATCTATATCGCATTAAACTCATGTCATCTATCAAAATTAATTGTCCCAAAATGAGGAATCATTTTGATCTCAGATTTACTTTTACTGTAGCCAATATGGCACTATTCTAAACACTCATAGCTCTGGCAAATGGTATGTGATCTAGTGGTACAAACTGTGATGGCCAAAGAGCTCCTAATGCTGTAATCTAGAAACACAAATTACAGAACATTACACTCATTGAGCACCTTCCTCCGTTCTCTTTTAGTCTACTAGGAGTATGCTTTCCCTTCACGAGCTATTTATATTGGTCCTTCACTTGATAAGTACAAGTGATGGAATTATCCCCTCTATCATTGGCAATTCTACAACTTTTGTATAGTAATGCATATTTTATTTATCAGTACGATTGTAGAACGTAGATCCCATTTCTGCACACTTGCCTCCATCAATTAAAACTACAACTCAATCTGACTAAGAAGGTAATGATCCTGACACTTTTATCAGATTGATAAATGAAAATTTTGCCTCGATTGCAAAGATGACCAGAGCCTGAACATTCATTTCAATTGAAGCAATTCAAAGAGGGACTATCAGAATGCATATAAATAATGCCTTAAAAGTGATATGTGTGAAGCCTTCATCATTGTGGAGTGTGCTACTGCACAACCTTGGTGAAGTGTGCTTTCTTTGTTGTGCAAAATGTAATATCAAACGGGCACCTGACATCTAGTGTAAGACATTCTCAAGCATAAATCAACTTGGGTTCATTTCTAATGAACACAATGTTGATCTTTTTACCTGCTCCAAACAACGGCAATTTTCTAGGCAAGGTTCATTTCTAATGCCCACAATGCTGATCTTTTTACCTGCTCCAAACAACCTCTCTTTTTCACTGTGGATTAAAAAGTGATTTTCTGCAAAACTTGTGAAGGCAGATCCTAATTTGGAACATTATAGTCAGGAACCCATTAAGTATATCTAAGAATGATGTTACATCGTTCTGTCTACGAAAAGAAAAAGGTTTTCAACGAAGTCAGTACCGCCATTTAACAAGCTGAACTTTCATTTGCAAAGAGACTAAATGGGCCAAGGTATTGTGCCCCGAGGATCTCATCTCTTAGCTAGCTCACATCGGGACACATCCGATTTATACAGGGTTCAGAGCGGATGGAAATAAAATACTTGTACACCATAAGTTTCCATCATTAATTAATCGTGGTGCTTGTCATGTTAAAAGGAAAGTATGAAGTACCCATAAGTCAAAATGGTACCAATGATAACTCTGAATAACTGCAGGTAGGTAGCACACACCTTTTGTTCCAACCCTGCAAAAAGGCTGAGTAATTAGCAAACATCTGAAATGATTGGCAATATTTAACAGTAAAGGTGAACTAAGCAACGGCAATATAATTCTTTAACCAAATAAATGTTCAACGAAGTGAATTCAAAGTCCTGTAGAGGGTAGAAAGTCGGTGAATAACTCACGAGATAATGGACATAGTATTTCCATTCATTCTCCCGGTACTCAACTTTTTGAACCTTAGAAAAGGAGATTGGAATCAGCAAATACTTAGAGATTGCCTCAGAAAACTATGAATATCTAAGCATGACAAAGAACGCTATTTCTATAGACTAGAGTAAAACTTTGATACAATATAAGCATATACACATTAGGGAGAGATTTGATTTAATTATATATATATATATATATATATATATATATATATATATAATTGTGTAAAGCACCAAGTACAGGTCAAAATGAAATGATTATAAATACACCAATACAAATACCATAAAAACAAAATTAAGCATCGACAGGAGAGATTTTAAACTATCAACCAGGGAACAGGTTAAAAAAGATAACTAGACATGCAAACAAACAGAATAAGAAAAGAGACTTTAGACTCATAGTGAGCTTTAACAGTGAACAAAACACAAGGAATTCTCTTATGACATTATTCAATGTATGCGTTGAAAACGTGTAGAGGTTATTTTTCTCCGAGATAAGCATTTTGCCTCATGGCAATTGATTATTGATGACAATAAATGAACTTTTGTTTCCTTGAGAACGGTAAAAGCCATAATTTATTAGTAAATAAAGTTAAGGAAGCAGCTTATTCACTAAGCTGCAGATAGTACTCACCTGAACCTGACAGACAACAGAGAAAGCATTACCTCTCATAGCTCTGATCAAAGACAAATGCAAACCAACTAACAGGAGGGAGCACAGTCCTGACCATCCAAGATGATACATCGAAGAATAATGTGTAAGTTATCAGATGTAGATCATAACTCAAACAATAATGTTTATCCTCTCTCTGGTCATCTGGATGAAAATGTATTCACATTTGCCATTCTCGATCTACCATAAAAAATACATATATCCTCAATAAATTACAAAGAGCAATCTTCCAGAAGCCCACAAGCAAGATTGGAACCTTCGGATAGTGATTAGAACAGCCAAAATGGCTAAAGCAGGGGAAGAACCCAATTCGGATTTTATTTTTAATCAGATTTTTTATTGACACATTAGAATATTTATTCAGAAGGACTTCACAACTAAATGCTAACTGAGGTCATTTATACAACTATGAGCCTTATAAAGGCATCTTTCACCCAAAAAGCCAAGTTAGTCCTGGACACAAGCATGTTATAGGAACCAATTCCTCTGAATCACTGCTTCCGATCAATTTAGCCCATACATCAACCAAGTTCACCCAATTTTGAAATACTTTTGAAGTATTCAACTCGGTATCAGAATCTCCTCACCCACTTGAGCTAGATTGGGTAACTCTGATCTCAAGTGTCATGCTTCAAAACTGTCATTTCTCGCTCTTAATGGTACACAAAATAGCAGGAAGTAACAGCTTCCAACATACTGTTTCTAGACTACGATTGACTTCCACCACTTAAGTAGTGTAGCACAAGCATCCAAAGTAGTTCCTGAATATACTCCGTAATGATAAGAAAACTGTTCCTGAATGTCTTGTCAGATTTTTTCTTATTTCTCTCCCCCCAGATGGGCCTCATAATACTTGATGAATGCTACCCTGTTTCTTCAAAATCTTAAGAATGACTTCCACCACTTCATTCGCATAGGAACATGATTGAATTTGTTTAAATTCAAATCCAATTTTTGAGTGCGGTTATAAAAATTACAACAATGATCCCTGCGGGGAAAAATGTATAATTAGGAGTTAGTTTATGTTGGTCAGTTTCCTAGTTGAGAGGAGTTTCCTCCCTAGGTAGTTTCCTTTTTTTTGGCCAGGGTAGCTGTATATAATTAAAAATGGTTGTATAATTTGGGTAGTAGAAGACATTTTCCCCAACTTTCATCCTTACATGGTTTGCATTAATTCCATAGTCAACAAGAATGACATCAAATTTGTCATAGCACAACCATATCTTCTGGTAGAACTGCTGAATGTTGTACTGCCATGACTAGTACAATATCTCTTCATTCCCACTTTCCGCAAATAATAGAGATTATTGGCTCTTCACAACATGAGAGAGTTCAAAGTTGTTGATCCTTTGCTGGTAGGTTATCCTCTCTTTCAGCACGTGTCATTGCTATACTGCCTTCTCCATAAATGTCCTTGAAATTCAAGGCATCTCGAAAGAAAGGTCACCTTTTTCTGGAAAAAAATCGTCCCATTGTTTCTCCATTTTCGTGTCTAAAGTGGATGAGACCTTAAAAAGAGTATTGTGACTGATGAAGGGCCCTACCCTTCACATGCTTGAAACATATGAGGCAGTTCATCCAGACAAATACTTCAATTTAGACCAAGTTGAACGCTGGGGAAAAAGTGACAGCAAACAAAAAGCTACGAGCTATTCCCACACTCCTGGCTCCTGTCACTCGCCTCTCCATCAAATGAAGGGCCTTGCATTTAGGAAAAGCAGCATATTACACATCTTATTATGCCACATGTGCACAATCAACAAAAAAGGCTTGAAAGTTTGACCACTTGTTTTTTCTCACCTCTCTGCAAAATTTCCATTCCTCCTTGCTCCTCCAATGAACGAACAAGTATCACATTCAGAAGAAACAGCCTATCACAGATTTCCATCATGCCTCCATCAAATACACACCTTGCAGAGAGGGAAATAGACCAATTTACATCTTGTGAATTCAGGGTTTTGAGACCAAAAGCCTCAATCAGTGACCTCTTACATCCATTAATTCTCTCGTGCTAATTTTTTCAGGTAGTTTTCCCTTAGGATTTTCTTCATTTATAATCATCACATCGCTTTCTTCCAAGCTCTAGCCAGCCTATTCTAATCCATCCAGCTGTGGTAATTCGATCGTGGTGATTCCAAATTCTTACATCAGAAAAACAGTGGAGAGCGTTTCTCTGCTTTAGAACGAAAATCTTCACAGACTCCTAGCAAAGGCTGGATATGAATCTACACCCCTACCCCGCACCTGGTACATAAAACCAATTTCTCAAATACTTGTCAAGCGTCTATCCCAAGGTGTTTGAAGCCCTGCTTAGGAATGGTACAGGGACTCCATGCTTTATGAATTATTTGAAAGTCGAAAGAATTTTTTTCTCACTCAAATTATCCATTTTCATTTTGATGAGTACGCTTAAAACTTTGCTTCGATACATGATACCCAAGCACCTCCTTTGACCGTTCCTGTTTCCCAGTTAACAGAATAATATTTACGGTAGCAGCTTATGCCTTTTAAAGAAGGGATACAGCATCGCTCCCGTCGTTCTCTCACTTCAATCCCCCCAACTTCGATGCACAATTTTTTTCTCAATATTTTTGGGGGGAGGTGTGGGAAAATAAGCAGAATAATTTGCAGAAAATTCTGCCTTCCCAATGAGATATCGACCCAAATCGAAACACATCTATTAATCAGAATGAAACTTTCATCAAGCAATGTCTCCTAGACACACGAGAGATGGTAATGCTTGTTTAAAAACCTCGTTTGAGATCAAACTAACATTGAATGAAATGCTACCCCAAAAAGCGAATAAATTAAATTATTTTTTGATTTATTTTGAATACGAAAACTTTCTCTGACTAAAGACTCCCAAACTACTTGATAGTAATCCAACAAACAATAAACACTTTCTATATAAGTCGGTAATTCGTATTCCGATAACAAAGCCGTCAGAAACCCCGTTATTTCCGCGATCTATCCACCACCATCGTGTACGGAAATGACGGAGACAGAACTAGCTGGAAACAACTACAAAGCCCTAGCCGCAAGTTCCGGGATCGGGAGATACTGACCTTGGACTCATAGATACGGGGGCCATGAAACGCAAGAACCTTCTCCCCTTCTTCGTAATCAGCTTGACCAGGGGGGGACTCCGACCCAGCGGACGGGTCCCCGGGAGAAGCCGCAGCGACATCACTCTCCCCTCCGTCAGCAGGACTCTCGGCCTTGACGGGCACTCCTCCCTTTTCCCCACCTCCCGTATCATTGGAGCTCCCCATCTCTGTGAGGCCACAACGTCCCCCTTGGCTTCCGCTCCCTTAGGGTCTACGCGCTCCGAAGCCGACAAAACCCGCTCCCTTCACCTCTGTTTCTCTTTGCGCTGCTAGTAAAGAGTAAGACAGCCCCAGTAGCGAGGTCAAACCAGAGAGAACAACAGGGGACGAAACCCAACCTTTCCCAACCGCTACTCTGACGGCGGCCGTTAGCTGCGAGCCCAAGATGTGGCTCTCTTGTTTGGTATTTTTCCGTTACCATATATTATGCTTGACGGCCGGGCTAGATACGAATTCCGCTGTCCCCGGGCCGGAGCGGCCCGTTTCATACGAGGCTCCAGGCAGAGAAGGCATGCGTATGGCACGCGGTCCGAGAAGAAACGGGCATTTCGGGGTGTCCGGGCCCGTTACAAAGTGGGAGCCCCCTATAAATAAAATTGCCACCGCTGAAAATTGCGGGGGGATCTACGTTTGTAACATTATTCTGCCGGCGTATTTAACCGCTTTTCTTACGTAAGGATGAGCTCATGGTGTCGCCCAAGTGTGGGCTGTGCAGCTCATTATGAACTCATTTCGACATCCACGGCTTCCTATTCCACTGGGGCCCCACCGCCGGGCTCTCGCGATGATTGAATCCAAGGAGAAGAAGAAGAAGATTTATTCCCTTCCTCCGAGCGAGATCCCGGTGGCATATGGAGACCAATCGATTCCTCGCCGCATGGGGGGGCTCCGGACTGGGCGTACTCGTTCCTCGGAGCGAAGGTACCGCCGGCAGAATCCCCGGCTGTTTATCCTTTCGCCTCCCCGCCGGTCCGCAGCAGCTGCGCCCCCAGAAACTGCGGCCTCAGATTCCGTGTACTCGATTGTTGTTGATCGGCGGGGCGTGGAGAAGGGACAGCGTCGGGTCCTCTCGTCCCTCCTATCCCTGGTTCCTCCAATGCGAGATCTCCGTCCACTGCCGGGCACAGAATGGCCATGCGCACGGCCACGGGCCAAGTCACACCCATGCTGACCATGGCGACGACGGCGGCCATGCGTGTGAACATAGGCACGGTGACCACGCTGCCGGCAATGGGCATGAAAACAGTCATGGTGACCACGCCGGCCAAGCGCATGAGCACAACCATGGTAACCACTCCGTCCATGCTCATGGACACAGCCAATATCACAATCATGATGGCCACGGCGGTCACCACCACCACCACCACCACCATCACCACCATGGAACGGGTGGGGAGCTGACTGCGGCCCAACAGGCTCTCCTGCGGTTCACCAGGGCAGTGGGGTGGGCCCAGTTGGCAGACTTCCTCCGGGAGAATCTGTACCTCTGCTTCTGCTCCATGGCACTGCTCCTCGCGGCGGCTGCTTCACCCTACATCCTCCCTACGCCTGCTGTGAAGCCTTTCCAGGATGTCACCGCGCTCCTTGCCTTCCCTTTGGTCGGGGTACGTGGACTATGTGTTTTCCTCCGGCTTTCATTTTTTTCAGTATGCAATTGTTTGATGGACCGTTGGATGCTCATCAGTTAAGTCTCTGTTCTGGCTACTGTGCTTCAGATCTCCTCGGCTCATGATTCCGTTCTTGATATCGCTGCTGGAAGAGTGAACATCCACGTGCTTATGGCTCTGGCAGCCTTCGCATCGTTGTTCATGGGAAATGCATTGGAGGGTGGCTTGCTCCTTGCGATGTTTAATTTGGCCCATATTGGTAAGGATCTCTAAATTTCGAATCCAGAGCATACGTGCAGATGCGCAAACATAGGGCTTCTGTGGGTGATGAATTTCTTTCATGGGCTGCTTGCAGCGGAAGAGTATTTTACCAGTCGGTCCATGATTGATGTGAAGGAGCTCAAAGAGAATCATCCTGAATTTGCCCTGGTTTTAGAAACGAATGGAGAGGAGCAGCCTCATTTTTCAGACATGAAGCACAAAAAGGTTCCCGTGTATAATATTGAAGTGGGTTCTTATCTTCTTGTCAGAGCTGGTGAGGTCAGTTCTTAGGGTTTTCTTGCTGGTTCACAGATTTTAATGATTTCTGCCTTTTAATATGTTCTACTATGACCCATGTCACTTTGTAAACAAGATTTACCATGTGACAATCCCATTTGATTGATTTATGATAGTTTGTACCTGTCATTTTTCTTTGAAACTCACAAGTACAATCGGCAGAACGGACATCGTGGCTAAAATCTGCATTTTTAGTTCACTTCGAAAATCATAGTATTTGAGAAGCTGAACTCCACGCATTAGCTGGATTGACTTTGGATCTGGCAGCCATTTTTCGGTAGAGGATTCATAAAGTTTAGGTGATTATCTCTGCCCATTGTCATGCTAAGCAGGTTTTAAAAAATATGTGAACAATATGGTGAAGGAAAGTAATTGTATAACTAATCAGCAGTGTCCGAACATTTGAGCCTAGGTATTTTCACTTATGTCTTCATTTAAAGGTGGAATTATATTCGTTTGTGTGCTGAAATCAAATGGATTATTACTTGAGCGTTGACAACTGATGGATTCTCATCTTGATACTTCATAGAGAGAAATTGGATTTTAATCTGATTACGACAAATCCTCATTTCTGTTGATGCCATGGGCTCAGGTTGTAAACTCTGTTTCAGCATCAAAATACGAATTTAAGTGTTTTCAAAGAATGTGCTAACTAGAGTTAGTTATAATTAACAAAACTGTCATTTTGTTTCCATTTCACTTAGACTTCTGCTTTAGTTTCACTTAATTGAATACAATTTTGAGGCATAATGTGCTTTTCTAGGCTGTGCCAGTGGACGTTGAAGTCTATCAAGGTGCTTCAACAGTCACCATTGAGCATCTTACAGGAGAGACAAAACCCTTGGAAAGGAAAGTTGGGGACAGAATCCCAGGTGGTGCAAGGAACTTGGAAGGAATGATGGTTGTCAAGGTGCAATTTAGTACCACGTTATATTACACAATTATTTGTGCGTTCTGCCTATTTTTTGTCACTCTGTTGTTTATGCATTTGCTTTTTTTTTAATCAATGTGGCACACTTATGAACTTTTGATGTAGTTGATGCTTTCTTTCTACGATGATGATTAAAATCTATCAATGAGTGCATGCCTTATTCATGGAAAATCTTCTTAACTCTCCCGCAAGCAAGTAGTTATGATGACTTTTATTAGGCTGTTCGTTGTTCATTTCATAATAATTGATCCCCAACTAATTTGCCTTGCTTTAGGCAACCAAGGCATGGAAGGATTCAACATTGAACAAGATTATGCAGTTGACTGAAGAAGGACAGCTGAATAAGCCTAGACTGCAAAGATGGCTGGATGAATTTGGTGAACGTTACAGCAAAGTTGTTATGGCTCTATCACTCGCAGTTGCAGTCCTTGGTCCGTTTCTTTTCAAGTGGCCATTTATTGGATCATCAGGTATACCGTGAAAACTATTCTTGTGAAACAGACGAATACGAAAACACGTTTATGAAATTGTACGAAATATGTTGTGATTATTGTCAGTCTTTCATCTTTCTTTAGTCATCAGCAACCCTGTTTGAAGAGGTTATCCAGACTATTTGCTAATGGTCTGTTAAAGAGGAGGATTCTAAAAGATGGAGACTTGTGCTATTTTGATATATTTTTAAACATTTTAAGGCCTATGTGATATGGGCTAAATTCTATCCTACATGAGACTGCTTGGGAGCATCTTATGTTGAACCGAGTTTAATCATTGTCTGAGCATGAGTGATAAAGAGAGAAGATAATATATCATGTGAGAGTTCCTACATCATCACATTACTACACTGCTGGGATTACGGTATTAGGTACCTTACCCATAAACTTACCAAGTTTCTTGTCTGAAATTTAGAGCAGTTGGGCAAACGGTGCCTTTCCGATGATAATGAAAAGGGTTATTGTTTTCTCATCGAAAGGGATTCAAGAAATACCACTACAAAGATTCTGAAAAGGGGCTTCTATGAGAATTCTTGTGGGATAGAATATAAGCAATCTATGAAGGTTCTTAAAACAAAAAGTGTTTTATGCATGGATTTCACAAATGTTTTCAAAGTTTTCTATTTTTTGTTTGGTAACACAATAACATCAACATCTCATGCTGCAGTCAATAGAGGTTCCATTTACCGAGCATTGGGGCTTATGGTGGCAGCATCACCATGTGCACTAGCTGTTGCTCCCTTAGCATATGCAACTGCAATCAGTGCCTGCGCTAGTAAGGTATTATTACGACAATACAAAACAATAAATCAAGGATTTGCTACCAACATTGAGTTTTTTCATCTTTCTCCTGGGTAATAATTCTCTTTAAGATGCTTTTTGAACATGTGTCCCTCTCAAGTTTGTCCTAATATTAATGCATTGATGCATCTTGATAATCTTATTAGCTTTTTTCCTTGTATTTTTTATAAGTTCCTTTTCAATTTTAATTCCCGTTTGAGAACCATGCCTGTATGTAAGAAAGTTTCTACAAAATTGAATGTAATATTGAGCACAATAAAGTGTCACATTGAGATACCCACCAAAACAAGCCATGGTTTGTGCTCAAGAGATTCAGATCTTCTCCTTCCGAAATATGTCGGGTCAATCATGTTAACACGAAAATTTTCATCATCTAAATGATCATCGTGATATTGTTGATGTTTAAAGCTTTATGCTAATCTTTACTTCTTTATAAGTAATCACCAGGATCCTTGCCTTTGTAAACAATGACTAGCAAACTTCATACAGTAGTTTCTGCTGCAAGATACATGAAGTGGGAACTCTAGATGGCATGAGTTTTGTGAATTTGGTTCTATCTTTTCAAGTCAGATAATTTGTGGTGTTGGTTAAACCCAGAAGCGTGAACTGTCTATGCAACTATATTGCTGTTTATGTTGTCTATGGGCCTGGATGTGATTGTCCTAGTCTTTGCCTTTATTTTAGGCTTTCAGTGTCATGGGATTTTTGCATAATACAAAGTAAATTGTCCACTAAATCAGGAAAATTTTGAGCTCAGGTGTTTGTGTCATGCAACTGTTACCTTGTAGGTTATAGAAAAAATATTCCCATTGGCACACATCCTACTTTTCCCAGAACCATACGTAATGTGCAGATTGAAGTTCACGAGTGATATTTTTTTCTCTTCGAGAGATAATTGTATGAATTGTTTTCTCTATTTTTAAAGAACAAGGTGCGCTCTCGTATTCAGAAGAAAGATAAAACCGAATGCCCATGTTTTCATAGTGTATTTTCCATAGAATCTGAGTTTTGTGTATCTGTCTGTGCATTGATTAAAGATTTTACTCTTTTATTTGCAGGGCATATTGTTGAAGGGTGGACATGTTTTAGATTCTCTAGCATCATGCCACACTGTTGCGTTTGACAAAACAGGGACTCTGACTACGGGGAAACTTAGGTGCAAAGCAATTGAACCAATTCATGGTCATTCAGCAGAATGGCAAGACTTTAAAGATTCTTCATGCTGTACTCCCGACTGTGAAAAGGAAGCTCTTGCTGTGGCTGCAGCAATGGAAAAGGGAACTACTCACCCTATTGGAAGGTGAAAATTTAATACAGCGTTCTTTTTTATGAATTCTAGTTTCGACAAGAAGTCGAGTATTATCACTTGAAACAATTCCATTGACGTTAGATTTTAATTTTTAGATGTTACTTTATGATTTTTGTCATTATATTAGCAGTTGAAAACCCTCCACCTTCCCTTATGAGAAATGGAGATAAAGTCCTTACCCATTGCATTTATTTAGCCTCCCTAAATTCATATTTTCAAAATTGATTTTCCGATTGAGCTACATTTGAAGTTTCTGTATTAGTAATATGTGTCTGTAGTATGTACACTTTGTCACATCGTCATCAGCTGTCTTCACTTTATTTTGCAAAATTATGGGTTTTCTGTTTTTGCATTCGTTTTTCGTTGATTCCATCAACATTGCATATTTTAGTATCTTGTTTCTGATAGTAAGTAGCAAGCAAAATGGAATTTTGATATAGCCTGCCTACAGTTTTTCATCTACCAGCTCTTCATACACAGGATGCTATTTTCTTGACAAAACCTTTAACTATCAGTGCTTGTACATACTAGTTGGGTTTTTGATACAATGTGCTGACTTATTCGAGTTCACCAATTTACTCATTCTTCTAAACATTGCAGAGCAGTTGTAGCCCACAGCCTTGGAAAAGATCTTCCAAGAGTCTCAGTCGAAAGTTTTGAATGTCTTCCGGGCCGAGGTCTTTTTGCTACCTTGACATGTACGAAGGTAATATGCCCCCCGGCATGTGTACTAATATTACTCGGTTGCATCGTTTTTGAAATTCGGTCTACAGTTGACTGTGTCTTTTACCAAACGTACCTTAATTGAATTTACTAGAGGATGGTATTGGGTTTTTTTAATGTACAGTACTTCCACAGTTGCACTCAGTGCAATCAAACGATTCACTGAAATTTTATCGTTATCCTTCAAAAGTTGTTAATGTTTTATTGTCCTAATTTCATTCATAGGAGTAATGTCTGCAAGAATCGTAAACTGATAGCCTAGCTGCATGGTTCTAATCATTTAAGGACAAATTACATAAATTGACACAACATAATGATAAGAGTTACCTAAGACAAAAGGATGATTCCTTCTGGTCAAGGGCAGAATATCGTATCATTAGGCCGCGGATAGGTTACATTGTGTATTGGCAGATGTTTGGTAATCTTGTCACGTTGACTTGAAGACCACTTTATGCGATTTTAGATGGTCTGATTCGACCCATGGTCAAGGGAAGGAAGTAGATAGGCCATATTTTGTAATAAGAGATAATTTTCTAACTTGTGGCACTTTTTATGGAAGACATCCTCATATGATTTAAGTTTGCCTTATGTCACCTTACTCGTGCTTTAATATTCAGTTCTACTGTTGTCCATATCTTTTAGGCATTTAAAACCAGACATATAATGCTATTTCACATATGGTTTGATATCCAATTGAGGAAAAAAAGGTGAAGAAAAAAATGTAATGCCCTGGTTACTTCTGTATTTTCCCCTGTTATTATCTTCAGTATCAGAACATCGAAAGTGTGTAAAAAAATATCTCTATCCTCATATGCAGACCTTTCTTGTAGTCATCTTGGATCAGCTTTAGGCGCTGAGGGTGGCTGTGAGTTTGACAATTTCTTTTTGTTCTTCCGAAAAACTCAGTTGACACCAGATGATTGAAATTGGAGAACTATCCCCCAACTATGCTATACTGGTTAACTATTACTTAGATGCAAAATTAAGTTGAAAAGAAAGATTTTATGATACCATTATGAAGAACCTCTTGGGGAAATGAACAAAGAAGCGAATTGGTTAGGAGCATGATTTCTGAATACCAATCAATTTTAATCCAGGGAACTCCTGGCCTGATTTTGATGGGGCAATTCGACAAGTCGAAAATTTTTCTGTCAAAGTACGCCTACTTTTCTTCTATAAAGAGTGAATTTAAGTTGTGCTCCATCCGGATTGCGGAAAATAGGTAGGCAACAGTCCATTTTCCTTTAAAAATGAGTTCTCATCGATTGCCCTTCATTGTTCACCCTATTTCAAAAATCAATCACCATTGATACATTTGCGCCTAACATTTTATATCCCTTGAATTCGGCCTCCGAATAATTAACCACGGCCTTCACGGAACTGCCTCTTTCCGTTGGTTGCCAACATGTTCTTCTTTCCCTCATGCGAGATTAGTATGGTTCATTAAACGGCCATTGTTCCAATGCAATTTTAGAGGCTCTACTGATGGGTGGCAAAACCTAAGCTCTTTGTTATTCTTTTTTTATACAAAGTATTGACTATCTTCAATGTTGACACGTACCTGTTATAACTCAGTTACTTTCTTACTTCGTTTACTTTTGCATCATATAAGCTAATAAACATTTTTGGTATATGAAAATTAGGATTTATAACATTTAAACATCGTTTCTAACCCAACCAGAACAGAAAACAACTCTATATAAATTTGAACTGACCTCATCGGTTTCTTGTAGATGAACCTGCGTTCAGTTATTCCATAAGAACGATATAAGTTTATTAAAGCAAGAAGATGAATGGATCTGTCATACGTTTTTCTTCACACCATCAAATCCGTTAAATCTACCATGAATTTTGGATTCTTTTTTCAAATATTTTTATGAAGGCATTATTTTTTTGAAGATACGCTGTCATCATTCTTCTCTAGTATTTGTGAGATAAAAAAATAATCCATTAATTAATTAATAGTGACTACATTATTCCCACACATTCATTTAGGATTAGGTTGGAGTCTATGTTTCTGTTCTTTTTCTTTCCTTTTGATAAGCCACACTGGATTGGGGCTTGTGAAACATTTTTCTCCTATGAGCTTACTTCATCAAGATTGGTCAACGACCATGTTCTCATGATTCACTTTTTCTTAATCTATTATATTTGTGAAAGAGGCTCGAACCTCAATCTCTTATGTAGTCATATTGTTATTTTGTCTCAGTCTGGAACTGAAGAGAGTGAATATTTGAAAGCATCAATCGGCTCTGTTGATTATATCGCCTCTTTGTGCAAATCTGATGCCGATTCTGAGAAGATTAAGGAAGCAGCAAGAACGTCTGCATATGGCAGTGATTTTGTTCAAGCGGCCTTGTCTATTGACCAAAAGGTTTGCCATCCCTATGGATAAAGCTTTTTAATGGGCATTTTGTGAATTTCTGGCATCTTCGGATCTACTATCAAGTTATTCACTGTTTATTATACCAAAAGTGAAAACGGATGCAACTGCCATGTTTACTGCTGGGACATAGGGTCCGAGCTATAATCTGTGTTGTCATTGCCGTTGTTTGGTTCATCAAATGAACAGAGTTGTGTTTATAATCTTTTAACTTTATACTATTGCATGTAATTCTTGTTTATACTATTGCATGTAAAATGGCGATTGCATGGATTCAAACCTTTGTTTTTTTTTTCTGATTCATAGAAGTGGGAAAAATGTGAGAAAGTAATGGGAGAAACAAGCCCACCCCGTATTAAATTATATGGAATCTACACTTTTGCTTGTGTTGTTGCATGATTAGTAATTTTGAATTTAAATTGAATTGCGCATTAACAAGATGGCCTAAGGCCCTCCTGCATCAACACGTTATTGTTTTTCGAAGAGTAGATTGCTAGAACCATACTATTATTTGTAATTCTCGGGGAACATATTGAATGGACTTGCTAGCTTGCAAGTAAAGTGGAGCAGACGACACTGAAAAAAACCAATGGGAAGCATTAATTTAACATGTTTCTAATGTATTCTAAGAGACTACGTTTGTCAATTCGTTTAGGTCACACTCTTCCATTTTGAGGATGAACCCCGTAGTGATGTTATAAAGGTTGTTTCTGCCTTACGAAACCAATCAAAACTCCGTGTGATGATGCTAACCGGTGATCACGAATCAAGTGCACGGCGAGTTGCAAAAGCGGTGGGCATTGAAGAAGTGTACTCCAACTTGAAGCCTGGAGATAAGCTGAATCAGATAAAGTCTATCTCAAGAGACACAGGTAACAATCGACAATGACTGGAATGCATCTTATCAGTTTAGCTCTTTCTTTTCTTGGAGTTCTGCATCGATATCTTTTTCAGTACTTTTCTATCCTGTGCCACTGTAATCGATGAAGAAACTTGTCGTATTCTGTGGTTACAGTGCAGGTGACGAAGAGAAATGAGAGGTTGTCCTTTCTCTGTGCCAGGGGAAAGGAAAACCACTGGCACTAAATTTTAAGGGTCATTTTTCATGTCTAGATTAGGGTTTTGAGATGAGAGGATGATGATGAGCCTTTAGTTATTGTCCTCAGATCGTCTTTGCAGATCCTTTTAGCAAACCGGGTTCTAAGCTGTACGTGGGTAAACATCTTTACAAAACTCCTTGTTTTCTGAGGTGCTAGACGCGTAGGAATTTTCTCCCAGTTCTAAGGGATTGGAACCTCTATTCCTCAAGAGGGAATGGATCTGCCTGGCATATGTCGCGGGCAGAAATCGCCCAACTTTTTCTGCTGGATGAGTGCTCGGGGTTCTTCTTATCTGATGGGATTACTATAATCCAATGGTTGAATGATAATTCGAAATTGTCTGGCTTGAAAGCTAGGGAGCTGTCTCTGATGAATGAATATCCCGGTAAGCCCCCCCCATCTAGTCGAGCCTTGTTTGCAAGGTAGTTATGGACGACTGAGGAAGTGAGGAGGAAACCTCTCAGAAGGAGATTGTGGAGGCTGAAGTATATATAGCAGGTCTGAAACCTGCAAAACCGTCTGATTCATGTCTGAAAGGAAATTTATGGAGATGTCAGCTGCACGGCCCAAGGGGGGGATGATAGATGGCAAATATTTTCTTTGCTGGAGGTCTGAGGCTGCTGTTTTCACCATTCCCGGAGTGTGAAGATATGTTCTGAGTCATTATCTGTCACACTTTTCTCATGAAAGCAGACATGTTCGAGGGCTTTCTCTAGACTGAAATGCCGATGAAAAATACAAGAAAAAAAGGAGTGACCTTTAAAAAACCCCATTGCTCCCTTAGCTCCGACCACTTCCTTTTTTCTTTTTTTTCTCCACCCCCCGCCCCTTTCCTGATGGCCATAATCATGATAAAGCTGTATAGATGGTAAACCCTCAAATCTGAATGACACATACACATCTCTCCGGCGATGGTGGCGCAGGCGGCGGTCTAATAATGGTGGGAGACGGCATCAACGACGCACCCGCCCTCGCGGCGGCGACTGTTGGGATCGTGCTGGCCCAGCGCGCGAGCGCCACCGCAGTGGCCGTGGCGGACGTCCTGCTGCTCCAGGACAACATCTCCGGGGTGCCATTCTGCGTGGCCAAGGCCAAACAGACCACCTTACTGGTAGGACAAGCCACTCTCTCCCTCGCCGCAGGAGACGGCGACTGCCTGAACACCATCATCTTCCTCCCTCACTTTACCGCACTGCGCTCTCTACGGTGAATTCAGGTCAAGCAGAGCGTGGGGCTCGCCCTCTCCTGCATCCTCCTGGCTGCCCTCCCTTCCGTCCTCGGCTTCCTCCCTCTCTGGTTGACGGTACGCTTCTCTTCCTCCTTCCACTAGATTAGAACCCTCCCCTCTTCTCTCCTCTTCTCTGGTAATGGTGATAGTGATGGTGATGGTGGCGGGTGCTTTCTCCGGCATGGAATGGAATGGATGGCAGGTGCTCCTTCACGAGGGCGGGACGCTGCTGGTCTGCCTTAACTCCATTCGGGCTCTTAAGGAGCCCGCGTGGTCGTGGAAGCAGGAACTCCTGGAGGCGCTCCACCGCGTGCGGCGCTTCCTCGCGGCGGCTCCGCGGAGCCCGCCGGTGGCTACCGCGAACGCCGGCGGCGGCATGTAAAGTCATCGATTATTTATCATCACGGTATTAAGTCCTGTGAGGGAGGCGTATGGGGAGGGGGGGTAGTGACAGCGGGCCCCTTCCCTTTGGGCTCGTTGATAAAGGTAAATAAGAAATCTGGGCCGTCAGCCTGTGCGTCTCGTCGATTGTCTGCATCGGACGGTCCTTTCGGGCCGATCTTCTACCAGGCTCCTAGGGGAGCACATTACAGCCGTGATAACGTATACGGCGCGTCGCGATGACGCCATCTGTTGCAGGAACCCCAACAACAGCTAAAATACAGACGCCCGTTTGACCAGCAAAATCTCTGCCTCTCGCTTGCCGGGTTGACGATTAGAGTGGGCGCGGGCGCGCGGGCGCCATCAACATATGTTCATTCGTTCCCCCAAATCTATCTAAAATCGAACTCTCTCGGACAGCCCCAAGAGCACAAGAAGAGTGGAAGCAGTAGATTGAGAAGGGAGAGGAGAGCTGCCGCTACGTGAGAGATGACATGGGGAACAAGAAAACCTGGCAGCTTCGATTATATAGTAGCCGATTTCTGAGCCTTTTTTTCTTTTCCTCGCTGTACAGAAGCCAAAAAGCCTTAAACTGCTTTATTCGCCACGGACCTTTGGCCTTGGCCGTGGCCGTGTCCCCCCCCTCCAAATCAAATGAAAGGGAATTAACTTAACCGAAGAAGAGGAGAGGAGAGACGCCTCGACCTATCATCCAGCCATCTTCCGATTTGGTTTTGCTTCCGTCCCGGACGGAGAGTGTGGGGGCGGAACGCGACAAACTACTCAACTGCCTTGAGCTTGCTTACTTCGATCTGATTGACGTCGGCGTTACGGAGTCTGTCAAACGGGTGGTGCTTCTGGGGCGTGTGAGGGAGTACGAAAGTCACGCCGGAGTGTTCGAGGCCCAGCATGTAGCTCTTCACCTCCTTCTTTATCATGTCCTCCATGATCGTCAGGAACTCCGCGCTGAATGGGAACTGCTGCTGCTGCTGCTTGTTTCCCGGTCCCGGCTGTTGCCGCACAAACGACGCGGCCGGCGTCGCAGAATTCAGATCGTAGCTGTTCGAGCAAACACCTCGAGGAGAGGGATCTTCGTACTTGATGGGATGTGTCGCCGGAGGATGTGATAGATCGTGAGGGTCCCCCGGATGGTCGCAAGTCGCGGCAAAGAAGGGCGTAGGGCTCATCGACTGGTGGTTTGAAACCTCACACGGATCCGATCCAGGCAGAGATAGTGTGAGCGACGTCGAGGGATCGTCTTCGTTCATTGGGCCGCCACTGTTGTTGATTGACGAACAAATATCAGTCGACGGCATGGAGACCCCGCTGGTCCTCGGCACAGGGCGGTAGACGTGAGACGCAGCAGTAGCAGCCGTAGCGAGAGGAGAGGACAGGTGGCTCTGGTGGCTGACGTCCGAACCCGAGGGGCTACTGGGGCTGATAGAGAGCCCCCCCGACGGCACCGGCCCCCCGCTCCCCGCCCGCTTCAGCGGCCGCTCGTCGCTGTACTCATCGTCTTGGCGATCGAGAAGATCGCCTTTGCAGTACGTCCCGCCGACGGCATCGTCGGCGAGGATCACGTCGTCCTTGACGGACGCCGAGCAGGAAGATAGACCGCCGGAGGATGGTAGCCCACACGAGGCATACTTACGCTTTAGCGTCGAGTTCCAGTGGTTCTTGATGGCGTTGTCGGTCCTCCCGCTGAGCAGCCGGGCGATGGTGGCCCATTTGTTCCCGAACTTGGCGTGCGCACGCATGATCTTCTCGTCTTCCTCCTGCGTAAAGGGGCGATGCTCCACCTGCGGCGACAGCTGGTTACACCAACGCAGGCGGCACGACTTCCCCGACCTCCCGGGGACGTGTTTGCTAATGAGTGACCAGTTCCTCGGCCCATGCTTCTGCACGAGCTTCTTCAAGGCATCGTCCTCTTCGGGACTCCAGGGCCCCTTGATGCGGTCCGCATCCCTGCGTGCTGCCGCCCCCGTGGCCCCGCCGGTATTGACTGCTCCGCCCGCCACTGCCTGCATGGCCGATACGACTTCAGATCGGCACGCCGTCGGTCGATTCCCGATGGCGAGAGACGACTCCCAATTCGAGCTCTGAAGAGCTTCACCGGATCAAACCGCGGGAAGATCTCCGCTGTGGGCGTTGGGCGTTAGGGTTGCCGTGGGCCGTTCCAGGAAAGAAGAGGAAGGAGGGCCGGAAATGGCGGAAGGAGATGAGCACTGAGAAACGGACTGGAGGCATCTTATATAGTCCTTCGGGCGACTAGGAGGCAACCGGTAACAGCCGGTTGGGTAACGGGCCGGACAGGTTTGGCGGTGGCCGTATACAGCTGTATCGGACACGCGTTCGATTCTTCGCCGATCCCGTCTCACTGGCTTTCTCTGTCTGCCGTGGCGCCCAATCCTAGGCCGTCGATGAGGAGACGACCCCTCAACTGCAATATTTCCTACACCTCGAGATTCGATCCACCAATGCCGCACGTGTCCTCGAACCCTCCAGAACTTCCAAGATGAAATTTTTCGAAGAAATCCGGCGACCGGCGTCAGCCGGGAGATGGGCGACCGTCCTCGCCGGCAACGGCCGGTGGCGCGGCGGAGGGGCGTTCCTGCGGGCGCGATCGCAGGTGTTGGAGGGGGGGGGAGGAAGTTAATGCGAGTGGCGTGGAATTATTCCGGGCCGAGGCGAAGTGAAGATTTGACTCGGCCAGGCTGGACGGCACTTGCAAGAGCGTAGGTGTCCTTTCCCTTCCCCTTCGCATCGCATCGCATCTCAGGGAATTTAATATTCGGTCTAGTTGTTGATCGGACGGGAGGCAGCAGGAGGAAGCGGAGCATTTACTTCTCCCAGTTCCGGCAAATAAATCCAGCGGCCACGGGCGACTTCGTCCCTCCGTCCCTCGGCGGAGCAGGCAATTGGCGGTCTGGTCTGTCAGTCTCCGCCACCCTGTGCATTCGACTCACCAACAAGGAAGAAGCGGGGATCGCCGCTGCCCTTCGTCGCCGGAGGCTCCTCCACCGTTCTATGTAATGTGGTGTGAATTAATCTGTAGCCTCCTCCGTCACCGGCCGCCGACCGATTTGACTGGTCAACCGGCGAGGCCCGTTTGTGAACGCTGCCCGCAACGGACACAAACCTCCACGTCGCAAATCGATTCGCCCCCACTCATCCGTTCCTTTCCCGGTAACCGCTCTGTCTTCAGCGTGGGCCCCACAATCCCAGGAATTCATGCTCACTTCCGTCCGTTCATCTGAGCAGATAACGGAGATAAAGGAGATAACGGAAAACAGAGGGGCGGGCAAAAGATGACGCGTAGCTCCGACGGGAATAAAGGGTTAGTAGTTCCCTTACCAGCTGTCCCCCACCCGTTGTTCACGCCCACGGAAGCAGGCGGGGGATTCAAATTTTGCCCAAGAGAGAAATATCCGATTAGCCGCCACGTGGAAGCCTCTCTATCCTTCCAAGAGAGAAATATCGTACGATCTGAGCCTTTTGCCGGGTGGTACTTGCTCCGTCGAATCGGGCCACCCGGCTGATCTGGACCGGTTGGCATCGGTCGTGTCGGTCGGGAGCCCGAGCCGGATCGGTACCAGAAAGATACTGCCGCCGGCCGACCGCAGGTTTGGGAAGGGACGGCCGAGAGCGGTCCATTGGAAAGTCCCCTTCTGGAGTTGTTTCGGGCGGCGGTTAGTTCTATAAACCAGAAAAGGAGGAAAACGTGCCAGAAAAAAGAAAAAAAGCTGCTGCGCCACGCGGCTGGCGTCCGGCGGTTCGCGGGACCGCTCCATGATTTCTGCGGACGTAGGCACCGTAGGACGCAACAACCGCTATCGCTTGTCGTCTTGCTTTCGGCGAGACCGCCCGCCCGGATCCTCTAACAGCTGGCGGGCCAAAAATATGGGGCACGGGGGCAAAAAAGAAAACAAACGCAAGCACCGGGGAAATTCCATTAAGAACCGCATTTTTTAACAATATTCATTTCGACTCCGAACCTAGTGAATACTGATAAATTGAGTCGATAAATCGCATCCAGGGGGATGTTTTCGGAGAAAGGGTTTTTTCTTTCTTTCTTTTTTGTCGTGGCCCCGCCAAGAGAGATGATCATCAACGGCTGCGAGCGGCGCCGTGCGGCAGCAGCCCTCTCCCGCTGGACAAGCCGTGTCTTTGTTGGCGACGGCGACGGGAACGGCGCCTTCCGAGCCGGCATTTCGTCGAACATATGGACGTCATCATCTTCCTCCCCCAAATAAGGGCGCGTGCATTCAAAAGAACCTTCCCCTCTTCCCCTCTTCCCCTCTTCCCTTCTTCCCCACTGGCCAACTCCCACGGTGGCGAAGAGCCGGGGCAGCCACCTCCTGTGGACTGTCGTGATCCCCGAGAGGCGCTCGCCGTTATAATACGCTGACGTGAAGGAACAGTGAGAGCTCTCCCCCGCGACTAGAAAAGTCAAAGCTGCCTGCAGATAACGTCATCTTTGTCGTCTTGCGGGGGGTGGTCCTTTGTCGCTAGCCGCCTGCGGGGAGATGCGGATCGTCTCCGCCTTCCACGTCCGCGATCTCCTGTGGATCCGCTTTGTCCCCCTCGGTGACGGATCCAACGGTCCGGAAAGAATTCCCTTTTTTCGGATTTACCCCTTAGAAACAAGAGATGCGCAGAAAGGGGGTCTCATAACGCTATTTATTTTAACGCCGGACGGTGAGGGTAGCCGGTTCGTGAAAAATATCCCACGAGGGGGAGGGTCACTTCCACCACTCTCCTCCAATCAGACGGCGGCACCTAATGAGGGCTTCAAGTCAACTACCGTACAGAACCTGAATTTTATTTTAGAGTTTATTTCCAAAAAGCAGCCTCGCACGCTTCGCCACGTGTTGCGGTCCTCCGTCTTATCTCCTGGCTTGAAGAGGACGCAGTCGGCGATTGATGGAATCTACGCAACAACCTGTGCCGCTCAAAAACCGCCGGCCACGTTATCAGTTACCGAATAACTTTTATTTACGGCGCCGCCCGACGGTCCGTCCTCCGCCGACAGCCCCTCCTCCGCAAGCCTTCGACGCCGGCTCTACGCGGGTGGTGTCGACATCTCGCCACGTGAGGCGGCGCTATTGACCTTACGGTCGCCCGACACCGCGGGTGACCGCAAGCCCCAGATTTCGCGCGGAAATTAAATAGAGCGGCTTCCGCGGGATAGCGGCCGCGTGGTAACGGCCGCGACATGGGCTTGTCACTTCTCGGGTAGCAACAACCCCCCCCCCCCCGCCCCCAATCTCGTACGTGTCTGTTTAACCCGCACGTGTGGAGAGGACGAGGTCATAAGACCGCTCGCTACCGACCAAATATGAGTTAATTCTTTTAATTAGGATTAGTCGCCGATTTGTTACCCATGCCATTAACAGGCCCCTCTAGTTTGGGCCGACCGGTCCAAGCCCATGTATCACGCCCACTATGGCAAACCAGCCCTTTCTTGGTCCATGTGAGCTTCTACATTGAGGATATTTGTAGACCCCCCCCCTGCCCCCCTGTTCGGTGACTCTTTCAGTCCGCAGACCGGAATTAAACCCGTTTTGGTTTTTTCTACCGCTGGTGTTTGGTAGAAAGCTCTCTCTCTCTCTCTCTCTCGCTCGCGTTCGTGTGGAGGTCAGAATGGAGAGAGATCTCGTGCCGGTGCCAGCGGCGGCGGCGGGGGCAGCGAAGGATGGGGCCATCGTGGAGTATGCTGGGAAGGCGGGGCCCTTGCTCAGGGAAGATGAGGAGGACCTCGAGGTGAAGCTCCGTCGCATCATAGATAACGTCCCCGTCCGCGTTAGTAACACCTCAGGAAGCTCCGCTGGTGCCGGCTCCGGCGACTTTCACCAGGTTTCTTTTCCTACGTTCCTTCTCATAACTCCGTCATCTTCCTCTGTCTGGCACACCGTCATCGTTTTTTTCCTCTCAACGTGCTTGCGTTTTGGATTTATGTATTTTATTGTATTACTAATTTATTAGAGTATAATTTTTCAGTTTTCTTTCGTTATTTTTCTTAATCCTTCATCAGCTGTGGATTAACGAGCACCCTTGGCAGGCATTGTATTGCCCGACCTCATTCACAAGTCACGACGGGAACCATTGGGCTTAGAATTTAAGTGTGCACTCAGCTTATTATTTTCATTTTGCGACGGCCAATTTTCCAGTTAGAGGCGATCCAATTTACTCGGATCACCGATGGCATGGTCCAGACGTCTCTTCCGTCTCCAAAGAATTAGTAGTGGGCACGCATTGCTGAGAGAGTGAAATTGTTTTTTTTTTCTAACTATTCTAAATAGTAAATTAGTTCGGTGTTTTCTTGTTGATGAATAAAAAGAAATTGAAATTGTAACGGTGGAAGAAATGTGTCAAAAATTGGGCTCCCTATAACGAAAAATTACGGAAAGGAGAAAATTTTAAAGGTGAAAAACCATGATAAACGCAGAAGAGGCTCCTCTTACCTTCTCTACTACTTTACTGCTTGGTGAGTAGGACACTTAAGTGCCCATGCATGATTTTTTCTTCTGGATGCATAGTTGCCTCCATACCGCAAATCTGGGAAACCCTTAGAGGACAGACATCCGGCAAGAAGAAGTCGCATCTTGATTGGCAATTTTCACAAAAGACATTATATTGCTGTATACTGGCGCTATTATAGAATTGAATGTTGGACAATGCTTGTGTTAAACTTTAAAGTGCTGATGACTAGGTTTGACTGCTGTATGATTAGTTATTGTATTATTGAGAATACTGCCAACATTACTGGTTCATCAAAAGTCGCTAGCTTTTGGAATGAGTCAATTCCATTTTAAATGTTTAAACAAATATCAATTTGGATCTGTTAACCTGGAATAGCAGAAACTTGGTGGATATTCGGGATGAGCTTTGTACAGGGGACTTTCTTGAGTTATTCAATATGTCATCACCCATTTTATAGAGCATAGGAATTCTTGGTCTTTAAACCTAGAGTGTTGAAATATAAAGCTTGTGGTCATTTTTTAGCATCATCTTAGATGATTATGACAATTTTTTGACTATCACAAGTACTCCCTTTCTATTTTTAATGCGAACAAGTTCTGAATTATATAACCAAAGGGGTGAAGTTCGTAACTAAAAGCACCACTTTACAACTAGAGAAGTAATTCCTCTCATTGAACCAGATTCTAGACAACTACGTAGAGAAAGTAAACAAAAGGTATCCCTCCCTTAGTTTTTTTGAGTATAATAGGGCAAGTAGTTTCATCGATTTCTGCTCATTAGACCATCCCCCACGTACATTATATTGTTGGTAATCTTTGCGGGTGATTGAATTCTTGTTCAAATGTCTATTGTTCCTCTTCTTCTGAATTTCCTGTCAACACTGCTGATAATAATACCTTTATATACTCAACGGCATAAAAATATCCCCTGTACAATAGGAATATTATTTTCCATCCTGTATTCACCTGCTCATTACCCGCATAAATGTGCTTTAAAGTGTTCATGATTACCCCAAAAGACATTTATCTGTCGCTCCATTGTTGGGTGGACATGCAACCCTAGAAGATGGCAGAATACCATTCCTTTTTTTTATTTGAATACTTGATCCTCCATATTAAGCCTGACACCAAAAATTTGCTGCCTTCATCTCCCAAATTGCACTAAAAGTGCAATGATCTAAATTCCCGTTCTTGTTCCCCCTCAAATACCTGTTCGTTCTCTGTAATTTCATTTCTTTATTGTTTTCCAAAATAAGGCTAGGGCAAAATATGTCGCGAAATTTATGGGTTCTTGTTATTTCAGAAGTCTATCCTGCCCTAGGCTGTAGTACAGTCTGGAGCAGGAACCCTGAAATAGTACCAGGTCCCTTGATTCACTGCGCTCTCCCACCACATGGGAGCCCACTCGCCTGTTGACAACCTTCGTAAAAATGATAGGGTCCTGTTGATGCTTATAAGAATGCCCACTTGTCACTTATGACGAGAATTCTATTTTCTTCTCGTCCAAGGGCCCGCACCCGACTGTATTAACTTGTTGTAGTTCTCCTCCTTCCATTGATGCATGTGTGTCATATATCTTTCTTAGTAGAGCGGGGATTTTTTTTTTTGTTAACATTTGGGCTGTAATGGAATTGTTCAATTTCTGTTGGGAGGTCCGAGTGTCGGTGAAACTTTCTGTAACTTTGGAGTACTCAAATAATAAATTACCAAAATATTTTCTCTAAATTGTATGCCGGGAATTTAGAATCATTTCCCAAACAAGACATTAATTAACAATGCTACGACCTGGAACTATTTTCTGTATTGTGTTTCCGACGTCTCATGATTGGCTGCAGATTTTTGAGATTTGTTGTGTTTTTAAGGAATCAATTCTTGATCTAGGTCGTAAGGTTGAATTGTGTGGCTGCTGTTTCTCAAATGCGCTAGCCATCTTTTATGCTATGCTCAGTTTACAGGCTATATATACTGGAAACTGGTAGAACGAGTTGGTAAATTGATGGTATTCTTATTAGGAAAATAAACCTTTTTGGTGTTCAGATGGGATTGAGGTGGACAAAGAGATGACGCTCAGCATGAACAATGTGAAGGGAAGTTAGGTGCCAATGTTGACCGAAGTGAGGGGAGAGAGGCAACTATGCACTGGAACCTTGATTTTTCTTTTTTGGCTCTGCTGTTCCTACTATAATATCGCTGACTTTTCTGTTTTGATGAAGTAGCATATTACGGGAGGGAAGTCTCCTGTTTAAATATAAGGAGCCATGGAAGAAGGCAGAAAGACTATCTCTGCTTTTAACTTATCCCGCAGGAGTTTCCAATCTTCTGTTGCTCAGCATGAACAAAATCATAAGGGAGGTTAGATACGAATCTTGACATGACGTCTAGATAATCAGTAGTTTGAACTACCATATGTCCGCAATAACTGCCAAGGATTGCCTCGCCTCGTGAAACAATAGGATCAGCTGAGATACAGCGATACGACACACAAGAATCTCCCAGTTAGATTCAATAGAAGTTTATTGACAAAAATATGAGAAAGCTGTCATTCATATTTGTGGAATGAAGTAATGTTGCCCTGTTGATCGATGACTATCAAAATTTTTGGGTTTCCATCATGGATCAGCGAGGGTCAATGGGAGTCCTTTGTGCTAGATCATGGTTTCACTGGTAGCTCATAATTAGTCCAGAAAAGTTCTGTGTATGATCAAATATTTGTTTCGTCTATTTATCTCGAGTTATTTTCATCATTCATTTGATTAAGGAGGAAAACATTTTCTAAAATATACACGTTATAGATAGATAGTACGCAATCCCTGAGAAGATGTCTGGTGCTGCCTGGACTCTGATCCCTTCTTGTCTTTGAACTGCACACACATGGCGGGCAAATGGCACCTGCCGTAAAAGCAGCATAGCCCATGTGCATGGCATACAACACATGCTGTGTCAGGGCACAGATGGTCCCGCCTGGCCCTTTGCTCAAAAAGCCCAATCAACTATGTCGTAGGGACGTAAGAAAATGGACAACGGGAATATTAAGAACTCACTGCTGCTGTTATTGCAATGTAGCATAGGTCAATGGAAAGGGAAAACCTCTCGCTTCTCCTCTTTCTTTGCTTCTGACATGTAGGAGGTCGTACGGTAGATAACAGCAGGCACATCCACTTGACCGAAGGGAATCGATGCTTCTGCTCCTCAACCAAGGAGCTGTTCGATGCAAGAAGCAAGGAAGTAGGCAGTGCGAGTGTCAGCCGAATGCTCAGAGCTAAACTATTATGTATGGAGTTCTTTGACCCCTAAGGTGCGGAAATCAAAAAGATAATGGTGGTGCCTTTCAAATAATGATTAGAAACCATTGACCACTTTGACGGGATGAAATTAACATGTTCAACTCACTTATATGATGTTAATTTATGCCTTACTAGCACATTTGTCATTTCAATGGTTACTGGATTGGAGGGCTTTGATGTTGTACACATGAGGGGCTGGGAGAGAAGGGGGAGCTTCAAGCAATAATTTTGTGGATTAGATTTGAATTTACACCTTCAGGAAACTGCCGGCTCTAATATATGTTTTTTTTTTTATGCTGAAAGTTTACGAAAACTGTTCATATTTACGATTTTCATGCGGGATAAGTTTCATCACTACTTGTATATGCTGCAATGATTTAATTAATGGTCCGTGGGTTGAGCTGAGTAATGGATTGATGATCTATTCTTTTCTGTTTGGCCATCTAGAAGGTTTAATGCTGTGCACTAGTCTGTTTCAAGTTGGAGCTTAGCAAAATTGTTCCAAGGTAATAGTAACCAAGTTAAGAGTTCCAAGGTAATGAATAAGAAGCCAGAAGATATATCCCAGTGCCAGTTGTGGGATCTACTGATTGACAGGTGGTAGAGGACCCTCAAATGTCTCTCTGATGCGATAACAGTATGGTTGGGAATCGTTCATTTGCTGGTAGTCGGAACTGAGGTTGTTTTTTATGAAGAAAATATTTTCTGGCTTGCTTCAACGTATTGTCAAAAACATTTCCCACATGCTCGGATATGGGCACAGCCTTGGAGACCCACAAAGTATGCACGCATGCACTCCCAGCTTGCCCCCACGCCCGTCTGGTACACGTTGCCGTAAAGGGAGGCGAGGATGAGCAAAGCCTTTTGGTTCTCGGTTTTATTCCTTTTTGCCTTGTTTGATCGCCGACTATAATGACCCCATCTTTTTGCTCTACACTGGCTTCAAAGAACAGTAGTAGACTGAAAAATGAGAAGATTCAGGACTCTGATTCTCTGCCATCTCCGCTGGTTGATGCGTGGCAGTATCGGCAAATGAGACGGAGGGAGCAGGATCGCCTGGCGAGGATGGACGTGGACTACCAGAGGAGGAAGGAGCTGGCGGAGTTCAACATGCGGAGAGAGGAGAGGATGAAGGCTGCCGAGGAGCGCACCGCGAAGAAGCGTCAGAAGCGCCAGAAGAGAAAGCAGCGGAAGAAAGAGCAGAAGACGACAAAGGACGGTGATACCGGCGGCGGCCAGCACGGAGACGAGCAGTCGTCGGACGATGACGGGGAAGGATGACTGCAGTGACCTCTGCTACCTCTTCTATTAACCTGGATTTTTTCAAGCCACTAACTTATTATAATGAATATGGGGATATTGGCTAACTCCTCTGTTGCCCAGTTGCTCTGCTCCCTCTTCCGGATGATTGAAGAGAGCTACAGAGGCCTTCCATTTGGCGGGTGGCATCTTGGGTATTGACGCTCTAAATGGAAAAAAACTCCGCTGTATGCCCCTCATCTCTACTACCTATTATTTATTATACAGCAACCATTCGATTTGGGATCGAAGAAACTAGATGCTACTATAAGGGGATATTTACATCGACATCCATCTAAGCTGCCCCCCTTTCTTCTCCCGGAGTGGGAGCGAGCAGAGTTGAAACAAATATACACAATGAGGGTCCCCCTCCATGCATGTTTCCGGAGGAAAGAGAGAAAGAAACAAGCAGTCGCCGCCGCAGCTTCATAGAACAAGCTGCTTGCATGATGCACATGAACAGTTGATTCCTCCCACGCCTGGTTACGAGATGAAGGCCTTGATGAGTTCGCTGAAATTGCAAGCGTAGCCCGTCCTCGGACAGATGATCTTGCCATCGTTCCTCTTGGCCATGTCTTCGAGGGCCTGCGGGAGGAAGGAGCGCAGGGGATGATCATCATGGTCTCCCTCCCCCACACCACGACGACAACATGGAAATTTACGGATATTACGGACAGGTGAGGGAGGGATTCTGTCAAAGCTCATACCTTCGTGCTATAAACGTAGCCGTTGGGCAACACGAGGGGGGGATTCTCGGTGTCCATGAGCTCCTTAGTTATGTAACAGACGAGCTTCGAATTCTGCTGCTTAGAGAATGGCAGAGATGTTGCCAATCTGCGGAAGCTCTCCTGCGAAAGTGGGTCCTCTTTGGTACAATTTTCTTCGTAGCAAAACCTTTTGCTGCGTCAAGAGAGAAACATTCCCCTCGAGGGAGGGAGCATGGAGAAGGAAGGCCTACACCAGATTAATGGGCCAGAAAGATGGAAATTCATCCATTGGAAGCGAATCAAAATTATATGGATACGGTGTCTTCAGTGCTGTCAAGCCTGCTTGAAGATAGATATTCAGTAATGGCTCCAATGTCATCCCATATAATTTGCAAAACTCCTGCTTGAACAACTCGACAAGACAGTCCCATTGCTTCGGTTCAAACAGCACCTGCCAGGTGAGAGAAAAATTTCAAATCGAGGAAGATCACCGACTCTTAATAAAATCTTCAAGTTAAAGGCATCAGAAATCCATAACACTTTCCCTCTAAAACGAGTTAATAGCACCAGAGTAAAATGGAGTCACTTGGCACAAGCGCCAAAACGGATTAATAAGAACACCTCAGGGGGCACTAGCTATCGGCAGGTATTGCACAGCAGGTGATTACCAAACTTTCAAATCTTTGACCCTTCCCAACAGCAATAAGATCAAAGCAGATGATCAAAGAAAAAGAAAAAAAAAAGCAACTAGAATACAACATTCATGACCTTCTCTGAAGGGATATTACTTGCCAAGGCCTATCAAGCATTAACAACATCAAGATCAGCCCAGAAGACGGACTAGATTATCAAGTTTCGTCTGGACAAATGATGGATGCTGTAGTAGAGTTGCTGTTCATGAAAGAATTGGGTGTCCCCCGATAATTCTGGGAGTAAAATAAATTATCATCATTCCATAGAGGTAAAATTCTGGGAGGTATGAGATTTTATCTAACGCCAAAACGGACGAGATGTAGGTGTCACAAAAATTCCTAACCATGCAAAATGCTTATGGCATTGTGGAATCCACTTATTTCGTGAACCAAATGCATCTGCTATATATACTTTGCTTAGATAATTTCCTCAATATAAAAAAAAGAAAAAAAGAAGACAGTTAATCCACATAACTTACAAAAATTATGATTTCTCCACAATTTAAATAGAGCTGAACTTTATTAAATAAAAAGAAAGTGCAAGTATACAACAGACCAAGAAGCCTACCTTATATGTCGCACATTCTGTATTACTTTTAAAGGCCAATGTCGCCATCACACGCTGTAACTCTTTCATATGAGAAGCCGCCCATAATGCCAGATGTTTACGGGCATATACAATAGCTTGCATGTTACTATCTACCCGCACCAGTTCTATAAACTCCTGAAGCCTCAACTGAAATTCAAGTGTGCTCTGCAAATAGACAAGATCCGTGGCACGATTCAATTTACTATAAATAACGAAAGTGCTGCAAAATTGCAAGCTCCATTATATAGGTTAGCAAATTAGGAGACAACTTGGCTTAAAAACTTCTAACTGAAACAACTATGACAAAAAATATGATATGACTCAATGAGCAGAGTCTCTGATTCAATATTTTTTTATAGTCGACAAAAAAAAACACTTTCAACACAAGAACCAACATACAGACGCTTGTTAAAATGGCATGTGAGTTTCATTGTTCTGAATACACATACTTTTCAAGTTCTGCCATCCCAAGCGAAAACTAGAAAAGAAAAACACAACCATGGCTGGGAACTTTTATCTCTAACCCATAGTCTCAGTCAGGTTGAATTTAATCCAGTCCAGTTAATTCTGTCTTCGAAGCCATGATCACTTATGATTCTCACATGGTACTCAAAAGTATCATTGAGGTGAGATGGTGAGCTACACACAGAAGGTGTTTGGTTTGCCCATGTCTTCATTTTGGGTACAAGCTGTGTATACCATGGTTAACCTATTGAGTGGGTGGTCAACAAAGACTATTGACAGAAATACAACAATAGAGGTTCGGATTAAATAGAAACCACCTTAGAATATTCATATGTATTTGCTATGCATATATTCAAAAGGAGAGAAAAAAACTTGATGACATAAGTGAATAAAAATGTATTTTCTTAAGCTACAGCTAGTAGTGAAGTTTGGGACCGCAGATTTTTGTCAGTGAATTATCCCAGCTCAATTTCTGGTTCCTCGGCTCGACAACAAGTGGCAAATGCCCATTTGAGCATGATTATAAATGAGTCCACTATTTTCTGGGTGCTAATGGTTCCTCCCGCACAAACAAGCAAACCCAGATGTTTCTATATGGAGAAAACAGGATACTGTGACAATATCTCAACTCCCATCGGTACAGGCGCTGAATTCAGCAGGAAATTCAACGAAGTCAGACACAAAAAAGAGGCCATTTCTAACACCTGATTGAGGTCCGGATGAAATAAATAATCAGAGGTACGCAAATTTCTTTCTTGCAAATTTATATATGTATATGCAGCCCCAATGCTCTCCCTCTGCACACACACACACTCTCTCTCGAATATATCTACGATTAAAGACAAGAAATAGCGCCCAATATGAGCACTTGGGGCACTTCACGTGTACATATGTGTGTTCTTTACGCACAATTAATTTATTTTTTGCAAAAAAATTAAATAAATATAAAATTTTGTCTCATCTTCTTGCCACGGAAAAAGGTGATGGATTACCACCTTACTCATCTTATTAAAAGCATTGTTTAGTGAATTATTACCAGTGTTTCATAAGCTCAACTTCGGACTACATTGGATCTAACACTTGATATGACACCCAGCAAGTATAACGTAGGTGAAGTATGGTCCAAAGTAACAAAACCAGAAAAAACATGACCAAAACTGATAAATGCAGCGAAAATAATTCAATGAAGCCAAGGGACATCAAATCTTGAATTAAATAGGAAGGTTTTTGCATTTCAATAACGCTCACGATTGGATTGGTAAATCAAAATATCAAATTAGACAGAATTAGATACAACAAAGTTATTATTCAGACTTGCAACAATACCCTTCACAATACACATAGGCAAGCATTTGCCTTTCGTTAAGCTTATGATGGGATTAGTAACTCGAAAATCGGTTTAGAAATAAGGTTATGATTCAGATTCACAATAATACCATCTAGATTCTCATGAATAAAATTTTTTAGGGGAGTTGGTTTTGATGTTAAATGCTAGATCCCTGTTCTTGCATCACGTTTTTTAAAGGCTAGATTGTCATGTTATAAGAAAATTTGACCGCTACCTTTTTTACAAATATAAAAGTGAAATGGGAAAAGTAACAAATGATATATGAAGTAAGCGCATTATTAGAAATAAAAGATGAGTCATGTTCCATTCATGAATAAAAAATAAAATAAAATAAATATATCACACTGTTATAAATTCCATACAAGCTGTAAATACAAAAAATATAACGTTTGTCACTCTCCACCTAAAATAGAATTTAAGTATTCATATTAAAAATGGTGTCCATCTAACACTACAGATTCACAAAGGTAAAAAGAATTCATAAGACAAATGACCATTCCTCACTGTAACCATCTCAAAATCCGATGGCTTCAGAAAGTGGGTATGAGAGCTCAATAGTCCATGAGGTTCAAGTTGAGAAAAAGTAAGATGAGACACAAAATCCTAGTGTTCTAGTGTTATGTAGTATGGTTTCCTAGAATCTGCTTTCACCACGCCCTTTCTTCTCACACTACTCCGTAGACAAAGGAGTCATTTAGCATTTAGTCAAGGGATTGGAAACGTAACCGTGATTATTTACTTTGCATCCAAAAGAAAGAAAAAGAACTAATTCCATCAAAAGAAAAGAAAATCTCTTTCAACATTTGATTATGCCTTTTTCACTATTTTTTTTTAAAAATACAAAATATATGAGTTTCTATGAAACACAGACCAGGCACTTTCATCCTGCACCTCAACTCCAGTCGATCTCCATGAAGCTGCTGGGTAGTGGCTTCATATGTAATAGAACAAAGAGGAAAATTGAAAGAAAGGACCAAAAGAGAGGAGGAAAAAGATCTACTAAGAAATTGAGGATGCAGCTTAGACTCATGAAGATGAAGAATGGAGAGTAGAGAAGGAACTAGAGGCATAGAAATGGTGAAGGGGTTGACAATAATGGGACCCTGGAACAGCAGTTCCATCTCTTTCCTTCTCCTACTGCATGTAGTAGTAGATTTTGAAAATGTTCAAAGGCCTTCAGAAAAGTCTGGATTGATTTTGAATCACGATGGTTGACATGGAACACGCCAATCTGGTAGGAATTAGTGAACTGATTGATCCATCCAAGGCAGTTCTTTACTTCTAATGGGAGAGAAGTGAATACGGATTGGCCTTTCCTCCTGGGAGCCAGAATGTCTACTACCAATTCCAATCGGAACCGGGATAAGGCCATATGTTTTTCTTCTCCAAGACAGAGGGCAAAGAATAGTTCTACACTAACAAAAAGAAAATCAGGTGAATGGTCCCCTCTGTATGATGATGCTATCCCTCCACATAATCTAATGGTTTTCTCTCGATCATCAGCGTCAGGTAACTTGATTTTCAAGTTTGGCTTTTACCTCACCTGGACAATAGGGTTCACATCTGTAAAAACTCGCTTAGTTTGCGTAGCACACTCATGAACAAAAGAGGGGTGTAACACAAAAATCTGCAGCACAAGACATAAAAAAGGGAACATTCGGGGCACGGCACATACCTTGGATTTTTTCAATCGGGTTTTGTTCTCTGCACACCAAGCTAAGGCAGGCGCCACTTCTTCGTTTTGAAGAGCGTCTATCACCCTTTTAGCATCAAGAAATACGTCAATATCTACGAGTTCCTGGCATGCACGTGAAAAAGATTAAAATAGGAATGCCCAATTTGTCAAGCAAAGCAATATTCAGGAGAGCACAACAATCATCAAACGTGCGAGATGCGACACATCAGAAATTTCAAAATTTCTCTCAGAAGAGTCGGACAGTTTGAAATGGAGAAGGTACAAAATGATCAATGATACCAGCGTACATCCTACTACGATTCACAAATTAATGTCTTCGATTACTGTGATAACTGAAAGAATCAGCCATCAACTTCATAAAACCCCATCTTAAAAGAGACGACGGGCAAAATTCCGAACCTGTAACCCGCTGATATTTGCCAGTTTCTCAGCGGTTTCATAATACGACATCCGCAACATGTAGTCCACTAGAACACGTCTCAGTCGGTTGCTATTCCACTCCGCCTGGCTATCGAGGGTCAACGCATCCAGGTGGTTCAGCCGCGCCCTGCATCTCTGCACCTGCAGGTTCTCCGCCCGTCCGCCTTCCTCCAACTGACCCAAGAAAGAAGGAACAGCATGTCAGAACCGTCCTTCAAGAGGTAGAAAGGACGAGATCGGGAAGACTGACCTTGCGCTTGAGGCCCTGGAGACGGGAGACAAGAGAGGTGAGCTGGTGGACGGCCTCCTCGCGAGATCTGCGGTGGCTGTCTTCGTCGCCGGGGACGGAGGCCGACGACAGCTCGGCGACATTGGATAACACGGCGGAGATCTCCTTCTCTGCAGCTCGGTGGTTCGTCCTCATGGTCTTCTTGAGGTGCTCCAGCGGGACCCGCAGGAATTGATGCTCAAGCTTCAGCGACTCCGCCAGCTGCGGCAGGCGCGCGTGCAGCGCGGCTGCAGCAGCGCCGCCGCGGGCGGAGTCACCATTGGCCAATGGGGAGTCCACGGCCATCTCCATGCCCGGCCTGCTGGCGGTTGTTGTTGCAGGAGATGCCTTCTCCCTCTCCCTAGGGCCGGCCGGCCTACCCCTCCTCTCTCTCTCTCTATCTCTGTACTGCGTATTCCTCCTGGGGGCGGAAGATAGATAGGCGGGGGCGTCCCTCTCACGCCTTCTTAGAATGAATCGGGACCGTCCATCCTACCCCCGGCGACCATTTCATTGATGCCTTTATAAAGGCGTAGGCGATGATATCTTTCAGAGGTTAGCGTTCGAAATCGTTCACTCTCTCTCCCTCTCTCTCTCTATCTCTGTGCACACTTGAAGGAAGGTGAATCAGAGAGAGGGAAGAGGGGGGAGGGAAAGGGAACGAAGATGGCCGCCGCGGAGGATCGGGCTGTTGAGCGCGTCTCTCCACCTGCTCCCTCGCTCCAATCTGCCGGACCTTCTTCCAACTCCATCGTCAATGGTCGTGTCCGTTTCTCTGTCCATCGAGCCCTCGGCGGAGGCGCAGGTTCCACTCTCTCTCTCTCTCTCTAGCCGCGGTTGAACGATTGACATTCTGAGACTTGCAGTCTGGATGCTGTTACTGACGGTTTCGTTGACGAATGGGGACTCTGGTTGCAGTGGCCAACGTGATACTGTGGAGGCGGAGGAATGCGCCAGTAGTGCTCTTGACGGGGGCGAGTGCCACTTGGTTTCTCTTCGAGATCGCTGGATACAGCTTCCTCTCTCTCGCTGCTAATGTCCTCCTCCTTCTCGTCTCCATTCTCTTCCTTTGGGCCAGATCTGCGTCACTTCTCAACAGGTTATCGTTCGTCCTATACCCCGCTTTCCTTTCGCTGTAGTTTTCTCATCTGGTTTTGTTTTGAGTCGTCCATTTTTACACGCGATTTCTCGTCCTTTCTCTGCTTGTCTACAGGCCTCTTCCCCCCGTTCCCAATCTGGAAATCCCAGATCGTGTTGCCGAGAAGATTGCTGATGATGCCAGCACCTGGATTAATTATATCCTGGCTGTTGCACGGGAGATAGCCCTTGAGGGTGATCGGAAACTCTTTCTAGAGGTAGCTACTGTTGTATAATGTTTTTTTATCTTTTAGAAAATAGAATTTCTCACTGTGCTGTATTACCGTTCTTCTATCTTCTTCTGTAAGGTCATTGTGTTCTTGTGGATTGCTTCATATATTGGGAGTTTCTTCAGCTTCCTGACGTTCGTTTACCTTGGTAAGTTCCAAGAAAAAAATTGCGTCGTTTTTTTGTGTTATGCACCGTGGGAGAACTAACATCCCAATAGCTTTCTGTCAATATTTCTAACCTGGGATAAGTCCTGTACACCGCAAATGGACCTTAACATTTTGACACCCCGCGACACTTATTTCTTTTCGCTTGTTCCAGGGATCATTCTTTGCTTCACAATTCCTGCTTTCTATGACAAGTACCAAGATCACATTGATGAGAAAGTGGGGTTAGCTCATCATTTTCTCTTGAATCAATATGAAACTTTCCTTGTGAAGACGGGAAGATCTGTAAGAAAGGAAAAGAAAACTGACTGACAGGTCTGTTAGTATCTCTTTTCTTATATTTTACTCTACCTTTACACAGGTTTGTGCACCCAGCTTTATGTCAATGTACGTGTTTCCGTATCTACAGGCCTACGAGGAAGAATGTCTTTTATAAGACATTTTGATCTGTCTAAAGAGACTATCTCTCTGCCGCAACCTATTTTTTGATCTACACTACTAGGGCGTTATTTTTTGTTTATCACCATGATTTTATGCTGCGATATGCTTTTCGGCCCATGGGTGGGATTCCTCATAAAGTGTCAGGATTAGGAGTCGTCAGCTACTTCAAGGTAGCTCATAACCCTAACGTCACCATCACAGAACCTTTTGAAAATGAAGCAGGATGACCGTGGTGGCCTAGATCAGCACCCTCATCCTGCTTCAGTCTAAAAAGGTTATGCTACGGTAATGTTAGGATCATGAGCTAACTTGAAGAAAAGAAGAAACTGGTTATTACAAGATAGGATCCCAAAGTACGAGGAGGTTCAGCTATTTGTAGTCATGATTGGCCTGTTTGTGGCAGGGTACACTATATGGCGGAATGTGGAAAGAGGTGGTTATTGGAGGCCGTTTCTCAATTAAAGCAGCTTCCTACATCATCTCTGATGGATAGATTACAGATTGTCCTCATCGGATTTGGGGTGCCCATCCTTGTTAGTAAGGATTTTAGTGTGGAGGATTTCATATCGGAGAGTTGTGATCCCTTCGCTCATTTTACTTTTGTGCACAATCCGTACTTCTTGTTGCTTGGGTGGTAAGGATGAGAGCAATTTACAACATTTGTTCCTTGGGCATTCCTTTCCCAAGAGGCCTAGCCATTGGTACAGCTTATGTTAGGGATTCTGTAGCAGCATTCGAACACTTTCCATGAGCTTTGATTGAGTTAGAACCCTCATTGAATAAGGAAACTAGATTTCTAGATTTAGCTGCTTGTTTTACAAACTTTATGCGGTTTGAAACGTGAGAAACTGAGATAAGTTTTTAAAGGGAAAATTACCTCAATGCATAATGTCCTTTTGCGGACGGAGGGAAGCTCTACTACTTGGGTATTTCTGGGTGTTTTGCTTTTCAAAAATCATTTTTTTCTTCAATACCTTGCTGTTGTAAGATTATACTCCCGTACGCAGGTTTCTTTTTGAGAGCTCACAGTTTCCACACTTTTCTGATGTACTGATGTGCACCTATACATTCTTTTTTTTGTCAATTATCATACAGTGCTACCATTTTTTAGGAAACAGTGATTAGTGCTGGATTCCATATTTTTGGGCGTTCTGGACCTGGTCTAAAAAAAGAAAGATAGTGTGCTTATGATTTACTTGTTTCTGAGTGTGAACTTTGAATGTGGTAAACATTCAAAACACAGCCTCGTGTTTCCAAAGCTGCATTCGTTGAAGCAGCAGAGATGTTTCTGGGACTAGTAGAACCTTTGCCTGATATTCATAATTTTTTTTAGGAAATCATCTGCAGTATATCATTTTAGTTGTACAGAATGCTATTTCTGTATTAATGGCCTTGTTACCTTCATTATAAAAGAATTTTTACTGTAGGGTAACATTTATTTATCTGGTTCCTGGTGACAATGAAACTGAAAGAGAATCAGATGTGACTAGTTCTTGATAGTTTTCTATGCTTTTCTTGGTCCCAAAAGATGGCACCTTACTATATAGAGGTTTAAGCATTGATTGCAGCCTCTTGGTTGATGGGTTAGGATCAGACGTCAGTCAAAGCTTTTTAGAGGAATCTTTGGTTTTTAGGGAGTTTTGTTCATTGGATTGTCCGGAGTCACTGGTGCCTCCGTCTATATGATCAGTCTAGTGACCATTTGTGCACTTTAGGCTGGACCCCTCTGGCTAATTCGAGTATAGTGACAATACTATACTCGAATTAGCCAATAAGTCTGCTGTTGGGCTTCGTTTTAAATTTTGACCTCGGTTGATTAAGCGGCCATTCATTAGTGACAGATACTTTGTTCGTACTAATCGCTCATAGATCCTCACCAGTGTAGCTTGCGGTGGGGAAGTAGTGTAATGTGGAACCGATGTAATACATTATTTGCTTGTCAACCCCGAAATCCTCCGATTCACTGTGGAGTTTCTCTGATGTGGAAATATCTGGCTTATTGGTCCCCACGTCGGGAAAATTGGCACATGTCCATAGTATCACGCCGAAGGAAATGGATGGCTAAATCTTGATGCCAAACCCACGTATCCACCGAAAACCTGGACATTGGCTCCTTCTCCATGCCAAAACCATGAAAACGATGAACGAGAGGAAGCTAAATTAGTTACTTTGGAGAGGGAAGCATGTAATGCAAGAAAAGTTATCTGATGAATTGGACTCGAGTCTTGGGCGATTTGATAACTTAGGTTTTGCACGGCTGTGTTAAAAGGCGCAGATCATCCGATCTGGATTGGGATTGGCATTGGCATTATCCTTCCTGTCTGGTATGAAATCCAGCTCCAGAACTCTATTTCTCAGGTCCCAGTTATCACCTAACATTGGAATTCGGTTTGGAATTCAGCTGATGTTAGAGGGTTGAAAATCATCTTCCTCAATGTTCCATCTTTCTTGGATATTTTTAAACCTGACAGCGGAAAACGGAGTAAACGCTGGATTGATGTGATAATATTTTGATTTTCAGGAGGAATCGGCATCTCAATGTCGCTCCAAACAGTCAGGAGTCTTGGAGCTCGATCACATCACGGGAACCACAATTTGGGGATGCCTTTTTCTTAGCTTTTAAAGTTTCTTTGTGAACACAATTTAGCCTCGTGCCTTTTCTTGTTCTTTTTTGTTCTGTTTTTCAAAGAGCGCACGATGAGTCCATGACAGATGATGTGAGATAAAACGGTTGACCTAGATCCTATGAACTATATAATATCTGGGCAGTTTCATGGGAAGCTCTGTTAGATAGATCGCGCCTCTCTAGGTCAACCAGCGGTCATTTCCTTCTTGGAATGGATGTCGCCCGCCCTGTCCGGTATACTCTCGGTACCATTTCTTCTTGAATGGTTCTCCAGTTCTCTTAACTTGTGGTCAACATCCATCCATTAAAGTCAACTCTTTCTAGAGAGACGTCATCAAGTAGAAATTCTGCTGACTGACTTTATGACATCAACAGAGCCTGACATCAACATTGTCTTGAGACAGAAGGGCGGCCAGCTCCCCCAGTTCGCTCTCTCTTTCTCTCTCTCTCTCTCTCTTTCTTGTTGATGTACAGAGAAAGTGAATCCAGCGTAGTAGAGAATGCCCAGACGTAAATACGAGCAGCAGCAGAGCGCTGGAGCACACAATTTTTCTTACTTGGTATGAATGCTTGGTTTCGGAAGTAAAACCCAGGGCATGGAGAAGGGAAAGAACACAAAAGTCACTACCAGCCCGGCGCTTTCAAGGAACAGATCATGCTACCCTGGTCAGTGGTGGAGCGCCTTCCTGTTGGGGTGAGGTAACGGAGCGCAGGAGCTCCAGCGAGAACAGAAGCCCCAGGAAATGAGACAAGATGGTGTTCGCTGAGGCCTGCCCAAGAGGAAGAAAACGAAAGCCCATGAGATGAGGTCCTCTGTAGCAAGTCAAAGCAGCATGTTAGAAAACCGTGAACAACGGAGGTTTGAAAGTAGAGCGGCAGCAAAATGAAAGGTGCTGAATTATGCCCCATGTTGCTTTCGTTTGACCAACTCTCAGAGAGGGTGAGATGCAATTATGCGATAAGCTTTTTTTGAAAGACTTGGTTCCCTGGTTGATTTGTCAGAAGCATTTTCTTCCAGAGAAGAACCCTTGGAAGCATACTTCTACAAACACTGCCATTCATTCATTCATTCATTCATTCATTCAGTCCCTTTGTGATTATTATGCCCAGGGGCTCTCCCTGGCTCTTCGATTGCCCAGGACACCCTTCCAACTTTCTGATTGACCACCTGACTCGGCTGACAATGTCTGAACCTTTCACCATGCACCAAATTAGAAATCAACTACCATATTATAAATAATATGATGACATGTTAGGATATTAGCATCTCGTGGCCAGGGGGGAAATCATGTCACAGCATAACCGAGATTTAAATTAGGATGCGCAAGCAATGCTCATCAAGCGATGCACAAAACAGACCAGTCAGTGATTATTTGGACTGGAATTAGGAGTCATGAAGTCCGTACCTGTACCAAGAATACGTCTAAAGCTAAAACAGGACTGCGACCAGCTGGTATTGCCTGGTAGTAGGGAACTGCTGAGGTGGTAAGAGCTTTCGCCACCAACAAGCCAACAGTGGCTTGCATGCCAAGTACTGCGGCTCCCATGCCTAGAAGGTTTACAACGATGCCATTTCTCAGGCTTTTAACAACTTCAGCACGAGGAGGGGCCTGAAAAACGATGAATAATAAGCACAGCCGTTAATCAAACTATGAATAAAGACATCCCAGGTTATGCAACTTCTGTTCGAAATTTTCACAGTACGATTATTCCCTCAATTTCCAAGACATCAATTTCCAAATCAGACCATCAGAATATATCAGAACAGTAGCAACAAACAGAATCTATCCATACTTATCCGATTCAAACTGACTAGGGGGCTTTCAACCTATAGCAATGCTCTCCAAATCACTGGGTAGTGTGATGGGAAGTTTTAGTGGCAGCCTTTGTGGAACAAACAGAATCTATCCATACTTATCCTGCTCTGATGCCATGGGATAGGCAGCTAAGATATACGAAGTTATCTAGGTCTCGAAAGGGTATCTCCAGTTGACATCAGAACCTGGTGATTGATGTTAATTTCAACGTGTTTACTAAACTTATGGATGCAAGCACGATACATTGCAAATTTACAAATGAAACTTGTCCTCCACAGGAATGCTACAGTGAATGTTGCATTCTCTCTATTTTCTGTTTGTTCAATGGTTCCCTTTGGCTTTCCTTCCATTCATCACCGTGACATAATGATTTTGTGATAGTATGCCTTACTTATGTATGTTCTAGCAGAGCAGGAACGTCCTTTTGTTGTGGTTTATGGACATTGGTTCAACGGTTTTTTGGTGCATAAATTCGATGCCTAGTCCTAAAGTGATCCTGAGAACCTAAATTTTGGATGCAAGTGTGGCTATCTCCTTTCTTCCCCCTGTAATTGCTATAAAGTATATTGCAGTGCTAGTTAATCTGTTGTACTTCTCTGTGATGGTACATGCGCTGCACACTGATGAAAACCTCTCAAAGAAACTTAAGAACGCACATCATTTAAACAAACCTAAAAGAACCAATAGCTTAATCAACCATCAAACATGCATGGCGTCACTTAATCCTTAAAATCATGAACACGAAAACATTGAGCGGATCAGTTTGCAAAAGCACATTTTTATTTGTTCTCATTGCGCATTAGCAGTTTCATTTCAAGTGGTAATGCTATGCGAACTCACGCATGTGGTGGTATGAAGTGGGTGAGTAGAACATAATGCAAGAAGTAGATCATCAGATTCTAATAATTTATATTATTTTCAGTCTACATGAGGCACACTCAATGACTTTTGTCACATGGTTAACTTATTTTGGCTGAACATTAGTGGCTTTCGTTGCACATGCACATCTGAACTTCTTCAAGAATATGACGCTACATCAAATGCAAGGGGAAAATTGCATGTGGCAGGTGAAATGCTGATCAATTCACCAATCTCAGACTAGATAAATTCACCAATCTTCACCAACCTCATATCTATATGAGGTTCTCGTGTCTTTTCTACTTCCTCTTGCATGACGAATTCAACTTCTTTCAGATCTTTACCTAAATAAAAATGGAGGGGATTTCCACTCCAGCCATTAAAGTATTCTTGTTCTATGGTTAAATATAAGCAGAGGTTCCTGTAGAAATATGGCACGAGTGATTACTACATGAATTTTATTCCGAGAAATTAGATGTCATTCTAGTAATTAAGATGACATTAAAAATGATCCATCTACAATTCAAATCGTTTTTTTCCTTAAACTGACGGCCAAGAACTTATGATGAAGGAATGCGATGGCTCTAAGGAGAGCATAAGAGAGAAGAACCCAGACTTTTGTTCAATATCTTGAATTATATCTGATGCATTAGTGCCTAAGAAAAATACACCAGAGTTGACCATTTACACAGCAAAGTCACTTCATGCATCCAAATGGAACACCTTACACATGGTTATGCTAGAGCATTCCAGCCTGTTCAGCATATGTCGGGCTACCCTGTGCATGTTTCTAACTGGCCGTTGAAACTTTTATCATCCAATGCCTGTTGCATCAGTTGTCTTGCTTCAAGGAAAAACTTTATTTGTCTGGAATAAACCTCTAAGATCGGATTATATAAAAATCAGACTGTCTGAAACATGTGTCAAACTTAATATCACGACTAATGTAGCTAAGACTAACTCCATGATTCTATGTACTTGCATAATTTCCAAAAACGCTGCACTGTGCTGGAAGGCACAGAGATGCTAACCTGATATCCTAGTTTTCTTTGCAGGTTCTCTCTGAAATGACCAATTCTTACAAAGATCGGTAATAAACAAGGTCTTCCATAAACATGTTTATTTCACGAGGATACAGGGTCTACTCTCAGAGTCTAGACAAAGAATACTTTTGTTGTCTTGCTGTTTTTTATCCTTTACTGGTTTCCTTTTTGAGTAGAGTTGAGATCATCCTCCAGTCTCGACATGCACTGACAGGGTTCTTAGTTCCCCTAAGATTAGGCAGAAAATCCCCTAAATTACATTTTTTATAGTATACAAATAAATTTATTAGGGTCTGGTTTAGGGACCCAGAAGGCTTGATTAGCGCAAAACGTATGCGTTAGGAATTCTTGTGAAGCGAGTGGATCGACCACTAACTGCATGAAAATTGTTTCAGTAATTGATGGTGGCATATCTAACATTGACTACTCAGCCAAATAAATATGAGATGCGAAGTTTTTCATTTAGAGGAAAATCACATCGAGGCAAACCAAGAATTCAAAATTGAAAAAACTGATGAAAACATTTCTGAAAATTCTCATTTAGTCACCATTAGAGACAAACATTTATTTCACTAAAAAAAAGCTTTTTAAAAATAGTATCAACTTAACTTGCTTTTGGCCTGAAGTACACACAAGCAAATAAGAAAGAATGAAGAAGCACCCATATAAAACCATCAACCGTTGGAAACCAAGTACCTTTGAAGGGTCACCAGCAGTCTTCCGAAGCCTTTCTGAAAGACGAATATATCCAAAAGACCAGAACACAGAAACAAATGCTGCCGCAATACCAGCACTGGTGGCGTAAAATGTAGCTGGAGATGTGATATTCCCAGTGATGATAGCAGAGAATGACAAAATTACAGCTGCCACTGCAGTACAAATGAGCTGGCCCCAGAACCCCAAGCTACCTAACCGTTTAAAATATCTAGAAGTGTTCTCCAATCTCTTTGAAACCTATGACGCGAAACACAGGATTAAAATGTAAAATGATGATCTAGTAGAGTCGACAAAAGTTAATAATAATGCATCTTCAGAAACAATATAGCAGTGAAACCAAAAGTCACGACCAATATAAATAGGCAGCATGTGAGTTCTTTATTTCCGTGAATTTATATCATAACTAAGAGAGATTGAGGGCTTTATGGGATGAGAAACTCCACTAAGAGATGTCTGTTCGATCATTATGCAGGGTGGCCATAATGAGGTACATTTGAAATCCTTTTTCGAATAAAATAGCTCCGGTCCAAGATCTGCTCATTTGTTGAAAACATGACCCACAAATCTTGAAGTGTACTATAAGATGCTGAACAGACACATGAACCGGATCTATGGGATGCGGTTCCTCGCTCAAGGCTACAATCTGTGTGGCATTGATAAAAAGCTTCCAACATCAACTCGTCTTCACTTGAATCTAACTGAGCTAAACAACAGCATACAATGGCATGCTGAGGTTATTAACATGATTAGCACAATGAGGGCCAAGCAGTTTTTTGTTTATTTTCTCTATTTCCTAACACTATCCGCAAAGTAATATCCAGTGTATATTTTTTAGGTCAACATAGGTATGGCAGAGATTTTCTGAGGTAACTTTATCTGTATTTTAGGACACAGTATACAAGTTTTTTCTGTTGATCATTCCGATGATTTTCATCAAACTATTTTGTTTCATGATTTGTTTCCCAGAGTTCTGACGTACTTCCTCTAGGCTTCCTCTGTCATATAAATTTGAGGTCAGATCACTGAGATTCAGTTTATCAACAACTGCTTGTAATGTGGCGAGGAGACTAGTCCAGGATTGCTGGGTTTTATGTATGAGTGAAACATGATAAAAGCAGAGAGAAAAAGCTGCAAAGTATAGTAGCGAAGAAAAGTTGGGCTAGACTGATGACTGATGCTCGACTAAACTAACTAAACTAGATCACATAATAACTAAACTGGATCTTCAGAACCTAATAATACGAACTGATTGTATGGACTGCCATTACACAAAGGCAACAAGGTACTATGGGAGACCAAAATTATTTGAAATGCCAGGTGAGGACGCCAGAGTCATTCGAATGCCTCAGTCACCCTATTAGCTTGATGGATTTATTCATTCCCTTCACCGATTTTTTAGGCACATTATTCAATAAAAATAAACATAACACAATTATTAAGAGACTCCTTAAAATATGGTGTTAATCATACAAATTGAGCACAAACCAAACAAATATCACAATAACTTTGATTTTTCTTCTTTTAAGGCAAATACAGAGAAATACAATTAACTAGGATTATGTAACAATGTAGTTCATCAAATAACAAAACATACCGGCAAACTGTGAAACTCATAAACGATAATACCATGATACTTTGATTAATGGGTAAAAAACATATCTCTCTGAGTGAAATTATCACTTAGTATGGAGCCTAGATTTAGCTTGGAGAGCTACCGTATCAATGACAGAGATTCGGTCATTGTTTCTTGCTTGAGGATAAATGAGTTCTGTGTGAACTTATCATAAATGTCATGACATTTTCATTATCTTGACAGACACTAACGTGATGTACAAAATATACACTTACAAATCAAAATTTTCATCAAAATTTTAACACAAAATCAAGCTTTGAGTAGGCATTACGAATTCTTGCCTAAGAAGTAAGTATTAGGTCCTTGACTAGCATCCTTTATCGGCCTTAACAATTAAGAACTCAACACATGTCCAGCAGCTAGAAACTCCTGCTCCCGTTTAGGATAGAGAGGAAGGAGATGAGCTTATATAAAAAAGGATTTCACCAAGAACCAATATAAGTAATGAAAATTATTCCACGCAGAAGTAGTGAAGATCTAAGCTCAGAGGGATTAGGTAACAAGCTATGCAGCATTTACGAACAGCACATCGCAGTTCAGATCAATTGAATCAGTAAAGGATATTTCATCGGCAACAAGAAATGGGACATCACGGAGAAGGATTTCAGGTCCACAGGACGCCGTCTGAGTAGAGGACCTCAGTCGGTGTTCAGTGAGGGCACAACTGGCTATCAGTGATAGAAATGATGCAATCGCATCTGAAGGAACCGAGATACCTCCAATGGAAATGAGAAAACAAGTAGAACAGACACACCCCAGTCATGGAAGAAAGATAAATCACGAGATTTCCGACAACGCTGAAAGAAAATGCGACGAGCTGCCCTAATAAGACCGGTAAAAGCACGGAGAACCGAACCTGGGCGATCTTAGCCTTATCAGCCTCTTGATCAGAGGGCGGAAACGGCGGAGCGCCGGCGGAAGCGCAAACAGTAGCCCCCCTCTTCGGTTCCACGAGAAGGGACAGCGAGCGAGACAATAAGATAGCAGGAGAAGAGGACGATAATATAGGGAGAAACAGTGAGGGGAAACAGCCCTGGTCAGAAAGTGGGAGAAGACGTGGTACGCTAGCCCCTTCCCGGCTAGGGCGGCACAAGCGGGGAGAGAGAGAAAAGGTCGGCAGCCCTTGAGGGCGGCCCATGGGAATCACCATCGCCGCTGTCTGCATTCCCGTCGCTGCCAGGAGGGGTGGGGGGGGGAGGAAGGGAGGGGGGGGGGGTGGGGAGGGAAGGAGAGGGACACTGTTCAGTCAGCTTCTGTTGGAAGCCGATAGACGGAAGTGGCAGCGACGGTAAATTCCGGGACAACTGACGCCAACCCGTCCCCGCCTTTCAGACTGGAATGGGACGGACCTCTTAAAAATTCGTCCTTTATAAAAGTTCCTTAGGTTGTTCCGATGCGATTTTCCGTCTGCTCCACCCTCCTCGCCTCCGAGCTTGGAGCCGGCGAGTGTGCTCGATCCTGAAGCTCGGAAGGCGACGGCCGCTTTAAATTCCTCCCCACACCCGCCGGGATCCGTTGACGCCGGCGATCGGCTGCTCCGGTGGGCCATCGACGCCGAGAGAGTAGTAATCCGACTCTTCACCGGCAGACGACAGCCATTGTCGGCCTTCTCCTGCCGACATGCTTCCAGCAGACGGAACGATCAAAGCATGAAAACTCGCTCTGTTTTTGTACGCTCTAATCGCCTTACGAAGAACTCGCATCGCGGGATTTATGATCCTTCGTAGACTGCGATCATGGGAGTTCACGCCGAACCGGGATGACAAGCATACGCGGGGCAGCGGCAAGAACTCGAGGGCACAGCGCCGCCGGTGACCAACCTTCCCGTGGTGGAGCGTGTTGCCGCATTAGAAAACGATCCCTGCTTCCAGCGCCGCCACTGATCGCCGGCGTGGAAGGCCATCGGCCCATCTACTTGCGGTGTTGCTGGTGCGAGAAGAAGAAGAAGAAGAAGAAGAAGATGATAATGATGGCGCCGACGTTCGCCACCGCTGGCCGAGAGGACGCAAGAGGAAGAAGCGGGAGAAAATTGGAGCAGCCGCTGAGCAGCACCGTGAAAGCGAGTTTTACTTTTACTATTATTACTAAGGATTATTTTAATATGTATGTAATTATTTGTGCATTAATTTCATAGATTTGTGGGGAAATTCATAGATTTCGGCGCTCCAATCCATGAAAATCGAGGTATTTTTCTGGATTTCTCTGGCAATTTAAAAATGTATTTCGCAGGGGCCTACAGTCACCGAAATCATGTTAAGCTTATCGTGTTTTGCGCGCCCAAAACCTCCGACCGCCACAAACGGAAGAAGGGTGGCGATAACAAGTTCAGCCATCCTCAGCCAAGCGTAGGCTCCCCCTCTACAGACCTCCCGGTTGTCTTCTCCTCGTCGAACCCTTCTGCAGGAGCTATGGCCGCCCAAGCTCGAGTCCCGTCCTCAGGCCCCGTCCCCATCCTCGGTCTGTCCTTCCCTCAGCTCAGTCTCTTCTTTCGAATTCGCCTCATTGTCGTGATTTTGATTCCTGAGATTTCCACTCCGTTTCCCTTCCACTGTGCAGGTGCCGACCCCAGCTTTCCTGTCCGAGCTCTTCTTGCACTCCCGCGGATCCCTTCGGCTACGGGCTCCAGGACGGTTCCAGGATTGGCAGGGCATTCCTTCAAGGGAGGCTCTCCTCTCAGTAAGGCTTCCTCTCCTTTCAGTTCTTTGACCTCTGCATATAAATTAGGCGTGGAATTGCGTTTTGTGGTGTGTAGTTATTTCTATGTGTGAATTCGGGGAGTCGCAGAATGTTGTGTAGATTACAGTCTCCACGAATCTTTCCAACGGCCGCACTTCTGTTGGAACTATGGCCACTGACGAGAGTGATAATATGAATGGAATGCTTCCGAATTTTCACTTCTGGCTCTTTCAATCACCCACCCCTCAATGTGTCTGCTATTACTCTGAATAGAGATTGGTGTGACAATGAGGACGGTTGACTTCAGCATTTCACGGTTACACCCATCTCAGCATTTCCACGGAGAAAAACTGCTGCAGGAGGTGTAGGAAGATTTGGGGACATAAAAGTACCTTACAAGCCGAACATGGAGAGGGTGCTATAATTGAGGAAAATTGCCCACAGAACTCGATTTTGAAACTGAGCAGGCTTTTGATTTGTGGAGTCATGAACAATGAAGAATATGAACAAAAGATTATGTAGTTAAAAGTCACGGCAATCATAAATGTTTAAGAAAGAAGATTGTTATCAAATGACCAACTCCCTGGGAAAATCTTCTTCAAAATAAGAGTTCCTTCTAGTTGATTACATTTTCCATACTGTTGGATTCTTTTTCACGGTAAGTGAATATTATTACTTGCTGGTGGTTCCAAAATTTTCTTAATATTTCATTTCTAAATTATAATTTTCTCATTTTGATATTACTCAACCTACATAAAAATGTGTCCCCAACCCTAGGAAAATAGCGGAAACCATGAAATGTGCATTAAACTCTTAAGCTACTCCAGAATAAATGCAAAACCGTGGAACTCTTCCATCATCTTGTTTACATCTTTTCTAATATATATTTCTTTGTTTCCAATGCAATTGAAGACGGCTTTGTACTAAGGTAATGCGGACCCAAGATGCCTGCTCCCGAGCTCTTTTGAAGTACTCGGAGTCAGAAATATTTGTGAAAATAACTACATGCTAGAAGCCCTCAGGTCTTTTATATTTTCTTGAAATGATGACCATTGTATATGTAAATTAGTACAATGCATTCAATGCGCAAGAAGCTCTGATTTATCTGATTGTGTAAGTAGTTTTCTTTTTCAACGTGTGTTAATGCTAATATGCGATTTTCCCCTGAATGAGTAATGCCGTGTTTACTTGATTTTGGTGTATGCGAAAGGATAGCTGAAAGTCATTCATACATCGTCCATTGAGAATTTAAACTCAGCATTAAAAGTTGGCCATTGCTTTGGCAGTTGTTTGGAGAAACTCTAGTCAACAGAAATTTGGACAAAAGGCAACACCGCTAATTGTGAGATGCGAGCAGAGCACAAAAGGGGGCAATGGCTTAGATGTTTGGCTAGGCCGGACAGCAATGGTTGGGTTCGCAGCAGCTATTACTACTGAAGTAGCTACAGGGCGGGGCCTTTTGGAGGTATGTCTCAGCTATAGTCTTACCTTTTATGCTAACAGAGATGGTTCATACCTGTGCTCCATTTCATATTATTCATAGTTTAGGGGTTTCCTTAATAATGCTCTTGAATACCCTTGGAGTACGAATTGGTTCCACCCATATGATGAAACCCTCGTAATTTTTAGTCGTTCAATCCAGCTGGTTAATTTCTTATACATCACTTATTTCTTGCATATTTGCTCTCTTCAAGTGCAATGCAATCTAGGTGCTCCTTGCTTGAGGCTAAACTTTGATCAAAGCTTTTCCTGGGTTCATGGGCTATCTTTACTCATATTTTGCAGACATGGATTTGGTTTGAAGCCAAATAATACGTTTTGTTTTACTCGTTTGTAACCGTAAGCTGTTATTTTCACATCTGCTTGCATTGTATAAGGAATATATTTTTGGGTTTGCAATTTGGACGGTGGTAGTTGGCAAGTTCTTATTAAGCCCTTCTCTGGAGGAAAATGGTTCTTTGGTTATCAATCAGGTAGGTTGTGAGTGTCAACTTTGCTCAAGTCCTTCTACTTTGTAGAATGAAATTACTGTTCTGTTCATGATAAAACTGTTGGTAAGTATCACACTCAAGAACCTCTCAATACCTCTCACTTTGTAAATGAAGGGCAGCCACCAACCAGTCACCGTGAAGGTCCTAATAGCAGATTATCTCCGTCATTCCTTATAAATTATTTCCCATTATTCAATTAGTGATTTTGTTAGTGATTTTTACCGAATGTTGTATGAGCACATTCATCTTCCTGTTAAAAGTTAACTTGTGTAATTTATCTTGAAATTGGGCGGAGTTTTTTCCCCACATCAGATATGTTATTATATGTCATTGATAACCGTAATTTGATAGTCTCCCTAATGTATTGACCTTCATGTTTTCCTGTTGAACCAATTACCACCCCATGGCACGAAAATGGAACTTCTTTTGTTTTTGGTACCGTGTCTAGTTCAGATTCGGATGTTTTCGATCCTGCAACGGGAAACTAGTTTAATTTCCACTGCATATGGTGATTTGGTTGATATGCTTCCACCCCGACCGAGTAATGTGCTTTTATAACTTACATGGTCAAGTGTGCATAACCGGATTTTAGATTCTGGTCGTCTGGTGGCCAATATATGTCTGCTCTAAAATGGAAGATAAGAAACCACGTATGGACTCGAAGGTTAACCACTGCTTCACTCCAATGGAACACAGCTGTTCTGCACAAATTTATCATCTCTTAAGAAGAGAAACAGAAACAGCATCTATGTAGCATAAAAGAGCGGGAAATATTTAATGTTTATGATATTCAACGCGGGATTTGAAGGTCATTATGCCTGACAAGCAGTCAGTGTTCTGTCTTGGTCAGTTGAACATGTGCATGAAACCTGTAAATCCATAAGAACATGCTATATGCCTTGGGATTTCTTCTAAGAAACGTTTCTCTCATTTTTTTTCAGAATTTTGGTCTGACAACACCATTGCCAACAGTCGCTTTGGCGGTGACGGGATTAGTTGGGGCCCTAACAGCGTTCTTCATCTTTCAATCTGCATCACGGGATTGATTCTCTCTTCATCAGACAAGGCTCTATCTGTTGAAACCGTCATGAGTTCCTCGCTCTTTACTCTGAGCACCCATTTTGGATGCTACTTGGCTGGAGAGAATATACTCTGAGCTCATGATGTTTCTCATACCACATGCCTTTTTCATGATGTGAAAGCTGCGATTTTGCTTCCCCAATTGGCTGTATAAATTCTTCATTGGCACAACCTTATATGCTCTTGGGGAAGTACTAAAAATCAAAGCAACTAGGTTTTGCAAACCTGGCTGAATCGAACTGAGAGACTCTCTCAAGCCGACGCTTTGAAGTAGGACATAATCAATCTCTAGATATTTTACTATATATATCTTTTTTCAACTTTCGTGGGTGTTGATATTTTTTTCAAGTCCCCATTAAACTTGCAAAGCCGGTCATGACGTTCATGACGTTCATGACGTTCGTGATAGGGTAATACTCTGAAACTTTCCAAATTTAGTTACAAAGTTACAAACCTTGACGGCCTTCACACCTTGGGAATTATTTCGCGTGCATGGATACCTGTAGAGCTTCCTCCTCTCGACGGTCTGTCACCTCGGCTCAAGAGGACACGACGACTCAGGGCAGCTGGAAGTGTTTGATTACTCTCGGGGGGCAAGTAATTCTGTGAGCACGATTAAGAGGACAAAACCCAAGAGAGTCCCCAATCCGCGTCCAAACTCGGATCATTTATTCCGAACCGATTGAGTTTCGTTGGTTGGCTGAATTTCTCTAAATTACACTCTTAATTCTTTTTCATCGAGCCTCGAACATAGAGGGATTTCGGCACAGCCTTTCGATGGGAAACAGATAATAATAATGCGCACACGCTTGTGGACTTGCTCGTGCCTCGTTCATTAAACAATGCGAAGGTTTCGTAGCCGATGACGGTGTATGGATGCCGACCCGATCAGCGACATCTGGTCAGAGAGAGCAGCTAGCCCAATGAAGGAATTTTCCTCGAAATAGAAATGGACGTGATAGCGACAGGGAATACTGTCAGTTCGTAATGGAAAGATTCTTTCTTCGCCACGTTACATCTATCATTTATTTATTTTTAATATGGCTGATGCTGAAAATTCTTAAAAGCACGGCCGTGTGGAAGGAACAGTACCAACATGGCTAAACTTTCGCTGTGAAGAAAAACTGTTGAGATAGTAAGGCTGCAGTTCAGTCATAGATCGAGATTTACTCGGATAAGGCATCTATGTTGAATACTATTTCAGGGGAGAAAACGGAGACAAAAGAGGGACTACATCTTTGGAGCGTCTTTTGGTCATCTTCGTCATGTCTGTCCCCATCCATTGCTCGAGTACAAAACACATGGAAGCCATGTTTAAATCAACAAAAAGATCTGCCAGTGCTTTTCAAGTGTTCCCTGCGTTATTGTTCTCATTTAAAAGCCAGATTTGGACGCAATGGGGATTCAGTATAACGAAGAAAGATACCATCATTCACGTCCCATATTATTCCCATCATGGATCTCTTTAGTTTGATTGCACTCACATGGCCGCTCGCGTGAGAGGTATCTTATCCCATAGTAAATCATCGACACAGCTGGGGCTCAAATTATTCTTATGACATGTGCCAACAAAGCGCAATGTGTAAAGACCCCTAAAAGGTAAGTTTCATGTTTCCCACGAAATATCTACCATTGACAATCTACTGGTGATCATCTTCCTCCCTCTCCTTCTCACCCTCTTACTCAACACATATACTTGTGTATATATATACACACACACACACACACACACACACACATTCAGTTTTATAGTTTCTTTACCCCGGAACAATTTGTGCTTTTCATTCTGATCTTCGCATGATTGACTCTTCTTCTCCATCCGATTTTTAATCAACTCTTGGGGGCCCTGATCATAGTTATAATCATGGGTTGGGGTTATAGAGATACATTTTTCGTGGCTATCCTCCTTATTTTAACTACAATCTCCTCTTCATTAGATTCGCCCCCCACAAGTTTCAATAGAGATGGAAAGAAAGAGAAATTCTCAGAGACTGGAGAAGAGATTAAATGGTTGTATGAGGAGTGGCTAGTTTTGCATGATAAGTCATACAATGAGCCCAGCGAGAGGGACCATAGATTTGAGATCTTCAAAAAAAATCTTCACCTTATTGATGAACACAATCGCCTTAAGAACACCAGCTCATATACCCTTGGCCTCAACCAATTTTCCGATCTCACTTATAAAGAATTTGCTTCCCATTATCTGAATATCTACACTAACACAACTGAACAGTTCATCTTCTCTGATAGTGATCGATACATGTACAAGGATGGCGAGATACTGCCTGATTTCGTAGATTGGAGATCCCGTGGTGCTGTGGGCCTCGTGAAGGACCAAGGAAGATGCAGTAAGTTTTTTCAGTAGCTCTTGCACACTCACGTAACTTTCCTCAAAGTCAGATGATTTTTTTTTTACACAATGTTCTTTATGTGTAAAATGATGCATCAAGATTTTATTTTCAAAATATGTGTTAACAAACATATGTACATAGGATTTTAGTTTTTCAAGAAATATCTTTTCTAGGTTCATCGTGAACTATTTTTTATCAATATATGACATGAATTTATTTTAAAAATTCTAAAATCTATATGGTATTTCTATAGGCTCTTTGTCAAATCAATTTATTTATTTTATTAATTTTAATCTATCAATACATTCAATTACTACAATAAAAGTTCAGCGATTAGAATATTTTTTATAATATTGACATTATTGTCAACTTGATATTATGGACTCACATTGTGTTTTATTTTGAATTTAGAGTGTTGTTGGGCATTTTCTGCTATTGCTGCCATTGAAGGGGTAAATCAAATCACTACTGGTGAATTCGTAACTCTTTCAGAGCAGCAAATATTGGATTGTGAAATGACAAACACTGGATGCTGCAAAACTGGCTATGTTAACTATGCCTACGAATTTGTCATTATGAATGGAGGCATTGACACGGATACAAGTTATCCATACCATGGCAAAAAGAAGAAATGCAAGTGGAACGGTGTAAGCTATCTTCTATGTAATCCTTAATTTCAATGCTTATTTATTACATGGCTAATTCTTTGTCGATGTCTCAAAAGGAAACTGTTGTGGGCATTACAAACTATGAATTCATTCCACGGTATAGCGAGAGATCTCTACAGAAAGCAGTGGCAAATCAGCCTATAAGTGTTGTGATTCGCACGCATTGCATAGCTTTCCAATTCTACAAATCAGTAAGCTCAGTCTGCCGGAAATATTTCTATCATACTGTAATGTTGGGAAATATTTCCAACTTCATATCTACATTGATGCATCTAATATAGAGAAGTTAATTACGAGATACCAACTGATCAAAATTCTGAATGGATTAAACTTCAGTGTCAATAATATGAAGGGAAACGAATAAATCTGACAACACTAAACACTTTGGTCTCAAGATTTTGCATGTTTTATTGAAGACTATGCCATCTGACATACTAACATCATTTCAGTTATAAATAGGAAATAATGACAGGATCGTACTACCATTTTTGGCTTGGATCAAGTATTCTTATTTTCTAGAACAAGTATTCTAACTTGTTATATAATTTAGAGACAAATCTACAGAAAACCTTACACAGTTCCATGCATAATTACAAAAATAGAGCTTTTATCAATGTGGCATTGAGGCACATCAAAAAGAATCATCAATGAAATTGAAATTGCATCACTCAAAATGTTGTCATGATTCTAGATATGGAACAAAATAGAATATTTCATTGGAATGTATAATACATAACATTATGTTGAGTTTGAAGTGTTTGGGTACATCAATTGTCAGCAATCAACTTTTGTACTAGCAATTTGATGTTCCAAACATATTAGTAATATGATGTAATAAGTTAGTGCTTTGAACATAAACCTTGCATGGTTTTTCAACATAATGTGTGTGAATATGTACATTCCAGAAATAGATGAAAAACTTAATAAAGATTAACCTATGGATGAACAATGATACACTTAATTTGAGTATGCAACCTTCCAAGAGTTCATTCCTTAAAGTTGATTTTTCTTTATTTTACATTCCTTAGCATTAAGTCAAATCATGGAAAACTACCTTCAGAATAAAATCAACAATACTCTAAAGAAGAAACACCATGTTAGGCCGCATCCATTTGATATTTACATTATTTTGAATACACTAGGACAAGATATTGGGAAGGAAGAATAAATAGTAATATAGACAAAAAGATGGCATCATATTTTATTTTATATTATTTTAAGATGTTATCTTCCATCACAAATCTTTCTTATTGGTTTCTTGTACCCGAAAAAAATGTATTTAACTTTTTTTGATGTAGAGATATTTCCAGGATAATCACTTTTTCTTTTTAACATTGATAAAAATGGAAAATTCTATCTTTATATTTAGTCCCCATTTCATGATATTTCACCCTTAGCCAAAATAATTCTGCAGCTTTTATGATGATAACTTCAAGTGGGATTTTCTATATGTCTATCTATATGGAATCCATGTTAGCGTCCCATTCCCTGTGCTGAAAATATAGGCATTAAGAAGTAGAGAAACTTTGTTGACTACATTGTATGACCATGGAATGCTCTCTTGTATAGTTGTTCTAAGTTAACACTTAAGTCTTCTAAAACTTGGAAATTTGATTTTTTGAAAAGATGAATATCCATCTAACATTTTATAGACTTTCTTCAACTGACCTTATTTCTTATCTTTTAGGGAATATTTAATGGACCATGTGGAAAAAAGCTAAGGCATGCCATGGTTGTAGTTGGATTTGGCAATGAAAATGGAGAAGATTATTGGATAGTGAAAAACTCATGGGGAGACAAATGGGGAGAGAATGGCTACATCAGAATGAAACGCAATGTTGATAAGCCTGCTGGTGTGTGTGGAATCACTACATATGCATCATATCCTTTAATGACCTACTCCTCTTTAAGCAATTAGATGTTTTGTGTCTTCCACATCTGAATAGTGAAGGAAGGTTAATACTGTGTACATCACATGAATAAAGGTCTTATTTAAGCATAGAATTTTTCTAGGTGTCTTCTCTTTATATGGAGCAATCATGTCTCTCAGCTTTGCTAGTACATGTTTGTAGTCACTTTTAAGTGAAACTCAATAGTCTAGCAACCATTGGGACACAACTCATGGTTAAATAAAACATATTTTACGATCACTTAAAAGGCATATGATGATTTATGCCATTTATGATTCATGTTGTTTGGAAAGGTTATGCATAATGTTAATTTATATTAAGGTGTACCTTTCGTAGGGCAGAGATCTTGGTCTCAAAGCACATTGTAAACAGCCAACCAAAAGGTGGCTAAATAGGCTACTTAAACCATCATTCAAAAACTCTTAAAAAATTTCAATATAAACTGATGATTATTTCAATTGAAATATATTATTTACTAATTATTAACTCATGATAATGAAGACTTATCAAGATTTCTTTTCTTGAAATAAAATAATGCTTAAGACCATCTTGAAAAAAGGTAAAAGGTGGTTCATCCTCGCCTGCACACGTGTGTATGACGCTCTTTGTTCCACGATCATTTGACCATCAAGACGTTGTAGGTGAGTGACACACACGTGCGGGAAGTGAGTCCTCCATGACTTGAGCCCAACTCATGGCTACTCCTAGTCTAAGTCTACCTTGTGGGCAGTGATATTTTTATACTTTATTCTTTTATTTTTCTAATAATCAAAATTATGCTAAGTTAACAATATATTATTATAATTATTTAATAATATATTACTATAATTATTCTAGAAGTTAACACATAAAAATAAAATAATAAAACTAATTAAAACACAAAAATCTAGATTTAACAATCAATCATCTCCTTCACTATTTTCATTGACTATCTCCTTGTAGAAAGACTATAGAGTGAAATAAGGGAAACCTCTACCATTAGTGATCTTCCATGGAAGATCTAATAGTGATGAGATCACATATGATTTGTTGTGTAAAAAAGTTATATAGTTTTCAAATATACCCTTAGAACAATGAAAACACAAAGGGTTTACCTTCTCTTTGTGGAAGAGTATTTTTATGATTATTTTAGGTGACCAAATCGGGGGTTAGTCCCACATCTGTTGCTTTGGGGAACTTTATATATATGTAATTTTGGGTTTACTTATACGTATGACTTCCTCCTCTCATAAATAAAATGGTAAGGACCAGTTGGGGGGGAGAGATAACAAGTGGTTTGACCCCACGCAACATTTGTGACGAGATCATACCTTGCCCCATGCACTAGTTCCTATAGTGACGTGGAAAAGGAGATGCACACATGCTCTATGATGGGTACCTAAGACACTTGAGCTATCAGCTTGTGGTTCCTCCTAGCATGAGCCACTTGAGCTACCATAGGGTCAATTGTCGAGTGTCGACTAGCTAGTGGGTTCCCCCAAATTTTATTATTTATTTTTAAAATTTTATTCTAACATAAAAATATGAATATAAAAATTATGTAAAATTAAATAATCAACCAAAAATTAATATTAACTATGTAAAAACCATTTTCTCAATTTAAGATAAATATAAGACTATTTATCATGAGTTAATGCATAAAACATAACAGTAAGTTAACCATTAACTCATGATAATAGATATTTATTCATGGATTATGAAGAATACCCAAGTATATCTAGAATAATCATCAACAATAATAAGACCATAATATTTTTTACCTCATAAGCTAGTAATTTTACTTGGACCAAATAAGTCTAAGTTAATCAAATCTAAAGGTTTTATTGAGGAGATATATTCTTTTATTTTGAATGATTCCCTAGTTTTTTTTTCCTTTGATGTAACTCTCACATGTATAGTTTTCTGTTTGTGATTTTAGGCAGTCCTCTAACTAACTTTATTTTTGATAGCCTCTTCATTGTCCTAATTGTCACATGTCCACATCTTCTATGCCAAATGTCTATTTGTTCTTCATCTTTTCTAGCCGTGAGACTTTATGGAGATCAAAGGTCTATATGTTAGATTTAGTAATTTTCTTAAGTACAAAACATAATCATTTTTTACTTAATCATGATTAAATAATATATAATTATTTTATCATTTAAAATAAGACAAACTTCATTTTCAAATATTACTTCTATATCATTAGTATATAACTGATGTATACTCATAAAGTTATGTTTAAGCCCATCAACATGTAAAATATTTTTAACTAATGTTCTATTTTTAAGAGAGATGTTACCACATCCAAGTATACTTCTCTTTTAATCATCTCCAAAGTTTACTTCTCCTGCACCCATTGATTTTGAAAAAAGAGCCATCTTTGACTTCTAGTCATGTGTCTTGAACATCTGCTGTCCAAATATTAGGGTAAAGTGGTCCATCAGAGATCTCCCTGAAACGATAACTAAGTTTTTAGTTTGAGGAATCATCTTTTTTTGGGTTAATTATGCTACCTTTAGGTACTCATATAGAACATGTTTTAGGCATGGTTTTATTTCTAAGAAAAATTTTACTTTATCTTGGGTCAAATCTTAACCTACTTTTCTGGTTTCATTTCTTAGATAAATTCTAGTTGATCTCAAATTAAATACTAAATTTTTCTAAGTAACATTTCTAATGCTTTTTGAATGCCACATAATTTAACATAATATAATTCTAAATTAGAAATTTTCTTTTCTAATTTAAGATCTTTTTCCTTAAATGTCTTAATTCTACATTCATATAATTATTCTTTTCTATTAGTTTTTACTTTTCAAAAATTAATTTAGGGAGTATGCTTTCATGTACAATACAATTCATGGCCTAATCAGATAATTCTCTTTTGGATCTTTGGCTCCTAGGTTTATCATCTTTGTTTTATTTTTCTATTATTTAAGAAATTATGTTATGTCATTTTTCAATAACAATAGGTAATCTTTTCCCATTGAGTGTTTCTTTTGATTTCTTGCCCTTTCTATCAAGTATGTTCTTAAGATTTTCATTCTCCTCTTCTAATTTGCCAACTAAAGTTTTCTATTATTTTTTTATTTTTCAGAATTTGATTAGACTCTTTAAATGTCTAGTTTTCTCTTTGCATAACAATTAGTTCAAGTCTAAGATTTCTAAAAGCATGCAATAGTTTTTCATAGTCATCACGTAATTTGTCTTTTAATAAAGAGTAACTATTGGGATTGTATATCTCAGAAGATTTCATTATTAGGCATGTATCTTCTTTTTCTATAATTTTCTTCATTCGAGCTTAAATGATTTTCACTCCAAGTTTACATCACCTTCTTTTCTTCATTTGAGCTTAAATCACTTTTGCTCCAAGTTGCCATTATTGCCCACTTGTTATATCTTGAATCTCCCTTTTTCAGCAATGGGCAATCAGCTTTATAATGACCTGATTTCTAACACTAAAGGCAAAGGTCATCAGATTTTTCAGAAAACCATTTCGTATCTTTTCTCCCCCTGAAGTTTCTCTTTTTCTTTATTAACCTATTTAGTCTTCTATATAAAACGGCAATCTCATCTTCATTGTCTGATGATTCAATAGATTTAAAAACAATGTCCTTATTTTTCTTTTCAAAAGACATTTATTTCTGGATATGTTAATTTTGTGAGTTAGTAATGAACCAATAATATCATCAATCAGAATTACTTTCAAATCGTTTGATTTCTTAATTACTATCACTTCAGCACACCATTCATCAGTTAATGATTTAAGTCGTTTTCAATTTAACTTACCATTGGTAAAAGATTTTCCTATGCCATTTACGATTTCATCAAATCTGCAAACAAGATTCTAAATTGATTCACCATCATTCATTTGAAATGAATAATACTCATTTTCCAAAATGTCAATTTTTGTGTCTGTCACTTCAGAGATTCCTTCATATGTTACTTGCACCTTATCCCATATGTCTTTTGCTATCTCGCAACTTAAAACACTATTAAATTTAGAAGTATTCATTCACTAAATAAAATTTTTATTGTCCTGGCATTTAAACTCATTGTTCACTCATCAATAAACTTTTTTGATGTTTCTTGTGGTCCATCTTAGATTATTTTCCAAATTTTCATTCCCTAACCCATTGCATAAATTTAACTTTGATTTTCCAAATACATAGTTTGTTCCTTTAATACGGTTGGTCTAGGGTTTGATGATTCGGTTGTTTCACTAGTCATAGGATTTACTCCTTGAGATGTGTCGATATCTTTCTATAAAGGTTTATTCTAGTACCAAATGTTAGAACTATCAAGCTAGGTGAAACTCCAAGAGAAAGGATGAATTGGGTTTCTGATGTCTTTGCTATATTTTACTTTTTGGCCAATTGTCTATGTGAGTTATTGCTAGATGTATCGACATGTGTGTTTGTGTAACTCTCTCACTAGAGACACTGAATTTTTTATACTAATTCACACCCCACCTAACTACATCCAATCCCAAAAGAGTCTTTGTATCAATGTTTCACTAATTTCTTTAGGAAATACACCTTGATGTTCATGGGCTCAACCACACAAGCTCTTAGGTTCATCTCCATAGAAACTCTACCTTTTCGAGGCCAAATCAAACTACCAGGACCTAATGCTTTAACTTAATAACTCTCTCCTCGCCACCCAATTACCTTTATACCTGATGGAGAGCATTTCCTTTCAAGTTGAATGTCACTTGAGTTGCTGAAGTCTGATGAAGATTAGGATGCAGCTTTATATTTATCTTTGATTCATCAGACAAGTAAAGCTTGAGTTCCTCACTTGGATATTCGTATAGAGAGTTGTATCCCATTTTTCAAGCCTATCGTTGTTTTGTTATCAATCATCCTCTAACCGCTTCTTACTTTGATTGAGTTTCAAATGTTTAGGAAACTTGTTCAAAGATTTTCCATTTTTTGAAAATGAGTGGTAACAACCTTTGACCTTTCCATGATTTTAATATTTTTATTCTCTAGTCTGTTTGAATTAAAATTTTAATTGAACCTTCCTTACTTAATGATGATTTTTTTCTTATTGAGAACTGAACCAAGTTTATACCCATGTAAATTGATGACATGTCATCATCTAGATGCTCAGTTTGAGACTTATTTGTGCCAATTATTTTTCAAACTCTTTTGATGATATATCCACATTAGAACTGTCTAAGTCCATTTAGGAAGACTATATGTGCATTCAAGGTTAGTTTAAATGTATAGAGAGAAATAATATCATGATCATGTGTTACTTATGCCAATTTAACCATCTATATATCATTTATTAAATATCAATTCCTTGATAGATATTTGATCAATGATTAGGTGTTTCTATCACAAAGATTCTTTAGATCTAAAGGATTAACACATTAGATTTGTTCATTAGTCATAAGATTACAAAATCAATAAATATAACTCATATGATATCACATTGAACACATTGAATATTTTATATAAATTTGTGACATATATAAATGACTCTCAATATTCAATAAATAAAATTTTCATCTTGTAATATCAAAACTAAGGGTATCAACACATTAATTCTTGTTTGACATGTTTAAACATGTTGTTCATCTTAGAGATCTTCAACAATGTGTCAATCTAGGCCTTAAAAATATATTTTCTTTAATAAAATCATTTTGATGTAAATATTTAGATCTTGATTAATTATAATAGTATTTGATCATATTTCATTGTAATTTTTATGTCATAGTTGTGTGGTTAATTTTGTAACTACTAACCACAGATTTTAATTTAGACATTAATAATGTTGAATAACATAGCATTTCCTTTTCTAAGTGCAATGAAGATGTGGTGATTAGTAAGCATTTCTCAAGGAAACGAATTGCTTTTAAATTAAACTTTATTTTTACTATCGCCCAATTGATTGATATCTATTAAACTATGTAATGAGTCCTTTACTATCACAACATTTTCAATTAAAAATATGACAACCTAAGGGCATGTTTCCATACCAAATAATGTTTCCTTTCATATTGTCCTTAAAGGTCACTTCCCCTCCCCTCTTATAAATAGTCCCCTCCTTGACTCAAATACCATGAACACCTAATGTGCATGTACCTTGGTCCTTTTGCATACTAAAGATACTCCTGAAATAGAAGATCATTATTTTTGTTAAGGGACCCAAGCTTTTTTAAGTTGAATTTCTCTAAAAGATTCCAATATTGTCTTTTTCCTTTTTCTAGATGCCTAGTTTTATTTTGCAGTGGGTTTCTTTTTGAGTGAACTAGTTTAATCAATCATCAATGTGTACCTCACAATCACAATTTGAAGTTGTCTGTTCTACCTAACTTCACTCCTATTAAAGCTAGATTATTTATACTTAAATAATTTTTATTATTTTATTTTTGTATGTTACTTTCAAATTAAATATAGTAATATATTGTTAATTTTAGAAGTATGAAGTTTAAAGACAACATATTTTTTTATTTTTAAAAATATAATAAAAAATATCACTGCTTACTAACACTCAACAACTAATCTAGAACGGAGATGTACTCGAGCGAGTGGACCAAGACCGAAGGGAGCCATAACCATGCTAGCACTGTCGTTTGCGGGAGAGAAGGAAAGAGCTGACCACTTGTTGAAGGCCTTGAGTGTAGTCAAGGGAGGACGGAACAAGCTCGACAATCGTCAAAGATGTTGATCATGCGAAAGGAGGATGAACAGATTCTATATTCACGATTGTCATCAAGATTTTAAAGATAATCGATAATATTTATTTTACCATGTAATAATTAATTCTTGTCTTTATATCCATGATAGTGATACATGTGAGAACTTAAGTTCTTGGTATCGTGGCGCTTTGTGAGCAACTAGATCAAGTGTGCTTGGTCATGTGATGCACTGAGCAATGCAAGATTAACTCATCACAAACTATTATTGATCGAGAACTTGTCCCTAGTACTATGGTGGTTCCCTTGCAGTTAGATCATCGTTTATGGTCACGTATGTGTTGAGTGACGTCGAATTCGCAAACCGCCGATGGATTGTTTAATGCTTCTGGGATGGTGGCAGTTCATCAGCCACATGATCTAACTTATTTGATGGCATGGCTCATTGAGCACTATTAGATCACACCGCGCTCTACATGGTTGTTTGGAAACACATGAGAAACTTTAGTCCCATATCGAAAAAAATTCGATGATTAAGCTGAATATAAATCAAAGTTACGGTCTCTCAATAGAGATCCCTTCTCCTAAAATAAAATAATGCCCAAAACTATCTTGGGAAAAGGTTAAAAGGTCATCTACCCTCGCGTGCACACTTGTGTACAACCCTCCTTGCTCCATGATTAGTTGACCACCAAGACATGGCAGGGGAGTAATGCACACATACATGAAGCAAGTCATTTGCCTCTCGAGCCCAACTCGTGGCTCTCTTCGATTTGGATCTACCCACTCGACCATAGTGCCCCTCTAAGTCAATTGTCGAGTGCCGACTTGCTAGTGGGCAGTGATATTTTTATATTTTTATATTTTATTTTTCTAAATAATAAAAAATTATGCTAAGTATTTTAACTTCAAACTTTTAAAATTAAAAATATATTTCTGTATTTATTATGCAAGCTAACACATAAAAATAAAATAATAAAATTAATTAAAACACAAAAATCTAGCTTTAAAAAATATCCCCAATTTTGAATTTTGCTAGTCCCTAGTAATAAACAAAAGACTTACAAAGTTAAAATTATTTATTAATTATTTTACATGAATTATTTATTTTCTCATTTTTCCACTAGAGATAGTATTTAAATAAATATTCAGATATTCATGTGATTCAAAATAATTACCTATAAGATCAAAAACAAAAAAAATAATTCTATATCCCAATGAGCTATTACAGAAATATTTATCTCAACTTTCATTCTTTTCAATACATGAAATTCAACATTTTTCATTTTTAGAAATCACTAATTAAATGATCAAAAGTTTACTCAAGTTTTTAAACTATCTTCAACCTTCTCTTCTAGATTCATGTACTTGATGTGCACTTGTCATTGTGTTTAAATACACATTATCTAATAATATTTATAACTAACACTTGATAAAATATTAGTATAGAAGTAAGTCTCAAGTCAAGTATAGGGAGCTTGATTAATCCGTCAAAAAAAATAATTTAATTTATATATAAAGAAATTTTAGTATTTTATTAATACTTAATAAAAATAATAAAATAGAAGCAGTGAGGTGAGAAGAATAAAGAAAGGAAAGCGGAGAAAGGAAGGAGAAAAAGAGAGAAGAGAGAGCTCTCACGAGAGAGATAGAAGAGAGAAATAAGATGAAAATGAAGAAAGAGAAATACAGTCACACACATGACATGAGGTCAGCCATGAATGTCTCCAGCTTGTTTTTAATCATTGAACACTCATTAATCAGCCTTTAATCTTGGTGATTTTGCATTCAAAAATAGAAAAATACTTATTATTCGTAGAATGCTGAAAATGTGAATATGTCGAGATTTGATTGCGAAAATCAATAGAAAATAAGTTAAAAATGATCTTAGCTTGATCTGAGATGAATTTTAGAGGATTCAAAAGAAGAACAAAGATCATTCATGAAGTTTTGAATTAGTTTTACCCATTTCAATCAAAACATGCATGAAATGGAAAGAACTTACCATAAAATATAGATAAATGACAAAAGTAGGTAAGTAAATGATTAAAACATGAAATAAATCGTTGCCCAATTTAGTCTGCCTCCTGGGCAACTAGAGACACTAGTGTGGTGGCTTGACTTTGTCTGGTCGTGCCACACCAAAGAGTTGATACGTGCTAGAACTTAAGTTCCTAATATTGTGGCATTTCAGGAGTCGCTAGATCATATCTACTTGGTCACATGGCACGTTGAACGACGCAAGATCAACCCACCATGAACTACTATTGACCGAGAACTTAAGTTCTTGGTACTGTGGTAACTCCTTAGCCGTCAGATCAGCCTTTAAGGCCATGTGCATGCTGAGCAGCATCAGATTCGTGAAC